CCTGAGATACTTGCAGTTCCTGAGGTCATGGAAGAGGCCATCGAGGAGACCATTGAGGCGACATTGCCAGGAATGACAGCTGCATTAGACAGCACGGAAGCCAGAGACGACAATGATGATTGAGCCGTTTGACTTGGGTCAGCAGCAATGACCGATACGTGCGATGCTAGAGAAGCTACTGCAGTAGGATCTGTACGAATTGACGAAGCAGTAAGCAGTGTCTGGATAGCGGCGATGTTCGAGCTAGGGCCAGTGACACCACTAAGGGCAACAGAGATCTGAGCACCAAGGCTGGTAGGCAATGCAGTAGCCTGAGATATGACAGAGTTGAGGGAAGAGACTGCCTGGGTGTTGCTCGTTGCTACGGGATTCGCGAGAATGGACGAAATCAAGGATACCGCACTAGAAGTTCGAGCGCTGACATCAGAGACAACAGAGGATAGCCCGGTCGGTGCAAGGTTGACTGATACACTAGCCGACACACTGGCTGAAGCTAGGGGCTGCGTTGCAGAAGATGAACGACTTGAGACTGCAGCAGACGACACGCTAGTGGCCGAGGTTGCAGCAACAGACGACGCACGGCTAGTTGTTGTCGACCCACCAGAGCCTCCCAGCCCAATGGACAAAAGAGCAGAGCTTTGCAAAAGCCCAATTCCGAGACCGTTCAGAAGGGTTGTTCCAGAATTGCCTCCGATGAGGGCGCGCTTTGCGAGATGTTGCTGTTCATGGTCCTCGACTTGTGGATCGTATGGTCCTGCAGGGGCGGCGATGGTGGTCGCCGCCAAAGCAGTCAACGAGGTTACGGTCAAGAACCGCATGGTGTTGATGCACTAACAGAGAGAAAGACAAGGCAAGGTGGATCTCTCTTTCATTGATGTTGATGGGAAGATCACAGGGCCACATCCTTGGGGATATATGAATATTGCTTGTCCACGGGTAGTTTCAGAACAAGTAAAGTGTACAATCATCATAACGGTATAGCCAAGAGGAAGATCATTTGAAGGATGAGACTTGCAGGTACCCGACCCAGTATCCGTTACGAGTTCCTCACTGGGCTTTACCCAGAGATCAGGAGATGCAACACAGACTTGGCGATGGCGGCTCAGATGAGCATCAATGCCATCGTTGAGTCTAAATCCTCGAGGACGCCTCATAGCAATCCCGTCAATCACGGCTATCCAGCGAACTAAGGTTTGTGGTAACAGAGTTACCCTGCATGCTATTACCACGTATATCAGTAGTAAAACCATATGCTCACCATAGGGAAAGAATTTGCAACATGCAAAGAACAAATCAGGCTAGAAAGAAACGAATCTGATGAGCTACTGACCATAAGAGGTTGCATCTACCGCGGGCTTCCACTGGTATGACATGATTTTGGTAGCCATCGACGTGATCTTGCATGCCGCCTCAAACCACTCCACATCGGAGTTCTCCTAAAGGATAACTACCCTTAGAATTACAACGAGGTGCTGTAACACGAGATAGTCCGAAGGGTGATCTGCTAGACAAGGTTAACTATATGCTTAGGATCCTAACGGTAATACTGTCAGACGGTGTGGTGGCGCTTGCTTTTGACCCTGTGGAACCATCCAGTCAGAAGTGCTGAGTCGCGTTAGAACGGCAGAACGATTGGACAGCCTGTCGTGTTGCGTATCGCGTGTCATGTTTCTTTTCTGATTCAAATCATACCAAACTTGATCAGGGTCTTGGCAGACCGGAATAGGCAGGCACAACAGTTTGAGAGATCCTCTGCAGCTTGCGGCCGTTACTCTGGTTCAACCATCCATGCAAGACACGTGGACTGCTCAACTCGCTGGTTGCACAAGAGACTGGTTCGAAGGGCATACTCACCAAAACTGACGATTCCGTTATGCCTTTAGAATCCTTCTGCATGGCTGGTGACTGGTTCTAATGGTGGGCTTTTACAGACCAACCACCAACGCTTTTTGATAGATTCTTCTTGGCTTTCTGAATTCCGGGTCATGCTCAAGGTCTCCTCGATCCATGATATCAGCGCGGAAACTCTACGTAGGAAATACACTCTATGAGTCGTGAAGTGACTGTGTCAGGGAGCTGTTGATATGTAATCCAAGTCGTCAACAAGGTTGTGGAGTAAGGTATCCGTCTATCCGTGAGGTGGAGCATCGTAGATTGTTTTGGAGATGGATGCGTTCAGAGAAGCAGTTTCCATTCGGATCCGCATGCCGAGAAAACGTTTCAACGTGGACTGTCCATGACCATGGGTCCATAGTACAGTATAGGATAGTTCTGTCTTGGATCCTTCCCTCTCGTATAGCCATGTTTTAGATTTCCAAAGACAGGAGAAACCACTTATATCATCATGATGCAAATAGCTATCACCAAGAGATCAGATGCGTGGAGAGAGATGTCGCGATTGTGGAAATCGAGATTCATTTATGGATGACCGTTGCGCGACCTGCCCAAGATCTAGCTGCAGAGGTCGATGGTGCTGTGAGAGATCAATTGCAAGCATATCCAAACTCCCAGTTCAAGAAATTTGCAGTATTATTGTTGATGCGCCCATGCAGAGCGGCGTTTCCTCACTGTTTCTTAAAGAGCCTGGCGACGAACAGTACAGTCTATTCATCGAAACGCTTCATGGTAACTCAGGAAGAGACGTTGGACGTTTACATAGGCGGAAGTGTTCGGCAAACGCTCTCATCGGGATATCTTTCTTCCGTCACCACGAGATGAGAGCGTCCTCGTCAATCCATGATGATGTAATTCACGTGACATGCACGTTTCCTGGCTGTCATCCTCGACTGCGTCTCTCAACTCCAAGTCCGAATCCTCGATGTAAACTACCTCTCAGCCTGATACGGCTGATACAGATGAATCTGTGTCTGTACAGCTCTTCTCATCACCTTACAGGCATGGTTTGCCTCGGCTTGGCTAGCTTGTGCTTTCCTTTCCTCAGATCAACATTAACATGCTAACATGGCACATTCGGAATGGTAGAGGAAGATCACTGGGTCATGTTTCAAAGAATCGACATTCGCAATTCCTCGGAAAAGTCGCGATGGAATGATGTTCTCGGGGCTGATTGGACTCTTCGCTTTGAAATGTTCATGCCCCATAGCAAACAACTTCCTATGCCGACAGAACCTTGATGAAAGGGGAACGCAGATCATTATCATGTCTTGAGTGGTACATTGAAGCAGGTACACGCACAAGCAAGATCGAAGCTTTTCGAGTGTTTGACAAGCATTTGGCATTGTGACTGTGACGGCACAATTTTGTCTGTATGATCGTCCCATTCCCTCGTTTATGCATGCTAAGGATGCTTAGCAAAGTCTTCGATCGTAAGTCCAAACACGGGACTAATATGAACCCTCCACTTGCCCAAGCCTAGTCCCTCTCGCAAGGAGAGAGTTCAGACATGGGCCCGACTATGTCTGTCTCAGCGACCTTGGCTTGAAGCATAAAGAGTGCATCTCTTTCCTTACTACGCCTTGCATCTCGAAACAGCTCATCTAACCAATCTTTGTCGCCATTCTTCTTAGCTGCGTAGAGCTCGGGATTTAGCTGCATCTTTCATCTGCGTTCTTCATATCATCCTGCTGACTGCCATCATCTTTCCATGACTTACTCCATCTATTCGTCAAGAGGCTTGATCTAATTTATGATGCGTCTGCTCTTGACATGGCCAAGCTTTTACCACAGCTTGCCTTTTGATGTGACGAATGTATAGTGTGTATTCTTGTTGGCGGTTCTATAAATACCGTAGAGATGGCTCGACCTTGTTGACAGTGTGAGGAGTGGGTGTGTCATCATTCTCTTGTTTTGATGTACTTTCGCAGAGCATTGCGACCAAATAGACATCGGTATGCCTGGTAGCTGCTGCCGATAAATATTACGGGTCTGGTTCCATCACTTATGCATACTTGGAAGTCTTAGCAAATTCTTGATGTCCACATATTAATTGACACGGTCATGTTGTCGTTGATGCAAAGGCATAGCGATTCAGCGTTCTCCAGATCGGAGCAGGGTGTCTCTAGCACCCACGAATTGGAGATCTTCGAGCTACAATATTTTGACGAATCGAAATTCCATGGGGATCTCGAATATTGATCTGTACTCTCTGCATTCTGAAGAGATATCCTGTATCGTATAGAAATCTAGACCCTTCTAGATGTTGTATCTATCGTCTTAAGTCAGAATGTGAGGCGGGTTCAGCGTGATTAGCATGGATCCTATGTCACATCTCTAAGCCTAGCAAAGGAACTGGATGGACGCATTGATGATCATGATCCATAATCATGCTATAGTATATATGTTGCCAACCATACCTAACTTTTCGATTCTCGATCAGAAAACCCCCGAAAGGCGCCGCGAGTGACAAGGATCCTAAGCAGGGCAAAGTTCCACATAGGGCTAATTTTATCAGATGCAAAATTTTTCTCTCTCTCCTTGGCTGCCAGCCCTTATCAATCTCATCGGATCTTTCTTGGCATTTTATTGTCCCGTGCATGTCTCCACCAAGGTCGGTGCGGTCTGCCAAGTTGGCCATCGCGGTGGTGGATGGTGCGCGCATGGTTGTACTGCTCTTGCGACCTATACATTTGTAAAGATCTGTGTGAGCAAGATTCACCAGTAGGAGAGTTGGCAGAGATTATTGTTGACCGCCTTTTCTTTTGGACGCAGAGGACAAAAAAAAAGTGCTGCTGCAGGTTACATTGGGCTGTGGAGCCATGAATCGAGAATGCATGTCACTGGGCGCTTAGCGTCGGGAATTGAACAAGCTGAAGTGGACTGAGCTCTTTTTCTGTTGAGCATGTTGTAGGCGCTCCTCTTGCAAGACGAAGATAAGAGGACAGAACAATGTGGATGTAGAATGGATGGGCGATTAGGAACCACGAGACAAGAATCGGCTTTTGGTCTATACCTTTATTATTTTCACCTCCTCTTTGAAAACTCCGTGTGTTCAACATAGAAAAACAACCCATTGCGCCGTGCTGAAAAACGCAAAACCATGATTATGCAAACGACTTCTTGAGATATTCATAAATGGAAAAGATGATGGCGGAGCTGGGCGCAGAGCGAGCGACTGTGATACCGCAGCCACGGTACATGCCTTTAAGGCCATGCTGTCTCCAGACTGCGCGAGCGACTGAGCCAAAAGTCTTTTGTTTTTGACCAGGGAGGAGAGCACCCACAGCTTCTGTCTGCATACGCGACTTGATGGTGTCTGCAGGGTAGAAGAGGAAGTTGTAGCTCATACCAGCAGCTGCACCAGCAATCATCTGCTGGTATATAGGCAGAGAGGTGTCTGCGACTGTCTTGTTCTCTTTCTGCAAGTTCTTGAAGGCTAGAGTTACACCCTCGTATGCGCCGAACCAAGCAGCCGAACCACCCATTTCGCGGATGAGGGTTCCCATCTGTCCATGCCAGAAACCGGCGATACCATGGTGACGGTATACTGAGGAAATAAGGCTAAGAGGGTTCGGGCGAGCGAAGACGCCTGGCGAAGTCTCAACTGGGACTTGCATCTTGCACTTGATGAGCTCGATTGGGGTGAGGAGAAGCGAGGCGAAGGCACCAGAGAAAGCACCGCAACCGATGAGAGCGTGCAGCGGTAGAGGGTCGGTGTTCTTGAAGATGGTGGCTTGCAGAGTGTCTTGAGCAACTTGGTAGCTGAAGAACAAACTGCTGGTCTCGACGGCGGCTCCAAACAGAGGAGCGCTGATGCCGCGGTACAGACCTGCTAGACCATCACGGCGGAAGGATTGGCGGAAGCAGTCGACGGGGCCAGTGTAACGGAGGGGCATGTTGTCAGGCTGAGACTGTAGGCGAACCTTGACAGTGTCGAAGGGGTACTCGATGTACTTGCCAGCCATGCCGGCGAAGGAGCCAAAGACGACATCTTTGAGGGCAGCAATAGCCTGTTGATGGGCCTGTGAAGGCTCTATATGTTTAGCCAACGAGTCGGCGGGAAGGACATGGTGTGCATCGCGGACGTCCATCAGCAGATTGTGCTTTCTCCGAGGAAGCGCAGGAGGGAATTGAGAAAAAAATCAACGTGTTTGTCGATGCTATCGTGGGAGCATGGTATGCGTGAGGTGCACAGAGATGAGAGGGTGTGGTATGATGTGAGAAGAAGGGGGAGAAAAAAGCGCGCAGAGAAAAATGCAGGCGATTCTTTTTGTTTGAGGGCTCAGTCAGTCTACGATTGCGTCGCTCGATGCAACTTTCATGTGTTTAGCGTTTGCTGGTCCGCGCGTCGTGGAGCAGCCGCGACCGACCCGCCCGGGAGACAGGAGAGACAGCACCGAGACCCGCCGCACGAAGATGATGATTGTGATGGAAGGTGACAGAGTTTATGATTATTCCTCATCATTCTGATCGTGCCTTCATCCTTCCGCCGCTACGTTCTGGCCAAGACTTGTGGGGTTCCTTCCGCCTGAACATTTGCGTCTCCAAAAAAGTATTCTCTTGTCGAATACCGTCTCATACACCACAAAAATGTCTACCGTCACATCTGATGCTCCTGTTGCCAAAGTCCCGCAGGTGACGGGCATGCGCAAGAATGGTGAGTCTTTTTCTGCTTGTCAATATCGCGCTTGCGTCTTTTATTTTCGTCTGGTTTCGCGCGCTGCAGATCCGCGAACCCGGCCATATCCTGTACACTCCAACTAACTATCTGTCAGGCAAATCATGGCACGACAACAAGAAGGCCTTCCGTCCCACAGCTGGTCAGACCTCGTACGCAAAGCGTCAGGCCAAAGATCAAGCACTCGCTGTCGTGAAAGCACAAGAGAAGGAAATGAAGGAAGAGAAAGAGGCTGAGCGTCAGGTCAGACAATACCAGAAGACACACTCGGAACCGGCGACTGACACAGAGACAGCGACGCATCACAGCACTCAAGGAGAAGCGCGAGGCAAAGGCAGAAAAGGAACGCTACGAGAAGATGGCCGCCAAGATGCACCAGAAGAGAGTCGACAGACTGAAGCGCAGAGAGAAGAGAAACAAGATGCTCAAGTCATAGAGGAAAAGCAGAAGAGTCGAACTCTGGAGGGCAGAGCGACAGGCAGAAAGATGGCGAAAAGGCCAAGGGCAAGGGCAAGGCGAGCGAGCATTGAAAGATACCCTGACTGCATATGCGAGGCGTTTTGGCGTGCATGGGACCTGGAAAAGAATATCAAATGCATCTATATTTCTACTTTCACGCACACACTCAAAGTATTGTCAAGTCGTTCTTTCCACTTTGTGAATAAAACCGCATGTGACGTCGGGCAGGAGTTTAGGCCCAGACTTCGGAGATTGCGCGACCGCCATCATCGACCACAACTTTCTGACCCGACAACCTCTATTGATCATGGCATACAAACATGGACAAGAAGGAAAAGAAAGAGAAGAAGCACTCGGTCCATCATCGCCCACACCGGCACCATCATGCGCGCGACACGATCCAGTCGGCAGTCCAGTTACAGCATCCATTCTCCTTCGACAACTACAACCCTCTGCGACGAGCCCAGCAGCATCACCACCACCACAAGTCGCGCCGTGATCCCTCGCCAGAAAAGGCACAGCCCGAAGAAGAACAAGAACAAGAGCCACCAAAACCACAGTGGTCCCCCGAAGTAGAATATGCCGTCGACCACCCTCCACAACGTCTCGTCACTCCCGAAACCATCGCCTATGAACGTCGACTACGCCAGAAGCGTCAAGACCACGTCTCGAACGCCTTGAACGCTCTGTCTCGCGACGCTCACACTGCTACTCGGAAGCTAGACGACACTTACTATGCTTTGCTGCAAAAGGTCGGTGTGCTCAAAGCCACCATCGCTTCCTTCCAAGACCTACACTCCTGCCTCGACGAAACCACAAAAGACTTTGCCACAAGGTCAGAATCGCTCGTCAAAGATATCACTGGTCAAATCGATGCTTTCCAGAACATGTCACAGCAAGACGAGTCCATCGATCAACTAGTCAAGCGACTCCACAAGGCCAAAGAACGAGCAGAGACTTGCGAGTCTAGACTAGAATCTTGCCGCTCACGCCTGGAGCAATGGGAAAAGAAAGAGAAAGAAAAGAATAAACGAAACAATCGCACTTGGGCTCTGGCATTGACCGCTCTAACTGCTTTCATATTCCTCGTTCTTGCCATCGTATTATGGAGAAAGGGCTCTCTGGCCACTGTAGTCGATAGCCCATCGGAACTAAAAGAAGCCCTTGGTCTGGAGAAGAACAAAACCGCACCTGGTATACATCTCGTCGATCCGAAGGAGGAAAAGATGCAAGCCAAGGAAGCTGCAAAGTGGAATAGGTTGCTTGATGAGCTTTGAACATGAATGTCAAGTTCAATCCATCGTTTGTTTGTGACTACAAAGCCTCCAATCCCTCCATTTTCGCAGTACCTCCTGAGTCCGCAAAACGGACACAGCTAGATCTGTAAAGGTAGTGATGGCCACCGGAGTTGCATCCAAAACCCCTACCTCTTGTTTGTACGCCGATGCCTCTCGAGCAAATACCCTCAAAGCGTTGCCTGGAGGAGTAACCGCAACGTTCCTGACATATCTCATACCAAGTTCACATAGCCAGAGTTACCACAGGGCTTCTTCCATTGCATCTCGATAAGTTCAAGTGGCGGAGCAATCAGACCACTGCTTAGTGTTCCTGCCTGCTTGGAGTGCGAGTACGGATCCTGATTAGAGTCAGCAAAATGCTGTAATTGCTTTCTACTTGGTCTAGTCCGGATCTAAAACACTTGTGGTCTCCAATCATGTATGGGAATGATGAGAAATTCTTGTTGACTCTTGATGCTTGCCCAGGACGGGAAAGTTGCCAGCCCTGAACAAATGGCCGCAAACAACATTGACCATTCACGATTGCCCAATGGGATTATGCTGGCGCCGCCGACTTCAAAGATGGAGATCTTAGTCAAACATCTTGCTGGCTACAAAAGACTGCCTTATACGATTTGGGCTTCACACTCTTGATCATCAACCAATACTACGATGTCTACAAATATATCCCCGAGTTTCGTATCAGTTTGTCGACTGCATCCTGACATTCGTCTCTTCTGTAAACAGACACATCCGGCCAACCGTACTCTTGATACGTATCTCTGATCGAGCGTATCAGGATATCTCCTTCACCCGGCTCTTCAAGAGCTTCGTAGTCCTCGTCCCCGAACCAGTAGTCTACCTGACACGCGTCTACAGGCACAGATCTCAAGGTTCGGAACTCGTTCTTCAAGACTTCGAAGAAATTGGGGATGGTCCATGCTGTTTGGCTTCTCCAGCCGTGTTCGTTCTCGGGAGTGCAGTCCTCGAAAGATTCTGTGCCACCAGACGGTCCGATGATGGGCTGTTTTGTCGAGTCGAAATCGATATCGGGGCCTTCCAGCCAGTGGACAGTGCCGAACCGTGTATCAAGCATGAACACAAAGTCGTCGCGGCCACCTCGTGTGAGACCAAAAGCCGATGAAGGTATGTTTGGCCATTCCAATCCCTCCGTGATTATTCTAACGTCTTGTTGGTTAAAATTTCTTTTCTCGAATACTGAAGACCAATTTGCGGCGGGAGCGCGAGCCACCAAAAGACATGAATTTGGAAGATATGGGAGATGTCGCATAAGCTCGTAGACCTCGTCGTTCTTGCCCAAGAGTTCGGCTTTTTCTTTGGTTATCGAAGGCCAACCTCCAGCCGGAGGCTCGAGGATCCAGTTGTCTGGCAAGGACATGTCTATAAGAAATTTGTAGTAGTCCCGGAAGGCAGCGATAGTGGCTTCGCGAGAGTAGGTGGTTTCGTCGAGAGTTGGCATGATGGGCAACGGAAAGAGGATTGCAATGACGTACGAGACGTGTAGACTGATGAGAAGAGGATACGAAAATCGAATTGATGGAGAAGAAGATGTGCACATGCTGGCCTCTTATGTTCGCTGCTGTATGACCGAAGTATGTTTCAGGATGCACGCGTCAAAATTGGCTGCCTTGAACGCGAGTCATGTGCAAGGTGACCATCGCTATAGTATTCCTACCATCCTTCCTATCAGGGGTGCAAACAAGAATGCTTGATGGTAGTGACGAAAAAATTATCCCGTGTACAAGAAGATAGTTGGCCCTTCAGGCCAATCAAGAAAACGAAGGACGTCATCCCACATCGTACATCAAGCAGTTCAATCTTAGATAAATCAAAAAGTCATATTCGCTATAGTTGCCATTGAGACATCCTCCAACCCCATAATGAGCTCCCTAGCTGCTCTCCCTTAGAACAGTAACGCCCTCATTCATTTTTCGAAACAACAGAACTTCGTGGTCACCAACTTTGAACCACATGCATGTGAAAAGGTCTTGCTATTCGGCCAAGTCGTTGTAGCTTCCATCTCCTCATCTCCTATACCACTGTTCTTAATGCTCAACTTGCATTAAAAAAGGTAACATGAGTAAACTCTCAGTGTAGACTTTGATGCCGCCATTCAAGTCATTCGTTGGCGTCTGAAGGTATCAGAAGGGCGAGTTCGCAGACGTCCTTTCCATGGCGATTGAGAGTCCGAGTTCGATGCTGGGGCTACATCTGTCGAGAGAGATGACATGCCAGCTGAGGAATCCAAAAAAGAACTCTCCATCGTATATCCATCTGAAAAGATGAGTTCAAGCACAGCCGTGAGCTTTTGGTTCAATCCACCACGTATATTTGACCAGAAAGAGTCAAGCTTGTGTGAGACAATGGCTGGCATGCTCAAGAGAAGATCGGCGGAAGAGGCGTAGACATCAGATTTTCTGAGGCGTGTGTGGATCCAGATCGCAATCGTGCTCACCAAGTTGCCGAGACCCTTGGAGACGACGTAGAGCAAAGAGATTATGCGAATGCTGGTACAAAGCATAACATTGTACATGGACAAAACATCATCTGATATGCTTCTACCTGTACGAAGAACACGGATGTAGTCGATGACAGCCTCGCAAGCAATGGTGAGAAGAGCCTGGGCAATGGCGAAGAGGCGCTTGATACGTCCAGTAAGAAGTTGAGCGGCATCGACATACTGGACGGTTGTGCGGTAAACAGTCAAGAAGATGTCCCGAGTCCTGGCAGAGATGTTGGCGTCCTTTATGATCTTTCTGGAATATCCAGCAATGCCGAAGATCGTGTTTTGGACGATGGCGAAGATAGATCGAGCATGTCCAGAAGCCAAAACCGTCTCGACACCAGAAATCAAGTCGGCAATGAGCAGAAGGGGAAGAGCGGCACAGTTTTTTACGGCACGACGGACTGCTCCAACCGTGGCGTCAGACTGTAGAAGAGCGACCAAGACGGAGAGCAGAATGAACACGGCGAGAAGCTTGAGAAGGCCATCAAGCGAAAGGGAAAGGTCAAAAGATTCCAACATGTCGAAGTCTTGACCAGTTTGTAACCGTTTGTCTGCAATGGTAGATGTGTGTGTAGAAGAAGATTGACATAAAATCTCGGACCAGCTACTGGCATGTATCATATATCTTCCTGATCTTCCCAAAGTGTTATGATGACTCTTCGCGTTGCCTATTGCGAAAGTATAGAATCAGACACTGGCAGCGTGTTGAGATATTACTTGACAGACAGACTTGTCTCGAGCAGTTTTTGAAATTGATCTGGAACCAACAAAGACAATTCAGAAGTCAAGCCTCACCACAGAGCTCTACACTGATCCGCAATGCAACGATCCAACCTAATAAGATCATACATGAGAAAAGATCCAGACGCCAAAGGTAATTTCACAGATAAGAACAAGAAAGAGTCGAGCCATGCAAAGCAACAATTGCAAGCAGCAGCTCATAACCCACTCCCCATCACCATCTACCCCTCAGTCCCCGCCTCATTCGCCGTATCATTCTGTCTCGGATACAGTATCTCAAGTACATTCGTGTCAGCAGTCCAACGATAAGTATGAATGATCGAGTTTCTGAGTAAAGCCATGATGAGGTCTTTTGAGGCATTCCACTGTCGTAAAGTCATTGGAATTTGAAGTGTTTGGAGATTGTCTTGGTCGTCGTGGTCGTCGTGGTCGTCGTGGTCGTCCACGGTTTGGGGATTGTCGTCCATGGTTTGCTGAGGAGAGGTTGTATAGTGACGAGGCTTGTAGGTAAGAGGTTAGTGAGATGAACCTGCTTTGAGTGCAGGTGTGAATTGAGAGTTGAGGTTTGCAATTTCTATTTGATTGCTTGCATGAATGGAAAGATTGTTGTGTGGTGGATATATAAAGAAAAAGGGAAGGAGGAAGGAGCAAGAAACAGGAAATGATAAGATTATGTCAGTGGAGGATTTCTAGGCTGCCATTCTCGTATACAATGATAACAAACCAACACAACTGATAGTCATTTCTAATCGATGTTTCTTTCTCTGATATACTCTTCTGATTTATGAAAAATCTGGAAGTGACCGAAAATGCCGAAACTCTGGGAAATAAGTTCATTGTCATGCCATTCTCCTACTGTAACCCCAGCCACGTCGTTCTTGATGCCCGACCCCCAACTTCATCGTACCCATATCTTGATACACGTCTTTGACTGCCGGACACCGTCTAGCCCTCTGTCGTAGGATCAATATTTTCATCTGTTGAGAAGACGAACGAGAGATCGAAGTATCCGATCGTTCTTTGCTCCTTCATCACGTCGAATTCAATCCTACAACCTTGGCCCATGATACCACTGTAGAATATGATGCATTCTAAAGGTACGATAGTCACAGACTCACTGTCGATGAGCTCGGGAAGCTTGAGAGAGAGATCATCCGATAGGCTTCCAAATAGAGCGACGAGGTCGTCCTGATTGTCGAAATCAAATTCAGTTCGGCTTCGAAGGTATAAGGTAAGAAGCTCTTCTAGGCCAGGCATCTCTTCTCCAAGATGCAGAAGAATATCGCCGTTCGCAATCTCAGGGATAGAAGAGCTAGACGAGTCCAGGTTTGCCATCACCGCAAGATGATTCCAGTAAGCTCCAGCTGTTTGACGAAGATAATCCAGAACATAGCCAGGGATAATAGCTGTATGGTGAAGATAGAAACCGTACATCAGACCACTGAAAGTTGAGGTGGAGATAAAATATGTCTCAAAGACATGGCGAAGATCATCCTGAGACAACAGACCAGAGATTGAGAGCTGTAGATACAGCGACAGTACGATGAAAGCGGCAACGAAGATAGCACAGAAGAGATCAGAAGCTCGGTGCAACTTCTTCTCGTCCTTCACCAGCTCGCGCAAGTAGCTTCTAGCGACGTTTGGAGATTGAGCGACATAATTGTAGGCAGTATCGTAGATCTCGATGGCTCTATTGACAGCAGGAGTGATGACTGGATGAAAGACTTTCTCTTTGAAGATAGCATTGACATGGTTTGCATGATGGCAAGCAACGAAAAGGGCAACATCCAAAGCAGCGAGAAACGCAGTAGCGAGAGCGATCAGAGTGACACCAGACCAGGAGATGACTTTGTTGAAAGCGTGCTTGCCAATTGCATGGTTCTTCTCGACCAGAAAGACATAGAAGAGGAGAAGAGCAATGAGTGATGAGAAGCAAATGGCAGATGGGATAGACAGAGTTAGGTGATGGCAGATTCGTTCAGGAACCTCGGACGGTTTGGCGGTCCAGTAGATATGATCAGAGAGTTTGATCATGATTGCTGTTGAGTTTGTGTTTGCTTTGGAGAGAAAATGGATGAGTTGTGAGATGAGCAGCATGAGATGGGATGCCATCGGTTTTATCTGTTCGCAAAAGATATTTGTATGTTGTCTGGCAGTGATTACTGTTGCAGCTCGGTCTAGCAGTTCTCAAGACACTCTTGCCGTGTTTCTCGATAGCGTCTCATGCTGAGACCGAACATCATGTTGTAGGTATTGCAGGAGACAAAGGATATCCCACTTCCAAAGACATGATTCAAAGCCATGTTGTCTCTCGCAGGGTTCACAGCTAAGACAGCACGACGCCTCAGCCCAAAGTTTGAGACAAGAAAATGAATCAACTTTCATGCGAGTCTGACAGTGAGCGCAGAACAACGAGCGCAATCCATAGTCACGACAAGCAGCGCAGCTCGCTCACTTCCAAGGCTGGCATCACTTTCCAGCTACGCGCTCCTTCCACCGCACAACCCTCCATCCTATCCTACCAAAAACAACAACAACCAAGACTCCTTCACATTCTCTTCTTCAGTTCATCAGTAAGAATGACTTTCATCTTCACATCTTACTTCGAACGGTTTCCCCACTTCGACCACCAGCCTCGTCAGAGCATCCGTATAGAGTTCACTCGCCTCGCAAAAACCCATAAGTGGGATTCTGAAGAGACAAAGCGCGAGAGGGTAAACTGCTACAATGAAGAACTGGAAGGCCATTTCCACCGCCTCAGCATCACCGACCAGCTTGGAAGCCTCAAGCACCTCTGCAGTGAGCTCGATGTCAAGCCACGTAACACTGTTGATGGATGCAGAAAGGTGAGACCATCAACACCAATGGTTGTTCTACAGATTATGCTAACAGCATTGATTAACAGATCCTGAGGTACACCCATGTCAACCTTGTCGACCTTATGGATGCTCGCCGCGACGAGAACACGAAGGTCAAGAAGTTCAAGACTTACAAGGAGCTTAGAGACTACAGCCACAAGACTAAGAAGTTCTACCCCCTGGACGAGACTAAGGGCGAGACTATCGAGGTCCCTCTGAGAAAGCTCAAGACACCCAAGATATAGGCAAGTTGGGTGGTGCTACTGATGTAGGGCAGATCTCGCAGTCCGAGATGATGGAGTGAACAAGCCTGGTGAAAATGCAGTCTTGGTTCCGAACATCGATCCTTCCCATTGTGCATTGTCCACGTATTCAGTAGAGTGTTGGAGATATGTGATACACCAAGATCTCATAGTCTGGACGTTGAAAATCATATAGTCCGCGGTCTGAGCTCATGGCTCTCGATCTGGTAGACGTTTCATTTAACTCGAAAAACCATCGCAAGTGTTTCCTGTGAACATGAGTGCCAAGCATATGTTGTGAGGGCCACTGAACGCTCCTATCGACGGGTCGTGATATTTTTCCTTATGGGAAACTGCGAGGAAACATCCATAGGTTGCATCATTTGTATGTGGTTTGCCTTACCTGGCAGCAGCTGCTAGAATTAGTAGCGTTCTCTAGTCGTTGAGAAGTCGTTGCTAACGCAGGCACTCGCCAAGACATCTGCCTGACGATTGATTTCGCATAGCATCATGTGAATGTCGTGGAGCGCCCACGAGCGCTCCTGAGTCCTGATCAATCTTCGGGGTGAAACGCCAGGCACACTCCAATGACAGCTCTCTGTGAGGAATCGATCGTAGGGCGCATGACTCGCGTTGTGACTTGTAAGGCAGCCAAGTCCGGAGCGGGTATGCTGAAACACACTTTGGTCATACAATAAACACAAAGGATTCAACGAACTTACATATCACTCTGCAATTATCCTTCTTTCACCAATTTATCTTGCGAAGAAAACAGCCCACTACGCCAATCCTATTCAACAACTTTTGTCTCCTTGTCATGCCGGAATTAAACGAAGTCAGCTACTCTCGCGAGGCCACCATCGCCGCCTTCCGCGACTACTATCAGTTCCTTACAGAGATGTTCTTGCCCGAGAATCGAGTCGAAGAGCCCCCGGCTGAAGGCTGGTCCTCGATCACAAAAGAGAAATTACGCCTTCTGGATAAAGATGACGAGGTGGTCGAGCTTATGCGTCATCTTCCATACATTTCAAATGACGGCCTACTTGCACCTCATGCGGAGATCGCTCATTGGCCCAGTCTACTCGACGCTAGCGCATACGATCAACGACCCTTTGATGAATCAGATGTCGAAGAAACGAGGGTGATCACTGATGGTCTGGACTGGGAGAACGTCCCCTCGTCAGCATTCGGCATTTCGTGCGGCGACGACATATTCATCCTAGACACTCAGTTCGGCGTTGTGTTCTGGTTGGATTCCCCTGGAGAAGTCCTGGAAAGTGCTGCAAGGGAGCCAATAACCGATGATTTCTACGATCGCACGCCAGAAAACGAACACGAGTGGCGAAGCAATAAGGCTTGGGCAATTCCTGATTTTTTTGAAGTCTTGAAGAACAGATATAAGATTCTCAAATACCTTCCCTTTCACGAACGCCGGATTGAAGAGTGGTTCGACATATACAAGGAAGGCGATGGTCCCAATGGCGGTAGACCAATTCTACGGTCGGTCAGGAAAATCTACCAGGAGCAGGGTTGGCCGGATTTGTCCGTGTACAAGAAGAATGAATGTCTTGACGAGATTGACAAGATGATCAAAAATCACTTCCCAGCGGAAGATTTCTAAGCTGATAGTCGACCAAGTCTATACGTTCAATTAATCGACCAGTCGTCGAGCTTGATATGCTCAGATCCTCCTCCTCGCTACGTGCCAGACCTCACGCTGCACGTGTTCATGTGATAGACCATGGTGAAAGAACGCGGAGTATTCCTCTGGCTTGATCAAAGTAGCTATATGTACTTGGCCAGCTATAGTCAGACACATATCAACCTGAAATTGTCGAGTTCAAAACTCCGGAATCTAAGAACTCAACAGAATCTAGACTTCGCCTGACTCTACCACTTTGTTGTGTGATAGGGTCATATCCATTGACACCAGGGATATAGTCTTGGTCGTAATCATAGGGTTTGACTCTGTTCTCGTAGTATCGATCGACGGACAGGAGCGTAAATCCCGGATCTAATGGTGCAATCTTCTTTGGCCAGCAAGGGTTCTGACTCAGACCATCATCTTGAGAACTGGCAGCGCCAGCATGATCCCATTGAGCTATGGTAAACTCTGGTCGCTGGGCTACGGTGATTCCAACCGTATAGTCTGTTTGGGTGGCTTTGACGACATTGGATTGGAGCCCGAAGTTCTTCCTGTTGTCTTTGGCCATGTCGATGATCTGTTGTCGGGATAGTTCTCTGAGTGGCCGGTAGAAGCAGACGCCTCTCCACATGCTGCCTGCACCCGAGTTTTGTCCCTTTGGTAACCAGCGCACCATTTGCCCATCCTTGTGCTTACCAGCTAACGTGTATGCTTGATCAGTGTTCGTCAACAAATACGCTGGTGGATACTCATCCATCTCGCACTTGCCCTATTCACCCTGTGCTTCTCATTCTTCCACTCCTCATCTCTAGTCATACCTTTTCGCCAGCCTCCTGAGTGCTCTGAAGCCCAGCTGTTTGTTGCCTTGGGTGGATCGATACGATCTCTGGCAGAAGTTGCTGCTTCTTGTGGGCAGGTCAGGGTTGCAAAATTCGGATTCTCCCTGACGACCGAGCTATAGTGATAGCAAGCTTGGCTCCATCTTGCACTACAGGTTGCTTTCACTTGAAGAGTTGGGGCATTCGCTTGATACGAGAGGGAAGTAATAATGTAGTTGTGGGTGGTAACTACACCTTGGTTGCACTCAGTCGACACGTAGGTGTTCGGACCGACTTTCTGGCCTGCACGTTTTCTATTCGGACAAGCATTGGTAGAAGAGCTCGGGGCCGATGTGGTGCTGGGGCCTGGAGAGTTCGTGGGGACAGAGGTTGGTGGCGGGGTTGAAGGTGCAATGCTTGGATCAACAGTAGAGCCGGCGTCACTTTCTGAAGCAGGTGCAGATGTCGGTGGCAGGGTGGATTGTACAGCGCTCGAGTCGGCAGTAGTGCCAGCATTGCTTTCTGATATAGGTGCACTTGTCTTCGCTGTTGGTTCAGGCTTTTCCGCATGTGATTTCTTCGGTGGGTCAGGAACCGGATCCTGCCTCTTGCACTTCGACTTGTTTTTCCTGAGGCAGCCAACACTTGTGCCAAGCGAGTCAGGTCCACCAAGCAAAGCTATCCACAAATCGAAGTTCCAATCTGGGACACCACAGGCATCGCCGACCCAGTTGTCAAAAAAGTCTGCAGCTTCCAGGCCATTCTCGGCGAATGTTTTGGCACCTTGAACTGCACGGCCTGCGACAGTCAAGACCTCGCCACCAGGGATGAAGTTTATACCGACTTCCAGAATATCTTTGAAAGCTTCCACCCATATCGCGCAGAGAAGGTTATCAATCTTTCCGAGACCTTGCGCCACGGTGTCGAAGATGGCTGTGGCTACTTCCTCGACATCGGGATTTGAGCATTCGCAAGGGGCTGGGACCCAGCGGAAACCGTTGTCGTCGGTCTCGATGATGCTCTGATCACCGTGCTCGATGTCGACATTTGCGTATGAGCTGGCGTCACACTGTGTGACTGATTAGACCTTGTGTCTGGGTAACTTCGAAAAGATATGGTTGGGAACTTGTACTTACACCATCATAACCATGCCCACCATGGTTTTTGCAATACTCGATGCATGGGTCCGGATACCACGAAGGTCTTTCAGCAAAGTAATGGAAGCACAAGCCCTGCTCTGTGTAGGAAGCAATTGTCTCGTCCATTTTGACTGAACGGCCCTTGAGAGTACTCAAATGGTTAGGCTGGGCAGATGATCCAGATAAACCAGTCGCCACAGCCTGGGGAGTAGAAAGCGATCTCTCATTTCTGGGCAGAGCATATGCTCTCAAAATGACATGGCTGACGAAGAACAATGGAAGAAAGAGCATGATGGGGAGGCAAGGGATAGCTGAACCGAAGATATCAAGTCTCCTGGACTTGAATCCGGCGTCTACTTATACCGTAGATGAACATCTCCTGGTCTCTGTCTGGAGCGAGCCAATATGAACGAAAGGCCACCCATAGTTCGCGAATCCCGACAATGAGTCCATCTGCAAAAGAGTCTGCTCAGGAGGATCAAGCTAGTGGCTCAGCAGCTCAATCAGAAGCGGGTCCATGGACACGGTAGGGTTCGGTCCACGATTTCAGGATGGAGTAGCGGCCACCAGTGCTCCATGTTGGTCACGTCCTACCCGCTGACATTGTTGGTGAACTATTTCCGCTCCGTGCCAAGGATTGATGCAGATATCCAGGCGCTTGACAGCCCCTAGTAATTAAGAACGCGGTGGACGAAGGTTGTAGGACAATTCATCCTGCTGTTAGTGAGTTTGAATTTGAGGCATAGTCCTGCAATCCTGCGGGTGATTCTCAAAAGTATTGCTGTACAGCCATCAAGCGTTGTCTTTCTGACTCAAAGCACACCATATCGTGACACACAGCTTCTAGCACATGGGTTTAACATCTGCAAGATATCCCTGCTAGGCATCAATGCAATATACCAAGTCAAGCCCGCTACCAGAGTCTCTAATATGCTGAATGGTACGGGAATTGACCGATTGTTTGACTTAGGTGGTGCTGCTGCAAGGGAGTCACTCAACCGAACATGGTACCTACTGAGATGCCGACAGATCATCGACTTTCATCCGTAATATCAGCCCGATGAAGACAGGAACCTCTGTCAAGGAGGCATAACGAGCCGACTGGTCCAATTGGGTCCATCGAAAATCTGGTCGTCGAGCTTCGGGTGTGTCATGTTAGGCTTGCTTGAGCATTGCCAATGCCCCAATAGGAGTTTGCGCCATCGGACCGTCTCCAGTCTGATGCACGGTCTGACAAGTTATTGTAGGCGCCAGGTTCAGCTACGAGTCGCAAACATCCAGGCGTCCTGTGGTTCTGTGGAATTGAAGTGTCAGAGAAGGCAGCCGCGCGCCTAAGCACGCGCCCGAAAGGAGCCGAGCGGGCCGGGGCCCTGAACGCCAAGCATTCCACGCTCTTGGCGAGACTAAGCCATCCTCCTAGCAATCTATCTTGACTCCTACATGCAAACCTTCTGACTATTGATGCTTCTTTGACCCTCTGAAGGATCGTTTCCGAAACGTTGGACCATTTGTACAGACCCTTGTCGATTGAGTAAGGCGGCGCGTACCCTCCTGCTAACCATATCCACCATGCGGTCTTTGACCCGCCATCCATCTCTAGTCATGACTGAGACGTATTTCCGATGCTTGAGATCTGAGGCTTAGCTCGTCTTGAACTGTGCTTGTTCTTGGAGCGCGGTCTTGGGACAAAAAACGCGAGTAGGTACCTATCTGATTGTGAACAACTGCTTCTTCCGAGTTTCTCATCCTTCCCTCTACACTTTTACCATCAGCTTTCGGGTCACTTCATCTCTTACGCGCGGCTCGCCATTCTCTGTTTTCTTTGTTTAACCGTACAATCTCGATTTTTATTGTCTTATTGTCAAGTGATGCGTTTCCCTCGCATTCTTCCATACACGCTATGGGCCCTCTCGCTTTCGGTGTATCCTGCTAGGGTTACTGCATTGACTCTAGATGTTCAGAGTGCAGGTAAGTCGAATCATCTGATCATACATACACTTCTCTTTCCTTTCCTCATACGCTCCAGATTCAATCAAAGACACAGCCTCCAAGATCGCTTACGATCTCATGAGCCGCTACACCGGCAACAACACCGGCGACGTCCCCGGCAACCTCCCCGCACCCTACTACTGGTGGGAAGCCGGTGCCATGTTCGGAGAAATGGTCGATTACTGGTACTACACAGGCGACACGACCTACAATGCCGAAGTCCTTCAAGCCCTCCAACATCAACGAGGAAAAGCAAATAACTACGAACCTTCCAATCAAACCGCAAGTCTCGGAAATGACGATCAGATGTTTTGGGCTTTTGCTGCTATGAGTGCTGCGGAATTGGGGTTTGAAGATCCGCCAGAGGAAGATCCTTCGTGGTTGGCTCTTGCCCAAGCGGTTTTTAATCGCCAAACCTCTCGTTGGGATCCTGATACTTGTAACGGTGGTTTACGCTGGCAGATGATCCTCGCAAACGTCGGATATGACTACGAAAATTCCGTTACAAACCTCGGACTCTTCCAACTTTCGGCAAGACTGGGAAGATATACTGGAAACCAGACTTATATCGATTGGGCCAATAAGATTTGGGATTGGTATGAGCGGAGCAGTTTGTACGATCCTAGGGAGTATAGGATCTGGGATGGTGCGCATACGACTGAGAATTGTACCGATGCTTCTCATGAACAATGGAGTTATACGTACGGTATTCTTACTGCTGGGATGGCATATCTCTACAACCACGTAAGTCTCAGCTAGCAAAAGCCACAGAGTCAAAACGCTTATACCTCAATCAACAGACCGAGAACGAAGTATGGCTGACCAAAATCGACGGTCTCCTAAACACGACATTCGAAACCTTTTTCCCACCAAGCATGGGCACTAAAATCATGGTAGAATGGACCTGCGAACCATTGGGCGTCTGCAACAACGATCAAAAGTCTTTCAAAGCCTACCTCTCGCAATGGCTGGCTAGAACGGCTCAGCTAGTGCCTGCCCGCTACGACACTATCATGCCATACTTGCGCGCCTCTGCAGTAGGAGCAGCAGGCCAATGTGGTGCAGATGGCAAGAACTGTGGACACACCTGGAACACGACTATCCCAGATGGAACTCAAGGAGTGGGTGAGCAGATGAGTGCATTATCTGTTGTGCAAGTCATGATGCTAGATAACGCTAACCTCAAACCTCCTTATACTACCAATACCGGCGGAACCAGCAAATCTGATCCAAGTGCTGGAACTGATGGTTCTGACGTTGGTGGAGAGACGGATTACAATCACATCTCGAGACGAGCGATCACGACTGGGGATCGTGTTGGTGCAGGCGCCGTTACTGCGGGCGTTTTGTTATTCCTCATTGGTGGAACAACCTGGCTGGTCTGGACGGGATGAAGATTGCAGTGCTTTAGAGCGAGATATCCATTCCCTTCTCCCGGACAAAATCCCCCTTGCTTTGGAGACACATCTACCAGATTGGATCCTTGAGCTTTGCATGGTGACTCTACCTTGGTCTCACACATATGTTGCTTTCTTCTGCAATCAGCGGTATCGCTTCTAGCCATGACTTGCATTCATGCATCGAAAACAGAGGACACCGGGATCTTCTAAACCTCCTCTGGCTCACATATAACAATGTCTTAGTATGCAGTTTTCTGAAAATCATATAGTTCTCTGATATCCTGATCATGGAACACTTGAAGCCTCATCGCGCCGAGAAGCTCATTCGTGCTAGAAGCTATCTATGTATAGCCTCTGAACTACATGAATCAATACTGACTCAAACAGCAAAGCCTCAGATCTGCAGATCTTCGTGCTCGGAAGCTTGGTCCACATGGCACTACAAAACGACTTCGAAGCTCCATCATCGACGGCCAACATCAACTCCTCTGATAGAAGAAAGCATATTTATTGCCAAACAACAGAACCAAACATCAGTACAAGTCATCTTTAAAGCCCACATGTTTACTCACCCTGAGACCAACCTTTGACACATCCCAGACCAGCTTTCTTGAGCATGGTCAAACTCACGATCTCAATGTCCTTCGCTCTGAAGGAAAAGAATTTTGGGTTTCAGGATCACACTTGAGGAAAGAGTAGAGGGAGGTGATGGATTCCTGTGGTTGTACCTCGCAACCTTTTGCACGGTAATGATGGATACGACGGTGCGTTGGAGGCGATGCTAACGGTGATAATAATATTGGTGGTGCCGGTGACAGTGATGGCGGATGTAGTTAGAAGACGGAGGCTACAGGGGATGAATGTATAGTATTATACACAATTCGAAAACTGAAGGTTGCAAAAGTGGAAACTGCAAAGCTGCAAGTCTAAAAGGTGCAACCTCCACATGCTTGCCCTCATTTTTCCACGATAATCTCCAAAGAGATTTCGATTTATTTGCAACCAAACGTTTCCTTGCGATGCTGCATCTTTCAGATTATCTACTTTGACACATAGTCGACAGTTACAGAACTTTGAGTAAGTCAGATAAACTATCATAGAGTCCAGGTGAAGAAGATTCTTGGCATTACATTCCTTGCCTTGATTAACTGTAGCCTAACCTGCCTTAGATATTCAACAAAGAGGACAAGGAGCAAAGGTCGTGAGACATAAGTAGCCTGTGACTGCCTTACGCCATTAAAAGTCGCCTTTCCCAGACAATCATAGAAACATAGGAAAAGAAGGAGAGAGAGAGGGAGAAAGAGAGTACAGAAGAAAAAGTTGAAAGAAGACTTGGAAAGGAGAGAAGATCGTATCCGAGGCTCGTTATCGTTGGGAATGTTTAGGCTTGAAGTTGTAGTCGTTGATTTCGTGTTTCTTGTGTCGTCGATCCGTTTGTCGCAATGAACAGTTTTCATCGCCAAAATTGCTGAGTTTCGTGTCTGTCATGCTCATTTGCAGACCGTATCCATCAATCGTATCCATCAATCATCTCAACAAAGTAAAAGACAAACAGAAGAAAAGAAAAGAAGAAGAAAAGAGAAGAGTACAAATGAAGAAAAAGAAAGACTCCATCAGTCGTTATCATCATCATCATAACTCATCAACTCGTGGCAGCTGTTATGCCAATACCTTGTGCTGTCGTCTCATAATCCATCATTGCCATCATTCATCTGTTCATCATCTTCATGTCTTTGCGCCACAGCTCTCTTGAAAGCTTTGACCACATCCTCAGGTATAGTATCCCAAAGCAAACTTCGTGTGTATACATCTGCAGCACTAGGTCCCCTAGCTTCCCGCATCCTTCCCAAAGTCTCGGCAAGATTGGGACGTAAAGTCTGAGAGGAGGAGGCAGAGGCAACAGTGTCCATGTGCGGGTAAGTGGTCAGCGCGTTGTATTGATCGGGTGTCATAGCAAAAGCTTGTTCTGCTTCTTGGAGTGCGGAAGGCGAGGTCAAGTGTTTATGCAGGTTTTCAGTATTGGAAGATCGTGGCCAGGACTGCGTGTAGCGGTGTGAAGAAATCTCAGGAAGGAATAGGGATGCTTGGTTTGGGTTTTCCTTCAGTAGGTTGTTGAGGACCTCAGTACTTGCAGCTCTGACTTCTTCAGGCATTTTGGGGATGAGAGTGTTTTGTGCAGTGTCTTTTGCCGTAGAAGATGATCGGGAAGCGACAAAGGCACCACAGAGCAGTAACATGAACAAAATTCCAGAAGCAATGGGTTGCTCTGTGCTGTGAGTGACAGAAGACTCTTGTTCTTGTTGCTGACCATGTCGTTTTGCCGGCTGAATAGTGGCAAAAGATTCAGCTGTATCGCCGAGATAGTCTAGATCATCGATGCCATGCACATTGATACCTTGATCCCATCGTTGATCTCCAATGGCCAGATGATCCATCTCTAGGTTAAAGTCTGTGAAGCCAGTGCTGCTGGGCGCGGCACTCATGGCTGGGGCGAGTGGACTCGTTGCCTCAAGCTGTTCACGATACCAGTTTATCTGACCACGCAAGCGAGAAGTTTCTTTTGTGTGGTTGCAAATCAATTCTTCTTTTTCCAGCTGCATAGCTTGGATTCTGGTATGTGCTTTGCTGTGTTCGGAGATGAAGAACTGCTTTTGACTTTCAGCCGTCTCGACTTGCAGACGTAGTTGGTCAATTTGCTGGTGTAGAGATAGTAACTTGGTCTCGAGGTGTTTCTCTTTTTGCTCGAGGTTCTCCGTATGCTTCTTCTTTCGTTGGCGTGAGGCAAGGCTATGATGAAGTCAGCTTGGTGTATTTCGTAGGGGTTGAGGTGACTTACGCTGCTTCTCTGTTGCGGAGAAGTCGCTTCTGTGCCTTCAATTGCTTCATCTCATCCTCATCAGTGCAACCCTCGATCAAGTCATCAATGTTCTCCAAAGTGATCTCAGAAGGGATGGGAATCTTCGCGTTCTTCTTGCGAATGCCATCACGAGTGTCACGTCTGAGAAGAGGTTGATGACGGGGCTTAATGGGTTTGACATCGGCCGACTTCAGTGGCTTATTTGGTCCAGTCATGTCCATCCAGTCAGCATGTGTCGGTGGTGACAAAGATGCTTGTGGTGATGCCGATACGTGATGGCCTTGAGTGAGGCTGTGAGGAGGGAACAAAGCTTGATCTGATGGCAGACTACCAGGAAAGGGCGAGTTTTCGTACTTCGCTCCAGGGTAGCCCTCGAAGCCTGTTGTATCCGAAGAGGTTGTCGGAGACATCATCCAACCTTGAGTATAGACATGTGAATGATCATGCTGGATATAAACACTGTTGTCGCCATGATGATATGCATGTGAGGGGTCAAAACCAGCACCAGGATATAACTGCTTGTGGTCCCATGGCGGAGCATCGTTGACATGGCCAGAATTTGTCGCGACAGAGTCTCTGCGGAAGACTTGACTTGAAGAGCTGGGTGCCATCATGCCAGCATTGTTAACGGGTTGATCTGCGCTGAGTTTGCTGTCCTGGTAGTAATCAGAGGGTTGATTTGATTGTTGAGGCGTGTCGTAATTTAGGTGATTCGCATTCATATCATAACCGAAAGGGTGAGGATGCGAGGATTGAAAAGCCATTGTGGGGCGATCCTGTTAATATTCGCTGCACACGCGAACCTTGTTCAGGAAGGAGGCGGTGAGGACCAAGCCTGGGGTGTGATGATATTGCTGTTTCTGAAGTGCCAGGGACGCCGAGACAGAACAGTGAGTAGGTGCTGTAGGGAGAAGAATATTTGCAAAGCGCGATGTATTTATTGTGTGGTTCGTCGTCAGGAGAAAAGAGCGTGCTTTCATAAGAATACTTTCATGTGGTGAATGACCGCGTCAAAAGGGTAGAGAGGTTATCGGCATATGAAGAGCAGGATGAATAAGTAGATAACTATTATGCACAAGATGATAAGGCTGTCGTAGCCCGTTCAGTGTGCCTGCGTACTGTGCTTGTCGTTGCTGCCCCACGTAGCCAGGAAATTTCTAAGATTATGTGCTGAAGGGCGCATGCGATTATTGGGAGAGCGCGAAAGAAGCCTGGCACCCCAAGCCTCAAGGGGTCGGGAGCTCAAGAAGATGAGTAGTGTCGTGCAGACTTGGGACGATGCACACACCCAGGGCACCGAGACGGGAGCGTGCCGGTTCGTGCGATCGCAACAACAATGATGATACTACCTTACCTGGCCGAGCCGCCGCATCCATCAGGTCTTTTCAGGATCGTGACACGGCACGCGGGATGCGATATACCTGTGACTGCTTAGGAGACGAGGCCTCACACGGGCTCATTCAGGCCGTGGCGCGAGTAACATCCACAGGCATAACAGACCCTGTCCTCACCAGATCACGGAGGTATCGAGTAATGCGGGCATGCGTAGTGCGCCTCGTGGGTCGGGCATGTTTGCATGAGAAGAGGCGGTGCGGGCTGGCTGTCGATTGGCTAGAGCAGGTTCGCAGCAGGTCAAAGCGACCAGCCACTTCATGTTGACTTGATGCCGAGAAACAAGGTCTTCAACCGAGATCACGAGTTTCGCAAGCATGCCATTCGTCCACTGTGCATCTCACTTTACCCTTTGAAGGATTCGAATCCCATGTGGAAGGTCGGCAAGGATGACGATTATTGTCCAGGCGTGGTTGAGACAATCTGATTGAAGACGTCGGCTTTTAGTCGCATGCTGAACGCGCAGGCAGCAACCACCTGCATACCCTGCCATGAGTCCCGACGATCGCGTCTTCCAGACATCATGCAAGACCTCTTTGCTGCACCTCTAATTCTTGAAGGATGTCCCCAGTCCAACCACCTGACCCTGACACGGCGGCTGCTTTGGAGTTGGACGAACTTGTTTAGCCGCGCACAGTAAGCGAACAAGTTGGGCAGTAGTGACAAGCAACAAACCGCAGAACAAGACCCAGTCTTCTCATATTCAACCGCGTTCGGATGCAAGGACAGAAACATCCGCTTCAAATCAGAATATGGCCTTCTTCCCGTCGCGTCGGTATCTCCGAGTTGCAGTTTTTGCTTTCAAGCCACGATCGGTGCACATCGCGGTCGGGTGCGTTTAGCTTTTCTGCATTCGTGGCAGGGAAATCTGATTCGATACGCGGAGTATATTCATTGTCATTCATCTGAAAGGAGAAAAGGAGAAAACAACCGTTTTTTGTGATTTTCTGGTTGGATGTGAGATGGAAAGGGCCGCTCCTCCCTTCCCTTCCCGCCCGAAACCTTGAGTCTCTTGCTGCCAAAATCAGCAACGTCCACCCCTTGTCCCTGTCTGATGCAGCGATGCTGACGAGAGAAAATTTCTGGGAATATATTCAAGCCTCTTTTCTCGCTTGAGCATCCTTCAAGACTCTTTCCTCCTCTCTTGATGCCCAAGAGGCATTCAGATGACTTCGGACTTTTCTTATCACGAACCAAGCATTCCCTTCGTCCTTCTGCATGACCTTGCTCTGCCACCAATCGCAATGTTACTTCCGCGTTGTGTTCTAGGTAGCAATACATTGATTGGCCATTACTATCAAAGATGGGTTTCCTTTCTTTTGTGGATGCCTTTACTCTTACAACTTTCAGCTTTTTGTGAAACGAAAGGATGTGCTCGCGATCTGGTAAGCTAACAAGTTCCTGTGACCCAGAAGAGATCCCAAGCCTCAGCCTATAATATGCTTCTTTTTGATGTTTTGTTTGTTTTTACCTTGCTTGGTCGCTTTCGATTCGCCTTTTTGTCCACGCGGCACAGGGATCTCGCCATTTTCAGGCAAGTTTGGTTGGGCTGCTGTTCAGCTCAATCATCAAATGGAGGTTGTTCAGGTGCGAGCGCAAGGATGATCAAGCACATGATCAAGGTACCACAACACCGCATTCATCACGTTACCACGCATGCCATGGGGTTTTTGTACACCCAAGCTGTCAAGAGTCGACAAACAGAAAGAATATATCTGTTCCGGTGGTACATTGCATACCAGCAGTGACTGCGATCGGACTGTAGTTCAGACATCCTACTTCTCCATCTCCGCGTCTCGTGGAGGTTGTCGCAAACACTTCGTTCAAGAAGCAAAGGTGCCACCTTGGACCTCGAGACTGAGTCGGGAACAACATGCGTACCAAGGTGTCGTATGCCTTCTCGAAGAAGCAGATAGGCCGCGGGGACATCCAGCCGTCGGCAAGCGACAGAGTTGGCATCACGGCACTCAGCATGATTGACAGTTGACAGGTCAGTAGCACAGAGAGTGGAAGATATAGTACGAGTAACATTTATGCGACATGAAACGCGTACGGGCATGGCAAGAGGTAGGTATACGGAGAGGAACGGAAGCGGAAGACTGTCAGGCGAAAGCTCTAGAGTTCTCTGTTGGTTTTATTGGCAGTCTGTATCGATGCTCTGCTTCCGGTTACCCCAACGGAGCCAGATCAGAATCAAAAGGCAAAAATGTTTGTGATGTGGACGAGAATCATGAAGTGTTGTGATATAATGCTCTCAACTGAATAGAGGTACAAGAAGGTATAGCCATGAAAAGTCAGTCTCTTTATAACAGGGACCATGTCTAGAGGCAGTAGAATGCATGCCTCTCTTGGTGTTGAAAAACTCCTATGTAAATCCCCGCTAATGCTCTCAACCCACGAAAACGCCTAGCAAAATGCAATAACATCATCTTTGTCCTTCTATGCGCCCATCTTCAACTCGTAGAATTCGGGGTGAGCGGTCTGGATCATAGTAGTGACACGTTCAACCTCCTCAGCCAAGCCCTGCACATTGGCGTCCCACATCCTCAATTCTCTGGTACCGATGCTAGAACCAGCCGTCTTTGCACCATCACCACTGCTTGAATCGCTGCTGAAATGAATCAAGCCATCAATCTGATCAATATAACCTGAGAGACGTCCTTGCTCAATCATCTGTGCAGCGTAAGCTTCGGCACGGTCTGCATCGACGCCCAACATGGTTCCGAGGTTGGTCACGGGGATGTTGGAGTAGAGTCTCGAGACACCGAGAAGGTTGTGTTCGAGGACAGCCTTGTCGAGGACGGTGCTGCCATCGGCAGTCTTTGCCATTTGGTGAGGCTGCAACTTCTCAGCAAAAGCCTTTACCTCTGCAGGCGAGAGGACACGATCCAAGAAGATGTTCTCGAGGATGGCAAACTCGTCGCACTGCGGTGTGCGGTCGTCCTTGTACAGACGGGCGAGTTGGCGAGCGCGCTTGGGACCTGCAGGAGCGAGGACTGCGCAGATGATGGCGGCAGACAGAGCTTGTAGACGTTCCTCCTCATCAATGACAGGTTCGAGCGAGAGGTTCAGGTAGCTGTTGGAGGCGTCGAGGAAGTTGCGTTGCGAGTCAGAGATGCGAGCTTGGGAGAGCTGGAACTGGAGTTTTGTGGGCTGGTCTTGGACATTGTAGATGACATTCTTGACTCTGTTGAGGTACGACAAGGCGTTTGTAGGATCGTCTTCTTCGAGATAGCAGCGAGTGATGCGGATCCAGATCTTTGCCTTGTCGTCGTCGGTGACGTGGCGTTGAGACGAGTCGAGAGTGATCTGCTGCAAGACCTTGGCGGAGGCGGTAAAGTCTTCATTCTGTTCGTAACTGTCGGCTAGGATGAGTTTGATGGCGGTGTCTTGTTCCTCGAAGGAGACGACTTTGGGGGCGATGGCATCGATAGCTTGGGTTCCAACGGCGATCTTGATGTCGGCATCGGAAAGGGAGGCGAGTTTGTCGACAAATGAAGCGAGTAGAGGGCGTGAGGTGACGATACCGACTGAGTCACTGAGAATTGACTGGACGTAGGCGATGAGATTGTCGGGTAAGTTGTCGGATTGCGATAGGATCTTGTCGAGCAAGTCGTTGTAGCCCTGGACCTTCTTGTTTGCCTGGGCGTCTTCCAGGGCGAGGAGAGCGTCCATGACCTGTGATGAGTCCATGTCGACGGGATCTGTTGCGATTTGAAGGATGCGGACACAGCAAGGCGTGCGAAGCTGGCGCAAGTCGTGTAGGTGGTTTGAAAGTGAAAGAGCAAGTGTTGATTGATGGTTGATTGGCCGACGTCACAGCGTCCCCGCGTCTCGTAGACCGTCACAGGCGAGCTATGCAAATTCACGATACTGTTCGAACCGTCGAACTGATAAGGAAAGAAGCTTGATCCAGAGTGCTTCCCGAATGAAGATGCTGCTTGTAAAACAACTGCGCAGTTCCTATGCTTATAATGAAACTCGATGTCGCTGTGGGAGAGGATCGTGACTGCCTTTTGTAAATGACAAAGTCCGGGGATCTCAAAAGGTCTGTGCGTCGACAATCGATAGGAATGAACAGTCGACAGGAAGGCACCAGCGCGCGCACCTTCCCTCTTCCTGTCGCGCATCGTCACATCATGTCGTCGTCCAACGGTATCAAGGCCGAAGATGGCGCATACATCAAGCCCGAGATCGAGGCCGACGAGTTTGAAGACACGGGCGAGTGTCAGATGCCGCGCTCCGAGGACGACCAACAGGCCTGGCTCTGCAGACTGCCCAAGTGGCTATGGACTGCTTGGGCTGACATGGCCGACGACGAAGAGATCGAGATTGGCAAAGTCCGCGTCTATAATCAGCCAAATCCCGACGGCTCCCAGAAGATCCAGATGAAGCTGCACGACCTGCCCAAGCACAAAGATGTCCCCAAACTCTACGACCTGACCAGTTCTCGTGGCCAGTACAACAACACCGTCGTCTTCTCCGAGCGCGACCAGCCTGGCTTCAAGGCCTGGAATCCGAACCGTGTGCGCAAGGATACAAGAAACCTGAACTATAAGGTCAACAAGAACAAGCCCTACACCTCGTCCATTCCCAGTATGTCTGCCATAATGCTTTCACCAGGACCACATTAACCAGAGCAGAACAAACCGCCCTCGCAGGCTTCATCAAGGCCGAAATGGCCGTCACCGCCGTCGAGAACGAAGAGTACCGCCGTCTGACCGATCGCCGCTTCATGGAAATGTTCCAACCCAAGCGCACCACCCGCTTCGAGTCGGGTGCCGATGCTACCGTCCACTCCAATACTCAAGCCAACAACGCCTTCAGCAGTTTCATCAAGGCTACCCAGGCCAAGAAGCCAGTCAAGAAGCAACAAGAAAAGGCTGTTCGTGTCAGCCAGGAAGAACTCTTCGATCTTCTTACAGACTGCTTCAAGCAATATCGTTACTGGTCGCTCAAGGCCCTCAAACAGCGCTTGCACCAGCCCGAGGCTTTCATCAAGCAGAATGTCGAAAAGATTGCCACTCTTATGCGTAGTGGTAAGTTTGCCATGAACTACAGACTCAACCCTGAGTACGAGAGAACCGTCAACATCGACCCTGCCAACGTCAAGGAAGAAGTTGCCGATGAGGTCGAAGACGATGATGAAGACGACGACGATGAAGATGATGAGGACGGTTACGAGGATGTCAAGATGGAAGACTCTTGATCAATCCTTTTTCCTTTTTGTCCCTACCTTTTGTCACGACATACCCTTTTCTTCATGCATCTATGGCGTTCTTTTGGCTTTCTCTGAAACTTGCATGCACTGGGGCGTTTCGGTCTAGACGACCTTCCTTCTTCTCTCGCACCAGAGTCACATAAAACAGGTCAAACGGATTTCTTTTTCTCTTTTTTTCCCTCTCAACCAATACCCATCATATCATACAATATATCTTATTCCCTCAACGATTCAACAAGACCTTCTTCCAAGCTCAAACGTACACAAGACTAGTATCTCGCTCGCGGCTGAATCTAATGTGTGCACTTCTATACTCCAACCAATGTACTGTAGCACCATGTGTTCTCGGACATCGGGTCTGACATTCCATCTGGCATCTCATCTGGTACCTGATACATGCATCTCCATCACCAAGCTAGACTGCAGCTCCCAGCCTCATGCAGTCTTCCGCCTTGTTTCCTGGGTTCAAAACGCATGTATGCATACCTGGGTACCAACGACAGCTGTAAACTGCCAATGCAAGATCTTGCAGACATGTCTATGTTCTCGTGACTGTAAATGAGCTAGTAGCTGTGTAATGCACGATTAACCATTGTCTGCACTGAGATGGCATAGATCTGTGTCTTGGGATGTACTTCTGGTGTTAAACCGTGGGGGTCTAATGGTCACTCCGGCAGTGACTTGGCAGTAACCTGGTAGCGATTCGAGACCGGTGAGCGTGAAGTATGCGTAAAGGCTTTGTGAGAATGTTTGAGCTGTCCTTTGAGGTTGTTTGATATGGTGTACTGGGTTTTCAGAAGCATTTGAGCGGGTTAAACCCTACCTTTAATTCATCTTCTTGTCTGATTCACTATCGATATGTTGGTATGGACTTTCCATCTCCTCTTTACTGTCAATGCAGCTTGTTTTACTTCTGACAGAGAAGATCTGAAGTCTGGTTCGTACAGACCACCCGAGTAGACGTTTGTTTCACACAAGATCAGCCTTTTGAGCAGCGACCATGATTCATCCGAGCAGATACGAAGACATTGTGATTTGTGATGCATCATATGTAGACATCGCACTTTCGGTTTCAACCCTGTCATGGCTTTTCTACCTCGTATGCCCGAAGAGAACACTTCTCATCGCAACTGAATGGTAAGGTCCATTCAGCTCCATCGCTTGAGCTACGTTCTTGTTTTCCACTCCAGCAACCAAGTCTGTGAACTCGCCTACGACTTCCTCTATGTGAATCATTATCATGTCGATGGTTCATGGTGTCGAGAAACTGGAAAGTAGATCAATCTCCGTGGACTGCACGGCAGTGGACTGGGGTTCGATAGACTCCGAAAAAGTTGCATTTGTGACCAAGAAATGTCATCGTGGGCCGCAGACGTAGTTCTTGACTGCATGTTTTGAACATTCAGAGGTATTTCCAGGGCATTGCGATCAACGTTGTGCCTGCAACGACTTGGGATACAAAGCAAATGATACAACAGGACATGGTAATGGCGAAGAGCGTGAGGCATCGATCTTCTAACGCATCAAAATCCATGATGTACTGATCCTGCTTGCAAAAGGAACAGAAAGGAGGAGCTACTCAATGAAAAGACCTACCATTAATGACGAGCAGGTTTGAGGTTCCCGCCAAGTTATACGGATAATGATTCATGTCCTAAAGTGTCATGTGTTTAGAGTTCAAAGTAGGGTACCAAGAGGGAGATTTCCATAGACGGGACGATGTCGTCAGTGTATGGTTGACAGCCAGTAAACAAGCAGCCATTCCAGGCGCCGACATAGAGAACTAGGGGTTCAAGTATCTGACGCAAGATCTTCCAGAATAATGCCAGGGTTGAGCCACGAACTGACACGGAAATGTTTAAGAACCATCTGTGCTTAAGTGTTGATGTTTCGAGTAGTCGGTTTCTGACAATTCACGACTCGCCTCGAATGAAGGAAGGAATGAACGAAGTTCGGGCACATATTGCAAAGGTCTATGGTTCTGTGGTTTGGCATCGTTGGCGGAAACCACAGGACTTTTAAGGCGACTTGCCCTCTTGCTTTAGAATCGTCATGCAGGATTGACCGACGACGAACCATCCGAGAGAATAGCAGGTATTATAAATTCTCATCTGACAGGATTCATATCAACACGAGGACTCGTTAGTCGACTTTTACACCTTGCGCATGAGGTTCATCTTCGTCCTTTCGAAACATCCTGAGTTCGTCAATTGCTGATGATTTATGGCGTAACATGTCAGGTACATCTTGCGTGAAGCTTGAGCTACAGTTACAAGCTTGGGCTCTGGTACGGGATGTCTGACAACATTGTATTGTTGCATAACATATTTCATAGAGTGTTGGTCAGATAGAAAGTAGCAAGGTTCTCCGATAACGGCATGCTCCAAGCCGAGATCGCCTTCAGAATAGCTTGGACAACTCTCTCTTCGACCTTCCAAAGAAACTCAACAGCGGCGATAATGCTCGTACGAACATTCGGAATATGACATGAGTGCGTCGGCTCAGCCGACTTGGGAACACTCAGCTCGGGTGATATCAGCAGGCTGTTGAGATTTTGTTCGGTGTGCTCCAATCTCAGCCGTTGCTTCCGCGTAGGAGGAAGGTACAAGCGCAGCGCAGATCCGCCCGGGGCGAGCAAGCGGCGATGAGGTTTGTATATAGGCAGAACACCCTGATGACTGTCAAAACACTTCGATTTCATTCTTCGAATCATTTGTCGTAGTCATCATGTCAACACAAAAAGATCAGAAAATCCTGATCATCGGTACCGGGACATTCGGTGCCTCAACAGCATACCACCTGGCAAAGCGAGGCTACACGAATATAACCTGCATCGACAAATGGCCATATCCTAGTCTCGATTCTGCTGGCTATGACCTCGTGCGTGCGACCTGCTTATCTTCCAACCAATCTCAGCTAACCTGTCCTCTTGCTATACAGAACAAGATCATCAGAACAGAATATGATGAACCTCTTTATGCAGAAATGGCCTTGGAAGCAATCCAAGCATGGCGAGACCCTCTTTATAAGGATATCTTCCACGAGACCGGATGGATTCTGACCACGCTCGGCGACCCCAAAGCAGTAGCTCATCTGGAAAAATCATACAAGAATCTCAAGGACAAAGGTCAGGCCCACAATATCGATTTTGTCAAAGGAAAAGATGAGATTGCAAAGTATGTGCCACAATTGAAGAATGCACGCGACATCGACAATTGGAGAGGTCTTTGGAATAAACAGGCTGGATGGGCGCATGCAGCAAATGCTATCAAGAAGATTGCCGATGAGGGAGGCAAGATGGGAGTCCGCTTCATCTCTGGCGCAGCAGGAGAGATGGTGTCTCTTGAGACTTCCGGCAACAAAGTCACAGGAGTTAAGGTCAAGTCTGGCGAGATTCACACCGCAGACAGATATATCTTGTCTACTGGTGCCGCCTCTCCCGCTCTCCTCCCAGAACTTTCTACCGAACTATGGAGCAAATGCTGGACCTACGGACTGCTGGAATTGACCGAAGAAGAAGCCGCGCAGTTCAAGGATATGCCCGTAGTCCTCAACCACGAATTGGGATTCTTCTTCGAGCCCAGCACCGAAGGCCGCTTGATCAAAATCTGCAACGAGTTTCCTGGCTACCAATGGCAAAAAGGAGAATACACGGATCCTGCCACAGGAAAGACAAAGAAGTACAGCATTCCACGCTATGCATCTGAGTATCCTAAAGATGGCATCCCGGAAGAAGCAATGAATGCCATAAAACACTTCATCAGCACTGTCATCCCACAATTTGAGGGCAGGGAGATCAAGGGAGCCAAAGTATGCTGGTGCACAGATTCGCCAGATGCGCACTATTTGATTGACACGCACCCCAAATATCCTGGTGGTGAGCTATTACTAGCGACCGGAGATAGTGGGCATGCATTCAAGATGATGCCCATCATCGGAAAGTACATCGCAAATGCACTAGAGGGTGACTTCAAAAAAGAGTGGAAGTATGGAAATCGTCAACATCTGGATAGTGGAAGACCCGGCGACGAGGTCAAAGATCTTGAGGATGTTGGTATTGGCGGACCTCAGGCTAGGCTGTAGACCTGCAAAAAACCTTCCTGGTGTTTACCTCTTTCTCTGTGTCTTGTACAATCATATCACTTCACGCTGACTCGGTGTGGTAGAACCAATTTGTTGGTGTCTTGGCCAAAATTGCTACAGCTGTGTGATCCAGTATCTCTTGCACAAACATGACCTCAACAGTGGTCGTAGCTTGAGTACCCGGAGAGGTGCGCATACTCAGTGAGTTGATCAATCACTTTCCTGTCATACTCATTCCACGGTCGATTCGTCTTTGAGAATCTAAGAAGATGTCAAGTCAGCCAGATATGAGCACACTAATCCAGGAGCAACTCACATCGTGTCGAATGGGTGCAAGGAGGTCCCATTGTGTTTTCCAGAAAACAAAGTGTCAGAGCCAGAGCAGGCTTCCAGATACACCTTCTCACTCTCCTCGCCACCGTATGCCGTGAAACTCGACATCAAGGCATGAATCCCATAGCCAGCTTCTTGAATCCAGCGACTGATCTGAGTTTCTCCATCTGCAACAGCTGATATCATAGTCTCGAAACACTTGAGATTTGGCAGGATGGCAGCCATGCCTTGTTTATCGGTTGCCATGATCATCGACTGCAGATGAGGAGGATAACCTTCACCGTGCGCGCAGTTGTAAGTCATACCCACTAGTTTGACGCGATCGGAGAGCTTGTTCAGGTATGTGTCGGACCAGCAATTGTTTGCCCATGAAGGGAAGAAAGGTCCCCTTAGAGAAGCATTTATCATGATAAATCGCGAGTACTTGGTTGCGAGAAGGGAGTCATCGGCTCGCAAGACTTCTCCATAGGCGCCGAGGTCGTAACATGTATTCGGGCGATCAATAACCTTGACATTTGGTAGATCCGGTATACTGATGGTGTATTCTCCGTTCATGATAAAGACAAAGTCGGCTTTGTCGTGGAGTGCATGCTTCAAAAAGAAGTCGAGGTTTTTGAAGGCCTCGTCCGTTTCGTGGTAAGTGTACAAGATCAGATCGGCCACACCACCAGCATTTGGTTGAGACTCATCAATATGAATTGTCGGCTTTGGTGGTTGCGATGAGAATTCGTGAGGGACGTTGACTCCGAAAAGCAGGAGCAAGAAGCTGCCCGAGAGAATTACGGCGATCCAGACTGGTGAAAGCATTTTCTTGCAATCCAATATGACAGACCGGGGTCCAGCAGCATTTTGAAGGGTCGCAATGTCTGTGCTAGGGGCTGGTACTGTGTGTCGTGTAGGATTGTTTGGAAACGGTAAGAGTACATCAGCTAGGGATTTTCAGCTCCGCACTGCGCTGTCTTCATCTCGACGTTGTGGACGGGGGGTCCGGGCAGTTCGAACGCCACCCTGATTGCTGTGTTCGTCCTCTGATTCTGGTCGCGTTGAAGGGCTGCGACAGAGTCGACATGATAAAATCTCTTCGAGAGATACTTTGAATACTGTAAGAACCGAGTAGGGTTCGAAACTCATATTCTATGATTGAAGCCTATATTACAGAAGTTGATCCGCCGATGACCTCTCCGCGTGCGAAATCGATTCTATCAGGTAACGGCTCGCAGTCGTGTAAACGCTCGAAATGCTACGAATCATCGACGTTTCTTCAATCCTGCAATCACAGACATCTAAAGGGTGTATCGGAAGTAAGGATTCTCGAAATCCGTCTTATCTTCCTCGCCCATTTTCTTGGCCCTGAGCGCTCTTTCCTCCTCAGTCATTCCGTCATTTGCAATGAGTCTGTCCAGTCGACGATTTCTGAGCACCAGAACGACTCTCCAGGCCACCAGTACCGCAAACTCGAGTCCGAAGCAGACAGCACAGCCCACCACACCGGGAATATAGTACGGCGCATCTTTTGCCTTGAAGATCTGGGAACCGGCCATGTTTCCAACACAGTAACCGACAAACGTGAAAGAAGACGTGAAAGTGCGTTTGGTACGGCCAGCTGTGTTCGAGGGGATGAGAGACCAGGCAACGAAGAGAGAAATGACGTAGGGCACTGTCATGAAATACATGCCCCATTTCGTCCACTTGTTGGAGGGTTCGTTAGGAATAAGAGCCATGCCGAGGAAGCCGACAAAAGGTGGAATTGTAGAGAAAATCATGAAGTACAGACGCAGACCAGAGCGTTTACTCGTGATAATGCCGATCGCGATGAAGTACAGCACGGAGAAGGCGCTGCGAGGAATATCGAGAAGAATTACCTGCAGACTGGTGAAGCCGAAAGAGGTATTTATGATAGAGCTGAATGTTGTGAGCCCACCGTTCGGTAAGCTTGATAAGAAGGCATTGAAGCCTGCGAACCAGAAGCAAGGGTCAATTAGACACTCCCTGACTTGCTTCCATTGCCACTTCTTGACTCCAGTACGGTCGTGTCCAGTATTGTTGCTGACGATTCGTGCATTTGCCATGCGCTTTTCTTCTGGCGTAAGCCATTTGACCTCAGAAGGCGTACCGAGGAGGAACAAGCAGATACAGCCAACAAGTATGGTCAGAGCACCGAGGAAATAGCTCATCCACCTCCAGGGTTCAGAATTTGGATCTTTCTCGCCATGCTTGCCGATACCATACAGTGCCAAGCTTGAGATGATGCCGAAGCCAGCATTTGCAGATTGAAACACGAGAGACCTCGAAGCATGCTCTCTGGTTTTGTACCAGCTGCCGACCACCAAGATGAACCCTGGTGAAATGCAACATTCGAAAAAACCTTGCAGGCCGCGCAGAACGATGAGGTGCGTGAAGTTTTGAGCTGCACTCATTAGCATTGTGATAGAGACCAGGTCGCACTCTTGCTTACCGAATCCGATGCAAAGCACTACGACGCCCCAACAGATCATGTAGCACGACAGAATTTTACCCATCTTGTAACGTTGCAAAAGGATGTTACTAGGGAACTCGAAGATCATGTAAACGAGATCTGTAAGACATGAGATGAGATCTCCTTTAGAAAGACGTTTGAGGGCGTACAGAAGATGGTAGTCAGCCAGCTATACTGCTGACCATGAAGACCAGTGTCTTGACGTAGGCCGAAGATGGCTTGTGTACCAAGTGCGGTCTTGTCGCTTTGCTGTATACCGTAGCACAACCACATGAGCGGTAGCAAGTAACGATCAATCTTCCTTCGGAGGCGTTTGTATTGCTCCTCAGAATACTCGCCTTCGGCGGCGACTGGATTTGTTAGATTTGTGTCTGTGTTCGACACGCCACTAAATGCACTCACCGATATCTTCCTCGCTGATTACCGAGACTTCACCAACTTCAATAGAGTTGTGTTTCTCCATAGCCACCATCTCGATGCTGGACAACTTCTTGCCCTCAGCCTGGACTTCCTCGGTCGACATGATGAAGGTTCTCTTAGTGAGATGGGTGAAGAATACCACAGACAATGGTTTGTGGAATAACACGGCCTTATATGGGCCACTATCACCATACGATAAGTAGAACAAAGTGCTTGTGGCGCATCGAGCTTTCGATGGGGTTTATCGCTTCTAGATAGGCCTAGAATTATCTTTTCTTTGGCCGCCATCAAATTGATAAATTGGTCGCATGGTTCACCACCAATATCTGGGTCTAATCTTGTGCCCAGAGTCGTTATCGGAGGAGATAGGCAGACGTGCATGCGATAGCCAGCTGTGCATGTACCAAGACTCTCATGAATAGTCTCGAGCTTCTATCGTGCATACCACCTTATCATGCATAAGCACACTAGAAGGTGAATGGTCAATCGATGGCTTGCCATGATATCGATTAGATGCTTTCTGCTTGGCGGTCTTGGTGTAGCAGCGGGGTGAACATCCGATATGATGACCCCACTGATAAGCATAGCCTGTCGACACAAACACCCATGCATGTGTTTCAGAATGGTTGGAATTTTCTCAGACATCGTCTGATAAACTTGGTGAGGTTTGGCTCGGTCTCCAACTTTCGACGAGTGTCCGCATTGCATCCGCGGACGAATCCAAGAGTTTTGTCGGGCAGTGAGAGTGTTCTGCACGTGCACATGCATACGACTCTTGGATTGGCGGCCTTCGACCTGAACAAGTCTCAGGAGCATAGCCCTCACTGAAGTTTCATGAGACTGGATGCTCAATTCTTGCAGGGGCAGGAGGACTGCTCGGGCTAGGCGACTTGAAAATATCATGGTCTTTGAGCCTTTGTGTCAAAATGACCGTACGTGGCATTGGAGAAGCAGGGTCAAGATGGCCTTCTGCAGTCTTCTTGATCCTTGACAGAATATCTGTCACCTCTACGTCCTGAAGAGTGAGGAGATATGAGTCGTCGAAGATTGGAGTACATCCAAATTTGGTAGCCACGACTATATCCAACGCAGATATCGCTTTGGTGACTCTCTCGCCGACAGCAGATGCTTTGGCAATTGAATCGAGGCCGCCGCGTGCGTTGACCATTTCTCGCAAGCCTGGTTGATGAACTGTAGCGGCGATGCGATGACTTCCAGCCATACTCTCACAGAAAGAGATGAAGGTCACCGCAACCAGAGTTCCATCACTGTATGCGCGTGAAGGGTTCGACAGCGATTTGTTCAGGAACTCGACGCATTTAGATGAGAGCCAGCGGAAGAAGAAAGGATTGCTCTGAGGACTGAATTCATGCGATTCCGGAAGATGCACACACGACATGGCAAGAGCAGCAAAGAACAATGCAGGATCGTTTGTCTGTACGGACAGTGCCATTGGCCACTCGATGTCTTCAAGAGCTTCCTGCCGCGTCTTGCCTTCTGGCTCGAAGCTCTCGGCTACAATAGCTGGAGCTATGGCATATTTGACTTGAAATGGTCAGAAACCGGTTGATTTGCCTGAAGCGGACATTAATGATCTTACAGTAACTCGTGATGATACCATATGGAGGCTTCCAAGGCACCGGCAAGGTAGAGAATGGGTCGCGTTGAGATCCAATGGTCAATCGAAGTGGCGCATCAGCAAGAAGATACGCGTTCAAAAGAGGAGCCCTGAGTTGTCTTTCACCAGTGGCGGTTCTTCGATATATCCTGGATTCGCGAGTCTCTGCAGATTCGTCCACAACCCGGCTAGTCGTGTTTGCATGAGACGCTGCTGGACCCTGATCTGGAAATTCTTGAATCCATCTGATAGCCACCCGATGCGTTTGATTCACAGGTTTTTTGCGAACACCCGCAGGGTTGTAGAAGACTATAGGGATGTTTGACCGGTCCATTACATACGGGCAATTGTGATATGCAAAATCCGATATTAGTGCGGGGACGAATGGCGATCAGGCCTGTGTTCCCATGATCAGGCAGTCGTCTACTGTAGAATAGAACAATGCGCTTGCAATATGCAGTCACTGCGCGTGTCGTTGCCCTAGGGTTAATTGTGTTTGTGAGACAGACAAGGAACGAGAAGAGCCATCATGGCGCTCGGTGGTTCCGAGTCACCGACACGGTGCTTGAGCTTGCTTTAGCGAACGTCTGCTTGTGGGTCCAGACTCAGATCGAATGCTGACCAAGACCTCGGTGCGTGTTGTAGCGAGCTGATTGACTCCCACTCCACACTGCTTGCAATCGCGACATTTGGTCACTCGATTCTCTCTGGCAAATGTCAGACTACAGTCAGCTCAGCTTGATTACATAGAGCGGCAGAGTTCCTGTCCAGATAACAGTGTGAAGAAATGCAGAGACGTTGACCGCATCCACATTTTCAACCGAGCGTGCCGAAGAAGTGTTCAACAGTCCAACCAGAATTCTGTGAGTCAATCACGTGCGACGCTTTTAGGTCTGCCAAGGATCGAAATGCGCTTGCTTCTTCCATTCATCCACTTCTTCCTCTGCGCTCCTTCGCGCGAAATTCGATAATGCCATGCAGGCGCGACGGTTGTGGGCTTGCTATAGGTCGCGTCGATATGATTATCAAACCGAGCTTCTGGAAATACACTCTCAGTCACCGCTTCGTGGTCATGTTCGCTACTATACGAGGATGAAAATAGAGCTTCGTTTTGCGGCCCGCACCAGACGTTGCATTTGACTTTCTTCCTCAGAGCCTCGATCATCTTCGAGAACACGTGCGCACGCCATTTTTCAGAGACATGCGTTCAAAGAATACCTATTTCCGCGACCAACACCAATAAGGTTGGCCTCCGCTCGAGTGGTTTCGCGGTAGATCGTGTGCGCTCAAGCCTTGATGACGGCCCTTTCTACCCATTAGGATAAGTGGTATGCGGACAAGACCGACGACCACATTCTAATGCGCTATCTATCCACTAGATGCTCGTGTAGAAGCACGTTTGCTCCTTCCATGGAGCTGTGAAGGTTTTGGCTGATCCAAATTTGTCTCTACTCAAATAGCCACAAAAAAGTGCTGATACTTGGAGAGTCATACTACCCGGCCGAAAGGTGTGGTATAAGATAAGCGCGCTCTCTTGCAAGGTAGGAAGCAAAACCCTCTCACCACTCACTGTTGTCTATAACTCTCTCGAACCACATTTCTTGCTTATTACACAGTTGTTCAATCAGCATTATAGACCTGCATTATCAACTACACATACCTGGACACCATCATGATCGGCTCTTGCATCACCTCTGTACTGCTCGGGCTTCTCCCTCTGGCCATTGCGGCTCCCATGAGAACAACGGGCAGTGTTAACCCGACACAGATCATCGCTGTCGACTTCGCCGATCCTGATCTTCTGCAAGTTGGCTCACAATGGTGGGCTTTTGCTAGCAACAACCACAAAACTATTGCCAAAGTCGGAGGCAGTCTGATCAACGTCCAAGTTGCTCACTCTCCAGACTTCAACTCATGGACGGTGACGGGATCTGATGCATTGCCCACGGTTGGTGCTTGGGTCGACCCTAACGCTGGCAATCAAGGTGCAGCTGTCTGGGCACCAAGCGTCAGCCAAAACAAGAAGGGTCAATACGTTATGACATACTCGGCTGCTGTCAAAGGGTCTCCTGGCAAGCACTGTATTGGCGCTGCGTTGGCTTCTCAACCTCAAGGTCCTTACACCCCACAAGCCACTCCTCTGGTCTGTCCACTTGACCAGGGCGGCGCAATTGATTCTGACAACTTTATGGATGTTGACGGAACGCAATACGTCGTATACAAGGTCGACGGCAATTCGATAGGACACGGCGGTGTATGTGGTAACACTGTCGCTCCTATCGTGAACACACCCATAATGCTTCAGCGACTCGCAGATGATGGTGTTACACCTGTTGGCAGTCCTGTCAAGCTTTTGGACCGCAGCGATCTCGATGGCCCTCTGATTGAAGCGCCATCTCTCATGCGTACCTCCAATGGCAAATATGTGCTGTTCTTCAGCAGCAACTGCTTTGCAACATCGAACTACGACGTTACTTATGCATTCGCCGACAACATCAACGGTCCCTACGTCAAGCTTGGCCCCATGATGGTGACCGGCACCGACAACTTGTACTCTCCTGGTGGTCAGTCGGTAGCTGCCGATGGCAAGCACATGATTTTCCACGCGGGAGATGTCGGCCCTCAGAACATGGGGTGGAGAGCTGCATACACGCAGATCATCAGTGTTGACACTGTTCACCAAGTCGTATCATCCTAGCCTTTTGGTGATCACGGAAAAGTCATGTCTTTCTTTTGTCTTGTATATACCTGTTCTTCAGCGAGGCGTTTTAGCGGTTAGATCCATGTCAACGGGCATGTAAGGCTCTTTTCGTATCAAAAAGTCACGATTCTCTATTCCAACGTCGCACGGTCGCACCTTCTATACAAGCTTCGCCAACGACGGAGAACCCATGGGGTATATTTCAATAATGCGTTATTGCATCAGAGGCGCCATAGATCTGAGGGTTTTGCATGAAGCTGCAACGACTTCCCGTTCGATGTCGCGATGCGGCAATATATTGAGCAAGGATAAGGATAAAAAAAGCAAGGAAGCCGCGCGGTTCAGCCTTTCAGCAAGCCTCATCACATACGGCTGCAGCTTATCGGACCCCAAACCATTGTCCGAAGACATATATAATAGGATCGTGTCTCTGTCAATTTCTGCGATACATACTGCATTTTGCGTCCATTCGTTACCACGTCAGCGCAATGTTTACGGCAACAAAACTTGTTGTGTTACTCCTGGCTTTGTGGTCAGGGATAGCCCATTCGCAAACAGGGCCTCAGAACGCGTCGATACCCAACTGTGTGAGAGCCTGTGACACTCAAGCCATCAAAGCATCCAACTGCACATCGACAGACCAATACTGCCATTGTATAAAATACAAAATCATCTATGACAGCATCGTGCCATGCGTCCAACATAACTCAACCTGCGCGAGTCCTACTGCAGATCTATTGAGTATGCGCGACGATTCATTTTGAAGTCACTCTTACTGATCAATACAGCCTTTGAGAAGTTGTTCGACAATGTCTGTCAGAAGTTCAACTTGTCGGTACCCACGAATGTCACTGGTTTGACTGGCAATGCGACGACTATTCCAAGTTCATCACCCACTCCCACGCCGTACATAAGTCGAGCTTCTTCGGACAATGCGTGGCCCCTGGAAACAACCATGTCAATCTTTGCGTTCGTGTTTACTGCACTGTACTTTTGCATCTTGATGTAGAGAACTGGATGTGGGCAGTAGTAATGTATGGACAATAGTAATGTTTAGTTTTCTCATTCAGCTGTATTAGGAAGCTCACGGCAGCAGATGAGACCCCCACGTCATCTTATTTTCAGCCGAGGTTTGCCCTATCCGCTCCATCGCGGCGACTGCCAAGGCTTGGCAGCATCCGCCATGACTTTCTAGCTCTTCCCACCTGCCTAATGCTCCAATCAAGATCGTTTGTACCTGACAACGTGCTTTAACATGCATATCAGTTCTCGCGTATCAGCCGTGATGATATTCATTGCCTTAGCCATCGATGCCACTCCAAGGAGGTCGCTATCATGAATGGTATATAAGAGAGGTTCACACGACCAATATGCTTCCCTAGATTACATTTCTTCTCCTTTTGTTCCTCAGACATGAGGGCTATCAGCGTGGGTTCCCAGTTACTCGCTGCTGCTGCGTTTTCTGGGCAGCTAGTGTCTGCTGAGACCATCAGCGAGATCAATGGCAACAGATACCTCTCGCCATACAATGGAAAGAACGTTACCAATGTCGATGGTCTCGTCACTGCCAAAGGACCCAGTGGAATCTGGATTCGATCTAATACTCCTGATAAAGATGACCGAACCTCCGAATCCGTCTACATTTTCGACCGCAACTTTGGCAAAATCCTTTCCGTGGGAGATACTATCCAGCTTAATGGCACCGTCACAGAATATAGATCTAGCAAAGCATACGTCTACTTGACTGAGATTATCAATCCAAAACTTGTCAAGAAGCTCTCTTCTGGAAGTGCTGCAACTCCCCTGGTCATAGGCAAGGACACTATCAAGCCTCCTACCAAGGCTTTCTCCGCATTGGACAATGGAGATGTGTTCGGTGTACCAAACAATGTCAGCCTCATCTCTGTGGCTAATCCGACCTTGATCCCTCGCAACTATGGTCTGGACTTTTGGGAAAGTTTGAGTGGAGAGCTTGTCACTGTGAACGGTGCTCATGCTGTGACTAAACCAAACAACTACGGTGATACCTGGGTTGTTGGGGACTGGAAAGTCACTGGCCTCAATAGCCGCGGCGGCTTGACGACAGTTGATAAGGGTATGTGTTATTGGGAGGTTCGGAATCCGAGATATTGACAGAACTACACAGACGCTAATCCTGAGGCCATTGTCATTGGCTCACCGCTTGACGGGTCGAAGAATCCTGCAGTCACCAGAGTAGGAGACTACCTTGGCGATATCACCGGGGTCGTCACTTATGCGTTTGGTTATTACTCAATCCTCCCTCTGACTGCCTTGAACATTGTCAAGGGTATTGAACCTGCACTTCCACCTCCTACTAGACTTGTTTCTGATGGTGACTGCGGCGGTATCACTGTCGGCTCATACAATGTGGAGAACTTATGGGCCGGGTCCGATCATCTGGTCAATATCTCTGACCACATCGTTCGCTACCTTCACAGCCCCGATCTTGTTTTTATCCAGGAGATTCAGGATGATAACGGAGAGACTAATGACGCAGTCGTCAGCGCAAATCTGACTCTTACCACTCTGACTTCCGCAATTAGTAGTATGGGCGGACCTCGGTATGAGTTTGCCGAGGTTGATCCTGTTGATGACCAGAATGGTGGTGCACCTGGAGGCAACATCCGCACCGCTTATCTTTACAACCCAGATATTCTTCAACTGCGCCGGCCTAACTTTGGGTCAAGCACCGAAGCCAATGAGGTCCTTCCCGGCCCTGAGCTCAAGTACAACCCCGGACTTATCGATCCTCAGAACTCAGCTTGGACCGCTAGTCGTAAGCCATTGGTCGCTGTCTTCGAAACGCTCGACGGCAAGAATTCATTCTTCACCATCAATGTTCATTTTGGCAGTAAAGGAGGCTCGTCGTCAATGGAAGGTGATGCTCGACCTCCTGTAAACGGTGGTGTCGATGACCGTCAAGAGCAGATGCAACTGACTGCTGTAAGTCACGCAAGACGAAGACTACGAGACTGAACCTAATGATGGGTAGGACTTCGTTGCCAAGATCCTTGCTGAGGATAAGAAGGCAAAAATCATTGTCGCTGGTGACTTCAACGAGTTTGCTTTTGTCCAGCCTCTGGAGAACTTCGAGAATGTTTCCAACCTACGTGATCTTGATGAGGCCGCGAACATCCCAGAGCTTGAGAGATACACTTATCTTTTCGACATGAACAGCCAGGAGCTAGATCACATGTACATCAGTCAGGCACTCAAGCCCAAGGCACAGTACGAGCATGTACACATCAACACGTGGGTGACCAAGGCTCAGCAAATCTCTGATCATGATCCCTCGTTTGCTAAGCTCAACATCTGCAAGAACTGATAGACATACGGTGGTTGCTCAGCTTCCGAAACGGTATATTTTACGAACGTTTTGTAGCTTCCTGAAGAGAAAACAGACGATGAGTGTGGGACCTGACCCTATGTACTGGTATTGACCCAGAGCTGGATACATCACACCTAAAAGTTCCATTGTTTACAATCTCTAGCGGAACCGTGGACTGTACTGTCACCCTGGCAGGGCACGAGTATCGCTGAGACGAGCGGTGGCCAAGACAAAATCCCTCTCGGCATGCATGTATGAACCTTTAGATCGCTCCTTGGCGAACTCAATCAGTCCCAACTCGCTCGTCATGACCAAAATCTGTCTCTTCTTCCATCAACAACATCAAAGTGACGTCCTCCCTTCATGATTCCTGATGTGTGGCGAATCTTGCTAGCTAGCAGACTATGTCCATCTCACAGTCTTGTGCAACTTCTCGCGACCAATGCAGCGCGAGTGGTTGAGGTTGGGCTTCTGGCTAGTATAGGAAGAATCGATACGGGCTGCATGGCTTGCCTTGCCAAGGTGACCATACACCCATAACGACGTATCAGTGTCTCCACGTGCGGAACTGCCTGTCAACATGGTCGGGATCAGCAAGATATGTTCAGGTATAAGTTCCTTGCCCTGAGCACCACCAATCTTATCTCGCTTCCAATCCACTTCTGTCATTTTTTGTGCTGAGCTACCTCCACTATGATACCTGCCATTTATCTTGCTGTCAGTCTTGCGGCTATCACTCCTGTCAATGCAATGCCATTTACCATTCCTTACCTGGACAAGACAGGTCGTGTCGAGGTTCAGGGTCACCGTGGTGGCCTGGGTATGAGAAGCGAAGAATCACTCTGGGTATGGCGGAATACCTGAACCTGTCGATGAACTTTGTCACTGATTCTGTGTAATGACAGGCATTCGCACACGCCTTGGTAAACCACTACTTAACACTGTGGATGGAAACAGAAAGCTCACAGTTGCACAGGAAGTTGGTGTCGATGTGCTTGAAATGGACACTGTATTCACTAAAGATGGGATCCCAGTAATCTGGCATGATGTAAGCTTGATTCATCAAAGTCATCGACACCTTGTTTGACCACTATAATAGCATTGGGTCTACCCTACAAAGTGCACCGGCGACTATGTAGGCCAGTATATTGCGAACCTGACTTTGGAGCAAGTCAAGTCGCTCGATTGTTCTCTCCAGCTTGCAGCTCATCCTCAGCAAGAAAGTGAGATATCCAAAACGCTTACCAAGGATTGCCTTCTGACTCGAATATAGTTCATCCCGGGACCACGATTGCAACCCTGGAGGAGGTCCTGGAACTGGTTAATTGTTATGGTGACAAAGGCGTGACCATCAACCTCGAGACCAAACTTTCACCTACTGCTCCTAACGAAACTCTTTCCGTCGACACTTATATCACGGATTTGATGCCTATTCTCCAAAAGCATGGCTTCGAGTCTCGTACTTCTATTCAGTCGTTCGATTGGCGTACTCTCGTTGGTATTCACGCTGCGTATCCTGCCGTGCCTATCGTTGCTTTGCTCGACGAGACAACAGTTGTACCAGACAAGACCTATAAGACTTATCCCTGGCTCAAAAACAGCAAATACCCCTGGCTTGGTGGTCTTGACCTCGACGACTTCTCCGGTGACTGGGTAGCCGCAGCACACTCTATTGGCTCATCCATCCTCTCGCCAAATCATGGTACTGGTAACTCCAGTGACGCCACTGTGAACAGCCCACTCTATGAGCCATTCACCACTAAGGATGTTGTGGATAGAGCTCATGCCTTGGATATGCAGGTCATCCCTTGGACTGTGGACGCTGAGGTGACGATTAGCAAATTGCTTGACGATGGTGTTGATGCTATTATCAGCAACTACCCTGAGAGAGTTATGTATGTGGCGAGACAGAGAGGACTGAGTGTGGGTAAAGCCAGGAACCCCAGTAAACCTGAGTGTTTGGTCAACGCATCTGCTTGGTAGTCACGATTCGTCGAGTTTTGGCTTAATGCACTTGATACTGACATTCTTGAAATATAGCATACTAGTACGACGCGAAAAGTTCATACAGAAAGAGAAACCATATCAGTGAATGATACAGTACGTTAAGCATATGCAGCACGGTCAAGGTACAAGAAATCTTTGCAATCCTGATTACGTCCGTAGCATTGCCCTTGGTGAAGGTCATAGCCTAAACTCTACCCCGCTTCCTTGCAGCACAACCCATCATATATAGCTATGTTTGATCGTGCTTTGTTATGAGCCATCGAACGCTCTATCGATTATAAATCGACCGCCCAAATGATGACATGCAAGATTGAAGACCAGATTGGCCAGGCCAAATGCTCGTCAATTATCTTACAAGAACGGTCTCTTGTAACCGCTGTAGAAATACTGGGCCCATCAAGTGTTGCGATCAGCTCGGCCAATGTTTCACCATATGTCACAATCTACAGTTCTGACGGAAAAGAGATTGCGCAATGCGTAGGTCATACAAAGGGCGTTTGGGCATTGAGCAAAGTTGGAGATACGCTTGTCTCTGGGGGTGCGGATACAAAAATCAACTTGTGGAACACACAAACTGGGCATGTAAAAAGTATTGCTTTGGGCACAAACCTTGACTGACAAGATATTCCAAGGGTCTTGCAAAACACCCTCCACGGCCATACTGGCACAATACGATCTCTGCACACGTTGGACATGACTACAGGAAAGTTCTTATCAGCATCACGCGATGGTACCATTCGTCTTTGGAGTATCAACAATACTCAATATGAGAAGTCGATCATTGCGCACGAGAAAGGCGTAAGATGTCTGAACCACGTGGACGGGACTACGGCGTCTGGCGGTTATGACTGTCAGGTCCGTGTTTGGGACATTCTCCAGGGAGAATGTCTACAGACATTTGAGGGCCACAGCGCCACAGTATACTCCATTGCATTTGAGTCGACAAAACTTGCTGCTGGAGCTGAAGACGGCGAAGTACGAATCTGGGATCGTGCATCTGGGTATGTGTTTTCTGTTTGTTGGTGACAAGAACCCCGTGAGGACAAAACAGCTAATGCTTCATCTAGCACTCTCCTAGCTTCTTTGAATAACGGTATTGGCATACCTGCACAGATCCGAGCTCGCAATGGAACCCTTATCTCAACTGGTAAGAATGGTGCTCTGACTTTCTGGAACGAATCCTGGCTCGGCGAAAGTCACACCGTTCTAGCTCATGATAGTATCATCGTAGCGCTTCATATGACCGACACTGATCTTTTTACTGGAGGAATGAACGGAGTCGTAAAGAAGTGGGACCTCCAATCTGGGGATCTCACCCACGAGATGTCTACCCGGTATAAAAATCTACACGTTATTGTTGTTGATCAGCAGGTGGTCATTGCCGTCTCCACAGATGATTCCCATACAGCACTTGAGGTAAGTGATAGATATCCCAGAGCTTCAAAATTGGAATCTCGGGTCATGGCTCATCCTCCCTCTTACGCCGGGTTTCACTAATATATTCAATACTACAGATTTGGACACTGGAACCTACCTCACGAGAGAGAACACAGGATACATAACTAAGGCTCATGTCTGTCGAGCTTGGTACAGTACGGTGGTTTTCGAAAACGAGAGTTCTCGTAAAAAACCTCTAGTGGAAGGCCCTTGTGCAACTTATACAGAAATCACCGTAGAATCAGAGATTATCCAGTTTTCAAGTTGTATACTTCAAAGTAGATATCTCACCGGCAGGACTTACATATCTTTGGAACAATCAAGTGTCAAAGATTGCAGTATTGTCTCAGCTCGACAAAGATTTCGGTGAAGGTATTCCTGACTACATGTAAAGAGATCATCACTCAGAAGTCAAAGAAATCTTTTCATGTACGACAATCACGGCTTGTTGCGTATGCGTTAAAGTTCACACCTGCCAGAAGCTCGTTTTTGTCTCAAGCTGACACTCCATGCGACTCCACACTGTCTGTAATGGACAACACTAACGCAGACTTCTACACCAGACGAATCTTCAGAGTGTATTCACTAAGTAACACATCAGAAACAGGAGAAAGTTGAACTTGATATCGATGTATGTGCGTCGAGCTCAGGTTGAGGACCCGATTTAGGGGCTGAACTCCAAGTACTGTTCACAATACTCACGGCTTCAGTATTAGAAGTGACGATTTCGAAAATTGGTTCGTCATCGATATCAACTGTCAATTCACGGTGTGACTTCAGTCTCTCTGCTTCGAGGAAGTCGCTCCCATGAGCATCTGCCCTTGGCATCCACGTCACTTTCTGCCGTTGCTTGCAATCGCGACTACCTCTCTGGAGTCAGAAACCCAAGCCAACACCTCAACTCGCTCAGAATCATCACAGCCCATCTTCCACACTTTCGAAATTTACTGCTTTTCTTCAATCACCGTTTGTCAGACGATCAAACGCTTCAATCTTCTCTTGCTCAAAACCTTAGTCTCTTGAGTTCCATCCTAGCGGAAGCATTCACTCCCGCAATACAAGACGACGTCAACAACGGCCCCCATCTTTCTCTCAGCATGCCCCCATTCAAGATCATCACCGACACCCACGACCATGGTGAAAAGCCAATGCGCTTTGGACACAAGGCACCTACATTCGATTTCTGGCTAGAGATCTACCTCCAAGACGACATGCCCGACTACGCCGTGGCCATCCTGCTCAACGGGAACTGAGACGAGGTTCAAGAACTCAGGTCGTGTATCCGACATCATTTGAGATCTCGCACACTCACTCTTCCCGCATGTGACATCTACTATTCTCCTCCCGGATCACTACCAACAAAAGTCTTGTGCCAGAAGGGAGGGACTCAGCTCGGATGGCACCTTTCTCCCTCTAAGCTGGCTACGCTCATCCGTTCCCCAATCACTCTTGCTGTCTGCCTCGAGTTCCCTCATCTCTTCAAAGACCCTGCTTCATTGGAAGAGTACCAAAGGGAATGGACCGCGAACGCCTACAACTGTTTTACCACAGTCCCACATCATTTTCGCCGCGATATCCTGGCTCGGTTGGTCAACATTTGCGCAGAAGAGATGAAGAAGGACAAGACTCTGCGTGAAGGTGCCACGGATCCTAATTCATATACCAAGACGCCAGCCTCCGACTCCAACACGAACGACACTTCTGAGAACAAGCGACCTCGCATCGATATGCCACAAATCGACCCCGGAAAGAGTCTGAAGCGTAGACATAGCAACCTCGAGTAAGTCAGGGCAATCCCAGACAGTATTTGATCGGATTAGTCAATATCAAAAGAATTTTGCATTGGTTGGCGTGCTCCGCCACAAGTCTAGTCTTGTTCAGCCTTTCTGCAGTATAAAAGACACACGAGTCGAATCCCGGCAAAGCAGCATATACTACTACCATGATATCGCGTATCACCCTCACTCATACTGCCAGATCCAACTTGTCACTCGTCGCTGTCCCACAAGTAGTTTCCAGGCTCGCGATATGAACTCCTCACCATGCTCCAATTATCAGTGCTCGCAGGAAAAACATGACGATGATTGATAGCTCGAGTGTCCTGGTGCTCCATTCATGCATTTCCTACTCTCGGGTAACTTCTCTGATCTTTGAATCAACGAAAAATCTGTTCGACCGGGCTCGTTTGCCGTCAAAACGATTGGAATCTGGGTCTGATGTAGCTAATGTGTATATTGTTCGCCGACATACGGATTCCTGATCGTTCTGAAGACGAATGATACGCATCTGGCTCGTTCGCAGTAGAGACGAGTCGAACCTGAATTTGCTGCAGCCACCACACAGCTTTGTTCACTGACATTCGGATTCCGGATCATTGCACAGACGAACCATTCACATTTGAGTTCCGGATCATTCTAAACACGAACCCGCACATTCACTTCTGTGTGGTCCCTCATATAAATCTTGTCTCTCTTCCTTTCATTTCCATCCTTTCTTCCTCCACAACCACCCATAACATACGCGACATCTTTGTGTCTTTTGTCTACCAGCACACTCAACCATCATCTACAACAAAGATCTTTCATCAAACAACACCTCCCACTGCATCAACACGATCAACAACAAACAGTCATGTCTGAAGCTGCAGACTCTACCTTCTCGGCTGGTGAGACCAAGCTGTTGATCAGCATCATCAAGCACTTGACTGGAGATCTTCAGGTATGTTTTTGTTTTGACACATTCATTCTACACTCAATCTCGTTTCACATCTCTGGATTATCATGGCGAATCGAGGCGGATGTTGATGTTCTGTTGTGGTTCTTCACTCACTTGCTTCTTTCCTCGACGTGTTCGAAGATCGCTTTTAACTGCTTGGTCTTCACATTCATCGCCATCTCGTGCCCCTTTTCTTTCGTGTACATTCATCTTTTGTCTCTGTCTTCCATCTACACCATTGCATCTCATCCTCGATATTCTTTCATCCACAATCATCTCCTACCACTCTTTCTCCCCTTTCCTCAGATCAAATCTAACACTTCTCCCCCCAACAGTCTGACTGGGACAAAGTCGCCGTCGACATGAACTACAAAGACGCCACCATCGCCCGCGCCCGCTGGAGTCAGATCCGCCGCAAGAAGATCACTGGCCCCACTGGCACCACCAAGGCCAAAAGAGGCGGCAACAAAGCCAAAAAGACCTCTGACGACGAAGCCGCCTCTGAGGAAGAGAAGCCCGTTGTCAAGAAGGGCAGAGGCAAAGCCAAGACTAAGGCCAAGAAGACCAACAACAGCGACGAGGAATCTGACGATGAAGAAGAAACCAAAGTCGTTGACAAGAAAAAGGGTGTTGCTAAGAAGGCTGGACGTAAGGTCAACAACAACAACAAGCGCAAAGCTGCTGAGTCTGAGGAGGATGAGGATGAAGATGTTGGCGCCAACAAGAAGGTCAAGATTGAGGAGGCTGAGGAGGAAGAGGCTGGTCTTGGTGCTGATGAGAAGGAAGGTGCTGAGGAGGAGAGTGAGGTTTGAGGATTCTCCCTGCTTTTCTTACACTCGGACGTTCTTCTCAGGCGGGGGACGAGAGGCGGAGCAGTAGTCTATGGAGTGCAAGGATCATGCACTTGGTTCAGAGCTGCAAGAGAATCTCGGAAGCGAAGGATGAGGTTATGAAGGAAAGCCCCCAGCGAAGAGCGTGAATGAGCTGCTCCTGGATCTTGGCAAGAGGGAACCACAAGATGTACATCAGATGAACCAAGACCCAGATCTCCCATCATCCCATCTTCTTTTTCTCTTACGTTTGCGTCTCGTGTCGACTCCATCGCTCCAACGCAATCAAAGCAAGGCATGGAAACATTTACAGAGATATTGTAATCCTTGTTTGGCAGCCTCTGCGGAGGAGGATCATTTGCGAGATATATTGAAGCTGGATCTTCTGGCACCACAGCTCGCTCATAAAGAGATACTTTGTTCTCGGAAGATGGTATGGCATTTACTGAGAGGCGACCATACTGCAAGGAAATTTTCGATGGAGTCTGTGGTATAGAATCATGAATGCCTCTCCTTCCTTGGCCCAGGGCGCTCGTCTCGTGCGAGAAGGTGGGCGTCACAGTCTCTACTGGGGCGGGGGAATTTACATGGCAGCAAGATTGACAAGATAAGTGTGAACGAACGAATGGTTTACATGGCTATAAGAGAATGTACTCATCTTGCATATCGGTATGCTGACATATTTCCCTATGCAATGATTGACAATGATAGCAACCCATCAGACAAACTGTTCGGTGACTTTGATGGCACATGCAACTGCGTGCCACCAATGATTGGCTGACAGATATGCGCAGCCTGCAGCTCATCGCAAGGCAGGCCTTCCACACCGTGGATTGGTAGCGGGAATTCTTGGCTGTCCAGATACAAATCTTGCGCCCAGAGGTTGTCATTACGGGTCCGCCAGGCCGAGCACGATACGGCATGGAGGTAATGGCCATGCTTCTGTCGAGTGTTTTCATCGTACACAATCTGAGCATACCATGTGTCGAAGAGTTCATGCCAACGGGTTGCCGTAGTGAGCTCATCGGAGTGGAGACATTTCGAATACAGTCCTGAACCGAATAGATCCACGAACCGACTCGGAAAAGGTCTGTCAAGAATCTACTGTATGTCAGTCGTTTTGTCTGCATACTGCTGAGCATGTTCCTCACATGCTATATCGGTAGTGCTGGTGCTTCCAGCCTGTATCCGTAGTCAGTACACGTGAGACAGATGCATTGCCGATGTTAGCTTACGTCAATATCTCAAACTCATCATATCTAGCAAGCTGGACAGCACCGCGTCGGTAGGGTCTGAGGAGGCGGCTGGCAATTTTTGCAGGTATCGCAGCGCTTAAAGATCTTGTGACCAAATCCGCAAGCTGTTTAGGTGGCTCGAATGAGGGATCGAAGACCAGAAGACTGCGACTGCCATTGCTGTATCGCTCAATCCCGACGATCGTCATGGAGTGACCTGGCTGCTGAAAGAAGAGCGGAGGACGATGGGTTTTGTGTACTTTGGAGTTGGAGATTGGTTCTTCAGCACCATGCGAGAAGTAATTCTCGACAAAGTTGAGCAGCTGCTGATGTGCTCTGCCAGCTTTCGTGTCGCTAAAGGACTTCACGGAGTGATCGAGATTTAGATGCTTGCAGATAGAAGCTACCTGGACCAGAATTAGATAAATATGGCGACCTTCTTACCTGATGATAGCATACCTCTGGAGTGCCAATCCATTTTCTTGTGTTGCGAATGCCCCCAGTCTCCTGCTTGCCAAGATTTTGTGGATCTCTGTCCCAGGCTTCTTCGATCATGTCCTGTATTTGTAGAATACCAGGCAGTTCGGTCCCAAAGTGTTCATGGCCTTGCACTTTTGTGCCTTGAATGAATGATACGAGCATCTGAATGTTGCGGTAGCCGCAGAAATGGCCTGGATTGGTGCCCTTGTGCACATGCTGGACGCTTGGATGGCAAAGGTGGGCTTTCTGAAGGTCATTGGATGACGCAACGCAGATTCGTGCGATGACAGGAATGAGTCCAGGAACCTCATTGTCCACGATGCGTTCTGTAAGAATTCGACCATCTCTGCCTATACGGTTCAATCGTCTTGTTGTCTCGCCAGTTCGTAGTCGCTTGAGCATGCTCTCAGGCATTCTGTCCTCGAATGCGTATGGACCAAGTTCTTTCTTCTGTCACGATGTTCAGTATTCGATGGTGCACAGCAGGATTTGTATGAGTCTTGGCAGGGAAGCAAGAAAGAGTGAACATGACTTACACCAAGACGTGTTCCCTTTGGTCTGGCCGCTGCGAAAACTGTAGCATTGTTGTTCTGAGAAGACTTCTTATCACGCTGGTCGACGGGTCGAGCGATGGTTGTCAGGCCTTGGGGGTCGATCGGAGATTGACGGAGGTTGGCATCATGTTCAGAATCGAATTCAGCCATGTTAGTGATGGAGTCGGATGAATACTGTAAAGATAGATGATTGTTCATATGTTCGTCAAACTCGACGAAGTGCACAAAATCTTCGCATTGAGGACACTCAGCATAAGGGAAGTCAGCATCCAAAGAGTAAGCGGCTCCTTCTTTTCGTGTTCCCAGATCTTTGGCAGAAGACTCAGTGGGCGAGCCATGATCTTTGGCTTCAGCAAATACTTGTCTTTCTTCATCTCTTTGCAATGCAAGAGCTAAATTCAAGTCCTCATCTTCAATTGCAAAATGGGAGTCTGGAGTATGGTGCAGCTCGATATGCACAGTGATCTGATAATCTGCGTGATGGTCATTGGTTGTATGGAAGCCGCACAAAAATGGGCACTCCATGGTTATCTAGGCAAAGCACCTGATTATCGCGATGCAATGCACGTCAGCGCGTTCGGAGTGCTGGAGCAAGGCAATTCGCAGATTTGATGGCTGGCTTGTTGGGATTGTTTGCAGAGTGGTGAGCTGCTGTTGAAGTCAGTCCACTAAGCGCCGAAGCGTCAAGTGCCCGCGATATGTTTCGCAGGATGCGCTTTCTCTGCTTGGAGACACACAAAATCAGTCGATGTTTGGTAATCGTCTAGTGAAATTGTCGGCTGTCGTTGTCGCTGGTCAGGTTGGCCTCCACGTTTCGAGACGTCTTGCACGTGCTTGCAGGTCAGCTTGCAGGTCACATGGGAAATGGCCGCGCGATGGGAAATTGGCATCTTCGTCCATACCAGTCTCTGCAGGGAGCAACACGTTACACAGCATCATAGACACGAGAAGGAAGCGCCAGAACTTGACAGTAAGGAAATTTCAACAGCGCCATGTGTACTATTGTCATGGCTTTGCTCAGCAAAGACAATCTACGACAATATCACAAAGTTCGTTTGGAAGACTCGTGAAAGTAAGCAATAGACGAAGGTTTTCCGTAGATGGACCAAGAGGAACGTGCAAACACGGCAGTGGGAAGTCCTCGACCATTATTGTTGCGTCGCAGGTTTGCGTGGCAGTCTTTTCAAAACTGGGGCTGGAGTATTCGGAGCAGTACGTAGATCGGCACAACGCGAGTCGGGCACAGAGTCATGTTGCAGAGGCACGAAAGCAATAGGTGGGCAGGACATAGGTGGATGAGACAGTGTTGATCATTCGTGGCAGAGAAAGGGCCGGATAGTTTGATTGATGGAACAGCCGTGTGTTGCCGACTTGGTAGTAGTAAATCTCGGATGGTGTAGAAAACTTCGACGTCCTAAAGGGGGCGAGGCGACGAGTGTTTGCCTTTGCTTTGACTCCCCCGCGTTGGCAGCAAAAACCTCAAGATCAAGCTTCTCTCAACCACCGCACTGCATCTTCTCACCCACATCACCACCCTTGTCCTCGCATTCTTCAACCAGATTTATCCGAGACCATGAGCGACAACATGATCCCCCAAAAGGGCAGCAAGCCTGCGCCGTGAGTTTGTCCCTGTCCCGCCGCCACATCCCTACATATCACAACAATACCTCTTGCCTGCCTCCATCCCCTGCCGCCGAACATCTATCACCTGTATTCGCCGCCAGACACCTTTCTACACATCCTCCAGTCGCAGCGCCACCACAATGTCTACCATTCGACCCGACAAAGCAGTCACTGACCATAGCAGTACCCCCCAAAACACTCCTCTCGACAAGGCCCCCATCTCCTCCCGCGCACAACAGCCTGGCGTTTCCAGCATCAAAGAAGGTATGCGCGACTGAATTTTCGCCTTCGCCATCGCTCACTAACGACTTTGCGCAGAGGACGCTGCCTCAATATTCGCTGCTAACCCCGCCCTCGTTTCCATGATGCAGAACAAGCTCAGCGGTCTTGTCGGAAGATCATCTGGATACGTCGAGTCCCTCCCTGCTCCCGTCCGCAGACGTGTCGCTGGTCTCAAGGGTGTCCAAAAGGAGCACTCCAAGCTCGAGGCCGAGTTCCAAGAGGAGGTCCTTGCCCTTGAGAAGAAGTTCTTCGCCAAGTACGCCCCTCTCTACGAGAAGCGTGCCAAGATCATCAACGGTTCCACCGAGCCTACCGAGCAGGAGGTTGAGGCTGGCAAGGAGGACGAAGAGGAGGACGAGGATGAGGAGGCCGATCAGGCCCAGGACAAGTCTGCCGCCGACATCAAGGGTATCCCCGAGTTCTGGCTTTCCGCCATGAAGAACTCGTCGCTCGCCGAGACTATCACCGACCGTGATGAGGGTGCTCTCAAGTACTTGACCGACATCCGCATGGAGTACCTCGACCGCCCCGGATTCCGCCTTATCTTCGAGTTCGCTGAGAACGAGTTCTTCACCAACAAGACCATCTCTAAGACCTACTACTACCAAGAGGAGAACGGCTACGGCGGCGACTTCATCTACGACCACGCCGAGGGCGACAAGATTGACTGGCAGTCTGGCAAGGACCTCACCGTCAGAGTTGAGAGCAAGAAGCAGCGCAACAAGAGTGAGTCTTCACCATTTCAACATCATCCGCTACAAATACTGACCACCCTTCACAGACACCAAGCAGACTCGCATTGTTAAGAAGACCATCCCCACTCCCTCATTCTTCGACTTCTTCAACCCTGCTAGCCCCCCTACCGAGGATGACGAGGACGTTGACGACGACATTGAGGCCAAGCTCGAGCTCGACTACCAGCTCGGTGAGGACATCAAGGAGAAGCTCATTCCCCGTGCTATTGACTGGTTCACTGGTGAGGCTCTGCAGTTCGAGCAGGGCTTCGAGGACTTTGACGAGGACGAGTTCGAAGACGAGGATGATGAGGATGAGGAGGACTACGACCGCGACGAGGAAGACGATGAGGAGGAGTCAGATGAGGAGGTGAGCACAATTCTTGACCACGACTTGAACGAGCAAGCGACTAACAGCCTCTACAGGGTGATGGCTCAAAGCCCAAGCAGGAGACTGCTGAGTGCAAGCAGAGCTAGATGAGATGCGCTAGAAGTCATTTTGCATCACCATTCTAGACTTGGTTCATTCACAAGCACACCGATCTAATGGCAGGCGTTCGGATCACGGGTCTCGCCATGTACATGCCTGTTCGACCTACCCAAGCGAGCCCTTTGACACCCGACGCATCCTGGATCGGACTACAAAAAAAAGTCACGCTCCTTGACGAAGCATCATTTCCTCCTCCTCTCTCTCACGCAGCTCGATGTCCTCTTTTCCATTTTCCGCAGCGGCGTTGTTTCTTCTTCTGTCTTGTTCAGATCGATTGGCAACGTGTGTCTCTTTTTTTTTCTCTTGTCCCCTATATAGCTGATAATCATACTCTCGGGCAACAGATGGTCGTCATTCGCAGATAGTGTGAGGCGCTCGCCATGGTGCATGCAGTTTGTTGTGTTGAATAGCATCACGACTAGAATCAATACATGTTTTACAAGAGTATGGCGACATGTGATCAAGCGTGAAGTAGGGCTCAGTTTCTCAACAATGACTCGGACAGAGCGATGTTAGTCATTGAACAATTTTATAGTGATGACCTGACAAGGACGAGAAGACATACGAGGATGCAGTGGTGAGTCTTACGAAATGTGGAGTCGGGATTTGGGGCTGAAGATGTGGCGCGCGAGTGGGTGGGATTTTTGGCAGAATGGCGTTATTCGAATGGCCGTCATCGGGAACGCCTGAGAAATTGTTGTTGCGCACCCTTGACTCAGAGAGACATTCGGCCATTGTTGCATCTCTCAAAAATACTCGCCCTGTCCCCGTCGACTCCCAATTCACTCTGGGCTAACTTTTGCCTCTTTTGGTTTCGTCTTCCTTCTGATCGCTCTACCTAATTCACATCGACAACATGTCTGCTGCACAAAACATTCCCGTTCGCAACCGCGACGACCCCTCTGCTGTCACCAACAGCTTCGACCCCTCCACCAGTCCTACCCACATCTTCGCCTCACCGTCAGCGAGCTTCGGCAACCGCAGAAGCTCTCGTTCAGTCTCTACTAAGCAGCTCAAGCCTTTCAACACCCAAGATGTCAAGGTCTTGCTACTCGAGAACGTCAACGTCACCGGCCAGGACATTCTGAGACAACAGGGCTACCAGGTTGAGGCTCTCAAGGCTTCGCTGCCCGAGGACCAGCTTATCGAGAAGATCAAGTATGTTATGTATCATTCACACGTCTGACTTGTTTCTGACATTTTTTTCTTAGGGACGTCCACGTCATTGGTATCCGCTCAAAGACAAAGTTGACCGCAAAGGTCCTCGAACACGCAAAGAACCTGATCGTCATCGGATGCTTCTGTATCGGTACCAACCAGGTCGACCTCAACTATGCCGCCAACGCTGGTATCGCCGTCTTCAACTCCCCCTTCTCAAACTCGCGCTCCGTCGCCGAGCTCGTCATCGCCGAGATCATTGCCCTCGCCAGACAAATGGCTGACCGCAGCATGGAATTGCACAAGGGTATCTGGAACAAGGTTTCTGCCGGCTGCTGGGAAGTTCGTGGAAAGACTCTGGGTATTGTTGGCTACGGTCACATTGGAAACCAGCTTTCCGTCCTGGCTGAGGCCATGGGTATGAGCGTCATCTACTACGATGTTATCAACCTCATGAGCATGGGTACCGCCAAGCAGGTTCCTACCCTCAAGGCTCTTCTCGAGGGCGCCGACTTTGTTACTCTTCACGTTCCCGAGCTTCCTGAGACTAAGAACATGATCAGCACTGAGCAGTTCGGCTACATGCGCAAGGGCAGCTACCTCATCAACGCATCAAGAGGTACAGTTGTCGACATTCCTGCTCTCGTCGAAGCCATGAGAAGCGGAAAGATCGCTGGTGCTGCTATCGACGTCTTCCCCAACGAGCCCGCTGGTAACGGCGAGTACTTCAACAAGGAGCTGAACACATGGGCCGAGGACCTCAGAACCCTCAAGAACCTGATCCTTACTCCCCACATTGGTGGTAGCACCGAGGAGGCCCAGAGCGCCATTGGTGTCGAGGTCGCAGAGGCTCTTGCCAAGTACGTCAACGAGGGTTCTACTGTTGGTGCCGTCAACATGCCCGAGGTCAACCTCCGCAGCTTGACTGCCGATGAGCCCAACCACGTCCGTATCATCTACATCCACAAGAACGTGCCTGGTGTGTTGAGACGTGTCAACGAAGTTCTTGGCGAGCACAACGTCGACAAGCAGATGACCGACTCAAGAGGCGATGTTGCCTACCTCATGGCTGATATTAGTGACGTCAACCAAGGAGACATTGCCAACCTGTACAACAGCCTCGAGGACCTGGGCTCTTGTGTCAGAACCAGAGTCTTGTACTAGACTGGACCTGCTTTTTTCTTCTGTTTGCCTGGTTGGAACAACCTAGAAAATCTACACGAAGAGTCTGCAGAGACTCAGCTACAGAAAAAATGGGTATAGAAGGAGGGAGATTGGCATTCAACATGGAGTAACGACTTTTGGGAGCATGAGGGAAATGAAAAAGCACACTGCGAATGTTTTGAATATATTATTTCTTTTTTAAAAAAAATATACAAATGAGCTTCATCAAGAAGATATAAAAGCCCATATAGAGGGCAAGAAAGTAAAAACAATTGAACAAGCATCAAGTATATGTTATGGAGTGTTGTCTTTTATGAATGACGACCGTTATGTATCATCTGAGGCTCAACTGTCTAGCTAGCTGACCGCTTGTTCAGCTGTTCAACGTCTTGGGTCTTGGATGCCTGATATTGCGCAAGTCAGGCTTCGACCTTCAATTGGTCTTTGTTATGGCTGTGCTCTGCATCTTACGTGTTCGAACAATACTCGTGCTAATCACAAGTTGACAGATTGCATGATTGATCGAGATAGGAGAGATGATTTCAAGTTCAAGGATGTCAAGAGCAGCACCCTGACCGTATTTTCCAGCGAAATGTTGGGAACTAATAATGGCGATAAGGGTTCAAATTTACTGTAGAGATCGATACGTGGACAGAAATGGACCTAGCTGTTATGCTGGTATTGTGGTATTAGGTCTGTAAGGCTTTCAAGGCCAACAGCGGTCTGCGGTTGCTTTTGAACGTGTTCCTACAGGAAACCAAATGGACTCCGCTCATGCTTCCTAGTGGAATGCTTGGAAGATGTCCGACAGAGAGGCCCATCTAAACAGGATACTGGTGCTGCAACGGATGAAAGTTGTTACAGAGGTTTTGCCAGATCCGCATGTGAATACCGTGAGCAAGAGATGTTCGTAGCACAAGGCATTAAAGTTGTCCAGTGTGGTTGTTTCAAGTTGTGTGTTTATGCTTTCCCCGCCGGTGCACGGGCATGCCCCTTATTCGGTGCACGGGCTCTGAATGTTGATGCCGTGGAATCGTCGGCAGCCAGCGAGCGAGAGGGTCTGCAACCAAAAGATAGACAGCAACTTCTCACCATAATACCTATTCTGCAGTCCTAATCTTTTGTTGGACAAGGAGAGTCGTCGGGGTTGCAGCTGTCTTTCTTTTTTGTTTCCCCCAGAGCCTTTATTTCCTGAATGTTGCAGCACTTTTGACCTGCTTGCCGACACAACTATCCACGGCTGCGACACGCTACTAATCGTCCTTCGTTCTTCCCTCGACCGTCCGCCTTCGAGCCAGCATGGCAGCGACGTATGATGTCGGCACCAAGGCCTGGCAGCCCGATGCCACCGAGGGCTGGGTTGCCTCTGAGGTTGAGCAGAAGAACATCGACGGAGAGAAGGTCACGCTGGTCTTCCAGCTGGCCAATGGAGAGGTATGCGAACAACAACCACAAACAACTCCTGGCATCCAGCGCTCATGGCTTGCTACAGACAAAATCAATCGAGACGACGCTGGCCGCCATCGCCGACGGCAAGGACCCTAAACTGCCGCCGCTGATGAACCCAACAATGCTGGAGGCCTCTGACGACTTGACCAATCTTTCGCATTTGAACGAGCCCGCAGGTAATCACTCCTTTCCGCCTCGCTCCTCTGCCCGCCCACGACAGCACTGACACAGCCATACAGTGTTACAAGCCATCAAACTACGATATGCTCAAAAAGAAATTTACACATACTCGGGTATTGTCCTTATTGCTACCAACCCCTTCGCCCGTGTCGACTCGCTCTATGTACCGGGAATGGTTCAGATCTACGCCGGCAAGCAGCGCCAAACACAAGCGCCGCATTTGTTTGCTATAGCAGAGGAGGCTTTCGCGTACGTGCCAAACACACCAGCGCTGTGTCAATACGCTAACACAGCACAGGGATATGCTGAGAGATGGCCGCAACCAGACCATTGTCGTTTCGGGAGAGTCTGGTGCCGGAAAGACTGTTTCGGCCAAATACATCATGCGTTACTTTGCGACAAGAGAATCTCCCGACCAGCCTGGCTCTCGCTCGAAAGGTCGCGTCGAGAGCATGAGCGAGACCGAAGAGCAAATCCTGGCTACCAACCCTATCATGGAAGCTTTCGGTAACGCAAAGACAACTCGCAACGACAACTCATCCCGTTTCGGAAAGTACATCGAGATCATGTTTGACAAGACGACGGACATTATTGGTGCGAGGATCAGAGTATACCTGCTCGAGCGCTCGAGATTGGTCTTCCAACCACTTAAGGAGAGAAACTACCACATCTTTTACCAACTTGTCGCTGGTGCTTCAGATGCTGAAAAGGAAGAGCTTGGATTGATACCCGTCGAAGAGTTTGACTACCTCAACCAGGGCAGCGCTGCCCAGATTGAAGGCCTGGATGATGCCAAGGAGTTCAGCGACACCAAGGAGGCCCTGACCAGAATTGGTGTTTCTTCAGAACAGCAGTCTTCGATCTGGAAAATCCTCGCTGCTCTGTTGCACATCGGAAACATCAAGATCATCGCTACTCGCACCGACTCAAACCTCTCCGCTTCCGATCCTTCTGTTGTCAAGGCTTGCGAGCTCCTTGGAATTGACGCCGAAAGCTTCGCCAAATGGACAGTCAAGAAGCAGCTTGTCACTAGAGGTGAGAAGATTACATCGAATCTGACCCAACAGCAAGCCACCGTCGTTCGTGACTCAGTCGCCAAGTACATCTACTCCAGCTTGTTCGACTGGCTGGTCGAGATTCTCAACAGCAGTCTGGCCACTCCTGAGGTCCTCGGCAACGTCAAATCCTTCATCGGTGTCTTGGATATCTACGGTTTCGAGCACTTTGCCAAGAACTCATTCGAACAGTTCTGTATCAACTATGCCAACGAGAAGCTTCAGCAAGAGTTCAACCAACACGTCTTCAAGCTCGAACAAGAAGAATATCTTCGCGAAGAGATTGACTGGAAGTTTATTGATTTCTCTGACAACCAGCCTTGTATCGATTTGATCGAAGGTAAACTCGGTGTTCTTGCTCTGCTGGATGAAGAATCGAGATTGCCTATGGGTTCCGATGAATCTTTCGTTACTAAGCTCCACACCAGCTTCGGCGACAGCAAGTCAAAGTTCTTCAAGAAGCCTAGATTCGGCAAGTCTGCCTTTACCGTCTGCCATTATGCTGTTGATGTCGCATATGAGTCCGATGGCTTCATCGAGAAGAACAGAGATACTGTTCCTGACGAGCACATGGAGGTTCTTCGTGCCTCTTCCAATTCGTTCCTTACCGAGATCCTTGAGGCTGCTTCTGCCGTACGTGAGCGCGACACTGCAGCTGCTCAGGCCAAGCCCTCTGCTGTCGCAGCTCCTGGAAAGAGACCCGGTGCTGCCACTGCAAGGAAGCCTACTCTTGGTGGTATCTTCAAGTCGTCCTTGATCGAACTGATGAGCACCATCAACTCCACCGATGTACACTACATTCGCTGTATCAAGCCCAACGAGGCCAAGGAAGCCTGGAAATTCGAAGGTCCCATGGTCTTGAGTCAACTGCGTGCTTGTGGTGTTCTCGAGACCGTCAGAATCAGTTGTGCTGGATATCCTACGAGATGGACCTACGAAGAGTTTGCCCTACGATATTACATGCTTGTACCATCAACACTATGGACCTCCGATCTTCGAGACATGGCAAACGCTATCTTGACCCAGGCACTTGGCGGAGCTGCCAACGATGCTACTAGCAAGTACCAGCTTGGTCTGACCAAGATCTTCTTCCGTGCCGGTATGCTCGCCTTCCTGGAGAACCTGAGAACTAGCCGCCTCAACGATGCTGCCATCATGATTCAGAAGAACCTCCGTGCCAAATACTACCGTCGTCGCTACCTGGAAGCAATTGGCTCTGTTCGTGGGTTTCAGTCCCTTGTGCGTGGATGCGTCGCACGGCGCAATGCAGACGATGCGCGGCGCACGAAAGCTGCCACCACAATCCAACGGGTGTGGAGAGGCCAAAAGGAACGGAAGAACTTCTTACTTATCCGCGACAATCTCATCCAGTTCGAAGCGGCGACCAAGGGATACCTCTGCCGTAAGAACATTCTGGACACGAGACTAGGAAATGCTGCTCGTACTATCCAGAGAGCTTGGAGATCTGGTCAGCAGCGTAAGGAATGGACCGACTACAGACGCAAGGTCGTTCTCGTACAAGGTCTTTGGAGAGGTAAGCAAGCTCGCAAGGCCTACAAGAGTTTGCGTGAGGAGGCTAGAGACCTCAAGCAAATTTCATACAAGCTTGAAAATAAGGTCGTCGAGCTTACCCAGTCTCTTGGCGCTGTGAGAACCGAGAACAAGGCTCTCAAGCATCAAGTACAAAACTATGAAAACCAGCTCAACACCTGGAAGAACCGTACCCAAGGACTGGAGCAGAGGGCAAAAGAGCTCCAGGCTGAGGCCAACCAGGCTGGCATGAGCGCTGCCAAGGTTGGTCAGCTCGAAGAGGAGATGGCTAAGCTACAGCACAGCTACGAGGAATCTGCATCCAGCATGCGCAGACTCCAGGAAGAGGAAAAGGCATTGCGCGAATCACTTCGTGTGACTACGGAAGAGTTGGAGAACTCAAGGCAGAGCATCACCGTTTCCGAGACCGAGAAGATGTCGTTGAGGCAACAGCTGGCAGAACTTCAAGATCAGCTGGAGCATGCCAAGCGTGCTGCTCCTGTCAATGGCGAGGCAAGTAATGGGATTGCCAGTCAGGCCAGCGGTCTTATCAATCTCGTCTCATCATCGTCGAAAAAGCCCAAGCGCCGCAGCGCTGGCTTCGAGCCCACAAACACCGACAGATTCAGTGGTACCTTCAACCCTCGCCCAGTTTCCATGGCGTTTGGTGCTACTAGCGGTCATCAGCAGACTCTTTCCGGATCTACCTTCAAGCCTGATCTAGAGAATGTTGAGATGGAGCTTGAGAACCTGCTTGCCAACGAAGATTCTCTGAACGACGAAGTCTCTATGGGTCTTATCAGAAACCTCAAGATTCCTTCTCCTGGATCTACCCCACCACCTACCGACAAGGAAGTCTTGTTCCCTGCATACCTTATCAACCTTGTTACTTCCGAGATGTGGAACAATGGCTTTGTCAAGGAGTCTGAACGCTTCCTTGCCAATGTTATGCAGTCTATTCAGCAAGAAGTCATGCAGCACGACGGTGACGAAGCAGTCAACCCTGGTGCTTTCTGGCTCTCGAACGTCCACGAGATGCTCTCATTCGTCTTCCTTGCTGAAGACTGGTACGAGGCACAAAAGACCGACAACTTTGAATACGACCGCCTTCTCGAGATTGTTAAGCACGACTTGGAGAGTCTTGAATTTAACATCTACCACACTTGGATGAAGGTGTTGAAGAAGAAGCTGCACAAGATGATCGTTCCCGCCATTATCGAATCTCAATCACTTCCCGGCTTTGTCACCAATGAGAGCAACCGCTTCCTTGGCAAGCTTTTGCAATCCAACAACGCCCCTGCCTTCAGCATGGACAACCTACTTTCCCTCCTCAACAACGTCTTCAAGGCCATGAAGGCATTCTACCTCGAGGACTCCATCATCACTCAAACCATCACTGAGCTTCTCCGACTTGTCGGTGTCACCGCCTTCAACGATCTTCTCATGCGCCGTAACTTCCTTTCATGGAAACGTGGTCTGCAAATCAACTACAACATTACCAGAATTGAGGAATGGTGCAAGAGCCACGATATGCCCGAGGGTACTCTCCAGCTTGAGCACCTCATGCAAGCCACCAAGCTTTTGCAGCTCAAGAAGGCGACACTCAACGACATTGAGATCATCCAGGACATTTGCTGGATGTAAGTATTTTCTTATCCTGAATAATCGTTAAATGCATATACTAACCACACGCTAGGCTCTCGCCCAACCAAATTCAAAAGCTTCTTAACCAATACCTTGTTGCCGATTACGAACAACCTATCAATGGTGAAATTATGAAAGCCGTCGCTTCTCGTGTCACCGACCCCAAGACCGACGTCCTCCTTCTGCCTGCCGTTGACATGGACGACAGCGGTCCTTATGAGATCGCCGAGCCCCGTGTCATTACAGCACTCGAGACCTACACACCCTCATGGCTGCAAACACCGCGACTCAAGCGACTAGCAGAGATTGTGTCTGCTCAAGCAGTCATGCAACAACAACTTGACGCCGGCGGTGCCATGGCCAAGGAAGCATACGAAGGAGGCGAAGATGGCGAAGGAGGTGACATGGGAGATTGGAGTCAACTGAATGGGCAAAACGGACTTCACCAACACCATAGCAACGAGCAAGAAGCAGGGATCTAGAAGGTTGTGTTTGAGGTAAAGGTTGTTGTTTGTCGTTGTCGTTGAGTAAGGAATGGCATCTTTGTGAGCGTTTTTGGCGTTTGTTTTTTTTTCGTGTCGTTGTTGTCTTTCCCATCACACCCCTGATACACTTTTGATTGCATGCCTACATCGAAGCCTCTTATTCTTTGTTACCTTATAGTGGGGCGGGGTTTCTTGGTTTATTCGATGCTTGATTCTTTGAAATACCAGGATTGATTTTTCTTCTACTCTGCTGCTCTGAAATATTCAGCTAATGAATCCTTGGATCTATCAGGATAATGTACTCAACTGTTTTCTGTCTCTTGTGCTTGATCCGAAATTTAGGCATGTCTTTAGCAAGACTTCACCTCGAGCGCTTTAGCAATTGATTCTGTTTTCGTTTTAAAACAAGACAAGACGGACTTGAAAGACAGCTCGAAAGGACTTGTCTCACTAGATAAAGAGTTGCTCAGGTTAATCTAGAGACAAATGGAACAGTAACACGATTCTTCTGCTCCAAGTCTCACACCTCAGCATGTCAACACTTGGACAACGCGTTGTTTAGATATACTTGAGGCGAGAAGATTTCTCTTCCTCTTTTTCCTTCTCCTAGATTTTTGTTTTACTGACACCGATATCAATTACTCTACGCCCGACAAACAAACATCCAGGAATCACGAAACGATGAGAAGACCTACGGCACATGCTCCAGATCCACCTGATACAACAACACAGAGGACTGTTGTCTCTTTTGTCCATGATGTGGCTTTTGGTGCGTTGGTCGCTGTTCAGATCGCCATCGCCTTGGGCTACCGACTTCTCGAATTCCTTGTTGCCATCACCTCCAGCCTCGGTCAAACCCTTTCACCTCTCCTCGGAGTCATTGCTGGATCCCTGGAGCCGGTCATGGCGACCTTGGCTCACCCCTTTTATGTCATCAACGCTTTCTGCACCTCCATGAACACTGATGCCTCGTTACAAACCTCCTTCATCTGCTTTGGAGGGTTACTTGTTCTGAGTGTACAACTTTGCTTCGGTCTTGGTTGGCAAAACATTTGTCCCTCCATGGCGAGGCTTATTGTGATTGTCGTGTGGGTTTGGATTGTATTGGCCATTTGGACACTTGTGGTGTTTTTGAGACACCAGTGGCAGTTACATAAAGTTATCAAAAAGGACATGCAGAGGAAGAAGGTCAAGGAAAGAGCAGATGAAAACTGGTACGACAAGCCAAGGCAATGGAAGAAAATCGTATGGACGCCGGCGCCGCTGGTTGTTGCCTACAGCCATAATTGGAGTATGGATGGCAAGTCACGCCGCCGGTTTCCAAGTATCAAGGATCTGGATGATGATCCCAATCGCAACTGGTCCAACGAACACGGAAACTTATCTCCAAAGCCGGCAACATCATCCACACCTAGCACCGGTTATGGACGACGTAGCCTTCTTCCTCCCATCATAGGAGTTCCCAGATCGACAGGTGCAGGGAAGAGAATTTCAAGGAAGCCAACTCCGCTGGTTGTTGCTCACAGCAATCATCGGGGTATGTGTATGGATGGAAATGGCGATTGCAATCGCAATTGGTCCAATGAGCATGGGAACCTGAGTCCTGAGCCGGTAAGATTGCCCAAACCTGACACTGGCAACGACCACCTTGCCTTTGATTCTGCACCTTCATCCCCATTAAAGCCAGTCTTCACACCAAGCTCGTCTGCTTCAGACTTTTCTGGTCATAACAAGATTCGCTTTACGCCGACTGACACAAACACAAGCATTACACCCTCGACCAGAGGAACTACATCGTCATCTGGAGCGATCCTGACGCCTGCTGAGACCCTCTGCATGAGTGAAGAAGAGTTCTTGGAACTGGTCGGCATCGAGCCTCCTCAGAGATCACAGCGCAACCCTACTGGCTCAAACAATCTAGCTCATGGGACCAGAAACCTCACACCAGCTCTAGTACGAGATAAACTCGAGCTTGTAGGCCATATCAGGGATGTCTTAGCTGATCATGGATGTTTCGGGTTTGCGCAAATCTCACCTATCAGCTCGGATGCAGCGTCAGAGGCTACTGTGATCTCTACGCCAGTTACCACAGCTTCGTAACCTGGAAGCAATGTGCTTAGGTATACACCAAGCTCGACAGCTACTTCAGAGTCAACAGTTATCTGCACACCACCTTCTGCAAGCGCCCTTTCGAGCAGGTCCGACAAACAGCTCAACAGGCGGGCCATACATTCAAGAAAAGTGATGTCTTAGCTCTCATCCCAGATCCAAAAAAGTGACATTGACCTTAGTCGAGGCACATATCTCGAATCGAATCCTGTGGTGGCGGGTTGGTCGTCGGAATGGTGGTGGCGCTGGTGGGAAAATGTTGCTACGGAGGTCGGACGACATGACAAGGGATTGAGTGCTCTAGGAGGAAGAAGGAGCTTGAGTTACCATAAGCAGTGGCAAGGCGGAGCCTAGTGGTGTTCGAGGCGGGTGAATATCATCCTTTGGTGCTGGGAATGGGTCTTAACGGAAGATGAAAATAGTAAAACGCTTTTTCTGAGATACAAAGGACGAACGGAACATGATATTGCCATTGTTGATGCCGTTTGTGATTTTTCTTGCTGTTTTGTGTTGTGGGTGTTGTTGTTTAGACAGAATCTTTATGTTTGTTCATGCTCCCGATTAGGGTAACATGAGGTCTTTGGTTCAAGACTTCCATTGAACTTTTCTTCTTGCTTCGAATAGAGTCACTTGCATCGATCTTTTCATCTCCTTTGCGACTCTGTATTGGGAATTACAAACATGATTTGCTGTTGTCAATCTACTGCTGTGAGGTCTATGAAACATAAGACTGGTCTTTGTTTCTAGACCCCCTGATTCACTCTAAATCACGGTTTAGCATGACGCTTCGATATGTGTTTGTTCATGTCTCAACTCTTTTCATTGATTGTTTGGGGAGGTCTGTTTTACTAGCTTGAAAGAAGTGAATCAATGCATGTACTTTTTTCGTGAGAACCATCGCTTTCGCAAGACGATGGAAGTCCAATAACATCTATACTTCTACGAGGCTCCGGAAACGCGAGTCACACTGCACAACAGAAGATCTCTCGAGTCTGCGATTTTCTGGTCGCACACAACCCCTGATCGCATCAACCATGGCTACACCCAATCAGCACACTGCTACTACTCTCCCTATTCACGGTGCGATCAATACCGCCATCACTGCCCAGGAAACTCCTTCTGTGTCTCAAACCAACAACTCGATACCTCACTACAACATTGGCGCCCAATCTTCTGCAAACAACCCACCTCCATCTCAACAACACAACTCGCTTCCTCATCAACTCATCTCAAATCAACCTTCTTCAAACAACACTTCCAACACGACCACCACCCAACCCTCTTCATGCCCGAGTAACAACAACACCTCTGACAACACCACTCCCTCTCTCTACCAAAACCTCACCACCACCCTCGCCAAAAACACCACTAACATCAAAAACGTGCCTCCCCATATTAAGATCCTTAACCCTCCTCCAGAGCCTAAGGACTGGAACACAATGACACTGGCCGAGAGATTAGAGGCAACTACTGCTCTTCCTCTGCAGGGGTTTGAGGAGTATGAGTGGAGGATTCAGAGTGAAGAGGCGGGGATGAGTACTTGGCCGATAAGGAAAAGAGGGAAGTGATGGAAAGATGAGGGGAGGAACTGCTGGGGATGAGGATGATGGGAGTTATAAGAGGGCAATTCGGGGGAAGAGGTTCTGGTGCAGCCTTGGGGAATAGCTGGGGGTTGGTTTTGCGATTTCCTTTGGTTTGAAAAGCGATGGACAAGAGAAAGTAGGATATGACTGGTCTCTGAAGGTCAAAGGAAGAGAAAGACCAATTGTCAGAAGCGGGGCTTCTGAGGAAAGGCTGCTGAGTCTGTTGAAGATACTTGGGCAGGGAGTCAAGGGGTGTAAGCACGAAGGCGACGGCATGTCGACATGGGATGAGAAAAAGGGAATCAACTTTGATGCTTGAATTTTTGAGGTCGCAAAGCCCTTGGATATGCTTGGAGCAAGTTGTGTTCTGTATCACTGCTCTTTCCTACCGTCCATCAACGGGTTCCGCATCCATCGTTCAGAACGATCTGGAGTCGACTTGAGAGTGCCAGGAACCATTTCACAGGACCTTCTCATCTCTTTTTTCGCGTACAAGCATCAGCCCGACGCAGACTTCGCCTCAGCAATACGATCTTGCAACCCTTTCACACCCTTCTTCGTTTCCTTTGACTCTTCACTCAGCGCCTCGAACTTCTTGTCCAGCTTCTCAACTTCTTTGCGTTGGTCTTCGGCCTGCTTTTGATGGCTTGCGACTGCATTCTAGTCAGTGAACTTGCGTGAGTATCGCTGATGAAGGAGGGGCGGTTTACTGAGAAGAGCATAGTGCTTTGGGTAAGGAGCCAGGGGATCGAATCGCTGGGGTTCTTTAGAGGGCGGCATGTGTGGCTGCTGGTTGTATCCAGGGATGTTTGACTGCTGGTTGGATTGAGGCATGGATGGCTTGCTAACAAACAAATGTTAATCATACGCGATGGTTGGAATGGTTTTGGCAAATGTACCTCGATGACGGTGATTTGATGCTGACTCGGCGGTGACCTGTTTCGAGAGATAAGACCTATTGGGAAGGTCGTGGTGCAGCTGTAAGAAGTGATGGACTGACTCGCTAAAGTACAGACTCGAATTGAATAGTGCTCAAGTGAGAACTGATTAATATCAGTGTTTCAGCGCAAAATCAAACAAACATGGTGTTGTGAGCTGTATAGAGGCAGGCGCAAGGCATCGAGACCGAAAGCTGTGGGGCATGAAACAAAATAACAACGCTTAAAGTACATGGAAGGTGCGACTGATAGACAACAAAGCTAGATGACTCCAGAATCAAAGATAGTTTCGGTTTTTCAGACTTCGGCTGCTTAGTAGTACGCTAGAAGATTCATAGTACTCAAGAAGCAGCCATGAACTTCATTTCTCAGTCCACCGATGCAAGATCTCTTCATACCATAGAGCTTTTCGAGGAACGCTATATCCCTCGAAACGAATCACATACAAGCCACAAATCTCCCGCTATATCACACATCAAGTTTATTCCTTCCTCGCCTGCTTCCAGGTAGCAAAAGTTTTCAGTGGTGCCCCAGCTGCAGCCAACAACTGCAAGAATCCCCTCTGTCTTACTTGCATCTTCTGCCACCTTCCCCTCGTGGCTGTATCCATAGCCGCCAAGCCTGATTCCTCGAGCGCGGCAGCGACAGCTGGAGTGATTTCTGCCATTTTACTCTGCCGGTCATCTCCTTGTAAGTTGAGAGGAAGGACCCAATGCCACCAACTTGCTCCCATGACATGCCTCAAGTTCTGCATTAAGCAAACGTCGTAAGGATTTGCACCCGAAAATGTCTCCACGATCGCAAAGGTATGTGTACTGGTAGCAAAGGTGAGCACGCCAGAAAACGCAGCGGTAATTGCTTTCTCTGCTGCGATCCCCTCGTCGATCTTTACAGCCAGCGTCCATACCTTCTTTTTGCCTGCTGCATTGTCAAGAGTGGTTAGATCTGCAGACGCTAGGAGTACAGCGCTCAATCCGGACCCTCCTGCTATGCACAAGAAGAAGACTCCAAAGCCCACGGTAACGCCCAGATGTCCAGTCACATCATGACCATCAAACGCGCCATGGTTCCAAGGAACAGTGACAGAAATGAGCGTGACCAGAGAGAACATTGCCGCAGAGATCGAGAAGAGCAGGAACGTCTTGAAGTTTGTCGCTGCTATGTATCCCCCGACCCACGGACAGTAATGATCGAATTTCAAAATGCATCTATTCAGCATTTTGGAATGATGCGCGCGGTTTGGTTTCCAGTGTTTGCAGTAGTCGCACCATAATGGTTTGCCACTCTCGTCGCACTCGAAGAAGGCCTGTTCGTGGAATGAGTCCAAGGTGGGCGCTACGTGGACCTTTCTGAACAGTCCATAAATCCATTCGAAAGGGGCAGTTGTCTGTTGTTCGGGATCGTGGGTGTCGGCTGTAGAAAGAATGCCAGGGTCGAGATAAGCATGATAGATAGTGCTGCCAAAAGAGACTGCCATGGATATGAGGAACCAGAGGAAGAAAATCAGGACCACGGTAGCATAGCCTAGTTTCTGAGGTTGATTTGGTGGTGGGGAGATCCATACATTAACTGTTGAAGATCCTTCAGTCAGCAACCGCAGTCAATTCACAGCGATAACATGACTTACTACAGAGCACGACAACAACGACATAAGTGACATATAATACGATACCGACGATTACTGGGGGCAGTATCCCGGCACCGATCTGGATGGCATACATAGCCCTGAAGTCGACACCTGACAGCCTGCACTTTCGGGGTCGTTTTTCTGGTCAAAGAAAACGAAAAGACAGGTAGCGGATGACCAGGTACTTGACCCCAAGCTTGAGCTACAGGATAATCTCCCACCTTCGTACGCCACTTCGAGCTCAACGAAAGATTTCAAGACTCATGCGTCACGGGGCTGTGTTTGTGCATGTCTTGGTCCATTCTGATTACATGGTAGAAGCGGGACGCTGGGATTAGAGAGCGTTCAGGAGGAATGCAAGTTGCTCATTATTGTTTGCAAGGTGAGCCTCCGCGGGGTCGGAACTCTTCAGAGTGGGCATACCGCGATGTCGATAAGTTTTCTCTCGTGCCCGAGAGCGTCCTATTTCCGACAACCCAGGAAGAAAGCCTTGGCTCTCCTCTCCGTCGTAGGTGATGGTCAAACCACGTGGGAAGATTGTGGCTTTTGTGGAGGGTAAGGTTATGGTTTAGGTGAGGCTCCGCGGATCAAAAGAACAATAGACGTCATTGTTCTCTTTGAATTTGACTTCTCAGCATTTGCGATTTCCTTTCTGAGAGGCACCAAGACTGTGGACTATCAGCATAACCCCACAGCGGGCAGGTGCCCATCTTGGGCGAGGCTTAGACATCCTATCGTCCTCTTATTCCCGGCTGCACGGTAGAACATCATGAAGATTTTTTTGAGATATCGACGATGTGTGCCTAGAAGAGAACCATCGCGAACTCAAACCTTCATTGTCCATTGTGCTAACAATAGTGACAGAAGCCTTTCGATTGGGAATGATTGTGCGTCTCGCGAAAAGAAGCACATGCGAGCTGCAGGTTCTCCTTCCAACAAATGTATTATCCATGAGGTCATTGCAAGTGTTGATGAAAGTATACACGGCGGAATGGTGTTCTGCGGATTAGGTGATTTGAATCAGTCACTGTGTTCGATAGTTCGCAGGACAAGTCAAGCCGTAAATGACAAGCTCATCATGAATCCTTCCAAGAAATTCCATGCTTCGTTCCTACTTGCGAGCGATAGTGCATGACGTTCTGGGTGGAGGCCATGACGCTTCAAGGTCGCTATCGGTGCTGAAGACGGTGTTTCTTCACTTTTATTCCCAAGCTGATCGGTCCAGTAAGTTTGCTTCACTTTGGTACGAAGCTGTTGCCTAAGAACCCCGGCGTCCCGCAGGCCACACTCGTTAGGAACTGTTCTACCGAATGTTTTGTGGTGCCGAGCTGCTGGAAGATGATCGCGAAGATAACACACGAAATTCAGGTCACAGTAATCCATGGTCAAGCGCTGGATCGGGTCTCGAGAAGCTACAAGAGTCAGTGCTGACAAGGTATGGATTGCACATTGGATGGATGCTTGCACTTCCAGCAAAGTTAGGGTCCCTCCTTTGAATACCATATTTGAGACGGGTGATCCGGCCCTGGGTGCCTTGAAGGGGTCAATTGAATTATCCACAGCCTAGCCCTCCGCATCTCTTGCAGGTTCTCGGAGGATTTTGACGATCGTGTTCCAGCTGTCGTTTCCAAGCTCCCTCGAAAGCCACCAGGTCAGCTTCCCATATTTCTTCAACAGATATCTGATCAAGCTCTGCAATCTGAGCTTTCTTGCTGGCTATCGATGTTTCGAGAACTTTCATGGGACCTGGTAGCATTGAAGCGACAGTCATCTCAAAAAGATGCTCGTAGCCAGGCACCGCAGGTTTGTTGTCTGCATCGCGTTCTCTCTTCTTGGTTGGGATCAGTTCATCAAAGTTTTCGATGGGTATCAGCCCGTGATGAATCAGTTCTCCGGCAAGGGTATCCTGGTCCTGAGATATGTCGAGATCTCCTTCCAGAAGCAGTTTGGCGAATTTCGACTGATCAGTCCATTTTGTCAGATCTTTCTTCAGAGCCGAGAGTTGGAGATACTTTTTCGACTTGTATGTCTGTAACTTTAAGAGGTAGAACTCTTTCAGGATGTCGAGATCTGTGGCATACTTTTGGACTTTCCCGCTTTCGTCCAAGGCGACGAGACTATCAGTCGTGATAGTTTTGAGAAGGTTCAGTCTCGCCTCTAGGTTCCGTTGAGCTGCAGTGTCCATATCGAGATCGGTCGTCTCAAGTACAAAACGTACACCCTGGCTGGATGGATGCTCGGTATATTTCCTGATCTGCGACTGGGGTTCAGAGATATACTTGTCCAGCTCAGATTTGAAGTCTTGAGTCCATAGACGAGGAGGTAACTCGGTGATCTCCATGACGCTTTCAGAAGTTTTGTGCATCTCGCCTTTCATAGAGTACTGACCCTGGTCAATTGTTTCTACATGACCAGTCCAGTTGCGAAACCATGGCTGCATGGACTGCATACCATCCTTGGAACCTCCTCTCATCCTCCTTCGAAGATTCTCAATGATGTCTCTGGGGTTATAAGGAGGAATGCGTGTTTGCCAACCTTGACCACTAGCCTCGTATCCATTAACAAGAATCATAGGCAAGACTGGCATGAGGGTCCTTGGCTCTCCCGTTTTGCCTTTGCGCACACGACGTACCAAGAGGCAATCGTCCTCTTCTATAAAGATTGAGCGTGTCACGTCAGACAGTTGGGTGTATATGTATCTTCCACTGACGGCATCTTGACCACCTTCTCGACGAGATCCGAACCATCCTTCCGGTTTTAGATAGTTGATGTTGTTTGCTCCGACGAAGTTTTGCGCAAGCTTGATGATGTCTTTCTGGATCTCGAATTGATCGACATCACGCGTGTAGAACACTGATACATTGCAGGCCAGTTTATCGACTTTGATTTCCTTTCCAGACTTCTGTTGGAGAAGGGTGTGGAGTATTTTACGTTGTGTCGGGATCAGACCATCCCTTACAGATGGAACACATCTGTAGGGATGCGTTTCGGGGATCGTGAGTTGTTCTTTGTCTACACTAGTCATGCTTGACGCGAATACGCTCAGGAACCTGACTGCCTGAGATTGTTAGACTCGGGCGGACAGAACCGTGGGCTGTCTCCTTGACTTGTCTGCTGGTCTTGCTCTTCTTTCCTGGTACGTCGTAGACTTGCTCTCGCTTGCGGTCTATAGAGGAAAAGTTGGAACAGCAATGACAAGACTCTGCAATCAATGAGTGTCATGGCGGCACGAAGCAGGCAGCAGAGCGGAAACATCTTGGCAAGACGCGTCGACTTGAGACGCGCCTTCTGAAGAGGTGAATGCTAGACCAAGCAGAAATTTGAACAGGCTAGGCGTTCTGAGACCTCCGAGCACATCTTCCTTTTATCTTGCTACGATTTTGACAATAATATGAGTTTGAGCCGTGATGAGACAAAACTGATCTTGGATCTTGGTGTTGGAATAAAAGTGATAGGAGGGAAAACCAAAGAGAGGGCGATGAAGATGCGAAAGCAAAAGAAGAAACTGTCGCAGCCGTGAATCGAACACGGGGCTCGTGCATGGCAAGCACGAATTTTACCACTAAACCACTGCGACTGGTAGATGAAGCATAACTTTGTACAAAACAATATGACTCTTTCAAGAACAGACGATTTTGCAATTAGATTGTCGCGAGCTCCAGAAGACTCTAGCCAAGTGGATCTCAGAGGACTCTCAGGAATACCCGTGATGTTGCAAACATATTCGAGGAACAACAAGCCATCTTCTGCGACTACAAAATCTTATAAGTCATGTATGTTCGTATGGTATCGACGAGTTTCTTCATTTCCCCCTTCTCCAAAACTTGGACCAATCTTCCTGATTTACATCCTAGCATGTAGTCATCTCCTCTTCTCAACAGCTTCCCTCAGCTTTGCAATAACTTCTGAAGGGTCTTTGGCGCCAAACACAGCAGAACCAGCTACGATGACATTGGCGCCTGCGTCTGCAGCTACATCGATGGTCTTTTCGGAGAGACCGCCGTCGACTTCGATGTTCAGGTCTGGGTAGCGCTTGCGCAGGGCTTCGACTTTAGGCATCATGTCGGGCATGAATTTTTGGCCGCCGAAACCGGGTTCGACAGTCATGATGAGGACCATCTGGTTTGAGTTGTTAACTTTTGCGGTGTGGAGAAGGGCAGTGGGGAACGTACGTCTGGGACTTCATCTTGTGTCTTGCTGTCGAGGATATCGTAGAGGACATCGACGGGGGTGCCGGGTTTGAGGGCAATACCGGCTCTGAGGCCTTGGTCGTGGATGTACTTGATGAGTTCCTTAGGACTAGTCTTTTTGTCGGAGGTAGCGGAGGGTTCGTCGGCAGCGGTGGAGTTGATGGCGGCTTCATAGTGGAAGCAGTAGAGATCACAACCAGCCTTCTTGAACTCCTTGACCCATTTCTTGGGCTACTGGCTATGGTTAACATGTTTTCTAGACGATGGATCGAGGAGGATGAGGGGGACGGACCTCGGCGATCATCATGTGGCAGTCGAAAGTGCCCTTGCCAAAGGACTCGGTGGGCTTGTCGACATGAGGACGGATCATGGTCACTACAGGAGCGCCAAAGGTCATGTTGGGGACGAAGTGGCCGTCCATGATGTCGACGTGGAGCCAGTCTGCGCCATGGCCAATGGTGTCTGAGCAGGCCTTGCCCAGGGCGCCAAAGTCGGCAGAGAGGATTGAGGGAGCGATGATTGCTGGAGGAGCCATTGTGTTTTCAGGTATGCGAATGTCAATTGGATACTCGACTGGAAATCACACCAGGGCTGATCTGGTCGGTCAACAAAATACCGACAGCTGCCCCGCATACGTCAATGTCAGCTCATCGGCAACTGCTCCTCCCAAGTCCAGTACCCTTGCTCTGCTTTTATATAATGAACCAAAGGCTTGTGGAGCATATCAAGCTTCGCGAATAGGCTTCCAGTCGGGGGGAAAAAAAAAGAAGGGTTAGATTGTACAGGCTAATGAGGGAAGCGTATGGGAAATCTCATCTCAACAAGATTCGTAGAGGATAGTAGCACCCTGTCCTTCCGATGATGCAGACTCGGATCTCTCCAAGAGCTGGATGGATGCATGTAAGTATGATAATGATATTCAGGACGAGCGTCTCATTTGATTGATTGATGTATGGGAAAGGTGATTCATGGGTGGTGACATAGTTTAATGCCCAAATAGAGATAGTCATTCATGATGATGTGTATGTCGTTTATGTTGACAGGACTTGGCGGACGTTGTCGGGTCAACAGACGGGGGCCGAGTGCAAGCGCTGCGACTTGCCGGAGCACCTTGGTTTGTTCTTGGATATCTGCGACTCTGAAACTCCCAAACATGACTTTTCGACGATAGCAATCTTGCGACAGTAGTACTATTCAGCATTCAGCCTACCCAATTCAAAGCGCAATCGATCCCACGCTTAACGACATCTCCACTAACAGCACTTTACCCTCATTGCACTACTCGACACACTCCTCGGCCACTTCCTCACAACAAAGCATTATCCACCCACTCCGACATTGCTTCAATGACTACTGCCGCACGACCTTATTACCGCCACGCCTCCCCTCTATCAGTATTCAACCCAGCTCAAGGCTTTGCTGCCGACGCGCCAATGATGCAGCGCATTGACGTTGGCGACTCGTCCGACGATGAGATCCCGCCGCCCATGAAGTTCAGCGCTCTTACCAGGGCTCTCCTCGAGTCTGAAGAGGGCTTCGACCATACTTCTCCGAAAGAGAGCGCTGCGCGCGACTACGAGACACCTAGCAGAGCTCCGCAATTGAAGATTGTGCGCAAGTCTTCACCCACACACAGCCAGGCTGCCACTTCACCGCGCATTGTTTCGGTCAGCAAGAGGAACCCCTCGTCAGCCCGTCACACCGAGAGATACACCTCGAGCAGAGAAACCACTCCCGCCCTCGAATTTGTCACTCCCGCCCCCGCTTCACGGTCAACTCGTTCATCTGCAACCAGATCCACAAGCAACCCATCACCTGCTCTCGAACATGTCGATCACGACGCGTCGCAGAATTTTGGAGCTTCACAGTATGATGCTGCAACCAGACATATGCCTTCGTCTGCCCTCAACAAGACTCGTCACGCCTCAGCAGAGTCATCAGCACATCCTGGTTCTGTACGCGTCAAGAGGGCTCCTGGCGCTTTCCTCAGGGGTGCTCCAGTGAGAAGAGGTTTCCGCAGACGCGAAAGTGACGACAATGTCAGCCCACATGATGGAAGTGCTCCGCTGTCAGAATCACAACCACAACCCGAACACGACGAGGATCTCGCATACTCGGCTGGACGCACAAGCAGAGCAGACAGCGCAAATCCTGATTCTGCTGCTGTGTCGAGACACGATTTTGCCCGTTCACGAAACCACAGCCGTGATGTTTCCGCTCCATTGAAACGCGACACGAGCTCCGATCCCCATCGTGTTGTATCTCGCGCTTCCACACGAGTTCCTAGCATGGAACGACCACCGAGGAGACCAAGCGTCGAGCCTCACAAGCGGGAGCGAAGCGATTCACGAGCAAATTCGAACCATGGGGAAAGCATCGCGCAGAGAAGGCCTAGTAACGACCATATGGCTACGCGCCCGGCATTGGATCAACGACAAGCGCGCCCAACTTCGAGCGCACAGCATGACGCAGCTGAAGACCAAGAGAATATTCCTCCACCAACCTTCAAACGCGACAGACACCATGACTTCAAGTATCTTGGAAAGCCCGAAAAGATTGCGTTGCACTCCAAATCTCAACCTGTCGAGGAGACTCCAATGTCTGGAGTCTCACATCAATCACCTCGGAGAGCACTCACATCGATCAGCAACAACACTCCTGTCAGACCCGCTCCTCCCCCACCACCGAAAATGAGTGTTTTGGACGCTGCAACAAAAACTGCCGGTGCGAGCACTACCAAGAGCAAGAAAAGACGCCAACACATTCTTATCAACGGAAAGCTATTCACTCAAATGAACAAGGTTGGAAAGGGTGGTAGTAGTGATGTCTACTGTGTCATGGCCGAGAATTACAAACTCTTTGCCTTGAAAAAGGTCAAGCTCGAAGATTGTGATGAATCGGCCATGCGCGGCTTCAAGGGCGAGATTGACCTTCTTGAGAAGCTCGCAGATGTCGACCGTGTTATTCGACTCTTTGACTGGGAACTGGATAATGAGAAGCAGATTCTCAGCGTGCTGATGGAGAAGGGTGACCAAGATCTGAACCGCATCTTGACAATCGCGCTCAATGGTTCAGATCCAAAGTTCGACCCAGTTCTGACACGCTTCTACTGGAAAGAAATGCTTGAATGTGTTCAAGCTGTTCACGACTACGATATCGTTCACTCAGATCTGAAACCTGCCAACTTCTTATCAGTACAAGGCAAGCTCAAGCTCATCGATTTTGGTATCGCAAACGCCATCGATATTGCTCATACAGTCAATGTCCATCGCGACTCTCATATCGGAACCCCCAACTATATGTCACCAGAGAGCATCTTGGATACAAATGCACCCACACCTGGCAGCGAACGCACCTCAAACAATGGCAGTCGCCTGATGAAAATCGGCAAGCCTTCGGATGTCTGGTCTCTTGGCTGTATTCTATATCAAATGGTTTACGGTCGTCCACCTTTCGCACACATCGCCAATCAGATCAGTCGTATCATGGCTATAACGAACTCGAAGGTTGTTATCGAATTCCCGGACAAGGGTGTTGGTGGTGTCACCGTACCTTCTGCGCTAAAGGGCACTCTCCGTCGATGCCTGCAACGTGATTTGCACGCTCGTCCAACCGTCAAGCAACTTCTTAGCCATTCGGATCCTTGGTTGTATCCTGACGTCGGTAATGCCGTCGCCATGAGCGAGGACCTGCTTGCACAAATCATCGACAAGGTTGTCGAGAGATGCAAGGACCCGAAACGTGGTATACCCTCTCCTGATGAAGTCAAGCAATACCCCGCTAGCTTCATGTCCAAGATTCGCGAGATGGTCGAGCGCGACGGTGTCGTAGGGTGACATGGCCATTGACGTCTATTTCGTATGTTTTCGTTTCTTCTCATGTACGGAGTATGCGGTCTTTTTTTTCTGGGTTGAGCGAGCGAAAAGGGCATTGGGAGTTTGTTGAACCATTCTTTCTTTTTCTGGCGTCTTCTTCATCCTGCTCTTTCTTATTCCCATTTTGTTTTCTTTGCGATACCACACTTTTTTTTCTTTTGTTGTTCTTCCTCCTGCTTAGATTGAGTCGCGTTCTTTGCGCATCGTCTGGGAAACACAAAATGTCATGACCCTTCACATTCTCCTTATTTTTCTTGTCTCGTTGATCGTGTTTTATTGTGACTGTGCTTTTTGTGCCAATTAGCGTTTTTGACAAACATCAACTCGCCCTTTGGCTCTATTTGCCATGGCTGCTTGATTCTGTACTCGTTGTTTGAGGTCATCATCGTATGAAGAATGATGCTATGATCTCGCTGCTCTTTTGAATGCTTACGCTTTCTTCTTGTCACGTAAATGTCCTTGATTATTGTAGCAAAGTCCCCAAGTTTCTCTATTCAACCTACCTCTGGTGGGGAACCTTTGTCGTACAACGTAAACTCTGCTCGGAACGATATAAGACGTAGAGCTCGCCTTTTTCTTTTCTTTTTCTTTTTCCCCCTCGTCAACCGCAGCTGAGTTTGTAAACGTAGTAGCAGATTTTGAAGTCTTTTTGCTGATAATCAAGGGGGTTTCAAATGAGTACAGCAGGGAAGAAATGGGTAGGGAAGGGAGATTGGTTTACTTCTTGTTGTTCGAGTGTCTCTCGTCTTTTATTCTTGTTTCTCAATGTATACATCAGAGAACTTGATCTTGAAAACCCATCCCCGCGTAGTGTATAGTAAGATGCAACTGGGAATCTGCTTAAAGTCAAACGAATGCAAAGGTTAAAGGATTTTGGTATTTCTATGGCGAATGTATATGCTACATAGACAAGAGAGAGATATCCTGGTTGGTACAATAGACGAGCATTCTGATTGCTGGTAAAAATCTTGCACACATTCTCTGGGAAGATGGTGCAAGCAAGCAAGCAAGCAAGTGAAGGACACTATACTATGCGATGCGAGTGTGCTTCGTAGCAGGATATAAGAGAGCATAGGAAAGGCAGTAGATGATCTTCAGTCAGAAAAGCAGTAGGGCAGTACTTGCTAGATTTGATCTGACTTGTTTTTCTACAGCTCAAACTTATCGAATATGGTCAACCCAGTACATCACCACGGAGGCGGTGCAAATTCATGAAACAATCACGGATCTCACCCATTATCTTTGTGCAAGAATCAGGACCCAGCCTTTTCAATCTCGGCGCAAACGCATCAATAACCTTTGCTGCTTTGAGCGGCGTGCCCCAGGTTTCAACAGCATCAAACCGCAATTCCTCCAAATTGTCAAAACGAGGTGGGCGCAAGCCTACGAGATGGCCAAGATGAAACACGCCAACAAGCCTGAGGGATTTGAGTCTAGTGCAGGATTTTGAGATGGCTCGCAATATGTACTTGGGATATTCGCAGTTGTTCGGATTGCCTGGTAGTGCGATACACAGTTCCTCCAACGCGGTGAGGCCAGAGGACATTACATGCGCATGTTCTTCAGTAAAAGATTCGTCCGCGTTGAGATGGAACACCCTTCCGATCTTGAGCGTGATGAGTTGAGGAAGAGAGCCGAGAGCCAAAAATTCTCTTGGTGGTATTGCCATGTCGAAATTAGACCTATCTTGGTTCCTCATGATCTCGAGCTCCCGTAGCTGGGTCATCTCTGCAAGATGTTTGAGAACAGACGTGACACGAGATCGATCTGATGTATACATCTTGGTTCTCAGTTTCGTGACAGTAGGGAAACACTTTGACACCCAAGGAACGGCATCAGTATGGAATTCCATACTTAGCTCTTTCAGGCTTGGAAATGGGTTTGCAGTCTTTTCACAAAAGTGTTGCAATTGAGTGGCCTTGACATCTGCTCTGCTCTCGTCTTTACACCCAACGGCCAGGACTTCCAGATATCCACTATCGGATAAGGCGGCGAGGACATCATGTGTGATCAATACATTTTTGCATCGTACGAAATCTAGACACACTTCTCGAGGTCGAATGGTTCGAAAGAAAACCGCAAGATCTGATGACGAGACTGATGCTCTGGGAACAGCAAGCCAAAGTTCTTTGAGGTTTGGACATTGTTCAGCAAGCTCTTTTAGAAATGTGGCTGTGAGCGGTTTGCGTGTGTACGATGGGCCAGTCATCCTGAATGCCTTTAGCTTAGATGGAAGATGACTCGATATTTGCAATAGGTCCGATTTGTGTAGAGTCTTATCATCGTAGAGATTGAGCAAAAGCTCTCTCAACCTTGGAAACTCCATATCTTTAAACATCGTCTGCAAGAGTGGGGCGTCGACCTCGACTTGGAAAAAGTCAAGTACTGAAACTCGAGAAGCATATTTTTGGCGGCAGGAACGCGGCAATGCTAAAAGTGCTTCAGTGATGTCGCCGTTCTTTCGGTATCCGCCCCATCTGTATCCAAACCCAGGGTAACCTTGCCAGAGTGCGTCGATAGCTGGTTCAGTCCATGTACTGTGTACGAGCGCGCAAGAGAACAAATCTTTTTGACATTCGTTATCGTGTAGATGTGAAAACACGAGCACCTTCAGTTCAGGGATGTTCCAAAACTTGGCGGTGGCCATGCTACCTGACGGGCGAGTTGGTATGGCGATGTAAGCGGATGATTTTGTGACGTGTCGGAGATGGTTCTTATTCAGTCGTGTACCTGGACTTGGATGTTTCCGTGTTTCGAGTGGAGAAAGCGCTTGTTGCTACAGCGCTGCAAAGCGTGCATATGCATCTGTTTGTATGCAACGCAAGCGCCCGGATATTGTTTCTTATCAGCCGCAGGTTGACTACGCCCATTCGCACTTCTGCATGCTCAGAAATTGTAATAAGAATTCAAACAGATCTTGTCGAGGGCAAAACAGACCGTCTACTGGCCAGGCATCTCGGAAGTCATTTTCAAGTCAATACTTGTAGATGCTGAGTGTCTTCAGAGGTAATTCTGGATGGTGGTCTGGTGAGTGTGATATAGTGATATGTCCGAGACTTCATGTTCATACGAGAACTGGTGAGGAGCAAGAAGAAGCCGCGCAGTGAGTTTAGTCCCTTGCAACTTCTTCATTCTGATCAACAAGGCTCGGATGTCATGGTCACGAAGGCGAAAACTCACGAGTTTCGTGATTGTCTTACCATTCTTTGAAGCATCCGCTTTTCTCCTGAGTCATTGAGAATGTTGAATGATTGTTTGAAGATCATACCAACACATTGTGCGCTTGTGTGTTAAGGTGAATTGCTCACGTGCTGGTATTGCCGCACATATCTCCGGATATCTCTCCGCGGAAGTTGAGATGAAGATGACATGTATGCGTTGTCGACGTACATCCGCCTTGATCCGCATGCATTACAAAAATAGGCCGCGGTGTGAATAGAGGATGTGACACAGGACAGCGGCACTTATGACAAAAGTCAAGCCGATCGTCCGCATGGCTCGACCCATATCCGCTTTGCACCTCGCACGAAGCCTCCACCAATTTTCCCCTCCGTCCTTAATCAGCGGGATATATCCATTTACCAGCATCCAACTCAAAAACGCCATCAACGCTGAAATGAGGGCAATGTTGAAGTACCGGTGGTGTTGCACCTCGTCGTATAGGACCAAGAGTTGAAGTGTGCTGGTAACAGCTTGGATGGTAATATAGCCTTTGCTGATGCAGAAAACCAAACGATCGCGGATGGTGAAAAGAGGGTGTTTACACATGGGACATGCGGTCTGGAGTGCCGGCTCCATGGCTTCAAGGCAGTTCTTACAGACCATGTGTTTGCAAGGTAACTTGCCTAATGTTGCTTCTTCGCCCCAACAGACAATACACATTTCTTCCTCGGTGTGAGGAGGAGCTTGAAATGGTGTCTGTTCTAGAAATTGCGCATGCGAAGGTAGGGCAAGAGAAGCGAATGAGCCTGGCAAGGACACCCATGTTGTGTAGGCGATAGCCAGACAGAGAGACAGCAATGGGCGGGAAAGGTTGTGAAGGACTAGGCATGAAACATAGACGAGTATGTCGCCGTTGCGATGAGTCCAGGATCTATATTGCCATTGCAGAAGATTGAGAGAGATGATCCCTAAAGTTATGGTCGGTATGTGTGGACTTATGACCTCGAGGACGTGTTGATGGCGTGGTTTTGTGGGTATGAATCTGAATTGATAGTCTTTGGAGATGTGGATTGTTGACATGATCTCCTGGTTTGATGTATTGGATGATGACAATGTGACGGAAAAAGGCTCAGAACTGCAGCTGGGACTTTGGTTGCTGAAAAGTTGTCAGTTGCGTAAGAGATTAATCAACCTAGCTAAGCTTTTTTGTGTCTCTTGAAAGATCATCTTGCTCCACCGTTGATGACCAGTTGGAGGAGACGGGAATAATAATAATAATAATTGCAAGAGTATTCACGGCGGGGTCAAAGGCCGATCTCGAAAAAATATAGGGATGCTCCACTGCTTGAAAAGGGGATTCAGGATTGTCAATCTGGCTTGGCATGATTTGGCAGGGTTGACCCTTCCTTTTCACGCTGCGCCCATACACAGGCAAGTCAACAACAACAAACAAGCGCTCACAAAGTCGGCCTTTGCAAAAAGCTGAGGGGGATGTTGGGAATTTTCAGGCTGCCAGATTAGAAGAGATCCTACGCAAGCGGCTTATCGTATCTCGTATCGATTCACGCCTTGATCCGTCGGGTGGCTTGTGCTTAAATTTAGGATGAACCAAAAAATGTGCCGAGAGCACGCGACAAATGTGATTTTGTATCATGCTGCTTTACAAGTTACGACACACCAATAAGCATGCTTGGTTGATAATGTTGGTGGTTGACCAACCGGATGTCTTGGAGAAAGAATACTTTCAGAATCGATTCGGGATCCTCTCATCAGCGGACCCCGCAAGAGCTGAAGGAGTCTGGGCATGTATGGGGGCTGTGTTTCATTTAGACTTGTCATGGCACTGGGCATCGAAAGGGTCAAAAAACTTGGTACCGCGATCCTTCGTGAATATCGGTCAAGACTATAAAGCAGGAAAACGGCTGCCTTGGGAACGAAAAGTTTACAATTCTCGATAGCCTTGCCCACATCAGCAAGAATCCTTCGCAAGTCATTCCATAACAATAGTCGGAGTCACACGAGCATCACTCCCGGCAAGGAAAGCCACTCCTATTCGGAGTAGGGTTGAAAGCGCTTCCGTCGTCTCGATTTCGCCTGTACTAGCCAAATTTGACAGAAACAACGGCGCCTCGGAAGCAAAGCCTCCCCGAAGCCTGGCGGAAATACCCCTAAACTTGGCCTCAAAAGCTTCTCTTCCCTACTTGTCAAAACAACAGGCCTTTCGTTTTTCCCACTCTCATATTCATAGAACCTGCGGAGGACATAATCGGAGAAATGGCAGATAAGGGAAAGGTCGACCTGGGAGGTGCGCAATTTGCGTCGCACAAATGGGCAGAGCCGGTCGTGAGTGGATAACATTCTCCGGGAGAGATGCACACGACCAGACTAACAATCCTCTCAAGTTTGTCGTTACCGTTATGATTGGCTCTTTGATCATTAACCGTCGCAAAAACTTCAGTATCCTTCGAGGAGATCTCAATGCCCGCTCTGGAACTTTGACACCTACGAATGAAGGACGTCCTATGCTCTCCGACAATGAAGGTCACGCGACACGACTTCAAAAACGCACCTGCTTGGGCAAGGAATTCGACATGCCCGATTCTTCAGCTTGCGCCGATTATTTGCACAGCAGAATTTTGCAAAAGTTCCCTTTCCTGGTAGAAATGTTTTACTGGGCTCTCAACTATGCAGCATACAGTTTCACAAAGGCCATCGCCGCTTCTCTCTATGCGACAAAGGACGGCGTCACGGAACTTGCTCAGGAACACGGAATCAGCATTCTTAACTTTGAGCACAAGTCGATGTTTTCCATCTTTTTCCCTATCAGTGAAGTGGCTTTCCAATCCTTCTTCACCACCGGTCACCCAGTCATTTTGACGTTCTTCAACCGAATTTACTCTCTGGTTCACATTCCTGGAACTGTCACGTGTGTCGAAACCTATCAAAAATAATATGAAGAAGTTGCTGACTTTTGACAGTTTCCTTTCATGGTATTACTATGCTGCTCCGGATCATGCAACTTTTGCTGTCGCTAGACGTACCATGACGCTGGGCAATTTTGCTGCTTTCTTCGTCTTCTGTTTCTACCCTTGCATGCCGCCACGCCTTTTGCCAAAGGAATTTGGCTTCCACGACACTGTCCGTCAAGATCATGCCGAGAGTGTCTGGGTTGGTGGTAAGAACGTCAATCAGCTTGCAGCCATGCCCAGTCTTCACTTTACCTACGCATTCGTAATTGGCTGCACTTTCATCTACCACTCTGGCATCCATTGGCGTTCTGAGCTGCAACAATCAACTTTCAGCAGATGTCTTTGGTTGTTGGCTGGACTTTGCTACCCTTTGCTGGTTCTGTCGGTCATTGTTGCAACTGCCAACCACTACTACCTTGACGCTGTTGTGGCTCTCTTGACCACTTCTATTGCGTTCTTCATCAACAGAATTTGGATGCTTCTATTACCAGCAGAGGCCGTGCTGTGCTGGGTGTTGCGCCTGAAAAAGCCTGTTCCCACCACTGGACAACGTCTGGAAACATCCAAGAAGATGAAGGAAGACGAGATCGACTATCGTTATGAGGTCGTGTAGTTGTTGACTTTCAGAACGGTCTACTTCTTTTCTTTTCCTGCAAAACACACCTTTGTACATCTAATTCGTTCTTATAATACCCTATCTGCGAATCTCTTCAAAAAGCGGCTTCAGATATTTTCCGAAAATCGAAACACTGACAATCTGACTTTGATCCTCCTCTTCTTGTGCCACTGATCAGTGTTGGACAAAGTGCCGCAATGCGCTCCTCTGAGCATTGCAGGATCATTGACCACATCCGCTCCAGGGTATAGCCAAAATATGGCGCGTTCAGGGAGTCAGGCCGTCCCTGCAGATAATCTTGCTGATGCGCCCAGCTGTCCGGATCCTCCAATGCCATCATCAATCTCTCATACAGCTTCTTGTCATTCGCCCTCAATCTCGCAGCACTAGCCACAAACTGGCCCTTGTAACTCAAGAGCACCCTCTGCTCCCCGCATGTCTGGTTGAACACCTCTTTCCAAGTCTTTTCCACAATACCAGAATGATCTTGCCATCCAAATCTGTCGCCACAACTATTGCACTCACAACTCTGACCACTAAACCCTAGACTCAACATTCCTGTTTCAGAAGTGTAGTAGTTTTCAACTCTGGCAGAGAACTGTCGTGGGTTGTGGACGGAGGCTTGGAGAAAGAAGGTCTGAGTAGCTAGATCATCCCATGAGGAGATTATGTGGTGAAGGTAGGTATGGCCTTCTCTGCCTACGTTTGGCAGTTGAATGACTTTTGTGGCGTTGGTGAGGCGTTGAAGTTCTGTTGTATCTGCAAGAGGGTCTTTGGTGTAGAGAATTAGGCGAGGCGACTTAGAGCCAATGGAGGGTATGGATTTGAGGAGCGAGAATGTATCTATTATGTGAGAAGGAGGTTCGTGGTACATGCTCATTACGATATCGATGTTGGAGTTTGCTTTATACGTGGTATCCAGACGCAATGTATGAGATGTGTGTTGTTCGAATAGTGTCGAGAAATTGTTGATCAGGAAGAAGATCCACACTCCTGTTGCAGCAGCGAGCAAGATCCATGAACACAAGTTGTATCGCACCTTCCATCGGGCCCACAGTTCTGATTTGGAGTCTTCGACATCAGACATAGAGGAATCCGCGTACTTCGGATCGTCCTCAGAATGTGTGGGCAGCTCGAGCCAATCCTCCTCAACTGCAGGAGTGGGGTCCGGGTTATTGAATGCAGTGAAAGCGCAACAGCAAACAACAACCAAGAATGCCAGAACTTGAACATAGCTCAAGTATACAGGTAACTCCAACTGCCGAGAGAAAAGCGCAGCGAATGCTGGTAATGCAAGGAAAACGATACTCTGTGATAGACTGTTCTTCGTCTGCTTGAGCGTCGCTGGCCATAGCGTGATTGCAACAGCAGTCGTAACCACATTGAGACACAACATAGGCATTTGTGCCCGAGTCTAGGCGACATCGACGTCTGAGATAAAGAACAGGCAAGAAAAGAAAGGCAAAAGAAGCACTAACGACGATATTTTTTGATCCTCGTCGGGTTGTTGTACTCCGGAGTCGTTGGTCGGTTGGTCTCGAAGAATTGCATGGATAATACCGAGAATGAGTACAGCAGGAATGCCGAAAAGCCAACCATTAGGCGTAATTTTGTAATCGTCGAGTAAGATCGCTAAGCATGACAATGTTAAAATCACGTAGAGACTGACTTTGTACCACAGCCCGAGTGGAATTATGTCGAAAAGGGAGATGATTGGCTGTATTAAAGTCAGTACTGCAGTAAGCATGTGGTCATGATAGAATGCGTACCAAGACCATCAGTAGCGTGGCGATATTCTCGAAGTGCAGCGTCGATTGTATCCATAGTGGGAAGAAGAATGCCAAACACCAAGACAACAATGCCAATTTGAAAAACAGCTGTGTATTGTCTCTGGGCATCGAGATGTCCAGATCAGGATTTGGCGTGCATACGTCTGGGATCTTTTTCGCATGGTACATGCCGTGCAAGAACATCAAAGCTGCAGCGGCGATAATTTGCAGTACGACTAGTGTGAATGCTGGCAGGATTAATGACGAAGTCATACTTAATATCACAGCCTCACGTACGATAGTCTAGAGCTATGTTAGGTGTAGGCTTGGAAGTTATTGAATTGAGAGGTCCTCACGCCAATTGCTTATGAGCAAGATGTGTTTACAAGAGACCGTCGAGATGGCAGCGCACACGGCCCAAACACTGTCACGATCAATACAAGAGTCCTGTTAGACTGGTTAAGAATCACTTACAACGGCACTACGCCTGAAGACCAACCCATCATGTTGTCAATCTACCATACAAGAGACACAAAAGTGCGTGATCACAGTCAAAAGTATGGGGCAAGAAGATGGGATCAAGAGCAACAGAAACAACAGGGACTTTTAAAGCCCATGATCAACCGTGTCCCGTTGGAAGACGAGCCATGACCTACCTTGGCTGTGCCATGCGCCTAGAATTCATCTAATATGGCTGCCTCAGTCTTCATTATGCTTTTGATCCTTTATGCCCGCGAAGAGCGTTGTTGGTCAAGTCGAGCACATGCATCTACTCAGCCTTTTAGGGCGACTGACACCCTCCTGACTCAAAAGCTGGCTATAACAACCGATATGGATAATACAATATCAGTCTTGTCGACGATTGAATTGATCCAAGCTTTTGGTTTTGGACAAGAGCAAGAACTGATCACTGGGCGTGGTGGATTTTGGAGAATTTCGGCATGCTTGAATCTCCTTCGAGGGTGCATTTTACCAACAAGCAGATCTTTCGATGCACAACACCTCCTCCCAGGTAGTCCTGTCTTCTACCAGAGCACCGTAGCTGTTGTTGCGGGTGTTCATAGTGATCGTCCATGATAGGCGCAGCGAAAAAGTCGGTGCCTGAAGGATGCTGTGTAAGACCGTGCCAAGGCAAAGTGGCTGGAATACGACCTCCTTCATAGCGCTCCAAAGGGACTCTTTTCGCGAAGCACTTTCTGAGAATAGTACCGAGCTCGAGTTCAGATGCCTTCAGAGGATGGTATTGTTCATGCTTGTCCCAATAAAGCAATAGACATGGGCATCTCAACGTTCCTAGGAGCCCCTTGGTCGTCGATCACGAGAAGTCGTCGCAATGGAATGTCAGTTGAAGTCTGGTTCTTCGTATGTCATAACTCTGGGTTGCTGAGATTACGTGCGTAGAAGGGAGTCTTGATGAGGCACGTGGACAACAGCTTGATTTGAACAGTCGAGCCGAGATTGTGAAGGATTTAGGCTGGTGAAGATCTCCCGAGGTTGTTCCGTGATATCATCCTTTTGTCCTTTATGGACCTTGAGATCAATGCGAAGGTCTTCTCGTCTGTTTTGTTGCAAGTTTTCTGTGCGATGCGATATTGTGCTTGGATGAGATCCAGCCCCAGCATTTTAAAGCCTGCGCTGGTCAACGAACATGCTCACAAAACATCTACAATGTCGCGTGAGGACTTGGACTGTTGCATCATCTGACTTGCAAGCAAGATTTTGTCAACAACACAGATCAATCGGTTGAAGACTGCCAGTAACCTAATGGCATTAAGGATGATATACCTCACCATCAAGAAGTTCAGAACTTCTAGCTTGTATAGTCGTGGACAGGGTCACGTCTTGATACCCCATATCGTCGGTTAACCGGCAGTTGCGCGAATCTGTTCTCCGCATGCACCTCCGCTTTTTGGCAGTTCGTTGCTTTCATTTTTGCCATGACACATTCGGAACACGGCACGATGTATCTACTTGTATACTCTATATAACCACTTCATCTCCTCGAGATCTGCTCTCTTCATCGGTTTCTAGACTTTTGACTTGTTAATTGGAGCATAGCATGTCCATGAAGCGAGAACAGCACACGCTCGGCATAGATGAATCATAACAATACCTCAATCGACGATGTCGACAAAGAGAAAGATCGAATTGGCGATGTGCATGGCTCGGACACCAGTATACCTACCGAGAAGGAATCACCGCCAGAGGTAGTAGTGAATACCGAACAGCCTCCCTCCGATGTCGTGCCTGCAGCAGAACCGCCACCGGCACCCAATGGCGGCTATGGTTGGGTTTGTGTCGTTTGCGTGGCTCTCATCAATGGGCATACTTGGGGTCTGAATTCGTCATATGGTGTCTTCCTCTCATACTACCTGGCCAACGATGTTTTCCCTGGCGCTACTTACCTGGAATTTGCTTTCGTCGGATCCCTTTCAATTGCATGTGCATTGCTTGTCTCACCAGTGGCTACCATTTTCACCCGCAAATTCGGGACCAGGACTACACTATTCACTGGAGTCGCATTTGAAACTGCAAGCTTGATCGGTGCAAGTTTTGCGAAACAGATCTGGCAATTGTTTCTGAGTCAAGGCGTTTGCTTCGGCTTTGGCATGGGCTTTCTGTTTGTGGGATCTGTGGGTATCGTCCCTCAATGGTTCACCACGAAGAGAAGTCTGGCAAACGGCATCGCTACTGCAGGGTCTGGTTTAGGTGGTCTGATATACTCACTGGCAACTGGCGCCATGATTCCCAATATCGGACTGGGCTGGGCTTTCCGAGTGCTAGGCATCGTAGCATGTGTGGTCAACGGTGTATGTGCTATGCTGGTGAAAGACCGAAACAAGGCAATTGGCAGTTCCCAACTGGCATTCGATGTACAGCTGTTCAAGCGAACCGAATACCTGTTATTGCTTGGTACGCACATTGATCCCATACCATCTTTCTCTGGCTATCTAACAATGTTTTCACAGGCTTTGGTTGGTTCAGTATGCTGGCATACGTTGTGTTGCTATTCAGTCTAGCAAACTTTGCCCGCAGTGTCGGCCTTACTGCTTCCCAAGCCTCCATCGTCTCAGCAATTCTCAACCTCGGACAAGCCGTTGGTCGTCCACCAATTGGTTATTTCAGTGACAGCATCGGCCGCATCAACATGGCTACTCTCATGACTTTCATGTCTGGCCTATTTGCCCTTGTGATCTGGACGAACGCCAAGAGCTTTGGTGTGCTCATTTTCTATGCTATAGTCGGCGGCACAGTTGCAGGAACCTTCTGGACAACCATCGCTCCGGTCACGGCCGAAGTTGTCGGTTTGCGCAATGTTCCTGCTGCATTAAACATCTGTTGGCTGGTCCTCGTCATTCCTTGCACTTTCTCTGAGCCTATCGGGCTTGAGATTGTGTCGTTTGACGGTGGATACCTAGGAGCGCAGTTGTTTACGGGCTTCATGTATATTGGCGCCGCCATTTGTGCACTTTTCTTGAGGAGCTGGAAGATTGCCGAAGTGGACGAGATTGAGGGTCTACAGGATGTCGGGAATGTAGATGCTGTGGCCATCGAAACAAAAGTGGACGAAAATGTCAAGGAGACTGCAAGAAAGACGGCGAGGAAAAGGCTGCTTGGTTGTATCTTCAGATGGAAGAAGGTGTAAATGCCGATACCCTTCAAAACGTGGTCGTTTGTTCGCGCAAACAGAAACGACACACAACGCGTCAATCTCTTCCGACCTTCAGACTTCTTCATTGACTCATATCCTTCTGCACGTCGCTATGTTCTCGCCGCTCGCCATTCAAACTATCACTCGTTGCGCCGCCCAAGCTCAAGCCATGGAACGAGTCGTTGTTGGCGAGAATGTCTCGCTTGTCCCTAGACACAAGCTTGACAAGAAGGTCAAGACTGCAAAGACCACGAAGGGGTCCAAAGATGGTATGCTCTTCTTGCTGAGAAACCACTTCTTAAAAGGAGACGGGCGAGATGCTGATGACTGCAGGCAAGAATGAGAACTTATGCGCTACTCAAAAGGATCAGACTCTACGCCAGCAAGTTCCAGCACCGCCACTTCATGTGCTTACAAGCAGGAGAGCAACGTACTTTGCGAACGTCCTGACAGCTTCCATCTTTTGCATCAACAACTCACAGCACTTCTGCAACTTTACAGTGGAGAGTCAAGAACAATGGACCGCCCTGCTCGAAAGCTACAAAGATGTCAGGTACAGAAAATTCACTCCCGCCTACGAAGAAGTGCCGGATATTCTTGAGAGACTTCGCACTATCAAGTTTGTTCACTGCTCCAGCGCAAATTCCAACGAGGAGAAACATGTGGAGCAGTCACACAACATCGCCAACAGCAATTCCATCCCTTCTGTTGCTTCGACTCAGCGCCGCGCTAAGGCCAAGGTCAACTCACACCAAACCATGCCGCCACCTGCAGATGTGACGTTGCCTTCAGAACCAACGCAAGCTTTCCGTCGTCCTGAAAGCATGAAGCAGCTTCCTCGTTTGACTCCTCAGTCCTTCCGCCAACAGATTCGCAACCAGGGACTCGAGGGTATCTTTGTCGAGTTCGTTCCGTTTGCCAGTCTTGCCGAAAGCAACCCTGCCAAGAGATACAAAGAACATCTGGAGCAACATGGTATGGCTGGTTATGTGGAGTGGGTTGTTCCAGGTTCGGGCTGGCATTAAGAAAAGTTGAGGTTCGAGAATGGGTCTCAGATGATGTGTCTCCTTCAAAACAAGTCTTCAATGGAAATGGGATCATGAGAGTATGGGAACAAGAGTACTTGAACACTAAGAATAAAACTTCTATTGTGTTTATTGACACGGGCGTTAGACTACCTGTCATTAGAAATCGGCACAATCTCCTGAGCTGGCATAGTAATGTTGTCCAAAGCATTGTCAGTAAGGAGCGTAGCAACTGAACTAAGGATAAGTCTCCATTGAAAGGGCTCCATCAAGAGATAGAAGAATACGCGGCAAGAGTGAGAGCAAGTGTGGTTGGAGTATGGAGACGTCAACTGAGCGTCGGAGAGGGCGGCCAATGCGGGCGGGCGATGAATGCCAAGACGGAGGTTCGAGGCGTCGTCATGGGGGAGACAGCTCATAGTGTTCTGGTGCAGCTGGCACTTTCGTCAGGAGCTCCTGAAGACAACAAGCACACAATGAGGACGACGTTAGCGACATGGACCAAGCTGCTATGCCTGGCTCTGTCATTGACGGCTGTCACTGCCAAAAAGGACGCACCTGCAATCGAGGAGACCGCCTTCAAGTCGCTGCCTGCCAACATCTTCTACTTCGACGATAGCGATACCGTCCTCGTCACCGACATCAAGCCTGGTATTGTGTACCGCTCTACCGATGCTGGTGTCAAATGGAAGGCTGTCAAGGATATCAAGGAGGGCATGATCGGAACAGTCTATCCTCATCCATACGACCCCAAGGCCGCTATCGCTATTGGACAAGACAAGACACACTGGATCACAAAGGATAGGGGTGAGTCTTGGACCGAGTTCAAGACTGAGTTCGAGGTTGCCGCTGGACGCCCCTTGAGCTTCCACGCAGACGACCCGGATCGTATCATCATCAGCACCCTCGACTGCCATGGCTCTGTCTGGGGCGACTGCACACCAAAGGTAGTCGCGCTCCTGTTGTACTCGACCACGCCACACTAACACAGCTACAGGCTTACTACACCCTCAACAGCTTCAAGGATATTGATCTTCTTCACGACAAGGCTATCTCATGTCTCTGGGCCAAATCCACTGACCTCTTTACCACCGGCGACGATAAGCTAGACAAAGATCAGGTTCTCTGTGTTGTCGAAGGCAAATACTCGATCTGGCAGAAGGACAATCGCCTGTTGATGTCTAGCGACTTCTTCGACAAATCCGAAGTCGAGCCTACCATGTCTGAAGGTCGCACTGTTCCTGGTGTCGTCAACGTTGCCGCTGTCAAGGGTTACATCGCTGTCGCCGCGAAATCAGAGGGAACTACCGAGCTCGCCATGTACGTGACCGACGACGCAAAGACATGGCACCGCGCCGAGTTTGGCAACCACAAGCTCGAGGAAAACGCCTACACCTTGTTGGAATCTACGAACTACAGCATCCAGGTCGATCTCATGACTTCCAGTATGGCTTCTCCAATGGGCGCTCTATTCACCAGCAACTCGAACGGTACCTACTTCACCAAGAACATCGAGCACACGAACCGCAACATGCAAGGCTACGTCGATTTTGAAAAGATACAAAACATTCAGGGCATCGTTCTTGTCAACGTTGTCGATAACTGGGAAGAGATGGAGAAGAATTTCATGGCCGAAAAGCAGATCAAGTCCAAGATCAGTTTCGATGATGGAAGAGTATGGCATGACATGAAGGTCAAGAATGACGACCTGCACCTCCACTCCGTCACCGACCAGCGCAACATTGGACGCGTCTTTACCAGCCCTGCCCCTGGCATTGTTATGGGCGTTGGAAATACCGGCAAATATCTTAAGAACTACGAAGAAGGCGACACTTTTGTCTCGGATGATGCCGGACTTACCTGGCGTTTCGCCTTGGAAGGCCCTCACCTTTATGAGATGGGCGATCAGGGTGCAATTCTCGTTGCAGTTGAAGATACGGACACAAAGGAGATCAAGTGGAGTATTGATCACGGAAAGAAATGGGAATCAGTCAAGCTGGATGACAAGATCAAACCAATCGTCCTCCTGACTGTCCCAGATTCCACCAGTCTCAAGTTCATCCTCGTAGCCTCGAAGGGTAGTGGTTCCAAGCTGGAGTACTTCACTTATTCCCTGGATTTCAACGAGCTTCACGAGGACAAATGCAAGGATTCCGACTTCGAGAAATGGGCTGCACGTGTCGATGAAGACGGCAAAGCAAGCTGTCTGATGGGCCACAAGCAGTTCTTCCGTAGACGCAAGGCCGACGCTGACTGTTTCGTGGACAGCGAGTTCAAAGACCCCCAGCCTGAATTTGAGCGTTGCAAGTGCACTGATGCCGACTACGAATGTGATTACAACTTCCAGAAGTCTGAGGATGGCAAGGAGTGTGTACCTTCCGGAGTTCTCAAGGCTCCCGAGGGCGCCTGCAAGGATGGTGAAGAAGAGTATGAGGGCAGCTCCGGCTATCGCTTGATTCCAGGCAACACATGCGACAAGAAGGATGGTGTTAGGAAGGACAAGCCGGTCAAGCGACCTTGCAAGGACACTACCAAGCCACCAGCATCTGGCAAGATCTCTCACGAGGTCAACAAGTTCAAGGGCGCCAAATTTGCTGAATACTATTACCTCGAAAGAGCCGCCTCTGCTTCCGGAAACGATGAAACCATCATCATGCGTACCGATAGGCGCGAGGTATTTATCTCTCACGACGGTGGCAAAACATGGGATCAGGCGCTAGAAGACGAAGAAATCGTCTCGATCTATCCTCACCAGTACAACCAGGATACCGTCTACTTGATCACTCCTTCTAAGAAGGTATACTACTCAGATAACCGCGGCAAGAACATCCACCATTTCACAGCTCCTGAGGAACCAAATCAGGACAATGTTCAGATTCTGAGCTTCCATCCGACTCAAAGAGACTGGCTGATCTGGACTGGCGGCAAAGATTGCAAGGGCTTTGGAACCGATTGTCACTCGGTTGCTCACGTCTCCAAGAAGAACGGCGAGGACTGGACTACCTTACTCCGCTTCGTTCGCAAATGCCAGTTTGTCGCTAGAGAAGACCGTGAAGGAAGTGACAGCATGGTCTTCTGCGAGCAATACGAGGATGAAGACCCGTCCAAGCCTCTTCAGCTGATTTCCAGTGATGACTGGTATGAGCACAAGAAGGTTCATTTCGAAGATGTCATCAGCTTTGCTACCATGAATGAATTCATGGTTGTCGCTCTTAGAGACAAGGAAGGAAAGGATTTGCGCGTGGACACGAGCATTGACGGCAGAACTTTTGCCAACGCTCAATTCCCTAAAAACTTCAAGGTCCCACACCAGCAGGCTTACACTGTTCTTGACAGCTCAACCCACGCTATCTTCCTCCACGTTACCGTCAACAATAGAGAGGGTCAGGAATATGGTTCGATCATCAAGTCAAACAGTAACGGCACCTCATATGTCATGAGCATTGAAAAGGTCAACCGTAACACCCCTGGATATGTCGACTTCGAGAAGATGCAAGGACTTGAGGGTGTCGCTGTCGTAAACATCGTTTCCAACGTTGATGAAGTTGATGGTGGCGCCTCCAAAAAGCTCAAGACTATGATCACTCACAACGATGGTGCAGAGTGGGGCCTCATCTCTCCTCCCCAGAAAGACTCCGACAACAAGCCCATCGACTGCAATGGTGATTTGGAGAAATGTTCTCTTCATCTTCATGGTTACACTGAGCGCAAGGATCCCCGCGACACATACTCTTCGCCATCAGCCGTTGGTTTGATGATGGCTGTAGGTAACGTCGGACCCAACCTCGGCCCATACAAGGAGGGCAACACTTTCATCACTCGTGATGGTGGTGTTGAATGGCACGAGGTCTTCAAGGGAACCTACATGTGGGAGTATGGTGATCAGGGATCCATCATTGTCATTGTGCAAGAAGGAACACCTGTTGACACCGTCTACTACACTACCGATGAAGGCAAGAAGTGGACCGCATATCAGTTCAGTGATACCAAGGTCCTTGTCGACGATATTTCAACTGTACCTTCGGACAACTCTCGCAACTTCATTCTCTGGGGCAAAGACGGAGGCTCCTCGGGTGGTCTTGTTACTGTCAATCTCGACTTCTCCGGACTTACAGATCGCCAATGCAATCTGAACGAGGATAACCCAAATGCAGAAAACAGCGACTACTACCTCTGGGAGCCCAAGCACCCTCTTTCTGATTCTGAGTGTCTCTTCGGCCACATTGCCCAATACCACCGCAAACGCCCCGACAAGGAATGTTACAATGGCCCTGCAATCGAACGCCTCCACGGCATTTCAGAAAATTGTACTTGCACCCGTCAAGACTTTGAGTGTGATTACAACTATGAACGTCAAAATGATGGTTCTTGTGCTCTTGTCCCCGGTCTTGAACCCATCAATCCTCTTGAATACTGCGCCGCAAACCCTGATCTTGATGAGTACTATGCACCTTCTGGATACCGTCGTATCCCTCTCACTACATGTGCTGGTGGTAAGGAATTTGACAAGATCTCTGAACCTTATCCATGCCCGAACCACGAAAAGCAGTTTGAGAAGAAACATGGCATCAGTGGGGCTGGTCTCTTCTTCGCCATTTTCATTCCCATTGCTGCAGCTGCAGGTGTTGGATACTGGGTCTACCGCAACTATGATGGCCAATTTGGTCGCATTCAGCTCGGTGACACTGGCATGATGGGCAATGGCAATGGAGCATTTGACTCTGAACAACCCTGGATCAAGTATCCTGTTGCTGCTCTGTCCGCTGTTGTCGCTGTCCTTGCTGCTGTTCCAATGGTTGTTGGTGGTCTGTTCCGCATGGTTAGCCAGCGATTCGGACGTGGTGGCTCTGGCGGATACTCAAGACCCTACACCAGTCGTAGCAGCTTCTCAAGAGGTAGAGGCGATTACTCACATGTGGATGCTGACGAGGGCGAGCTGCTTGGTGATGAAAGTGATGAAGAGGTGTAGGAAGAATATGAAGAGCTGTGTTTTTGCCATGTATGATGAGAAGTTTTTCGATGGTGTAGAATAGGATCGTCTCGTATCATTTTCAATATCTGTTACATTTTGATCTCTATCTGTTCGTGTATCTTGTCATTTTGAGAAGAGTCTCTGTTCCGATCTGAGCAGTCAGATCACAGAAGTCTCACTCTTATGGTTGCTTTTCCAGGAATCACTTTGCTGCCTTGGTATCATATATGGTCAGGGGAAGTACAAAGGCATAAAACACGTTATGGGAAGGAGCGAAGGAGTACTCTGCTCATAGGACGGACTCGCAGATGGTTGTATCCCCTGGTGTGTCTTGACTACGATGAAATACTGATGCACAATCCATGTGTAGATAGGCGTGCCCGGGAGTGCCTCATCTCGAGCCCACGTAATCGGAAATGAGAGACCAAATTGTATCATTCTGAACGCCAGATAACATATATCGTCTGCTATAGTCATCTGACAGGCTTTTTGCTGTCGAGTTGCACTATCACGGCTTTTATAACGACTGTTTGCAATTGTGCCAAGCCAAGCCAAACTTTTCCCACCACTGCCACCGTCAAAGTGTCAAAAACCTCATCTCGAGAAAGCTTTTTTGCAGTTGGTCACACCGAAAACAGAGGTATTGGATAATTTCCATTCTTCGCTTGCACCTTGAAAATTGTGAAATGGTATATATATTATATGACCTGGATGTTTCATATCAAATGGTTCTATAGTGTAATGGTTAGCACATCGGATTCTGATTCCGGTAATCCCAGTTCGATCCCGGGTAGGACCTCATCTTTTCTTTTTGGCGACTTTTATTCCCTTCCCTTGTTCTCCTCTTTCTTGGCAATGCCACTGGTTTATCTAGAGGTATCCCTAGGGCAATCGGCCAAACATGAATGTGCGATTCGTATAGCCAAAGGGTTTCCATTCCCTTTTTTGTGCTGTGGGGACTTGGTAAGTGTGGGATGGGCATTGGAAGAATCGAGAAGCACAGTGGGCTGTCACGTCTAATTGTTCGTTTGGTTTGGTTAGGCTGGCTTGCTAATTATGCCTATGTCAGGTTGCTTGGTGTGATAAGCTGTGGACATTTCTACTTCATGAAAGTGCAAACCATTGATTGACATGGCAGCAAAGCAACAGAAATAGTCCCAAACAAAGTAAAAGTCTGCAGAGTACACCGTCTCGACAACCATATCGAGTAATGAGAAGGCAGAAATAACTCTGCACATACGAAAAAAAAAAGTCATCTACCAAACCCCCTCTAATGCAATACTCCTACATACTCTTCCTAGGCCCCTTGTTGGCACCACCTTTCTGCGGCCTCTTCCCTCCCTTGCCCTTCTTCTCCTTCTCAAGCACTCCCTTGCCATCCCTCTCCTGTCTTCCTTTCTTCCAGCCCCCACCCTCCATTCTCTCATCCCTATCCTCCAACTTCTTCTTCTGCTTATTCGACAACTTCTTTCTATCGCCTTTGAGTTTCGCGCCGGGTGTTTGAACACCATTAAGCGCTTCCTTGCCGCGTAACTTGGCAGCGCGTTTGTCTGCCTCGCTCTCAAACCAGGTTTTCTTGGGTCGAGAGAGGATTTCTGCTTCATGCGTCATGATGTTTTCGGTTCGGCGCATTTGCATTTCTGTGGTTGCGAGCACTTTTTCTTCCTTTTCTTCGCGGAGGACGGCTTCAATCTCCTCTGCTAGATTGTCGACTTTTTCCGACCACTCGTCTGCGGCTGCTGGGGGGATGATGCGCGATTTGATGATGGCGCCTTGAGTGCGTGCGGTTTTGACGCATTGCTTGACGACTTTACGGTCAGGCTCTGCAGCAAGCGTGCACGATTTTCCTTGTCTACCTGCACGGGCGGTACGACCTACTCTGTGGAGGTAGATTTCTTGGGTTTGGGGTGCTTCGTAGTTGATGACTGCATCCACGTTTTTGATATCCAGACCACGGGAAGCAACATCGGTTGCGAGCAAGAAGTTAGCAGCGCCAGATCGGAAAGCTTCGATAGCGTTGATACGTTGTTCTTGGCTCATGTTTCCGTGCAGTTCTGCAGCTTTGAGGCCCAAGAGACCAAAGATGACACGGATACGGTGGGCTTCTTTCTTTTGACGGAAGAAGATGATGGTTTTTGTGCTGAAGGATTCGTGGACGAGGTGGAGGAGGTAGCCGATGCGCTTCTCTTCTCTGCCTGGACGTAGACGTACGAATTCTTGGGTGAGACCTGCGACGGTTTGGCGTTTGCTGTCGACCATGAGACGGACAGGACGGTTCAGACCCACGCGAATCAAGTTGTCGATGCTGGATGTCATGGTAGCGGAGAAGAGCATGGTTTGCCTGGACTTAGGGATGGTCGTCAAGATCTCGTTCAACTCGTCTGCGAAACCGTCTTCAAGCATTCTGTCGGCTTCATCAAGGACAAGAATCTCAATAGTATCGACTTGGAAGGCGGAAGAGTTGCGCATGAAATCGATGAAACGACCGGGTGTGGCGATAACAACATCAGGACGTTGTTTGAGTGCTGCTTCCTGCTCGCGCGAACTCATACCACCGATTGCCTGACCGAAAGTGATGTCTGTGAAACTGGCCAGCTTGACTGCGACGTTGTAACATTGAAGAGCCAGTTCACGGGTAGGCATGAGAATGGCAACACGGGTAGTTGCGACCTTCTTGGGCCGGTAGAGGAGACGTTCGAGAATGGGGATGATGAAGGCGGCAGTTTTACCGGAACCTGTGACGGCACCTCCGACCACATCCTTTCCGAGAAGAGCGACGGGGATGGCCTTGTGTTGAATAGGTGTAGGAGCGGCGAAACCGACAGATGACAGACCCTTGATGATGGGACGTGACAGGCCCAACTCCTGGAATGAACCGACACGCTTTGCTGAAGGATCCTTGTCGCCATCCAAGTTCGACTCCGGAGCGAAGAAAGCAGCACGCTTCTCTGCCTCCTCGGCATCCTCTTGTTCTTCAGCATCTGAGGCTTCCGACACCTCGTCGTCAGGATGAGGAACATGCTCAGCGACAGACTCGTCATCAGATTCATCTCCAGCCTCGCTGCCATCTTCAGCATCGCTTGCCTTGTCTTCATCCTCATCTTCCTCTTCGTCTTCAGAGTCCTTCTCAACTCCAGGAGCAGCACCCATACCAAAGCCGTCTTCAGCGAGAAGCTCATCCTCGCCATCATCGCTCAGACCAGCAAACTCAACCTCCTCTTCCTCATCAGCAGCCTGATCTTCAGCCTGAGTCTTCTTGTCTTGCCTCCTCTTGGCAATAATATCATCAATATCCACGAGTCTCTTGCCAGCATTCTTTTGCGCATTGTGAGCAGTCCAGCCGTCAAAGTCTTCCATATTCGCCGTCGTGCCATCGCCGAGTTGGAATTCAAACTCCGGATCCAGATCTTCATCGATGGCTTGTTGTTCTTCGTCGTTGTCTGAGTCGGCTGGTTGTTGTTGCTTCTTCTTTTGCTTTTTACTCTTCTTGTCTTTCTTGGACAGGTTTGCGGCGTCGGAGTCGCGCTTGCGCTTTTTGTTGGAGAGTTGTGCAGGCTCTGCTTCGGTTTCTGCTAGTTCGTCGGCGAAGCCATCTTCGTTGTCGGAGAGGGTGAGGACGAAATCGTCGTCCATGGGTGCCATGATTGCGGATGTGTTGAGAGACGGGCGTAAATGTTGGGTGTACACAGAAAAATGATGGTCAAGAATGTTAGAAAAATTCCATGGCTGGAGCTTTGAGCGGAAGTGCTAGGGAACAGCCGGGAATGGCTTATGCAGCTCTTGCCTGCAGAATCTTGGAGGTGGCTGTTGGGTAAGCAGATCCTCAGCGTTCTTGAAGAAATGCTCGGAGGTAAGAGATTCTGCCCCGCAAGCCGCAGGCGGTGAGTATAGCGCCGCATTGGCACATGCCCGCATGCGGTCACTCGACAGTCTTGCCAGCTTGAGCTCGTCCAACACTTACACTTACCTCTTTCCCACTCCACCTTCTCTTCCTCTCTCAACTCGCAAATCGCAATCAAGAGTCTTATCCTCATTTTCAACTCGAACACCCAAATCTCCAACCAGCCTAAAAAAATGGCAGACTCAACACCCTACGCCCTCTCAAACCCCCCCACCGACCTCTCAGCAATCTCCCAAATCGACTCTTCAATCCTCTTTCCCACCTTCACAACCTCCGATGCCTGGACTCTAGGCTGCCTGCTGCGCTCCCGCCTCTCCACCTTCCCTTCTCCAACAGTAATCTCCATCACCCTCGCCAACTCCACACCTTTATTCTACACAGCCGTGCGCAGCGGCATAACCCCCGACAACACTTCCTGGGTGGCCAGAAAGAGCGCGACGGTGCTTAGATTCGGCACCTCGACTTGGTACATGCATAACAAGTTTGCGGGCGACGAAAAGGCCTTTGCCGAGAAGTACTGTTTGCAAGACAAGGCTAAGGAGTTTGCAATTCATGGTGGTGGATTTCCTGTTAGGGTCAAGGGGGTTGAGGGTGTCGTGGCTGTTATTGTTGTTAGTGGGTTGAAGCAGCAGCAAGATCATCAGATTATTGTTCAGACTTGCAGGGACTTTTTGGATGGTGTTGGCGAGGGTGAGGAGAAGAGAAAGGAAGATTAGGAACGCTCATTGAGACCCAGGACGATCCACGGCAACAACATAGGCGTCGATCTGGAACATGAATACAAGAAAAAGGCATGATGCATTGGAATACCTGGAATTAAGGACTAGTGTGCTAGGGCAGGGGAGGATGAATGATGAACGTGAAAATAAACAGCAGAAGGGGTATCGTTTTTTCGCGATGCAAATGAAAGCACGCCAGAGACATCGAAGGATGCAGATGCCACATCTTCCTGGGAACCCACAATCAGAACTCCATAAACGCCCGTGCTATTTTTCGTCTTCCTCTTGCCATATGCTTCATTACATCCACAGATATGGACAAGTCAACATGAGGTTTATGCCTCGCTCCTTACCTAAAATGCGACCTGTAATGACATAGTTAGTATCCCATCCCGGTACTATTGGTTAGCAGACTGTCCATTCGTTGTAGCGCTGGAAAACAGAGGCGAAGGGGAATATATGGTAACAGAAAACAGGCAAAGTCGTCTTTCCGGCTTAGCTTGAGACTCGCGATGTATCCAGGCAGTGTTGTTCGGATGATGGTCACCACGTGCTAGGTGTGTTGGTAGTGGTATGGTATGTGAAGACGTCCCATGTTGAGATGGGTGTCGTTCATGAGGCACGAGCCTTCTTGCTGTCTTGCTCGTCGTCTACTTGGTCAAGCTCTGAGAATGATCGTTTTGCTCCAGGTGATGCCTTGCTTGACGTGTTTGTAAGTACAGGCGCAAGTCCGGCGCCATCATCTTCGTAGCTGTCTTCGTCGTCGAAGTTGATCTCATCATAGTCATCGTCCTCGATTGCGAGTGACTGACGCTTAGCGACTTCCTTGCTGGCGGCGTCATCGGTTGCGGCGCTATCATGTTCAGCATCTGCGACGCCATCGTTGACAGACTGATCAGCATTGCCGTGCTCCAGATGCGCATCTTGCTCATCTTCAGGGCTGGTCTCAAGCTCATCGGCGTGAGTGTCCCCGGACAAAGTCACAGTATTGTCATTGTGTTCCTCGGCAGCTGGAGCTTCAACTTCTTGCTCATCCTGGTAGTTGTGGCTATCATTGTCGACCGCTTCTTCAGCGGCAAAGGCGCCTTGTTCTTCTTCGTGTACTTCACCGTCTTGATACTCGTAGTTCTCATCAAAGAACTCGCCTTGACCGAACATGTGCTCTTCACCTTGTGTCTCATACTCTTGAGGCTCTTCAGCATGTTGCTCGAAGTGCTCTTCTTGCTCATCATGTTCAGAAGCGTGTTCGTCCTCAACAGTGTCATCGGCATTCTCATTCTCGTGGCTCGTTTCGTCACCAACGGCAGCCTCCACATCAGCAGTGGCTGAATGAGCTTCAGCAGGTGCAGCGGCTTCATCACCATGACTTTCATCCAACAGCTCAGACTCGCCTCCTTGGGCGTCAAAGTACTGAGTGTCATCATGGTTGTACTCGGACTGATCGGCGGTATCGTCATGCACTCCATGCTGAGCCGATGCTTCGCCTTCATACTCACCCTCTTGAGCAGGGCCATTGTGCTCGTCTTGCTGTTCGGCTTGGGGAGCGGAGGTATTCTCTGTGGGGAACTCTTCCTCGGCGACGTTTTGTGCGCTCTCAACGGTAGGAGCACCCTCTTCAGTCAGTTGCTGCGTTTCATCAGGCTTGACCGACTCATCAAAGTCATCGTCAAAGTCCTCATCGGGCAACTCGGTAGGTTCGTCATATTCGTAGTATTGTAAGAAGGATAGCTGTGAGAAGCCTTTGCCTTCAGAAATGGCTTGAGTGATCGAAGCCAAGCGGTTGCTGAACCTAGTTTTGGTAGTAAGGGACACACGGAAGGGTGGTGGGCTATCATTGCCATCAAGCTTGTGCAGCTGCAGGTACATATCGAGTAGCTCGGAAAAGCTGGTTGAGAAGGCGGGTGTCGAGTCCTGGAGAAAGCAGTCAGCAATTGTCAACAATGTCGCACTTAGCGTTCATAACTTACTTCGCTCACGTAAAGGTCCAACTCTTCCACGCCCAAAACCAGCTCTTCGTCTTCACTGATGCCATCACCAAGAGCAGTGCGACAAGCTTGAAGCAAATCACCAAGACTGGTGGTCACGAGATTCTCGTTCTGCAGTAGGTACTGCTCAGGCACAGCAGGGTCTCTCGAAGGAAACAGATAGACCTCGTTCTCCTGGTACTCAACTATGGTGGGGTGCAGACCGGTCACAGTAGGCGAGTTGACTTGCCTCTCACGAGAGTAATCATCAGGAACGGTATAGTTTGAGAGGTCGGTCTCATGACGAGTCAAAGTGCGTTTGGCAGGCTGGTCATCATCTTCTTGGGCAACGCCAGTCTGAATATCATCATTACCTTGTTCTGGGTGCTGATCTTGTGTAGGCTCTTGTTGAGCGGCTTGAGCGACCTCTTCCAAACCTTCGTTGGCGGCATTAGAAGTTTCGGTGGACTCAACAACGGACTCCTGAGCATGTGTCTCAGGCTGTTCAACTGAGTCTGGAGCAACTGAGGGCTGCGCCTCTTCTTGGGCCACAGACTGAGACTCTGATTGGGCGGCTTGCTCAAGAGGTTCTTGAGAGACACTGTCTGACTGGTCGTTGTTCACGATCTGGGCGGTCACAGGTTCTTGTTCTTCGGGAGAGACAATCTGAGGCTGCTCCACGACCTCTTCTGACGGTGGGGCTTGAGTGTTGATGGGCTGAACACCCTCGGTCAATAGCTCGGATGCAGCTTCGGACTGAACAAGTTCGACAGGTTCTTCAGTAGCAGTAGTCATAGGTTGCTCTGCAGGCGCTTCGGATTCGGCGACAAGGTGGATGTCGGGCTGACTAGGCTCTGCAGGGTTCATAGGAACATCTTCTTCGTCTTCACTAAAGTCTAACAACTCCTCATCTTGCTCATGGGATGGAGCATCGTCTTGCATCATACGGTCGGTATCTTCTTGATGAGAGTCATCAATCATGAGATCGTCGTCTGCGCGGTCGGATCTTGGATCTTCCTGCATTTGGTGGTCGTCTACTTGAAAGGATTGCATGTTGGTGTCTTGGGCATCGGGAGCGTCGAGATCGATATCAATGTCGGCATCCATGTTGCCATACTCGGATGAAATCTCCATAGAGTCTTCAGGCTGTTGTAGGCCAAAGGAAGGTTGGAGAGTGGTAGCCATGACGGCTGAGAGGCGAAGTGGGTGGTACTAGTAATCGGCAAGGGGGTTGGATGTTGTGCGCGGAGAACAAAGGAATGCAGATGATGTGAGAGTGGTGAAACGTGGGCTAGCGGCTTGCCACACTAGTGTACATGCAGAGCGTCGTGGGATGCGAAAGCTGGTCAGACTGATCCTTCGAACACTTGCAAGGCAGTAATGACACGTTCCAGAAGTCTAGCGACGTATGTAAATGGCACAGATTTACAGATGGTTGCCAGTGGTCGCGGGTTGCAATGTTGGGTGGAGAGAAGAAGTTGGCGAGTCGGGCAGCAGAAGTCGAAAGGACGAAAACGGCCAGGCTGCAAGTGCAGACGCGAGTGGGTGCGGTGGGCGGAAGCGGGTGCGGAAAGACTTGGCTCGCTGTTTGCTTGGCAGAGAGTCGACGATTGGCAGGAGCGAGCAGCCCTGGGCAGGCAGGAGCCACGAAGCGTGGGGAAGTTCAGGGAGAGGACAACTAAGGTCCAGAATAACAACGAGCTATACCATCTTCTGCCACTCTTTGTCGCTACCTTCCTTCTTTCCGTCTGTTGTTCTTTCTGTCCGACACAATAATGGTAATCAACATCTTCCATCTCTCAGCTCAAGCACATGGACAGCTAACGCAATGGTATAGGTTGTTCTGGCAGCATCCATCTGCACGCGCGGCGGCAAGGCCGTCCTCTCGCGCCAGTTCCGTGAGATGCAGCGTTCAAGAATTGAAGCTCTTCTTGCCTCGTTCCCCAAGCTCGCCGACAGCGGTACCCAGCACACAACAGTCGAACAGGACAATGCCCGCTTCGTTTACCAGCCCCTTGACGAGCTATACATGGTCCTCATCACCAACCGCCAATCCAACATCCTTCAGGACATTGACTCGCTACACCTTTTCGCTCAGGTTGTCACCAGCATCTGCAGAAGTCTGGACGAGCGTGAGATCCTGCGCAATGCTTTCGAACTTCTGAGCGCCTTCGATGAGCTGGTCACTCTGGGCTACCGCGAGAACCTCACCCTGAGTCAGATCAAGACTTTCCTCGATATGGAGTCGCACGAGGAGCGCATCCAGGACATAATCTCAAGAGTATGCTCGTCTTCTCATTATCCGCAATACAACATGCTCACACCCACTTTAGAACAAGGAACTCGAAGCCACCGAGGAGCGCAAGAGAAAGGCCAAGCAACTCGAAATGCAGCGCAAGGAAGCTACTCGTTCTGGTCGCTCCAACATGCCCAGCGCTCCTTCATATCCTACTTACACTCCTCCGCCTACCCAACCCGCCGTCACCGACACCTACGACTCCTACAATGCCGAGAAGAACAAGTCCTTCCAAAAATCTCTCCCTGCACGAAGCAAGGGTATGCAGCTCGGAAAGAAGACAAAGACGACATCCATGTTCGAACAAGTCCGCGGCGATCTTGGTCCCGAGGCAGAGGCTCCCCTTGTTCCAGCCGCTCCAGCTGCCAGTGCTCCTGTACAGGCCGCCGCGCCCGCCGCCTCTTCAGACCGCGAAGGTCTTCACATCACAGTCGCTGAGACCATTTCAGCTAAGCTCAGCCGAGAAGGTTCCCTCGAATCATTCGAGGTCAAGGGTGATCTCCAGCTTCGCATTACCGATCCTTCCCTCACACAGGTCCAACTTGCCCTTGCATTGGGCGACACTCATGGCGCACAGCTCAATTCTCATCCCAAGGTTGACAAGGCTGCTTTCAAGAACGACAAGATTATCCAACTCACAGACACCTCGAAAGGCTTCCCTGCAAACAACTCAATTGGTGTCATGCGTTGGAGACTGGCTGCAAAGGCTGAAGATATCAGTGACCCTCCAATTACCTTTACTGCTTGGGTGAACGAGACTGGCTCTGGCACATACAACATCACTCTTGAATACGAACTTACCGGTGGAGATGCCCTCAACGACGTTACCGTTTCGATACCTTATCAGACCAGCGAGCCTTCTGTTTCCAGCTTCGATGCTGTATACGAGGTTTCTGGCGACAGCATTGACTGGACGATCGGTGACGTGGATGACACCAATGCTAACGGCAGCTTCGAGTTTGAGGCTCAAGCAGAGAGTGAGGCCGAATTCTTCCCTATGAGTGTCCGATTCTCAAAGACAAGACCATACGTTGAAGTCGATGTAAGTTTAACTTTACCCACTTTCAGTGATCTTATACTAACGATCCTCCAGGTCTCGTCGGTGACTTTGTTGAACATGGGCCAGGACATTTCTTTCTCAAAGGACATCAAATCGACGGCGGATGGATACATGGTTGTGTAGGAGGTTATCTTGGTTAGGGCGTAATTAGATTGTGTCATGAAAAGCAAACGAGTATTGGCTACTGTCCCAGAGAGTTCTGATTCTGATCCATCTTGACTTTTCTCTTTTTGACTTCACGTGAATCCATGCTCAAATTCTCCAACTTTATTCCGCCATTACCTGGTGTCTGTTTTGTATCGCGACTACTGTTCCAGAGCGCCAAGACATGGGACTTTGCATTGTTTCTAAACACTATAAACACTGAACCACTCTCTAGCATAACCCAACGTCGACTTCAATCCTGATGAAATCAAATTCAAACATTACTCTCAAGGATGGATGAGGAGTACCACCTTCCTCTGCAGTCAGAAAAATCTCTCTCGTACACAATCAACCCTCATCTACTCGCCTATTGTCCCCGAACGGATCTGCTTGCGATTGTCACACAAGATGAAGTGATCGAAGTTTACCGCATCGGCGGTCAACGCGCTTTTGTTGTGAAGCGAAAGAGTCCATCAACAAATATCGTTGGTATCCAATGGATACGTGATGGTTAGTCCTTGCCACTTTAACCCTGTTTGCATAGCATCTAACACAATCGTAGGTAAATGCCTGGCTGTGGCTCTAAACACTGGATTCGTGGATATTGTGTCTGGAGAAACTGGAAAGATTATTCGACATGGTGGTGACGACCCATTCACCATTGATGCTGCGAATCCGAAGTCCAAGGTCGACCGCGGTGAAATCACCTGTTTAGGTTGGGGTACTGTTTTGACGCAAGACACGATCGATTGGAAGAAACCTTCGAAACCTGAGTTAGACGAATCGATCATCAGTGACTTGTGGAGCCGACTCGGACTGGATCCAGCTGAAGAGCCACCTGCAAGTGATGAAGATGACCTGGAAACTCAAGGACAAGAAGCTTTGCTGAAAGATCTGCCTCGTCAATTATCTTTCCTCGATGTTGAATCTATATTGCCTCGTCTTAGTCCGATTCCAACTCGACACACTGCCAGTGGACGATATGACATGTTTGCTACACAAGCAGCTCTCGACGATTATTTTGACTCAATGCAGAGGAAGGATCGATTGACAGCCGATGTTATGTTTGTCGGACATGCTGGTGGCAGGAATCGAGTCACTGTTGATGATATTCTCGAGATCAAATACACACCCGACTTTCCTGGTTCAGGTATCAAATCGCCTATGGAGGAGGGCGACGAGACACCGCATTCTCTTGTACCGCTCATGTACACTTCACATCGACGCTCAAAACACCATGCTATCCTACGAGCAGAGCGTGATGACGAAGTAACGGACGGATCCAACCAAGGCTTCAAGAATCTTCACATCAGTCTGTTCGACATACCACTGATGTCATCTGGGGGATCGCATTTGCACTTGATCGTTTCGCGAACAGCACAACTTCGTGACTTGTGCGGATACATTTCATGCAGTATTGTATCAGCGAAGAGCGATTGGACCACTCATACCAATCTACCCTCTCGATTTATGGAGAATGTCAATGAAACACTGGAAGAGAAAGGTGAGGGTGCTCTAGAAGATAACCTATATCACCTTGCCATGACTGGAAACTTTACCCCAACAATGCTCGAATGGCTACGCGACGAACTGGCTGAGCGCGGTCACAAACGATGGGATCATGCCATGACGACACTCTACACCGAACTTTCTAAGATTTTACACACGAATCTCCTGCCTGTTCTCGAGCGCAGCATGGTCGTTGCGACGAATCTTCGAGGTCTGGCTCGATACTATTCTGACACACCTCACTTTGATGTACCGCCAGAAGCCTTTACTTCCATTCTCTCGACCTTATCATCTCTGCAGCTACTTGTCCATGAAGCAGTACAAATCTTAGGCGCCGAACAACACCAATTCCGCGCATTCTCGAGATGGCTTAGACATCAGATCGATCTCGCAGCCGCAGATCCCGAGTCTCTGAGTGCAAAAGATATGGCCGAGAGAGAAACACCACAACTGGATCTTCCCAACACACTTGCCTACCTCGAAGGCGGATTAACAAAGTCTCGACTGAAACCCATTGTGTTTTCTACAGCTGAGATTGACGCTTCACACCAACCAACAACAAAAGACCTCATTACCAGTATCCACACCTCACGAGCCAATTCCCAAGCTTCCGATTCCGAGATGGAAAAATTGTTGAGTTTGCATTTTTGGAGTGCACAACTTACTGCTGTCTGCAAATCCGCCCATCAACATATTTCCCTCTGGCACTCTAACTCTGCACCAAAAACGTTGGATCTCATCTGCAGAACCCCCACCACTGCTTCTGTTTTACCTCAACTCGATATCCGCATGCTAGAAACGTCTGCACACGTCTTTCAGACTTTTGTTATCGGTGTTCCTGCTGCAAACAACACCGAGGTCTGTGAACTGGCACTGTGGACCTTGACATCAACGGCAAATGGACAAGTTGACACGACGTGGACACAGATCTTGTTGCCATCCTCAGGTACTATCTCAGCCGTCCACTTCCTAGACGATGAAACATTCTTATGTCTATTCTGTCACGAGCAAGTATGGTATCTGCTTTGTTTGCCTTATCGTTCTGTTTCTTCTGCTTCCCTCGGTGTAAAAACCCAGTGGCACACCCTCCAAGACCTACAACAAGATGGCCATGTAGCAGTCAAGTTTGAAGCAACCTGGATCCCGAAATATCTCATCGCGAATGGAAGAAAAGGAAGAAGGAATTGTGTTGTCGTTGAAGAAGGAAAGAAGAAATGGAGGACGTTTGATCTTGAAGGGTTTAGAAGTGGGAGGGTGGGTGGAAGGGGAGATGAGGAGGACGGAGATGGGGAAGATGGAGATGACAGGGAGGGGGATAGTATGGTTTTTGATTAGTAGAGAGTAAAGAAAGTACGCATGGATAAATTCGTTGCAAAGCAAATGATTACAAGTTATGAGGTTCTGAGAAGTTTGATTGATGGTTGAGAAATGTGAGGGCTTGCAATTTCGATACTGCTAATTCGCTAAACGCGACTCAAAAAACGCTACAAATGGAAAAAGATGATAATGCAAACGAGAGTGAAGTTTCCAAAAACCGAGAAACCGAGACCGCGCTTCGAAACCCCCTAGAAATGACCAACGAAAAGGAAAGACATCATGATACCAATCCAGTCCTTCCCACCCCACCTTTCCACTTCCAAACATAGGAGAGTACTGCACCTTCTTCAACGATCAAAGTTCCTCCGGGACAACAACAGTCTACCGCTTGCCTCCAAAATCTGTCGTCTTTCTCCTCTTCAAAGTAACCAAGGCCTATTCCTGGCATCTCCCTCCCCCAACTCAGGAGAAGAAGGATATCTTCGCGAAGACCTCCTCGTACGACGACGATGACGTTCGAGATAGGCTTCATCAACTACAACTCGAGGTCTCTAGACTCTTTGTGCTTCACTCGCACTTGGCATCTCCGCACCTTGTCCATTAGTCCCATTTCCTACAGCAGTAGCAGGACTTTCATTAGCAGGTGTAAATGACGATCTGAACGCGCCGTTGTTTCTGTTTTGGTTGTTGGCATTGGCATCGATGACGGGAGCTGGGGTGGTGTTGGCAGGGACTGGAGACGAGGAACTAATGCCATTGTTGTGGTTTCCGAGTACGCGCAGGAGGTCCATTGTACGGTCTTGTTGTTGTTGGGTTTGTTGCTGCTGCTGAGTCAAGTCTTCTGGGAATGGTCTTGGTGCAGGTGCAGGCGCGGGTGCGCGATAGTTGTTGTTACTTGGGTCTTCGTAGCCTTGTTGCTGTTGAGGCGCTTGAGGTGGAGGGTACGAGTTTTGCTGCTGGACCTCTGGGTATCCTGTTGTCTGTGGGCGAGAGAAGCCTTGGACGCCCAGACCACCTGGTGTAGATGCTCCAGTATGGCTAGGGTAGTCGAAAGGACTTCTATCCACATCCATGCTAGTATCGCTGGCTGCATATTCAGCACTAGCACTGAATCTCCTGGTGCCATTCGCATATTCATTGGCGAGTCTTTCTGCCTCTTCGAAGCCATCTAGTCCTTGTACTTCTTCACGGGATACGTCTTTCCAGTGACATCTTGCATGCTTCTTGGTGCATCCACCACATGAGGACAGATTCTTCAGGCAATCCATCTTCAGACGTCTGCAGCGGTCGCATGGGGGCATGACACGAGAACCGCGTGGCAGGCTTTCCATGTGAGCTTGACAAATTGTACGATAAGGTTGCGACACTTCTTGCGATGGGGGCAGGGGTTTTGAGAAGTTGTGGCGGGGTTGCGATTGTGGTGACTCGTCGCGGACATAGTGCGAAGCTTGGGCAGCAGCGGCGGCTGCTATGGCGGCGACGTTGGTAGGAACGGGAGATACTGAGGTAGAATTCGACTCGAGGATTGGTCGAGGGTGCTGGCTGAAGTTTTGCGGAGTTTGAAAAGGTGGTGACTGAGGTTGTTGCTGGATGGACGAGACGCGACGGTTGTCTGGTTGTTGGGGTACTTGTTTAGGAAGAGACTGAAAGTGCTTCAGAAGATCGTTGCGGATGTGCAAAGCAGGGTCAACCTTGTCTGGAGACTGCGGCTGTTGTTGTTGAGGCTGCTGTGGGAGTGGTTGTTGGTTGGTGTTGTTGACCGAGACGAAAGAAGGAGGAACAGCTTGCTGCTGGACTTGATTGTTATGCGACTCTTCGGTAGATCTGCGTTCGAGAATAGCCATTCTTCTCCCCTTCAGGCGATGGGCCAGTTGGCGGGTACGAGCGGCGACCGAGTCGGCAGCTGCAGTGAGATCTCGCAAAGCTTTCTCGACGAGCTCGCATGTAGCCACCTCTTTCTCTTCGTCCTCCCAGATAGGGAGCGGTGGAATCAAGTCTTGACATCTTCCACTGTTGATGAACAGAAAGTCCTCTTCAGAAATCTGCACGCGCACTTGCTTCTGGGGGTAGTAGAACTGGCACACACGACGACCTTCGCTGAAGGTGGACAGGGTGAATTGCGAGGGATGTGCTTGGGCAAAGTGCACGACGTCCAGCCAGGTCACCTGAGGCAGGTCTGACTCTCTAGCATGAGAATGTGAAGCGATGACTCGCGGAGGCGCATCGAAGCAACGCTCGAAGCGCTTGATCAGGATTGGACCGAGAGGACGAGCGCCGAGGTTGCTAGCCAGCGACTCATGACGATCCAGAACTTGAGTGTATGATGACAGAGTCTCTAGCATACCAGGAAGTGTGTCTTCCTTGGAAATGAAGGGGAGGTCGTCGATGCATTGGCGGGCAATGTAGTTGATCTGCAGCTGACTGCTCACGTTGTTCGTCTTTGGCGCCTTGTTCTGCGGCGGAATTGCTCCTTGGTATGGGGCCAACGAAGGACTTCGCTTGCGCTTTGCGCTAGGGTTGACTGCATGGCATCAGTATGGTGTTGGATATGTGTATAGAGCACGACATGGACACACCCAGCTGGCGGGCATCGGTGGGCGGAGCGGCTTCGGACATTGTCAGCGCGGACTGCGGTGGGTGGTGTGCGGTGGAAGGCAGGCAGCGGTGGACGCTGGCCAGAGGCTGATCAAGAAGGCTGCGCACAACGACGACGACTTGTCACGACGGTTTGCGTGAGTGTAGAGGTGAGGCTCGCGCTTTGTCGGCACTGGGATTGTCGCTGCCGCCAATGCTGCCAATACCCATCCAGGCTGTCTATTCCAAAGCCTCTGACTGGGCCTTGGCAGCAATGGTCGGCCACCTAGGCCGGCACTCGCAACTGGCGCTTTCTGGTTCCAGTCTGGCCCGGCAAGCTCACGCAGCGTGCAGCGTGTATTCGTCACCGGCCGCGTAGTCTCCTGCCGCCCTTGCGCCCCGGGCGGAGCGGTGTGGAAGCTATCTCAAGAACCACAACCGGAAGGCGCTCCATGACGGGAATAACATGTTTGACAGCCAGTAGTATCTGTGAACTCAATCTCATCCTTGTATAACACCAAGACTAATCGAACACCTTTGCAAACGACAGTCTACCAGTGACAGTCTACTGTCCCAACTTTAACGCCCCCAATCTTGTATTCAGGGCCTTCAGGCTATCACGGCAAGTCAGTCCTAAAAAGCCGCAAAGTCCAAAACGACTTGCCTGCATCAATCGCGGAGCGGAAAGGAAGGCGCAAACGCACGGATCTCCACCGCGCCTTCCTCTCCTCCCCGCTGCCATTCTCCGCCGTGCGCGAGCTCCGCCATTGACAGCTCTACGTCAGATTCAATCTACGAATCGCACAGCACATCCACCCAACACAATGTCAGAACGCGGTCAATTCAGAGGCGGCAACAGAGGAGGAAACCGTGGTGGAAACCGCGGTGGAAGAGGTGGAGGTCGTGGCGGCGCTCACAACAACAACAACTCATCGCACAACAACGATTCCGAGACACCGCGCCCAAAGAAGGAGAATATTCTTGATCTGAACAAGTACATGGACAAGGAGATTCAGGTCAAGTTCAGTGGAGGCAGAGAGGGTGAGTTTTAGTCACCCAATCGAAAGACATCCAAAGAGAAGGAACGCATGAGGGGGCCACGAGAACGATATGAATGCGCTCAAAGGATGCAAAGAGAGAATCGCAAATACTGACGAGACAAACCACAGTCACCGGTACACTCAAAGGCTACGATCAACTCATGAACCTCGTCCTCGACGACGTCAAGGAAATCACAAGAGGTAAACTTCCTGCCTGCGCGACTCACATCCTCCCAATTCTCCTTGACGCCCATCACTCTCCTTCTCTTGCTACACATCCTCCTATGTACAGCTCAAGACAAAGCTGACATGCGCCAATCAACAGACGACGAAGGCAATACCTCGTCAAGACCACTCGGTCTCCTAGTCGCTCGTGGAACCCTCCTCGTCCTCATTTCTCCCCTCGACGGCAGCGAAGAGATCGCAAACCCTTTTGTGCAAGCTGAGGAGGAAGGTGCCGCTGCTATCTGAGCAATTGAAATCCTAAAAGAGCCCGAGAGCGTGCAACAAAACTTCATGGAGAGCTAGGCAGACTGGACGACACAAGAGGCTTCAAGTCCAACCTCTACGAGGACGCCTCGAGTCAGGATGCAAGAGATGGGGGATTCGACTGCGTGACCAGGACAAAATCGGAGGGCGTACGCGACAAGCTCGATGCTAGAGTCAGGCTTTCGGTTTTGACCAAGATTTTGCTCGTTGAGCATATCACCCTGTCTGATATTTGCACATCCTTCTCAACGCCATGATCTGATGCATCAAAAACAGAGGAGGTCTTTGTCGTTTGAACCTGAGAGCGTAAAATGAATGATCAAATGAATTGAAAAAAAAAATGTCAAAACATCGCTGTCATGAGTGCAAGACAGATAGAAGGTCGCCTTTGATACGAGACGTGTCGATTCATACCTCTATGCGCTGACCTGCAGACAGCAATTTAGATAACATACTGAGATATCGCCAGATCTTTAGACACATCATCGAGCAGATTCTTCTTCGCAAAGCCAAATCCAGACTGAATTCATCACGGCCAAAATTATTCGAAAACAAGACTGTCGTGTTCATTATCTAGTATCAGTGCAAAAGCAATTATCAATCGTGATTACAAAATAAGACGCCCCTTGAACCTCAATTTTCCCAAGAACTGCTTAAGCAATACGGACATTGGCACCGTGGCTATCTCCATAGGGGTGATCAGTCTCCAGACCGCGCTCCTTGAGCACACTAGCAGGAGGATCCTTGTGCAGACGGTGACGGCCAGAAGTATCAGTAGAAACAGTCTGATGACCATGTTCCTGAATATCATTGTAGGGAGCCGAAGAAAGAGGGTTAGCTCTCTGCTCCTCAAGCGAAGGCTCAAAGCTAGCTCCCGCAGCAGGGATAGAGCCATCAGCAGCGCGTGCCTCGAGTTCGCGCTGGTGGCGCTCGTGGGCTGCAATGTCGGCTTCCTGGAGACGACCCTGCTGACGCAAATCGTCTTCAGGCTCGTTCTTCTTATCGCGGTGAAGGAAGCCGAGGATGCCGTGCTTCTTCTTCTCGGGATGTTCGTTCTCCCGGGTGGCTCTTTCGGCTTCCTTTTCGGACCTGTCGGCTTCCTTCTCACGTTCTTTCTCGGCCTTCTTTTCTTGCTTGGCAATCTCGTGCTCACGTTCCTTCTGCTGATGCTTCAGATCCTTCTCAGTTTGATGCTGTTGATGCTTCATGTCCTTGTCCATCTGGTGCTGCTGAGCCTTGCGTGCCTTCTCGGCCTCGTGCGCCTGATGCTTGGCGAGCTTCTCCTGCTCCTTGGGGTCAAGAGCCTCATAGGCACCGTAGCCAGCTGCTCCAGCTCCGCCAGCTACAGCTCCATCACGAGCAAAATGTTGGCGTTCTTCTCTTTCACGTGCGAGGATTGGGTCATGGTTAGGATCAACGACGTTAGTCGTGTTGGTCGAACGAGGATCAAAAGCGGAAGTACCAACGCTCTCAGGCTGATTGTGGTGCTTGCCGTACTCGTAAGCGCCAGCACCAGCAGCTCCAGCGCCTCCGACTAGTGCCGCGTCACGGCCATAGTGATGGCCTTGTTGCGACTGTGCGAGAGTAGGGTCGGTGCTGGGATCAACGACGTTGCTGGTGTTGGTCGAGCGGGGATCGAAGGTGGAGGTTCCAACGCTCTCAGAGGGCTGATTGTGGTGCTTGCCATACTCATAAGCCCCAGCGCCAGCAGCACCCAAACCTCCGGCGACAGCTGCATCGCGACCATAGTGGTGTCCCGATTGTTGTTGTGCCACAGCAGGATCGGTGTTGGCAGAACGAGAAGCGAACGGAGAAGTTCCAAGAGTGCTCTGAGCAGCACCGCCTTGAGGGTAGCTCTGATCGTAAGCACCTGCGCCTCCGGCCCCTGCGCCACCAGCCAAGGCAGAGTCGTAGGCACGCTGACGCTCAACTCGCTGCTGCTCAAGAATTGGGTCATGGTTGGGGTCCACGAGATTAGTCGTGTTGGTCGAACGAGGGTCGAAAGCGGAAGTACCGATGCTCTCAGGCTGGTTGTGGTGCTTGCCATACTCGTAAGCCCCGGCACCAGCAGTACCGAGTCCTCCTGCGACAGCTGCATCCCGGCCGTAATGATGCTCATTCTGCTTGGACAGATCAGAGTCAACACGAGGATCAGCGCGGTTCATCATGTCGCTCTGATGAGGTCCAGCGGTAGTTCTATCCTTCATCTTCTCGGGCTCAGGCTGAACACGAGGGTCGATGATATTCATGAGGTTACTCTTGTGAGGACCAACAGTTTTGGTAGCAGGGTCAGTCTCAGTGGGGCCGCTACGGCCGTAGTTCTGCATTTGCGAACCAGCGTAGGGTTGACCACTGGCAGTGTCTGCTGCATTGACTCCGTGACCTGACAGTGGTTCTCTGCCGTACTGTTGGCCGCTAGCAGTCTCTGCTGCGCTGACACCTTGTCTTGGGACCCCACCAGTGCGGTGTTCGGGAGACTCGTATGTACCGGCCAGAGCGCCAGCACCGAGACCACTGGCAGTCTCTGACGGGTTCACACTATGACCCGGAAGTGTCTCTCTACCGTAGCCTGTACCGCTGGCAGTTTCTGTAGGGTTGACTCCTTGGCCTGAGTGGCCAGTGCCGTACATCAGATTAGGAATACGGGTGGGCTTGTCGCCAGAAGCAGCAGATGGATCATAGCGCTGGTCATCGAAGCCCTCCAATTCGTGTGAAGGTCTGTGAGAACCAGCCTCATGTGCAGCCAGACCAGCGGCGCCAAGTCCACCTCCGACAAGAGCGGCATCTCTGCCATGGTGAGTTCCAGACTCTGAAGGAATATTTTTAGAGCCAGTGGCGGTGGTGGGGTGGCTACTGAGCGGGAAAGAGCGTTCGGTAGTCGATGGCGACACGACAGCTGAGCTGGCGTTGTATGCGTTTGGCTGTGATCTCTGACCGCCAGCCATGGCAGCGTCGAAGTCACTTAGACGTTCCTGTCTTTGCTGAGCAAGCAAGGGATCGTGGTTGGGGTCATTAACCTGGGCAGAAAGGTTGTTATGGTGCTGGGCATGCTCGTAAGCACCAATACCAGCAGCTCCAGCCGCAGTACCAAGAGCGGCATCTCTGCCGTAGTGATTTCCGCTAGCACCAGTGCGCTGCTCAGTAGCATAAGCATCTGAACCTAGGCCAGTAGAGCCTGATGCCAGACCACCATCTCTTCTACGCTCTTGTGTATCGAGGCCGTCGTCCGAGGGGAATCCGCCGGGTACATGAGGGTCGAGCTGGTTAGCGATATCTGTGCTATGGGGACCGTGCTGGTGGTGAACGTAACCAGGAACGGCGGGCTCTTGGCCTTCAGGACAGGGGTCGCCATTGTAGTCATGTCCAAGACCGCGGTGTGCATGTGAGCTGTTCACGAAACCGCTAGGGTCCATGGTCTCCATCTGTGTAGGTTTGGGACGAGACTGCCCAACAGGAGTAACACTCCTGACGGGAAGCTTTTGCTGGGGTGCAGCCAGACCGCCTGCAGTGGCATAGTCTGTGAAGCCAGTGCCCTCGACGTTACGAGGTTCCTGAGCGGCGCCAACGACACCTGATCTGATGCTTGCAGTACTGGCATTATCAGTGATGTTGGGTCGAGACTCTGGGTTTCTTTGAGGATCGAGGACGTCTTGTCTAAGGTTTGTGTCCTTGGTACTTGAACCAACAGTGTGTTGGGTGGGTGCAGCGCTATCTCTGGTGGTAGAAGTGCCGCTAGCCTTGGGGTCGTTATACATGACATTTTCATCCTGCTCGTGGCCAGGAGAGCTGTCGAGGAGACATGTTAGCAAGTGGCATGTCAGGCAGCTTAGCTATACTTACAAAATCTTCTTGATCTTCTCCATTTTGATGTTCGTAAAGTGTGGTCGTTAGTGGTAAATTTGCTATTTCGCGTTCGTCAAGTATGATCTTGGGTTCGTAAGGGTTACAATTAAATTGAATTGAGATGTGAATGGTTCAAGAATGGAAAGTGGCAGAGTCCCAAGCTCTTTAAAACAGGAAGTCGAGGCATGCACATGACGTAGATGGGACGTCCACTTTGAGGTCCAGATCTGCCGCATCACAGCAGTTCAAGGCACTTTGATGCAGGAAAACGGCTGTTGAAGCCCTGCACGACCAGTTCTGTGACCAATCCACATCCACGAGAAGCTTGAATGTGACATGTCCCGTGTCTGTGGCTCGAGCGAGCGTCTCTTCCTGACTTCACTCACTCTTTTGTCGATGAAGATGCGGGAGCGAAACAAGGATTTGGTGACGCCGCGATCGTCAGTTGCGTCGACAGCGGGGTATCGTGGCGTTGGTGGGCTTGACATGTTTGCTTGTGGCTTTGCACCGCTGTCTACTTCACGTTGCCAACACAATCTGTGCTAATCTGATTCCGCTGAATTCCAGACGCTGGAATAAGCCATCAATAATGCAGGTGAGAACACCGCCGCCAGCAAAAGTCAGGCCATCCTCTCCGCTGCAGTATCCTCATCAACGTTATCCTGGTGCCCTGTTGGGGCGCCTCTTTCGCGCTGAAGCTTGTGTAGTCCTGTGTACTTACTGGTAAGTGAGGATTATTTTGTGTAAAGACCATGTCGTTGTTCAAGGCAGAGAGGATCAAAGCAAGCAAGGTCAGTCACAGTCAAAGGTGTCTTCTTTGCACAATATCGCTCTCCAGGATGCAGAGAACTGGACGACATGGGCGCTAGGTCTCACCGTCTCAGGCTCTTCACAGTGAGACTGCCCCAGACGCTTGGCCTTCGAAAATGCTTCTTTTGCATGGTGATCGTCGCCATCGTCACTGCCATGTCAATCTTCAAGTCGATCGCTTCTGCCATGAACTGTTCCAAGTAGGTCTCACAACCACACAGATAGTGCAAACCTCCTGTCAATCAAGCCCCCTTCTCCATACCTCTCCGCACTTTTCTTCCTCAGACAAGAGTTTGACCGAATACCGCCGAAGCCAGCGTCGGGCGGTAGTTCTCGGCCAGGGCTTTTTGAGAACCGTGCGTTGCGTCGAAGCAGTGGGGAGACGCCGTCCTCCGCATCTACTTCCGCGACCTGATGAGACGGCACTTTTCTACTTCTTCCCATTGTCAATTGCCTCTTTACTCTTTCTCTTTCTCTTCTATTTCAGATACAGTTTACCTCGCCCTTTATTATATACCAAATCTTTACGAACTACTCATTGCTCCCATTCATTGTTCATCAACGTCAAAGCCGGTACAACGGTCCGCACGTCATAATCACCAATTAGCCGCGCCAAACCGACTGTTAGGTAACTCGCGGACTTTGCGCCTTTCATAACAGACAAAGGACCCGGGTTTCCACGTTTCTGGCACGAGGAGACTGGTCTTTTGCTTTGTTACCACGCGAGTGGTACGCTGATCAATTTACAACCACCACTGCGATATTCGAGCCGGCCTCATCCGCAACACACCATTCGCCATGGCTTTCCGCGAGCGCATCAAGAAGGCTCTACGAAAGGCGTCACCAAATTCGTCACTTCACAAATCATCAACAGACACCAAGGAAGGCCGAGAACGCTGGCCTTCGAACGTATACAAACCTGGCGAACCAATGCCTCGACCAAAGTACCGTGCCCCCGTCAAGAAGGAACACAAGGAAAAGCTGGAGTCGTTCAATTTTGCATCTGCTTGGAGAAGAAAGAGTTTCATGAGTGAATACAGCCCTATGGGCACAAGAATGCCGAGTCGACGGGCGAGTCTAATCAGCAGAAAGAGTTTTGGAGGCAGAAGCAGTTTGAGAAACAGCATGACCATGAGTAGGAGGAATAGCGTTTCAGGGGGCGTCAAGAGTGGTCGTGAAAGTCTAGAAGTACCGCGAGAGAGGCATGCTGCTCTTGCGCCTGCTTTAGCGACTGAAGTTGAAGCCTATGGCGACGATGATGTGACCAATGGTATGTCTCGCTCAACATGACATGCAACCAATGTGAGGCTTTGCTAACGACCATGTCTAGTTGGTCTCTCGCGAGTACAATCCAGAGAAGACAAGCCACACCGACCTGTATACTCACGACGTCAAACTGCCGAGTTACGATCAAGAGCTCCGACCAAAGCATCGCCATTGGGAAATACCGCGGAAGGACCTACATCGACACCAACACAAGCGCCGCCTAAAGCTGCATTCGCTCACGACCACACACCATTCACCGAAGAAGAGCTGGCCAGAGCGCTACAACGCAGTCACCTGGAAATATCAGCTCATTGAAAGATATCACGAAATTGAATAACGAGGCGTTCTGAGTTTTGGTCACTTGATACACACATGGGTCATAGGTCGCTCATTCGTTCTGAGCTTCGTTTGGGTGGGAAACGGCGTTTTTGGGCTATCACTGCGGACACGAAGTGTCTTGTATTGAGTCTTGTTCGATTCTCTTTGCGCTCGTTTGCAAGGCGCTTAAAGCGCCAATGACAACTGAGATTGGTCGAAGTGCACAGAGTCACGTGTCGAGGGAAACATTCCTTCCCCCTGGCGGATGTCGATACAACTTGATCATCTGCGTCATTTTTCTCCTGTTGGTCGGGCTCTATTCCAACACGTTACTTTCCTCAACGTAGCCGTTACTCGATGCTAAGGGCACAACAATGGGAAACATACTCTCACCTTGCTTCACTTGGCCCTACACGTACAAAGTGTCTGACAGTCTTCAGATGCAGCCACTACCTCGAGCATCGCCATATATCATACGCCGATTCTGGGGCATCGTACACAAGAAGCTCATGCGCTTTTCGCATCTCTATTGTCGTTGGTACGGGATCTCGTTCAGCAATCAGATCATACAACTGCCTTTCGGACTCCTTATCAAATGGTCGGATGGAACCCGTATCGAAGAGGTGTTGGCCATGGAAGCCGCTCGCAAAGCTGGCATGCCGGTACCTCGAGTCATCTGTTATGGCGAACATCCCGATATGCCTCACGCGCCAGTCTCGATACTCATGACGCGATTGCCAGGACATGAACTAGGTGAAGTTTACAAGAGCCTCAGTCAGACCGAGAAAGACACTGTTCTGTTTGAGATGAAGGCTTACCTGTCGTCAATGCGGAGGTGGAAGAGTCCGTGGGGTGAACACCGCATATGCTCGTCGTCAGGCACTTCCATCAGAAGCGTGCGCGTGCCATTGATATCAATGGGTCCCTTTGAGACCGAGCAGGAGATGAACGACTACTTGCTCTATCCCGCCGGACTCGACATGTATGATAATGACCAAAAAAAGAGTCGACAAGCTTTTTGATGACAAGCACGATATCGTGTACTCACATGGCGACCTCAAGCATCACAACATTATGGTTCACGAAGGCCATGTTTCAGGATTTATCGATTGGGAGTCTGCGGGTTGGTATCCTGATTACTGGGAGTTTACCACCGCTCTTCGCTTTCAGTATGAAGACTTCTGGTGGTATGACTTTGTTCTCAGACTCAGTGATCACAAATATCTGGTTTATAAAGATGCTGAACAAGCTCTCACCAGAATTACAGGTGATTGGTATGCGTGGTGATATTCACACCACTACGTCTGCCACAATATTCAGCAATTGTGCTCTTGGAAGGTCTCGTGTTCATGCTCCTCCAAGAAGAAGGCTAGGAAAACATATTTTAAGGACTACAGAGAACAAATGAAGACAAATGGAGTACCAAAGATTACTCTCAACGACCTTTCCCAGACCAACATCGAGGACATGATCGTTTTTTGCGTTCCGAACATCTATCACATCACGAATTCCAACCTTGCTCAGTCCGCACCTCGTATTGGTCCACTAGGCTCAGAAGCCGCAGAGCGAAGATCGATAGAGCGGTCGCGGTTGTTCGTTGCGGGACGCCGATTGAGCGTTCACATTGCCCCAATCGAGCACTTCTCGTTCCAAAGCCGCAAGATCATCGCACTTTAGGATAACTCTTCCTCCTTGGGGCTTTTGCATCAATTCCAATACATGAAAAATCCAAGTCCGACAAGTCAGCCCAGGAATTTGATTCACCTGGTTATCATAAGTGCGGAAAATCGAATCGACATTGTCCATGAAATCAGGAGGAATAGTTGCAATCTGAACAAGTCCAACTAGAAGAAAGTCTTTCAACACGCCTTTCGCGACCGCGTGGTCGGCAAGCCAGCGCCCTGCTGAGCCTCTCACATGATACTTGGTGCCTGCAAGATCAGCGTTCTGATGGAGATAGAGAGCCCAATGGTAGTCATCTGGCTTTGGTGGATCGTCGCGCAAGAATATCAATATGTGGAGACTGTTGGGCTCGAGGTCTTTCAACGACATCTCGTTCTGGGTTGAGAAAGGACAGGCAAATAGATGGACGTTTTGTTGATGAGGGTATTCAGATTTGCAAGTTATGTGATTGATACCCTACCCTGCTGTCAGGCATTGAACTTATAATGTACCTCTTGTGCGACTTCCTTGGCCTAGATGGTGATCATCACGACAGCGCTTAATCATGTTGGTGTTGAACTTCTCATAGCCAATGGATGGTCAATAAGCGCCAGCATCCCGTATCCGGCTTGGAGACTGGATTGATAGGCTCAGTCGCCCAGTGTAGCCGCCATGCGTACTCCACCGAGATATGGTAGCCAGCAGTGCCGCTCATTGCTTATACTATTATTTCTCATCAGAGTGTTACCACTTATGCTCAAAATGTAAGGTCGGAATAATGCAAACAATCCAGCTGTCCAGAAATCCCATCATCATCAGGGCGATGTAAAGGAGACATATGAGGCAGATTTGTTAAATGTAAGCCGTATATCCATACTTGACAGCCTTGTGTCACCGATGCATGAACAACGCACAAAGAGCGCTAGAGAATTACTCGTTTTGGCAAGCTGGACTACACAGATGTATGCAATGCGCTAGCGTTTGAGTTTGAGATGCCAGATACTCGCGATAGTGATCTGGAGTCCGACCTTACTATGCGTACTGCAGACGAGTCTTCCCCTGCTCCAACCACAACTTCGCTTTGGGCTGAGACTCACAAAGGTCTGATGCTGTTGTACAGCGCTTCGATCAATCCCATGCTTCTTCACACACTTGTTTGCAGGGCGCCTGGAGTATCTGCCAATGACAATTGAGCTACCTCGAGCGGCACGAATTCACGTATCTGTATCTGATGTGTCCTGAGGGGATGATCAAGTCTCTTCCAACTGATCGAACATGCGTCACGACCAACAAGAATCATGACCGGACCACTAGCGTTATCGACCGCGTCTCTGATTTCACTCAGTATAGCCAAGGAGAGTCTTTCCATGACTAGAAACCCTCGACGCTGGTCGCTTATTGCGTCGCTACTAGTACACCCGCGCTTGAAGACCTAATCATGCTATGCGAAGGAGGTCTTAAGATCTAAGTTTTTGTACAAGCTCGGTAGCCTCTAGCTTTTTGCATTATAGCTATAGACTTTGACAAGCTCCGTGTTTACTTCAAGTATTCCTTTTGCAAAAAGATCTCCTGCGAGATCGAGAGTTTCTGCATTATAATGATATGATTTCTATCTCTGACTGCACTTCCTTAATCTTATATCTGGAACTTGACCGCTTTAAGCTCTCTCGAGTCTCCTCCAGAACGCCGTTGTTCTAACCTTAAGACTCTCTCAGGTCTCTTCCATGATGTACTTATTCTTACTTGAAAATTCGCCTAACCTTCTCTCGCACCTCTTCCGTGCTGTGACCTCAAATTCTCGCCTGCTATTCTCTCGAGTTTCCCATAACATTGAAACATCAGCGGAAATGCGAGCTATAGGGGACCGAGATACGCCTTGCGATTTATGGTTATATATGTAAGCCTCGAACCCCACTATCCGATGGCAATGATACTTGGCTTCCATCTTCTTCGGACGCAGTCGCACCATATAATATTTCCTGCCTGGTTATACATCTACGGTTAACATATGAAAAATCATATAGAAGACCCTTATTTGAGTTCTATAAATCATGAGAGGATAGAGCCTCGTTTGATCATAAAGAGATACTACGATGATGTAAACACAATCTTGCACACTAATTCGAAGAAAGCATGTCTGTCTTATTTCTCATCAAAGCTAGAGCAATGACATAGACTATATACGCTTTTTGCTCTAGCACTATAGACGGTATACTCTTTCTTTTTTAGAAGTCACCACAATCCTCCTATCATTACAGGGATTTCCTTACTAAGCACGTACTATACTAGGTGCAGGGTACTACATGTTAAGCGCTCTAGTAGTAGCCGGGTGACTATCACTACGTTAACTCACAAGCGCAAGATGACCCTAAAAAAGCTCCTTAGTGGGGAATTCAACATTGCGTGGATCATAGACATAAGGAGAGCCGATGCGAGCTAGTAAATCGTCATGGTCATCGTCCAAATGTATAAACACACTAATGATGTTAGGTAATTCGTTTCCATCGTTACACTTCTTACATGTCTTAATATTGGCTAGAAGACCCTCGCTCTCCTTACACAAAGACAGTTCTATCCAGGCGGTATGGCGATAAAGAGCAAAGTCGTTTAAGAAACCTTTTTAGCAGCCAAATAGACATAGGTGGCTTTTCTTTTGATAGAAGTATTTAGTATAGAGGGAATCTTCCAGGTGCTTACAGAACTTCTTAATTGTCCATGCTTCGTTAATTGGTTGCTCGCATCCAGTGATTAGACATGAGAACACCATACCGCTTCTCGTACCAGCATAGTCATTAGCGGTTCGACGATTGATTGCCTTGTTCGATACAATTGGAGTTGTAGGTGCAGCAGTGCCGAAGATGATTTGAGCAACTGTACCTTGAGAAGGAACAGTCGTGGCTGCAGTCGGATCTGCAGTCGGATCTGCCGGAGTCATGGCTGTAGGGGCTGCCGAATCTGCGTCTTCGTCGGGAGTGGAACTAGACTCAGAATCCGAGAGAATCTGTCTTCTGCGTGTCGTGCCATGTGAAAATTCAAGAGGAAGATTTTCTTGAGGCTCCTCGCTATCTGTAAGAGATTGCTGGCCATCCTTTCCAGGAGCTTTCTCATCATCCTCTTTGGTGTGCCGGAGAGATACCTCAGAATATTTCTCAACTGTAGATTGAAGGTCCCTGGGCTGTTGAGGGGACTGTTAAGGGGAATTTTGGATGCTGTAATGAGATTTCTCGTCTGTAGAACGAGATTCCTGGACGTTTTGAGGAGATTGCTGAGCGCGGTGATGAGGTCCATCCGCTGTAGATTGAGGCTCCTCGGTGTGCTTAGGAGATTATCAGGCGTGCTCTGGAGATTGCTGAGCGCGTTGACGAGATCCATCGGCTGTAGAACGGGACTCCTCGGCGTCTTGTTGCGCCGCCGAGGGCCAGAAGTCGCGTGCGTTGATGACAGCTTGAATGAGTGGTGCTGGTGCAGGTGCAAGAGGCTGTGAGACATCTCTTAATGCTTGCAGGAGAGGACCAGGAAGTGATGCAGGCTGTGGCGAGAGAGTGATGTTGCTTCACTCATAATTAGTGATGAATCAAAGGTGAAGGTGGTGTGAGTGTACGCACCGATGTTCGAGACAAGCGCTGCGCAGATTCTTGCCATTCTCTGTGTTTGTCCCCAGTTGCCTTGGAAGCCATGAGTGAGAAGCACTTCAGCAATGTCGGTCCAACTGCGAAGCTGATAATCTGACAAGTGAGGATTGATGCGCGTTAACCACTCTGCCTCACGCTGCTGACGCTGTGATAAAGTGCGCGCGGCGTTGGCTCGCGCAATGCTTTGCGGATCGAAGGGTCCATCTTAAGTAAAGAAGTGGAAGAGTGTGAAGATTTGCGAGGGAGAGAGGAAGGAGTGATGTCGATGGGAAGAGAAGAGAGAAAGGACAGAAAGAGGAAGTGATGAGTCGCGCGCTTGTGAAGTTGTGAAGCTGATGCAACCTGATAGAAATTTTGATGGTACAAGAAGATATGTTGACCGCAAGTATTTGCTGAAACCTCTTCCTCTCGGCAAGCGTCCTATACAGGAATCAGAACCAGTGCATCGTCAATACCTGCTAGGGTGTTTTGCAAGATTGATATATTGACCGTAAGTATATGCTTAAGCCTCTTTCTCTCCGTATGCGTCCTGTATAGGAGTTAGAAGCAAAGTATCGCTGATGCGTGTCTGGATTTATGCGAGATTGGTATGTTGACCGTACATGTGCATTAAACCTCTGCCAGCATGAATACATAGATGTGAACATCTCCCACGAGCAAACCGATGATCAACCACCGCATTGTAGGACCTATCGAAGTCTCATATATTGATCATACATAGATCGGCGATCTTCTTCCATTGAATCCCAAGAGTATGGGCTGAATTCAGCCGATGAAACGCAAAGCCTCTGCAAGATTTGTACATGGATTGTGCATCAGTACAAGACTCACCGGAGAAGAGACTGTTTGCGGGTTGAGCTATAGATGAGGCTCTTCGGCGTGCTCGTGAAAGTGCCCATTTGCTGAGACTCGAAAGCTGCGTGCTCTTGCCGATTTCCTGTGTCCGTCCAAAAGTGCCCTTCAAAGCCTTGGGTAAAGGATGCCGAGAAGTCTTTAGTGTTCATGGAGCTAGCTCTAATGTGTCCACATTTTGCGATCGTAGTCTTCTATCCATGATATTCAACACCTCGAGAGATGGAGCCAGAATGAGTTTCTCCAGAACTTCATTGACTCCTGCTCGACCATCGCTTGACTCCAGAGCCAACTCCTCAGGCAACAAAAGTGGGCGATAATCGCCATCTCTTAAATCTGGTCTAGCTTGACTCAAATTGATGGCATCAAGATTGGTCAGGAAGCGGCAAGTCTTCTGGACTACCGAGAAAACCTCAGCCCATGTGCCATCGCGCAGACACGTGTGAGCAATGTGTATAGTAGCCAGAGTATCAGCATGCCTTTCCAATAGTTGAACAAGGACATGATAAGACATCGGAGTATACTCCAGCCACAAGGATCTCAAACCGTTTGAATTGACAGATCCAAGTACAATATCGGCACGTTCGAATTGACGACTGCGCAAAAGCTCAGGCTGTTGGTCAGGTGTCAACCAGTCGTCTCGATTGAGGTCATCGCATCCTTGTCTGTAGGTAAGATCTTCGAGTTGATGAGTGTAAGATAGTATTTGCCCGGTAGATAGCGTGCCAGCATCATCGAAAGTATTGTTCATATCGAGAGACACGGATTTTAAGCTAGACAAAAGCGCAAGATCTTCTGGGCTCATGTCTCTGGTATTGTAACCTCTTTCGTCCGGGTCAATTGAGAGTGCGTCAACCGTCAATTCGAGTTCGGTGAACTGCATCTTGGTGCGGAAGATTGCCTTCAGGCAAGGTTCCATTGTAGATTTGAAACAAAGCTCCGGTTCTCCATGGAAGTGATTATACCTGTCAAGGAACAAAGTCACTGGATCCCATCGTGGTACTTCAAAGTCTGAGATGTCCAAGATGATGGGCGTCTGATAAGAGCGGAGAGAAGCAAATGCGCGAGAAAGCAGTGTTACCGCATCTCCCGAGGACTCTAGTTCGTACTCTTTCGTAGATCTATTCATAGCGTCTTGCATTTTTGCTTTCGCTCGTTTGACTTGAGCTGATGTTGGAGCTGGGATTCGTCTTTGCATGTCTTCAACTCTCTCGATAAGTGCTCGCATCTCGCGAGGATGGACGCGGCCGGAGGAGAGATGCACCTTTCGAACGTGAGGTCCAAATTGAGGATGCTCGCAGATCTCGGCCAGCTTTTCCAGACTGCGGCGCGTCATCAGAGAGCAGAGGTTGAACATGTAGTCTTTCGCTAGGTGCGTGGTCGCGATAGATGATATCCTCTTGGTGCATTGTCGGAAAGCTTTTAGCTCCTTTTTGTTCAGGTAGTCGCATATCTCATCCAAGATTTCACCTGGTAAGGTATCCAATTGTAGTACTTGTTGATGCGACATAAATTATGGTTTTCGGTTGTTGGAGGAGTCGCTTGCGGAGATGTGTCTGACGAGTTTCTAGAGATAGCACAGTTTGGCGTTGCGAGGCTCTGCCACAATCCGAGGCTATGGACAATACGAGTGGAGTGAGATACGAGGAGACTCGTCTTGGTTTTGATAGATTACATGGCTATGTTGCTTGGTAATCGCAATGTTTCGTTGGCAAAACTTTTTGCGCATTGACCGCACATGAAGCAGGGTCGCCCGTCTTGACTTGTTCAAAGCACATCACGTTTGTGTCATGGTTTTGTTTTCGGACTATCAGAGAAACTTATAGACGTAGTTCAGATTTCGCATTCTAAATGTTTTGAAAGTACTCAAGGCTTCTTCTGGTACTTATCTCCAGTACCAGTTTTGACAGCCTCTCTCTGCTCGATACGTTCGAGCCAAGCAAGTACGCTAGGGAAGGCCTCCATATCCTTCTTTTCAAATCCAGTAACCTCCCACTTCGCAACCCAAGGATAAGCTCCGATATCTGCGAGACTGTATCTGCCCTTTCCAGAGCCAGCCAAATATTCTCTGGGCTGTCCATCGCTGTTCTTGCCAGAGAGATGTAATTCGAGTACACCAAACACACGCAGAGTCTCGTTGCGAAATCGCTCAATGGCTGCGGGATTCTTGTCCTTCGCGAATTTGCTAAAGTACCAGAGCTGACCGTATGGAGGTGCACCGGAGCCGTGCCAGAAGAAGAGCCATTGAATCATCTGACTTCGCTCGAGTGGGTCTTGAAAGCTCAGCGCGTAGTCCTTGTCGTATTTTTCAGCCAGGTAGAGCAATTCGGCTGATGTTTCAATGACAGGAAAGGGGGCGCTTCTGCAGTTGTCGACGACCACGGGAATCTTGCCATTGGGATTCAGTCTCAGATACCAGTCTTCTTTTTGTTCATTCTGCATAATGTTGATGATTGATGTTGTCCATTGAATCCCGTAGAGAAGAGCGAGTTCTTCAAGCAAGATCTGCACCTTTTGGCCATTGGGAGAGCTGTAAGTCAACAGGTGGATACCGTTAGCCTTGGAGACCTCAGAAGGAGTGGACTCGATGTAGAGGCTAGACATGCTGTCTTTTCACGAGCAAAAGGTTGAATCGTATAAGAAAGGTGCGATGAGTACAAGGATGAATACGGGATATGACAAAGTGTCGGGCACCGTGAATTTATCTTCACATTGCCTCGACCATTGCTCCTTGAAGAATTCAGTGGCATACCGACTGCACGTTTGCAGCTTAGGCTTGGCGCTCAACGAGTCGATTCTGTGTCAGCATGAATACGAGAGGCGTACATGAATTGCTAAGCTGCGTCTCGGACGGAGGAATAGAGGCCCCGAGCAAGCCGTTGGAAGGTCATCTGTACGATGTCGCGCTTAGGACAGATGGCAAACAAACGCCGGCAAGAGAGCGAGACTCGGTCAGCGTGCACGATCGAAGACAAGTTCTTGTGCGCCGAGCATTGGCAACAACGAATGCATACAGGAGTGTTGGTCAGCAACAATCCAGCGTCGGCGTCGCATAGAGTGAGGTCGCGCTGCAAGCAGCTGTGTACACATTTGAAACCTCTTGTTCACGAAGAGCATACGACGATACCCGAGTGTATACAGACTTTCGCAGTCTACTCAATTCGATGCTAAAGGTCAAGTCGACTTTCACTCCAGGCACGGAGGGCATGCACAGCTGCACGAGAAGTTCAACCAAGGCATGTTGGCATCGGGCTTCGCAGCTGCAAAGCTCTGCTACATTGCCCGCACGCTCCACGGAAATTTGCCAAAAATTTCATCCATGTTCTAGACTCCGATACCACGACCTTTTCTGGAACAAAAGTGATGCTGAAAACAGCAAAAACGATGATTCCGCCCGGGTTCAGCGGGGACCGCCTGTGTGTTAGACAGAAGTGATAACCAACTACACCACAGAACCAATTGATGTAGTTCGAGCAGTCTTGATGATATATATACTAAGTTCATAACCACTCTGTGAAAGACTGATCCTTCATTCTGCCGTGCTTCGACAATGTCAAACAGCATCTTTATACTGTGAAGAGACACGGTCAGTCTTCAGAGGCAGAGGCGTGGCCATAGGGAGCTTATCAGTCGACGTTCCTCCATGGGCCGTGTCCAATTCTCTATAGTAATACATTATTGTGCATCTTAAGAGCTGCACGCTTTACATTCCTTTGCACATGGGAAGATGAGATCTGAAAATTGTACACATAAAGCACTGACTATTTGAGATAGATCTGCACTCCCTGCAACAAAATTGTGCGACTGCAACACTCGTAATTATCACAAACACATTCCACGAGCCCTGGTCTTCGTTAAGAAGGAAGTTGACCGACCCTTCTCCACTCCGGCCAGGATACATACCCGAAAGGGAAATCTTTCTGACCACCAACCTTATCGCTATCTATCGACCCCACAGTGCTTCTATCTCCATGCCTGTGGCTCTGGGGAACATAAATACATCAAGGTGCTCGACAACATGATTTTGCTCAGAAGTATACAGGAACTGTATCTCGATCACTGCACAAGATGATCACTGCCACCGAAGTTATCAAGGCTTGGGAGGCCTGTGATAAGACAGACTCAGCATTCATTCTTGTCTGTAGTGTCTTCTGCTGGCCAATCATTCCCGCTGTCGGCCTTGGATATTCTGGATACTCTACAAGACGCAGCGGACTGGCGTCGTTCATGCCAGCTTTGCTAGCTGTCTCTGTCTGCACTATACAATGGTGGCTCTTCGGCTACTCACTGGCCTATGGAGAAGGCAGTGGCTTCATTGGCGACTTCAAACACTTCATGCACCTCAATGTGCTGGCCGAGCCTGTGGGGACGATTCCCGCTATTCTGTTTAGCGAGTTTCAGCTCATCTTCTGCGCTACTGTCTGTGCCATCGCTATCGGCGGCGTATGCGAGCGAGGCAGGCTCCTACCTCTGATTCCTTTCATCTTCGTGAGTATCTCTCTGCACGACGCTGTTGGGCAAGGAGAAGTCTGACAACAATCGCAGCTTTGGGCTACATTCGTCTACTGCCCACTGGCACATATGGTCTGGGGCGGCGGCTTCCTCGGAGAACTCGGTGTACTCGACTACGCAGGCGGCAGTCCCGTGCACATCTGTTCAGGAGCTACCGCAACAGCTCTCAGCATCTACCTCTCGTATCCCCTCTTCCGCTCGCGCAAATCAGCAGAAAGGACACCAGCGCACCTGGTCTTGCACAAACCACACAACACACTGAGTCAGCTGTTAGCCCTGGTCACCATCTGGGGCTCTTGGCTGGCTTTTGATGCAGGCACTACGCTTGCTTTCAACTTCAAGTCTGTGATGGCCCTGTGTGTAACCAACCTGTGTGCCGCTTCTGGGGCAACGACCTGGGCTCTGATGACTTACTACGAGACTGGAAAGTGGTCGCTAGATTCGACATTCCTAGGCGCCATCAGTGGATTGGTCATGATAACGCCGTCAGCTGGATTCATCGATATGGCCACGGCATTCTTCTTTGGCATTGTCGGTGCTGTTGTGTCGAGACAGGCTTTGCGTATCAAGTTCACGGATATGGCAAGACGGTGGAAGTGGGTCGATAATGGCGATACCTTCGCTACGCACTGCATTGGTGGGTTTGTGGGCACCATCGCGACTGGACTGTTTGCTCAGAAGGAAGTCGCTGCTCTTGATGGAATGACCGAGATAGTCGGCGGTGTCTTCTTTGACGGCAATGCAAGACAGCTGGGTGTCCAGATCGTGGAAGCACTGATTGGTTTCACATGGGCATTCAGTGTCTCCTACATCCTCATCGCTCTGATTGACTGTGTTCCAGGTTGGGAGGTACTGGCAACTGACAAGTGAGTCATGATCCAAGGAGAATCAGCACCAGAAGCTAACAAACACGCTCTAGGGATGTTATGATTGGTATGGATGCTTCCCAGATGGGCGAGTCTCTGTACGAAGATCAATGGAAGGGAGAAGAGGATTACCAGCCATTCGCGGCGACTATTCAGCTGGAGTGAAGACGGCCCTATCGGCAATGTATACTATTTTATCATCTGAATTGAGTCACAGATTCGAATCCTGCGCGGCCCAGATCTTGTGCCGAGTGTATGCGTAAAGAGACGCGCAAGAAGGAGGTGGTCAAGATAAGCACCTTTTTGGGGCTAGTTTGCCAAGGAGACACTGCGGGGCTGTTGATCCATTGGCTGGAGCTTCACTGATTGGCGTTCCCTTGTGCGAGGGGTCTTCTCTCTTCTTGTACCAGCCCATGCTGGGAATAAACAGTCACAATTCCCATAATTTGACTCAATTACTCGATCCAATCGCATGATGGAAAGGATGCTGGCTTCCCGGACTCATCGATAAGCATTTTCTGACGTTTTGGCATCTTCTAGATCAAGTGCCACCGTGACCTCGGCATGCAAACTTCCGCTTCTCTCAAGAGACCTAATCTAGTACTCTCAGCGATCAATTAGCATCTCGGGCTATGTCCATGTCCCCTTGTCTACGAATACGATGTCTGTATTACCAAGCGCCTTGACCTATGAACGCACATAACGCACACAGATATGCCTCCGAAACGAATCAGAGTCTCCGAAGGATCATGCTGGCGTTGTAAAGACCGTCGAGTCCTATGCGACGTGCAGAAGCCAGTATGCACACGCTGTGAAGCTGCCGGTACCAAATGCGAGTATGGCGTACGCCTGAAATGGGCAGGTGGAGTGGCTGCTCGAGGACGTTTTGCTGGCCAACTGGTACCTGTCAAGTCACCTACACCAACACCACAGATCCAAACACCGTCGACACCTGATGATTGGCAGGTGTTGTATTTCTCACGAGAAGTTCTTCCGAGATTTAGCTTGATGGATAGCGGACTTGGAATCGACCCAGCATGGCTTGTAACTGACTCCTCTATTCATCAAGCGGTCATTGCTGTCGCCAACGCCCATCGCCTCTTCAAGAACCATGCCGCCTGGAAGGAGACTTTATCACACATCAAGCAGGCACGTTTGACTGCTATACGATCACTACGAACGCGACTGCAGGAATCTTTCGATCTTTCCCACACTATCACCTTTCCGTCTAGCGTACTGTTATGCATGCTCGACGGCATCATAGAGCCACAAGATGATGGCCTTGCAGCAGGCTTTCATCTCCGTGGCGGTCGTGCCATTCTCCAACACGGCAACCATATGATGGAAGTATCCTCAACCAAGTCTGGACCGATATCACTACTGCTGTCAGTCTACGCGGCGATGGATCTCACGTACGCAATCTTGGGCGGTGAAGCACCACATCTTGGTCCTGACGTCTGGCTTCAGCTTGCTGGCAGCGAGGCCTGGTGGACAGGCATCAGCGACGACCATGCCTTTGTTGACATTATGGCTCTACTCGCGCAACTAGCACAACTCGGTCACGATGCACATACCACTGGCTTCGTGGTCCCAATACGAGAACTGCTAGAGATCCAGCTTACGCTCGGAAGGACAGAGTTACGTCTTGAGAACTTGGCGCTCCCGTCATCTTCAGGCGACGGGTGCCAATCTATCGATGCCCTCACAATTTTCTGTTCAGCATATCGTGCCACCGCTCGCATCTATATGTACCGTGCTCTTTGCAATCTCGACATCTCGGATGTGCTGGTACAGGAAAGCGTACAAGAAGGCGTAGATGCACTTCAACAAGGACCCGAAATTGGCAAATTAGCACATTGTCTACTCTTCCCCTGTCTGATGATTGGCGCTCATTGCATGAATCCCGATGCTCAACAGACTGTACTTAGCTCGCTGGAAATTGCTGATGAGTACCTCTCTTTTGGCTCAGTCAAGGTTATGGAAGCATTCTTGAAGGATATCTGGTCGGCTGTTAATGTTCAGGGGGATTTCTGGACGATGATGCGACCAGTGTCCACTAAAGCTTTCATGTTTTGAGCAAAAGCGCTTACAACACACGAATCAGCCATGTTCCTGAGCTTGCTATAACACAGCAGCAACATATTTTTGATGGCTACAGAGACAGTCAAGTGGCTTGATATGTCCCATGGCATATCGGCAAAATCTTCGTGTGCCCACGAGCCATGTCTATCTGAGACAAGCCACAATAGCAGCAATAGCAGCGAGCGTACCGTCAGGATCCTTAACTCTTGCAGTCTCCAGACCAATCTCCTTGGCTGGATAATCATTGCCTCCGGGAAATATCGCATCCCCGATAAACATCATCTGCTCCAAAGGAATTCCGCTCGCATCACGCAGCTTCTTCAAGCCATAGCCTTTATCCACGCCTTCTCTGGTGATGTCGATGGAAGTTGCTCCGCCCATGTTGATGGAAAGTCCTGGTAGACGTGTGCGCAAGTCTGCTTGAATGACCTTGCGTTTGACGAAATTGGGATCCCAGATCTCCTTTGCACTGACTGGTGCCTGTTGACCCAATGCAGAAAAGGTGATTTGACTGCCTCGATCCTCAATACGCTCTCCCCATGTCTGCTCGGGTGTAAATCCTGTAGCGGCTAGCGAGAGTTCAAAAGCTTTGATAATGTTTGCTCTCTCTTGCTCAGAGAAGAGTTCGGCATAATCGACTTGCCATGCTCCCTCGTGGTGTGTGTAAAGTTTTGTACCGGTGGTCGGCATGAGCCAAAGTCTTGAGAGGTCTGCAGAAGCAGGCAGGCGGCTAGCGACTTGTTTGTGGAATTGTGGCCAGTCGCCGCCAGAGATAATCGCGACGTCTGCGACGGATAAGAGGCTGGATAGAGCTTCGCCCATGTCGGGCTTGATGGGTTGTTTGCTCTCAGCGAGAGTGCCGTCAAGGTCGAAGGCAACTAGTTTTATCATGTTGAGCAGATCTGTTAGAAGGAGAATACAAGTGAGAAGTTGCGGCAAGGCGTCGAACCAAGACCTTTTTATTAAGCAAAGGTGCTGCAGGGACACGTGAATGCTGCAAAGGACGGATCCTTCGTGGCACAGCAGAGACGTTCATGATAAGGACCAGTGGCCTATCATACATAGTAACTTCGTCTTTGAAGTTGACATTGTTCGACAGTCCCCAGTCATCTCCATTTGTTGTCTGCTTACGAGAATTGTGTTATTGTTCACTTAGCGTAGGTAGCAGAACTTACTAGATCACGCGACTCCGCAATTACTGACCACGAGAGTTTACCGTGTCACTTAAGGCGACTAGTGTTGAACTAGAGATCCAGACAAAGCTGCTTTTACTTCGTACTATATCTAGAATTAAGTGTGTCACTCAGTTTCCAAGGATCATACAGAGTGAATGGTCGACCAGGGTCACAGCAGCGGACGGAGTTGCTTCCGCGACAGACATGTGAAGATGGTCAATACGATGAATACGGAGTGACGAAGCTGGACCCCGCGAAACATTGGCAGTCGCGCGACCGACGCGATTGACATTGGCAGGAGCAAAGGTGGCTGCAGCGACTGCTACCTTGAATCACACAATCTGTGTTTTGAAGGACCAGATATTACAGGATGCCTTACCCATTCACATTGCCGACGACATCGTCAACACCGCTAGACGCCTTCATCAACAGCCCCAGTCATCCTTCTCTGCCACTCACAGCGACCACGCAGCGATCAATTCTTCGCGATGCCCTCAAGAAGCACAAACGACTACCAACTTCGCAACAAGCTGCTCACTTGGGAGTGGTCCAGGATGCCGTGAATAGCTATCTTCCTTATGTGCTGGGTATCGCGTCTGCAACAGCCACCGGCAGGATACAAGAAGAGCCTGTGACGGTCACAAGTACGAAACAGCTACAGACGGAATGGCGTCTCACTCTGTCAGCGACATTACCGGGACGAGAACCTCCACGATCGCCGCTACCAGGCATATACAATGATGTTGCTTTCGTTCTACAGACACTAGCATACATTCAAGTTCAACAAGCACGCTCGCAACTCCAAATACTCTACTCGCCTAATATTCCTTCACCCGATCGTCGTACCGCCGCAATCGGCTCTGCCATGAAATATCTGCTCGAAGCAAATTCGATCCACAACTATATTTTGAATCTACACACTCAAGACCCTGCCTCTGCACCTCTAGATACCGTAAACTCGACCCAAGTCGCTCTGGCCGCTCTAGCTCTCGCCGAAGCAACCCTCATCACTGTTCTGAAAGATGATCCATATACTACTGCTGTCATCCAGGCAAGAAATAAAGATGACAAGGAGTGGATGATCTCTGCCCCCAGCATCCCAAAAGTCCGCGCTCATTTGTTTGCTCGCCTGTGTATCTGTGCTTCCGACCACGCTCAACGAGCAGCTGCTTCTTTGGCCCCTGGCATTGGTGCATTGGACTCTTCGTTACTAAACTACGTTGATGATCTTCGTCGTACATCTCGTGCAAAAGCTGCCAGATTTCTAGCCTGCGATGCCGAAGCTACAGGCAAGACCGGAGAGGCAATTGCATATCTACGAGGTGCCAGGCGAGAACTGGGCCTAGCACCTCTGGAACAAGATGCCAGTAAACGCAAAGGTTGGAAAGGCATAAAACAGACGTTTGCAGAGAAACGAGAAGACCGCAGGGTCGAGAAGGGTACAGACGACTGGGGCCTAGATGCAGGCAAACTCGAAGAGGCCAGAGTGTTGGAGTGGCTCGAGGTGAAGTGGGTGAAGCTAAACGATACGGTAAGTCTGACCATGGTTCTTCCAGCTTAACCCTGCCTTCGCAGTGAAGCAGAAGAACACACTGACACGTGTAATCACAGATCAACACTCAAATCATCCCTCCAAGTGAGCCACTCATGGCGGCAATGCCATCGGGTCGTGAATACCATACTCCTAAAGCTTTCACCCCACCAACTCTCGACGCATCTTTATTAGCTCGTCTGCGTGCTCCCATTGATCCTCAACAGCACGCTTTTAGAGGTAATGAAGACGACAGTGGAGACGAAGCATCGAGTCATGAGCCAGTAGTCGTGCCTGGAGCCTTCCCTGGTGCTGCAGGAGGCGCGAGCAGCGGGACTGCATACTACTAGAAATGACCGGGCATTACGATGTGAAAGTTGCCATAGATTTGAATATTCTTGTCCAATTCTACTCATGCTCTGACATGCGATGACCTCACAGCAACTCTGCGTAGAAGACAAAAATGCGACAATGTTGATCTCAATGCGTAAAAACTATCTACAAGCAAGGCTTTTTGCAAACAAGACGTCCGAACTCTCTGCCTCACAAAGACCCTTTCGCTCTATGCTTTAGCAGCTTCGGCAGCTTTGCCATCAACAACCACTTTACCTTCATCCACATCCCCACCGCCGACCTCCTGACCCATCAGAACATCAGACCCATCAACATCTCTTCCCAACATCATGTGTTGCACATTAACCTTTGGTCCCTTAAACCACTTTCTCGCACTCACGACCCACCACACCAAAACCATAAACATGGGCCCTCCGTAAACCACACACGTCCAATTCATAGTCTTTGCGGTCAACTCCTTTCCAACCACTGACGGCAAGCACAAAATGGGCACCATGAGGATGACGAACGCGGACGCAACCACACCCACCGGAATAGACGCCTTGCCTAGATTCCAAGGGCCGGGGCGAAATCTGTTTCCGACGAAGAACACACGGATAAAGATGGGCGTAGTAAAAGCGACAAAGGCGGCAATGGCACCGATGGAAAACATAGCGCCTGCGGCTAGAGGACCGCCGAAGATGAGGAGCAGCATTAGACATGCCACGCCAGTGTTGAGCCAGACTGCATTTACAGGTGTTTGCGTGTGTTTGTTGACGCGTTTCCAGATGTTGCTCAACGGGAAACAGTCGTCTCTGGCGTATGCAAAGGTGACTCTAGACGCGGCGATCATGCAGCCTTGGCCCATGAAGAAGCCGGCAATGATGGTGAGGGCAAGGACGGCGAGGACGCATTTCTGTGGCAGCACTTGGACGAGGTAGGCAGCAAAGGGCTGACCGAGGTCAGAAGACAGAGCGTCTGGGATGGAGACGACGGTATATGCGACGACGAGTTGGAGGAACCAGCCAAAGGTGCCTCCCACAGCTGAAGTCAAGAAGATTGCACGAGGAGAGGCAATAGCGGCATTGCTGCATTCCTCTGCTAGATGGAAGGGTGAGTCGTAGCTGCCATGTCGTTAGCAGATTGAATCTCTTGGTGCTGGATGAAAACTTGAATCACGTACCCACTCATGGTCCAGATGACACCAATAAAACTCATCAAGATACTGACTCCAGGAGGGAAAGCCGTGCCCGCGTAGATATCGCCCCAAACCTCGCTGCTTGGTGTGAACCTAGGCAAGTTCTTGTCCTCTCTATCCGTAGCAGCAGGAATAAGGATCAGTACAACAATCAAGGCCACGATATTGAACGAGCTGCCAAAACTGTTGACTCTTGCGATGGTCTTGGTAGGCAGACTAGCCATACAAGCATGGATGATCATCAACAGCACCGTCAAGAGATAGACCTGGTAGTTTTGCGGCACGAATGAGGGGTTGACGATGGAAGCTGCGGCTAGAATCATAGCGGCAGTTCCGTAGTTGACAGATGGAGCGCCGGTGACTTGGCCCATCCAGTTGGACCAGCCCGTAATCCAAGCGGCTAGGGGACCCCAGCCTGGAGGCGCTAACACGGCCGAAGCATAGTAAAGGCCTCCTGAGGTTGGCATTGAAGAGCAGAGTTCAGCCATGGAGGCTGCGACGCTCTGAATCCCTATCATGGCGACTAGCCAGCCCCAAGTCATGCCTACATTTCTGTCAACACCAAGTCTAATCAAAGAGGCAAGGCAAAGCCACTTACCAGCGGTCCCGGCATATCCCATTCCATAATACAACGTACTAGCAAAACTGGGCAATAGACCCAACACGGCGAAACTGACGCAAAAGGTGGTCCAGAGATTGAATTCACGTTTGAATTCTGGCTTGTAGCCTAGTGCTGCCAGTGTCTCTTCATCTTGATTCCATTCATGTTTGGGATCGAAAGGTATGTCGCCTTCAGGCAAGACGGACGTGACAGGTTCCTGGCCCACGCTTTTGCGTACTGAAGGTGTGTGTTGAGACATTAGTTCCTAGAAGCCTGAAGTTCAAAAGTGGAGAAGTGGTAGTGGTGATTGTGAAAAGAAGGTCTTAGGAGTCGGGGACAGGGAGTTTTAGATATGTATATCTGCTAGACGACCGTCATTGCACAGAAGTCTCGACGAGTCTCTGATAAGCGATCACGAACAGGGCTCGAAAGCTTCTGGGTTGTACTATTTTGTATCAGGTATGTTCATCCGACAATGTACCCTGCCATGGCCAATCATGTAGAGGTGAGATGTCTAGCCAGCAGAGATAGGCGGAAGGTAGGGTTTCCGCAGCTTGCGTACGACTGTTGATGGGAAGATAGGTAGGTGGCGGCTGTCTATCTTATCTCGTTTCAGCTTATCCTGCCAATGATTGGTGTTGTTGGATGGTGCGGGGTAGTGGTTGCGATAAAGGAACCATGTTCGTTTTGAGGGATTCGAGGCGCTGCGAATCACGATGCGCTCGTGTCGGTACTTAGAACCGAGTTCATGGCCTCGGAAAGAGAAATGTGTGGATGATGTCGTTTGAAGAAGACTTCCATTGCTTCTACCAATGCTATCAAAACCCGCTCAAAACTTCAACAAGCTTACCATCATAGGGTTTAATGAACCATGCTCTTTCCAATCTCCGACTCCCAGTTCTCGGCGCGCTCAAAGCCGTTGGTGTAGCCTTGGTAATCGGCCATTGCTCTGTAGATGCCTTCTGTGCTGGTTTGGACGAATGGACCGTATTGGATGATCTGGGATATGTTAGTGTATTTGATGATTCGCAGGATGTGAAAAAACTTACTGGCTGGTTCAAAGGCATGCCAGCGACCAAGATGAATCTGCTCTCCTTGTCTGCAGTCTCAGGGACACTGGCAACAATACTATCACCCTCTTGCTCCAAGACAGCATTGTGGTATTGCGGAATTGTTCGCGATGATGATCCGGAAGAAAGATTGATGCTGTTGCTGAGGGTATAGATGAAGGCGTTCCACTTATGCGGCAAAGGAGTGTTGAAGGTGCCACCAGGTTGAACCCTCACATCAAGCAACCAGACCGGAGTGTAGGCCAACTCTTGCAATGAATCAACACCATATGCGCGTCCGGAAATGACCTTGACGTCCACCTTGCCGTCCTCAGACTTTGCGACTGGGATTTCAGAAGCGCGCAAATCGCGGTAACGAGGTTCGCAGTCTTTAAGTTGAGCGGGCAGGTCCACCCATAATTGCATGCCGATGTTTGCGCTGCCGTCGGGGTTTTGGGCGGGCATTTCAGCATGCACAATTCCTCTTCCTGCAGTCATGAATTGGAGGTCTCCAGCATGGATGGTGCCTTTGTTGCCCGCAAAGTCTTCGTGATCGACGGCGCCGCTGAGGAGGTAGGTGATTGTTTCTTGGCCGCGGTGAGGGTGATCGGGGAAGCCCGCGCCAGGGGAGATGGTGAAGTGGTCCTAGAAGGTTGTGTTAGTTCACCGAGTACTTCTGCTAGAAGGCTAAGGGAGGGACGTACGAGCATGAGGAAAGGTGTAAAGTTCTTCAACTCTCTTGTGCCCACTGATCTTCTGACTCTTGCGCCTGCACCTTCGGCCTGATCGATCGCCTCGAAGACTTTGCGAACCTTACGAGGAGTGGTGGTTGTGGCGGTCAAAGAAGGGTCATTGGGAGGGATGACAGGCAAACCCTTGAAGGTCGATTGTGCGGGTGCCATTGAGGTATTCGTTGTTGCTTGGTATGTGGTATTCGATGCGGTAGTAGCGATGTTCTTAGTCGTTAGGTAGGGTAGGATATATTGTCGTTGATGGTATGCGACAGCTGCAATGCAGATTAAGATGGAGATGAGCAGTCTCATGAAGGCGACGCACGCTTTTTATATAAACGAAGAAAGGTAGGGAAACGACGGATGGACATGGAAATCTTGGAAATAGGAAATGGAAAAAGGGCAACGACTTAGCCTGTATTTGTCTTCTTTACATTGCTTAGTATGTTGCATGACAGAGCGACGGGCTGCGAAGCTCTGACAAAGCCGACGTTGCTCGCTGACCGAAAGTTGCTACTGAGGAAATTCGGGCTAATTAATGTTAATTATCTCGAATCTGGAACTAGAAGTCACCATCAACAACGTCCTTTCCCTGTGTCCATCAACACAGGAAGTTTCCAGACACTTCTGCCACTTCAATCTCCATAATTAGAGCATGCGAAAAACATATCCTCTATCTGAAGACGGAGCATTCAAGTCATTATACACCGCAACATTGCACTCTATGGCATCAGATGAATATGCCGAGGCTTATCCGTCAACCTGCTTCATCAACACATCTCGACACGCTGCATATCACCATTTTATAGTCGCATGCTTGCGCAAGACTTGATAGGGAGAAACATTTCCCAATGTGCTACGCCAAATATCGATCATGTCGTTTCTGGCTCTGTTCAAGGCATTTTGTGCCCCCAAGTCTGCTGGCCATTGTTCGCTTCTGTCAAAGAACTCTCAATCATTATGCAATTCTTCAAGGACTCGACTCTTCATGGCACAGTCCTCCTCGACCGATCGCGCGGACTCTGTGACACCAGATAAAATCATTTGGCCTGGCCAACCCCGGAAAAAGAAATTCGAGGATGACCCCGAGCAGCGCGCGGAGTATCTGAGGCGGAAGAATGTGTACAACGCTCGCTATCGGGCGACTCATCCGGACTTTGCTCGCAAGAACCGAGAGTATATGCGCAAGCTCCGTCTCCAGCCAGAGTTCCAATTATACTATCAGGAGTATGCCAAAGCGTGGCGCCAATCACAAAGTACGAATTCTGCTTTTGCAGTGTCAGAGAGATTTCGCATATGGATCCGCCGATATGCTTGGTTCCGAGAAGATCTGAATTGGGCACCGTGGCGGCCTATATTGTACCCTGATTCGGTGGAACACCGGTGTCAAGGATGCAATCTCGCGAGGCATCGCGGATCACATATTTGGTGGAGAATGGATCCGCAGAAATTCATGTGCCACAGCTGCTACATGAAGCTTCCAGAGGCAGGTCTACCTGAAGGATATGAAGGATGCACGACCATCAAGGAGATTGCGAAGAGGAAGGCAATTCTCGAAAGTCAGCCACGAACCTCGACCACCTCGACACTGACAGGTCAGTCTTGGAAGCCACTTAAGAAATCACCAACTGGCTCTCGCCCATTTTCCACCTTCCGCGCTGTGTGGACCAAGTCGGAAGAATCAAAGTCTGACGAACAGGGACCTGATCAGGATTCCCAACCCCAGGAATGGGCAAAGCTTGAAGCCGAAATGCTTGAGGCCAAACGCCAGTATGGCCAGATACGATCCACTTGGAAACTTGCACAAAAGCTCGAATCTGGCTCTCAGGAAGTGACCGACGCTGATGTACATCAAGCCAAGCTGCGAGTGCAACGTACGAATCGTGCTTGGAAGATGGTTAGCGATCCTGGATATAAAGCCCGAGTTGCTGCATCAAAAGTAACATACAAGCGAAAACCCGAGAGCAAAGAGCTCAGACGTCGTTGGTATCGTCATCCTGATAACCGTTCAAGGTTAATCGAAAACACACGGCTTAGAAGAGCCAACGATCCTTTGCTCAAGTTCAGAGACAGGGTTTACGAATGGGTTTTGGGCCTATCCCTCGGTCAGAAGATCGGTGATCTGGGAAGCATGGCAACCCATACTATACTCCGCAAAAGTCAGATTCCACTGTCAGGGTTGCGGACATACAAGACATGACGGTCTCAGGCTGTGGTGGAGACAGAAATTCGACCCAACCATGGACACTGATCTCGAAGTGTACTACTGTCATAGTTGTTTTATAAGACGTCCGGACGCAGGATTACCGAAAGCTTTCAAGGACTGCACTACACTGCGTGAGCTCAATGAGAGATTCAGCCAGCTTGAGGGTGTCAAGCCAAGCAGGGATCTCGGCTCGTTCGACGTGGAGGTAGGGACAATGGACCAGAAGAACCACGACCCTGGGTCCGAGCATCCGAACACAAAAGTGTGACCAAGGTACTGGCTACAATTGTATTTGAGCTTTTCGAGCTTGAAGGCTCGTGCTAGCTGGAAACAAGACATATACGGATAATCCGGTAAAATCTGTTGTCAAGCGACCTCTCTTACGGATGGTGTTGTTGATAGTAAGCCTAACTACGTGGGCTCGAGGTGAGGCACTCAAGACCCTCGATGTCTGTGGCTCTGAATCACTCTTGGAAGCGCTGTGCATCTCCATAGCCAGACCATCACCAACTATGATTAAGAGGTATGACTTGATTGAACACGCACCATGATGTTCTCTCTGGTTTTTTCTGGAAAGAAATATCTCGATGCTGGAACATGCCCAAATTCCGAAGTTCGACCGAGCTGTTGGTGGAGCACTTTGCTCGAGCGCTTTCTTTCTAAAATGTGCAACTTTTGATGACTTGAACAACATCGGTCGAATTTGATGATTAGCTAGCTAAAGCCCGAATTCAGTCTCTTGAAGCGCTGCCGAGGTCAGGGCCACGTCGCGGTCCGGCGACATCTTCAAGAGCGTGTTGCCCAATGGTTCGCTCTGTAAGCGCCCAGGTAGCGCTGCATATATCGGGCAGATATTTAGCCAACCACAACAAAGTAAGATGGAGAAAGTCTGCAGGTGCCTTGAATGTCCCTTCGAAACAAGGCTGCTATTGCCAATAGACGCTGCAAGATGCTGCAGGTCTTTGATAGGTAGCCAATTGCCTCTTCGCAATCATTGCCCAGGCTATGAAACATCGACCCGGCAGACTCTTGGAACCCGGATAGAGGCATGCGACTGCGCTGTGTTTTGCTCATACTGCATACGAAACAATTCTTGTGGTAGCCACAAGGTCTCCACTGCCTCGATTAAGCGCCAAGTCAGAGTGACTTAAGCACACTGTGAGACCCATTCCCAGACCTTTTCTCTCTTCAGATCGTATTTTGCGCTTCGTGAGTTTGTGCGTACGCTTTTCTTCTCTTTTTTTCTTTTTGTTCTATTCTGCACTAATATTGTATCCGCTGGTCGGACTGCCATTACTGCATATATTCATACCATCAGTAACGATTATAACACACGACACCGAAAAAGCCGAGCAAGCATATCAAAAACCCAAGAAAACAACAAAAAGACGATACATACCTTGATAATGGCAAAATATATTCTACCAACAACAGTTTACCAGCCACCTCCGCAGGTTCGGAGAGAGGCGAGAGTTACCTTGATTGAAGATGAAGTCCAGGTCAACATACCTTCATATCATTACCCAGCAAAACTTACAATCACCTCTTCGATGCCTGATGATGTACCTACGCCACGGGGTCTGGCAGCCACGATCACACCAGCGACAGACGCCACTTCTGAAGTATCGTCTATGTGGAGCCAACGCAATTCCAAATCGAGTTTTGACAGCCTGTACGATGTGACGGATAGCGAGGGGGAAGAGGTGCCGCTCAAGCTGTCTGCATCTGTCAAGAAGCATGTAGTCGACAAAGAACGCAGCAAATACCCCTCTCTTGTCATACCATCGCCTTCGCAATGGCCGTCTATCCACAAACCACACACTTTTCGACCTGTGGGTTTGTCGCCGGCGACAAAGCTTGCTTCTCCTTCTGCGTTTTCGGTCTGGCAAGCTCAAAGATTGAGGGTCTCTAGTGCTACTTCGACGCCTTCTTTGGATGGAAGTTTGACAAGCGAAGAACTTGCTTTGAGCAGTTGCCCTTCTACACCGGATCTCGCATCGAGAGGAGAAATTGTTGATGAGTGGGAGCCACCATGCCAGCTTCATCCAGACGCATTCGAGACGTTGCACCAGCTCAGTCCAGAAGAAGCTGCCAGCGAAGTTATGGAACAAGTGCTTGATGTGCCTGAAGAAGCTGCCCATGAGATGTCAGAAATCATCAAGACCACTCCAGTACGTCTAGATTTTGCACTCATATCAGTCGATTCCGAGGAACCGCAAACCCAAGATCCGATCTCTGCGCTCAGTGTACCTTCCCCCGGTGGCTTTTTCTCTTCTCTGGCGCCAGTAGCTGCACAGACTTGGGCCATTAGGACACCAGAGCCCTCGACGAGCGTAGCAGAAAACTTCTACGGCGTTCCATGGCGTGGAAACCCAGCGCGGACAAGTGAAAGCCATCAACGCGTAACAACAACAATCATCACTACAGCGCTCGCATCACCACAAGGCCCACCGACAGCAATCAAAGACGTCTTCTCACCCATCGACCGCAGTGTAGAGATTTGTGAAATCACCGACGTATGTGTGCCTCCCTGTGATTACAACGAGCAGTATCAGGAGAAACTAAAACAGTCAGCGTTGGCGCACTTTGAACGCACAAAGGGTTGGTTAGAAGATCAGTTTGGGATTGTTGCTAAGGTTGCTGCGCCGACTACGCCAAACATGACATTGTCGCCAGTCACAAACTCGGCGGCGAGTAGTCCGTCCAAGAAAAGTGTTAGGTTTGCGCCTGAGGCTGCTGTGAGCCCGAGACCTTCTACCAACACGACTGTTTCTGCGCCTGCTTCGCCTTCTGCGGATACTGTTGTTTCTTCTGCTACCGATGGCACTGATTGCATCTTCCTTGACGGCTTCAGATCAATCATGTCGCGCCATAAACCTACAGATGCCTTTGTGCACCGCCAACCTCGCCTGGAAAGCACTCACATCCTTCGCCGCAACTTTTCCGCCGCTTACCTTCGCACTCTACACAACAGTTTCTCCATCGCTGAGCCTTCGCGTCCAGTCTCCACTCGCCCCATCTCGACTATGCTGCCTGCACCTTCGCCTGAAGACGACGCCAAGAGAGAAGTGATTGCAGCCGTAGAGCGCGAACGCAGTGTGCTCGAGCAAGTCTCTCCCCAAACCTGGGAACTCGAAGCTCTTGCTTATCTCCGCGGTGGCTCACTGTTGACCAAGGATGTGGCTGCCTACCTGAGTTCCTTGCCCACCGCTCAAGTCTTGGATTTTGGAGGCGAGCCTAATGCTGATTGGGGCTGGTGTGTCGCAACCTCGTTTCCTTTGGCCAAAGTCTGCACTGTGTATTTTGAGCCTGACACAGAGGTCTTGGAGGCACCTTCCAACTTTACCGCTGTTGAGGCTGAGAAACCATTTGCTCTGCCTTTCGCAGACGATACTTTCGACATCATCTCCGCGCGCTCTTTGCACTCACTTCTCAAGAGCGATCAGTGGAATCTCACAATCTCTGAGTTGCACCGCGTGCTCAAACCTTCTGGATACCTAGACTTCAGCCTCTTGGACGCCCTTCTCATCAACGTCTCAGCCGGCTCTTGGGGTCAAGTCATGAATGCCGAGTTCGGACACAAGCTACAGCAAAGAGGCCACGAACGCGAACCCACCAGGCAATTCCTGGGTAGACTCGAGACTGCAGGATTCAAGGATGTCAAACGCATGTGGACGTTTTTGGGCATGGGAGACGTGCAGCCGATCTGGAAAGACGAGGGAAAGAGTCCTGTTGCTAAGCCACCCACTCGTCCTTTGCCTGCCATTCCTGGTGCAGCCAGGAAACCTGTTCCAGGAAAACAACCTACAGCAAAGTCTCCCGCGACCCCTAAGGTGACTACTCCCACCGTTGGATCCGAAGAGAATAAATCCAGGGGTGCAATTCACCATCAAGTCCCCGTCCGCGACGCCGCTGGCAACATCCTACTCGACCACAATGGCAAACCGACCTACTATCCTCCTGCACTTACCGGCAGCACTTCAGCCATTGCGCCCGTGACTGGTCTTCTGGGTGCAAGACTGTGGGAGCAGTGGGTGTACAAGCTAGCCAGGGAGATGGGCGGAGAAGAAGCCGAATTGCAGATGTTGGAACAGGTGTGTGGAGTGCTCGAGCAAGGAGGAAAGGCAGGCAGTGGCATTGGCTGTTTGATGGGAGTGTGCAGGAAGTGAAAAAGGGAAGTGACGACGATTGGAAGCGTGGTTGTTGTGGCTTTTTCTTTCCTTGATGATTTTTTATGTTACCTGTTATCGTAATATCCCCCAGTCGCTCCTTATGAAAGTTTCTTACGATGTATTGCTCGATACAAACTTGCCCGCAACTATCTACCTGTATGTTCTTCTTGCTTTGAGGATGTTTGCTGCATGGTATGAGTGGAGGTCACGGCTGACAGACTAACCTTGAACGCAAGCCTGAGAAATGGCAAGCACTCACCAGAAATGCTTTGCATTCATGCGATTCAATCTTGCGAGGCGTTGAGAGAAGCAAGAATAGCTCAACCCTGATTGAGACCTGGATGACTCTTCAAGTCCATAATTACAGACACCGACACATAACAACCCTCGGAACATCCCAGGCGACGTGCCACCTGGCTACAGGAAGCGCAGAACGATACAGCTGACCTTGGGTGCCTCGGTGAATTCTTGTTTGGTCTTCAATCAAGGAGCCAAGACATTGTACATGTCCTCAAGCTTTTTCCTCTTTCAACGTGTCCCAAACTTGTTATTGTGCCTTCGTGTCTTTAAGTCTCGAAGGTGGAGGATGGTCTGGTGAGGTGAGCAGAGGTGGCAGTTTTTCAATGCTGCCCTCAGGAACCACAAGTTCCCAGCTGTTGGCAAAGCAGGAGTTGCACATGTATCGATCGTGGGGTGGCTCGGTCTCTAGACCTTGGGGTGGATGTTTTTCTTTCCACCAGAGGTTCAGACGGCGGATTTGATTGCAGCTTGTGCAGTGGCGATCGATGCGAGCAGCAGTGAGAACAACTTGATGGGTCGGCCAGGACCAATTCTCTTGGGCCCAGCGTTTGGACCCGCGAATGAAAGAGGCTAGACCATTGGCACGACGAAGTCTTAGATGCTCAGCACGCAATCGGCGAATGTGTAATATGCTCTTATCGCGGTTCTTGAGGTGATTTTTACGATTGTGCTCGGCGTGCTTGGCCTGCTTGTCTGGATTCCTTTTGTATTCAAAATTGTATTGCTTTTTGTGTTCGCGGCGTTGAGCTTCAGCAGCTCGAGCTTCTTCCGAGTCTCTTGCACGAGCACCTCTTGTCCATTCTCTGTAATATTCGCGCTGTCGTTCCAGACGGGCCTCTCGGGCTTCTTCCGATTCTTTTGCACGATGGGCCTTCCTGTACTCCCGCCGTCTTTCCAGACGGGCAGCTCGAGCTTCTTCCGACTCTTGTTCACGGGCGGCCCTTGTTATGGCGGCATGTCGCGTGGAAGAGAAGGCTGCAATCCCAGACCATAGTGATGCGAGTGGCTGAGGTGTGTAGAATCGTGTGTTAATGGAAGGCGGTATGAGTGACGTGAGGCGGAAAATGGTGGGCATTTCTGGCATGCACACGACGCCGAGCTCAAGGAAGGAAACAACGGAGGTCACTCGGTCGCAGTCGGAGAAGGCGCGAAAGTCGATCTGATAAGATTGAAGAATGTCGGGCAGGAGCTAACCGCAAAGGGGCAGTGAAAAGGCCCCTAAAAAACTCAACCCCATGCGTGAGCGGTGCACAGCTCTAATTTCCAACAAAAACAATGCCGCTGCAAACCGAGAAAATCATCAAACACCAACAAATGTGTCAGGAGAAAATGCCCTTGACTCGTCATCAAGATAACAGGTCGAGTCGTCTCGCCTGCTCTTGACCTGCTTCCCTCATCAACATCACTTCCCACCCACACTCGTTCATAGCACTCCCACCAACCACAGATCATGGACATGCAACACCAGACACAAAGAGAGCCGCCATCTTTCATTTTCACCAGAAGCACCCGCATATGGGAATTGTTGGCTGGAGATGTCGCTGCTGCCGCCGTCTCGGCCACTCTGGTAGCTCCCACGGTCACTATCATTGACAGAGCAATTGTTGAAAAGGCTTCCTCTAATCAGCCTTTGTTGCGGAGTCTCCGGCATCAGGCCTGGTCTTTGGTGAAATCGCCACGTCATTTCATGCTTTCATTGCCCTTCGGTATTGTTTTGACCCTCTATGCTGGAACCTACGGAGTTGCCAATGTTGCAGAGACCATCTCGGAGAGACTTACCCCAGAGCATGTTGGCACTATTGTCGGTGCATCTGCCTTCTTGGTCAACGTCCCTCTCGGCGTCTGGAAAGACATCCGCTTTGCTCAAATGTTCGCCCGCATCCCATCACGTGTGGCCAACACTGCAGCTGCCACAGCAACAGCGACAGTTCCCATGCCCAAACTCCGTCCTTCGCGATCCGCGACAACAGTCTGGCTTGTACGTGACGCGTTGACTTTATTTGGATCATTCACCTTCGCGCCTCGGCTAGCAGCGGCTATCCCGGACAACTTGGCAGTCCACCCTCAGACCATCTCACAGCTATCTGTGCCCGCTCTGACACAGATTGTTGCGACACCGCTGCATCTGCTCGGTCTGGATCTGACCACCAGGCAGCATCACGTACCCTGGATGCAGAGAATCGCCGACACTACCCGTTCTGGTCTGCTCTCTACTACTATCGTTCGATGCTTCCGTATCTTGCCTGCCTTTGGCTTTGGATGTATTGGAAACACGGAAATGCGCAAAGCCTTGCACAAACAGCATGAACAGTATGATTGAACGCATCATTATGGCTTCTGAGAACCGTCATATTCAGTACCCCAGCAGGGAAGCCGGCTTCCCTTTTACTGCTGAACGACCATTGCCAGCTCAGAGTCGAGACTCCGTACAGAGCCATCTGGAACAGCATCTTCGACCCAGCTTCGCCGTACAGCCACAGACATCGATAGGCCCACAACCGCTCAAGCTCAAGAGCTCCGGTTCAGCCAGACAAGAAACTCCGATTTGCAATCGAGTTCAAAGCCACTTGAATTAGCATCACTTGTAAATGTTTCTGATGCAGCCAATCCACAGCCAAGGGACAAAGCGCCTGTACAGTCGCGCACTCCCACTCAGCGCTCTGCTGCTATATAGCCATATCACGACCACTTCACGACCACAATGTACATACCTCTTTCCTTTGTTACGAGAGCATATCATTACAGCATTCAATCTCTTTCACGACATCTTGTTGCGCCTTGCAATTCCCAATGCCGTGATAACGAAGTCGAACGCCGATCAAGCTGCTCTTGGTCGCTATCGATTGTCGCATGACCACTGACGTTTGAACAGGTGTTTGCAGTGATCTTCACTCTGAGCTTCGCCATGCCCGCGTTATCCGGCGCAGTTGATCGCTTTCCGGAAATAAATACTCAGCCTACCAGCTTACTCAGATTGATCCTACAAGCATATCTCTATAAATGCGTTCAACCATCCTCATCCACATTCTCTTGTCAATAGGATAGGTAAAATGCCACACGCCGACCTCGATCGGCTTTCTGCACCCTCTGCGGTGTGATCGTACTCCATCAAGTTCTTGGAAGGATTCCGCGACCGCCCCGCATCCGCCGCTGCTTTTTCGGCCAAACAACCTTAATACTGTATAAACTTCCTTACATAAAGACAGGCTACAGCATACCTTCTACCAATACACAAATCCTGGGCTACAAGTCTGACAAGAACGATGCCACGGATTTTCTGGACTCTGCTGCTGGCCACCGGCTTAGCAGCTCCACTCTTCAAATACCCTATATACGCCTTTGTCGTTTTTACCTTCACAATCCTATGGAGGCACCTTTTCCCAAGTCCGAAACCAGACCCCGAAGTCCTGCTTCTACCAACCAAAAACCCGTATCTGGCTGCTTTGAAACCACTCGAAAATCCTGAAGCTGTAGAGGGAGATCATTGTCCGACTTGCTGGGACGAACTTGACGCTACCAAATTGCCTACAAAGCTTGCTTGTGGCCATGTATTCTGCAATGAAGACATTCTGGAATGGATCAAATCTGGCAAGAACACCTGTCCAGTATGCAAAAAAGTGCTTTTCCAACAAGCCATGTTCCAAGGCGAAGACGCGATTGCAGAAAAAGTACACAAGGCAAGGATCTGTCTCGTGGTTATAAATCTCCTCATCACTCTTCTGCGACAAATTTCCGGTTACATGCTTAGACATCAAGGATCAGGTATAGATTGGACCTGGCAACTTCTGAATCCGATTTACTATCTCACTGGTTATGGCTCCACGTTTTCTACCAACATGGCCGTCGTCTCCACAGTTGCTAACATCATCCAACTCGGCGTCGCGTACAATGGCTTCCGAAAGTTTGGTCCCGAGTGGTTTCGACAGTTTGGAATCAATTTGGTCTTTTGGTCGGGGACCTTGTATTGCACTGCCCTCAATCTTTGGCAGGATGTTGAAGGATGTAGGCCTCATGCGCAGCTTGCTTGGGGCATTTGTCAGTGGAAATGGCAGGGCAGTCCTGGAAACTTCTTGTGGTGGAGTGCGGGGCGTGCGGATGGTATGCCTAAGCAGGCTTCGGATCTGGTTGTTGAGGTCACGGCTGCTTGGGACAAGGATGGCAATAAGGTCATTTGAGGATTGCAGGCACTTTGCATCGCGAGTAGAATTGAATCTACACCTGCGTCGAAGAAGTGTGTTATATCGCAATCTCACTCCGATGTCATTCACCATTTTTGTGATCACAGCATCTTCACCCTTAGCCACGAATGCGAATGTCCACGGTTCCAAATGTCTGGGTCTAGCCTTAGCACTGCCTCCTTTTGCAGCACCTCTTCTCCATCACTGTCAAACACAGAACTACATAGGACAGCACGTACCATGCCACCTTCCTCCCCAGCCATCAACAAAGTCGTTGGCGGCAGTCGCGCCTGGAAGAGCGAGACTTTTCCAGTCGACACTTGTATCAGGGTAAACATTGTATATCCTGCAAGCAGCGGTGGATGATATGCTTCCGGTTGTGACTGCTGCAGCGACACTGAGGTTTGCCGCAAGAGCGGTGAGATTGGGGATACAGAAGAGGTAGGGGTAGGTCCTGGGCCTGCAGTTCGGATCCAAACAGCTTCGTTGCCAGAGTTACGGGCAGTGTACAATTCCTCTGTCCATCTTTGAATATTCGCGGGTTTGAGCCATGTTGGATCGGTGTCGTGGTGTCCAAAATTTAGAGGCGAAGACGATGGGGCGTAGGTCAGGGTGTTTCTCGAAGTATTGAAGACTGCCTGTCCCAGCTGTGATAATGGTAGTACACCTTCCAGAAGCACAAAGTCATGTTCTTCTGCAGAAGAGTCCACAGTTTGTTCACTTTGCAAGCATAAGAGCGATGTGCAAAGCAGTATCGCGCATGCTGTGTGAGACCCTGGAGTGAGAACCCTCAAGACGCCATATGTGAAGAGACACAGCAGCAAGACGGCTGCGGCCCGTAAAGGTTCGAGGGTGCCATACCGTTCGTCGGTCCGTTCGGGTATCTTTTGATGACATATCGGCAGTGTACGACAGTTGTTCAGGTACACAACATTATCAATGTCATCAATACCGACGATCTCGCAAGCTGGTCTGAGATCCCATAAACAAGTGTCAAACTGATCTTTGTTCAAAATCCCCTTGAGCAAAGCCTTAAAATCCTTGGCAGGGTATGGATAGCTCGACAGCATACGTTCCATCACATATTCATTCTCACTGGTCAGTGAAAGTAGTTTTGTCATGGCTTGGTGTAGCGTGTCGCTTCTTTCTATCGTCTTGGGTTTCCTGAGTAAGCCCATCAGAGCATATGCGATATCGGCATCGGTGAATTTAGACGAGTCTTGTCTGCTCAGAGCAGCAATTGCGGTAACCACCATCTCAAGCCGAGTAAGTTTGGTCTGTCCATCGAAATACTCGGCCAAGATTCGAGTTGGATAATGACGTTCGTCGTTTGCGAATGGGTGCCAGAACTCATAGGTCATCTCGACGCGGTCAAGCTCGTGTTTAGTGAAGCCGGTTTCTGTGACTGTCCAGATGTGCAACCTGCCCCTGGCCAGTAAGCCTTCTGGTAGTGTCCATAATCTTCTAGCCCACGCTCGCTTGTAGAAAGAATGTTCACTGGGAAGCAGGATTGCGACGTGATTGGCGTTGCGCACGATGTCTGCCATGCCATAAACATCGCTCGAAAAGGACTCTGCCGCTTTTTGATCTTCTGTAACACACTGCACATTCAGCCAATATGCTTTAAGACCGGATTGAAGAGTCGCGTGTTGTGCCATCTTTTTGACGAGCGATAAAGCTTCTTTCGCAGGCCTCGCCCTGTCATACTTGAAAGACTCCCAATGCCAACTGATGAAGAGATATTCTGTGGTTGGTGCAGGATCTTTGACCAGTATCCAGACTTTGTCAGCGTATATGACGAGACGCTGTGGGAGAACAAGTCTGGTGCTCTTGAACAAGTCGACTGCACCGTTACTTTTACCTGATGGTCCAAATGGAGTGGCTTTTTGTCCTCGGTCCAACCCATTTCTGGTATATCTGATCCGTCGCAACGGCGACTTTCGAGTGTGGAGTTTGGAAGTAGTTGGGTCATTATATGACAGTCGGAGCGACAATAGCAGCTGCAAAAGCTGCAAGGGTATGAGCATGATACTGAGTCGAAGCACAGCCATGGTACAGACTGCGGACTGTGCTCGTCTAGTATGTTGATGCGCATTTCTGTAGACCGTCCATGGAGACAAAACCCATTCAATCATTCTTGTCGGTAATGTAAAGACCGGTTGCAGTGGTACTCTGATCCATGAAGTAGGCGAATTGTACTGGAGAATCTCTTGAGTGGATTGTGCCACCAAGGTCGGATTGGGGAACAAGTCAGCATTTCCATATCGCTTCGACCAGCTGAAGTCATGCTTCCCATATCCAAGGTGTCCAGTAATCATTGGTCCATAAATCTGGCATTGATAAAAAGTTTTTGCGTTGCAAGAGACTCATTGTCGGCAGAGGTCGGCGACAGGAATGGGTGCTGCGGAGTGGTAAGGCTATTAACCAAGTGACCAGACATGCGGTGAAGACAGCTAGCGAGACGGACAATGGCCGATCGCATTCTTGTCCTCTTTGGCGCATCCTTCCGCCGCTGATAGGCTGGCTTCACAGCCTTGGTTGGCATGGGTCGAGGAGGTGCGCTCGACCAGCCAGCGATTCTTTCAAGCGCGTTGCATGTTCAGATACATGCAATAACTTTACAACTTATCGTAGCATATGGCACAGTAGACTCAAGAATGCCATATCACATGTAGGAACAACAGATTGAAGCAGAAAAGGATGGGCGAGGTCGCTGGGTTCTTCCAAAGCGGACAAACTTTTCGCCGGGACGACCGCGACTGTCCCTCGTGTTCACACTACTTGCACTTGCAGTGTCAAGCCACATTCTGCATCAGGCGCCAACAGATATGTATTATCAATAGGTAAGCTGCAGGTTTGATGATCCTCTTCCGCATCAGGAAGCATATCTGTCTACGCCATAGAGTGTGTGATAGATATTTGTCCATGGTAGGTCCCAGCTTATATTCATTTCCCTCTTTACCTTCCTGTCGTTTCACCATGTTCTTTCTCGACAAATTTTCCAAATTCCAGATTGACGTTGTTGGTTTTCTTGCGATACTGGGCGAAGGCTCTATCAGTGCAAACGTCCACATCATCACATTTACAAAATGGTGTCTGGTTCCACGATTACTGCCCGCTCCTCAAGTCTTGCTACCTGCACAGAGACCCGAGGACCTCAAGGTCAAAGAGGCATATGTCACAGCAATAGAATCAGGAAACATATCGGCATGTATCAATCATGTTGCGCACGTTCTGATCGATGCGGAAGACATGCATAGATACGAGACTAGATGTGTCAGGATAGTCAGAAATCCCAAGCATCCAGATAGATCTATTCGACCAAAACGCTTGAGTCCGCTGCTGGCTGTGAACATACTGGGCTTCAGTTGTTCTGTTGGGCTTCTTGTTACATCCATCGCGTTGGAAGATGGAATGTCCATGCTCGCGACACTGTGCCTCTCATTTCTGTCCAGCTTGACGGGCATTGCCAATCATTGGGATCTTGTCGCCAAAGACCCCGCCATCCAACCAAAGTCAGATGAGGTATTGCCCAGGGGAGACCTGGTAGTCTGATATCCGAATGGCTCATTTCTGGTCGTCAAATGCAACGAACAAGTTGCAAGAGAGCTCTACTTCACCCGCGAAGACATCAGATACACCATGGTTCAAAGAAGAGGCATCTACCGGACAATTTCGCTGACAGGCACTCTTCTCTTGATGCTAGGAGTCATCTTTCTAGCCAATGCGACGAAAGCTCTGCAATTGGCTTGGGCTGTCATCTATGTGTTATTGAACGCTGCATACTGGTCATTCGCCGCTCTCCCCAAGCGTTTTCACTGGGATCTGGACAGATACAAGGTCACCGAGATCGATATCGAGAGACCCAACTCCAATGACAATCGCTTCACAGATGCTCTCTTCAAAGCCATCCTTTTCGCACAAGGAGCAGATTGGGCTAGAATCGGCGAAGCAGCTGCGCCAAGAACAAAGGTCTGGGATGACTGGCTTGATGAAGCGGAGACTGTAGCTCTCTCCTGTGATGGGCCCAAGATAGGCGCTTATAAGAATATCAAGTGGCCTGGTCGTGTAGAGTGCTCTGGAGAAATTCAGCCATATCCCAAGAATTGGCAACCCCATCCTGCTTGGAAAGCTCTCTATAATAAATGTCGCGCAAGCAAGAATGATCTGAATGAGAAAACAGGTGTAATTTTGGAAGTTTCTTCTTCTTCCAGCGCGTCGCCATACACGGAAGCGGGAGCTGCTTTTGTAGTTGAGGTAAAGTGAAAGATCTGATCCATGCGGCTGAAGGAATGCATACGAATTCACTAGGTAATAAGTACTATTCAATGAAGCGCTTGAGGAATAGAAGGGAGGGAAGGTCGGAAGGTTGGAACGCGATCACATCGACACCGAGGATAGGTCATGTTGCTGCTTACACCGCTGTAAGAGCCCGACCATCTGTCTCGATGTTGCAAGTGAAGCCAGTCTTGGTCGAATGCAAATCACCAAACATCTCGTCTAACAACTACGTCGACGATTTCATATTGCCAAAGTGAATCCCTCTTAGATCATCAGCCTTCAACCTTTCCTCTGCGGTATCCACATCGAGGGCTAAATCAAGTCAAAGCCCTGATACAGAATTTGGCAGTTTCCTGCGGATGAGTCAAGAACGGACTGTGGGCAGATTTGAGTCTCTCGCTCGTAAGTGGGGCGCCGGCTTCCTGTGCATGTTTTACCATGGCCTCCTGAGCGAAAACAGGTATCGCAGCATCATCTTCGCAGATAAGATACGCTGATGGAATAGTCATGTACGCCGCACCTCTGGAAGGATCGCAGAACGTCGTTTTCGAATGGGGCTTCAACAACGATGCCAACTGCTGTTGTTCGTCTTCCGACAGTCCCTGGAAGAAAAAGTGCGCAGGATCGTTGGCATGTACGACGTCGCCCTACCAAAGCAAGATCAGCATAGAACATTCATGATGGGAGTGTTGAACGAACCTGAACATTCCAGAGTGGAATGTTATTCTCGTCACCACCTAGTGCATCCAACAAGCTGACGCCTTGGGGGACGACAAAAGCACAGAGGAATATCAGTTTGACAATTCCGCCTGGTTTCCCCTGTTTCGTACGTTCTGCCTTGCTTAAGTCGGCGACAGAGCTATTGACCGGTGAACCTGACCAGCTGTGTGCTATAATAACAACATCATTGCCGGCGTCTGCTTCGCTTAGAACCGCCGTACGGATGGCCTGGATGTCTTCATCGAAGGATTTGACTGGTGCTTGCTGGATCGAAGGCCAATCATGTAGGACCGTCTTATACCCTTCGGCCTCGAGGTGGGGAACGAGTTTGCCGTAGACCTCGGCAGGGTGCCATGCACCTGGTGATAAGATGAGGACTGGTTTTGACATGATGATATCGATGAGCTGAGGGCGTGCGAAAGACAGATTGATCTTCGCGGTGCCTGCAGGTTGACATATATCTTTGAACCCCGATGACTTGTTTCGGTAGTTGTCTCAATCTTCGCGGGGAGTCACTATGCCGAGCGTAATCATCATGTGACCATGTCTGAACCTTGCTGGTGGACGTTAGTGCTTCGAGGCCTAATTGATGCTGTTGTCATTAAGATGGTTACTGATGTCAACAAGGTTGAACAGCGATGCGAGATCGTCCACCGCAGATGGCAACGTTGGGAAGCGGGGTATTCTTTGGACGTTCCAGGAAGAGGCCGAGGGCACAATCAACGTGGGTACTCATAACCGGGATTTCCTCTGATGCGAGATGCTTAGCCGTACTCTCTGTTGACCGGGACAAGGTCGGCATGTTTCACCGGCAAACGCTTTCGCCTTTGGATATCATCCTGTCTGGGTAAGTCTTTGGAGAGATTTCTGACGCTCGAAAAAATGAGACGAAGCATACTCTATCGATCAAGAAACATCCAATCTCGTGAATACTAGCCGAGACCAAAGATCAGAGACCAAAGACCAGCGGCGAGAAGAGTTGTACCGCAGCACGATCCGGATCGTCTTGCGTAGCGCCATGACAGGGCCAATAATTCTTCACGTTACACATCATTCTGTGATTGCACACACTGTCATCTCTTGACTTCCAGATCTTTATGCTCTCGTGGTTCTCCATTCCTTGCTCGCGGTTGATTCAGAGGTAGCCGTGAATTCTGTATGCGCGATGCTCACCCCGGATTGAGTGATACCGCGCGCTATCATGGTTTCCTTCGCTTCCCCCCCAACCCGTTTCGCAATTAACCTCACCCTCTTGTCAAAAACAGAGGGACGCTGACTCACTTGAACTTCTGGATGACTATCGTCACTGTTGACAATCTTTATCTCAATTTGATCTGCACCAAGTCTTCTAGACAGTACTTGCCTGCTTCTAAACACAACTTCTTTAGCTACCCGCTTACCAGCCTATGAGGCTCGCCAGTCTGGCAACCCCTCACAGTATGAACGATCAGCTGCAGTGAAGTTTTGCATCGGTGCTCTTCGCTGCAGCCTTATCCATCTCTTCGCAGCTGGAATGTGTCTTGACTTCTTTATGATCCTCCAGAGTGCTATCTGTTACCTCGTGGATACGTATCTCATGTCTGCAGCCAGCGCTCTCGCTGCAATCATGTTCCTGCGTCCTGCATAGCGTTTTTCCAGCTTCTTTTCCATTTTTCGCGTCCTAAATGTTCCAGAATCTGGGTTTAGATGAGAGATTGAGTCCGTTGGGCTTTATCGCCGTGGGAATGATTTCTATTCCAATTCTGTGAGTCTGACTTGATAAATACTCAAAACTGATCACTCACGCAATCTAGGTTCTTTGTATCTAGCAAGAAGCTGAGGGCGATGGGCAAAAGATCACAAGGATTAGTCATGCGTTGAACAGGTGGTACATATGTATAGAGCTGTCGCGTCATGGTGCCAATGTTTTGCTGTTCGCAGACCAGAATTATAGTTACCCTCAAGAGAGATCAAAGAGGCATTGTGCATGATAGCAAAGCGATCCAGTAGATTGATAGAAACGTCAAGTTTGCTGCTATTGTCGAGAAACCCATCGGGTACGTCTATCATTGATTGCCTTGATTACGACTAGCCAGGTCCGGAAACCCGAGCGAGCGGATCCGTGATCTCTTCCATACATGCATTCAGTGCGATTATGGAACCGATTATCGAAAGAATCACAGCATACTCTTCCGCTTGGGATGATATGAACAGAAGCAGATCGAGTAGAATGTGTTTTGAAGCTGATTCATGCGATCGTCTTGTGACACTAGGACATATTCACACACTTATACACGAGTATGCTCATATCCGAGGATCTGTATCTCGAGGTCTCCAGTCCTCTCTACGAACACCTGTTTCCAAGCCGCAATGACATTGGCATGAGGCTCATACATAGTTGCAGACCTGCTTTGCCAGACCACTTTGTGAGACGACCTGCCATCCGAGGTAAACGTACATTGACAACCCGACTCCGTGGTGTCATCGCCAACATTGAGCTTGAGGTTGCGCAGATTTGGCATTCTAGCCATCGCTCGCGCCGCAGCCAAACAAATATCGTTTAGGATATCTGTGTTCACAGCCGTACGGAATGATCGACGGGGATAATCCATTCTTGCAGGCCACTCAGCCTCGCTTTTGTATCCTCCCGTGCGTACCTCGAACTCATACGCTCGCTCGTGGTCGAGTTCGACATCAGAGTCTGTAGGATCTAGTTCTAGCATCCAATCGCCACAAGGAGTACACGGAACAAAGTCAATGGACAGTGATTGTAGCAGAGGCCATGAGGTGGCATGACTGGTGATGTCGAAGAAGTCGTCGCTAAGCACAGCCGTGACCTCGAGAGATTGTAGCTGTTGAGATATCATGTTCAGACGATAACTCAAGAGGTCTTTGCCATCACTTGAGGGGATAGATGGTGGACTGAACAACTGATTCGCAGGGACAACTCCAGGGTAGCTCACTTTGAGCTGCCTTAAGCCCTGTGGTAGACCAGTGAAGTTCGTTGCAAATGCTGATATCCTTGATCAGACATGATACAGCATTACTACAGAAAATCTGATCCAGCTTACCTGAGCGCTCCGCGTTTCGAAGTCCTATATGTTTGCTCTCCTGATCAGACAAGTCGATCTCTACCTTGCCTACGTTAAGACAGGCTCTAACAATACGACACACACTCTCTCCAGAAAGTAGCCTGGGACAACACGACCTTCCAGGTCGAATAGCTCTGACGTTACGCGCCCCTCGGATAACCAGTCCCGCGATAGCTGACAAATGCGGTAAGTCTTCAGTAAGGTGCAAATAGCTTGCCTGAATTCGAACATCTTCTGCGCCCCGAGTAGTGTTTGCGTAACGCTTCATTCTGTTGAGTCTACCCAGATGCCAGTAGTCGCTCTTTGATATGGCCTGGATTGCTAGGGTAAAGCGAGGCGCGTTATCTCTATATATCTTCCAAGTATTGACAATTTCGAAAAGCTTCTTCAGGAAGTCACTGAAGATATCATCGTTGATCTGTTTATCTTCATTGGTCTCGGGTTTGTACCATCGTTCTCTCTCATATTCTCGAAGATGCACGATCACGTCGAGGGTACGCATCGCATCCCAGCGGTCACAATTCATGTACTGAGGTATCTGCTGCAGATGTTCGATGGACTCGGTGCGCAACTCGCGAAATGTCAGCGCCTCAATGACAGATCGCCATGGCTTGTTGATCGTGGCATATGGCGCCAGCCAGAAGTCTTCTTCTCTCAGATACGATGCTGTCAAAGATAGAATGGCTGGAGGTAGATCGTTGAAAGACATGCTCGAGCTGGCAAACCAAGAAAGAAGTGATAAGGAGAGGTAGATTATGAGAAACTAGTCACGAATCGTGAAATGCAATTAAACTAGTCCTCTGACACGGGCCGGAGTTTGGCCTCGGCAGCATGAATCGCGTAACATGCGATCGTCAACATCAAGCACTGCGGTAAGTTCAGAAGTGTGGCCAGCTGATGCCAGTAACTAAGTCTGCTGCTGCACGGCCATCGATACTAGCAACCTGTATCTCCAATTTGCCTGACCTCTGCGCGAACGCATTCTCCCACTCTGCAATAACCTCGGGATGAGGTTCATATGTAGTAGTCGAGCAAGTCCTCCACAGGACTTTGTGGTTTCCTCTACCATCAGAGGCATACGTGCAAAGGCACCCGGCGGTGCCCTGGTCAACACTCAAGCGCATCGATCTGAGATTCGGCATCCTGGGAAGAGCTTTGGCTATAGCCAGATACACACCGTCAAAGGCATCACGGTTGGGTGCTATCCTAAAGCATCTCGTAGGCCAATCAAATCGTGCAAGCATTTCATGGTCACTCCAGTCATCGTAGGTTCTCAAATCGTTGTACTCCATGTCTTCATCTGGATCAATCTCTGGCTCAGAATCTTCGGGGTCTTGTTCGATCATCCAGGTCCCGTTTGGCATGACAACATCAAAATCGACGTGTAGGTTGCGTAGCTTGGGCCAGTGTGTTGTCGGCGAGGTAATGTCGAACAGGTCATCGCTCACCACGGCGAAAAGATGTAGAGACTCGAGTTGCTGTGATAGTGTATTTATGGAACAGCTAAAGAAATCTTTTCCATTAAAGGTAGGGATGATCGGGGGGTCGAAGAATTGGTTTTGAGGTATAACTCCAGGGTAATGCAGCTGCATATGCGTGACAGTGCTGGGCACTGAACCCAGAGCTCGAGCGCACGCTACAGAGTATCAGCTTTAATGATTCTTGAAGAGAAGCAAATTCGCGTACCTTCTCGTTCACTATTGCGTTGAGTCAAGTTTTTGCTCTCCATGTCAGACAGCTGCAATTCGATTCTGTCGACGGAAGGGCAAGCCTCAAGAATGCGCAACGCAGCTTTTGCAGATATATACCGAGGATGAAGCTCACGTGGTACACGTGGTGCGCCGCCGTGGATGATCAATTCGGAAACTTCAGGCAATCGCGGCAATTCTTGAGTGAGTTCCAAATAACTAGATTCGTGTCTGGCCATTTCGCGATCCTCTTTACTATTACAGCGGCGACGGTATTGATCCTTGTAATTCAAGTGGTAAAAATCGCTTTTGCAAATGGCCTGTACCTCGAGAGCGAAGCGAGATTGGGCGCCTCTTGCAAAAGACAAAGGTTTCGATTCTAGTAAGTCTGATGCTGCGAGCGTGCTCCAAGAACTGATGGTCTCGAAGAGTCTTGTCAAGGAAATTGAGAAGGCTTCATCGTTTGTCGCTTTCTCGGCCTCGGTCTCTAACTTATTCCATTTAGCTTCTCCATATTCAGGAAGATGAATGGTGACATCGAGGCGGCGTAAGGCGAGTCTGCGATCAGGGGTCAAATATTGACTTGTCTGATGCAAGCGATCGTGAGAGTCGACACGTAATTGTCGAAATGTTAGAGTCTCAACGACAGACAGCCAGGGACGAGAAATGGTAGCATATTGAGCAATACGCGGTTCGTCTTTGTACAGCTGGTCTGCGATGAGCATCAAGATGACAGCATCCAAGTCATTGAAGGACATGATGGATCGGTTCGGGGTATGGCGTCTGCTTTGAGTTTTGAGATGGTTTGCCAGATTATCGAGTGACCAAGAAGGTCAAGACAACATGGCATGGAGCAGGAAGACAGAGCGAAACATGACTCGTTTCAGAAGTGGATTCTGAGGCCTTTGCATGGAGATGAAGCGGGAAATGAGCGGCGGCGTCACAAGGCTGTACGACCTACATGATGCGATGTATCTGAGAAATCCACAGCAGGAGAAATATACACGCAATCAGCACACGCAATTGAAAGGGCAAGCTACAAAGAAAGAGATTCTGGGCAGTGGCAAGAAGGCAGCGGAATTCGTAGACCATTGGGCGCGACTGCCAGATTTGAGGCGCAATTCGCGGCGCCAAGCATTGACCTGCAATCACATGCGCCTTCCCGTATCGCCAACCAGACAATCTACGAGTACATTTATTCTACAACTCGCTCCTTCCAGAGAAGAATCGAACAGACAGACAGACTCAATCAGCCATGAAGAAGCTACGCGCGGGGTTCCACCTCAAGAGAACACACAGTGAGCACCAGAACTCCCAATCATGACGCAATGTTTATTGACCCGAATGGCCAGGCAGCGATGCTACGTCTCATGCACACACGCCGCCTCCTGTTGACTCTCCCGAAGCAAATGCCACCTCTGCCATTGTGAGTCTACCGCCTATTCCCAGTCAACTTATCGGCCGCTGAGACAGTACCTAGCGACAATTCTGTGAATCGCCCGCCGACAACAGCGTAAGCTCTACATGTCCAGCCCAAATTTCTAGTGGCAGCAGCTGAAGACAGACGACAGGGAGAGGAAGTGCTACACCTGCCCGTCATAGTCGAAGCCGCCGAGTCGTCACCACAAGCCGCCGCTGCCGCTGCTTACCAGATCCGCAAATGCCTGGCCAAAGAGAACAAGTCGCGCGTTCAATACAATGCCATCATGCTGATTCGAATCCTGTCCGACAATCCTGGGCCAACCTTCACCCGCAACATTGACGCCAAATTTGTCGCCACAGTCAAAGACCTGGTCAAGAACGGAAGGGACCCGAGCGTCCAGCAGATGATGAGAGAGACATTGGACTCGTTGGAGGCTGAAAAGAGCTATGACAACGGCTTGTACGATCTACTGGCCATGTGGCGCCGTGTCAAAGGGAACGACGCCCGCATTCTCCCACAAGGCGCATATCGCCAGATTGCTCCGCCCATGCCACAACACCCACCCACTCAAAGTCCACAGCCAAACGTGCTGCCATCACCTCAAGAACTTGCTTCGCGAGTCGAAGAAGCCCGGAATACTGCTAGGATCTTGCTCCAGTTGCTTCAGAGCACTCCGCCTGAACAAGTCCTGAACCAAGACTTGATCAAGGAATTCTCGGATCGATGTCTGTCCGCTCAGCGTAGCATGCAGGAATACATCAATTGCACTGCGCCACCACCCGATGACGATACCCTCTTGACACTGATCGAGACAAACGAACAACTCAGCCTGGCCATTAGTAGACACCAGCGTGCTGTTCTTCAAGCTCGACGAATCCTTGGTCAATCTCCTTCTCCTGCCCTCGGACCCAACAACCCCTTCGCTCCTCCGCCAACTCAGCCTCAAGCTGCTCCTCAACAACAATCGCTACAACCTTCTTCCTCCCTCTCGCACTCAACGAATCCTAATAGCACATATTCGCCAGTATCCCCTGTTAACGATACATTTTCCCCTCCACCAGGGCCACCACCAGGTCATACACCAGGAGCTCCGGCATTGACTCCAACCAATCCCTTCGCTGATCCGATCGAATCGACTCACGACCACAATCTGGACTACACAAGCCATCCCCAGGAGCCGCGCAACTATGGTCCCAGTATAGATACCAACTCACGTCCGGCGTATGGCGGCGTCACTGAGAGTTACATGGGTCGTCAGTATAGTGCTGCCAACGGCCTTACCATGCATGGTGGTGTTGATACGAGTACGACGGACGATGTTAGTCCTGTTGAGCCGACGCATTCGCAACGAGAGGTTAGGTATAGATATTGAGTCTGATATTGCAGTCTGATTGTTTCTGAATCGCGGAGTTCAGCAGCCAACATTTTTTACGCGTAAAGATCCGCTATCATCATGTACATTCAAGCCTCTTAGTGACGACCGTGCTACCTCGATTTCTTTTTCCAGTTTTCCACAGATACTTCCTCGTGCTTATTCCTTCGTCTGATATCAAGCAGTGGAGCTCACATGGAACAAGACTTCCCGGCGAAGAGTAACTTGTATAAGCGTATGACAACCATGTGAGTTGACTATATACGCCCCAGGACGAGCCGCCAAGTCGCGCAACAAGCTCTCAAATATCTGAAACCGCATCAGAAGAAGCTACACAGAGTCTTAGAAGCATACATATTGTCGTTCTCTGCGGACATATAGCGCATCTTCTCGTGCCCTAGCACGAAGTCACTTGAAACGAAGAATTAGAGTCAAGAGAGTATCAATAAGAATGCAAACATTAATTTCTTTTGGGTCTATCATCTAGGCATCGTAATCGTAGAGTATATATCGTCGAGTTGAATCGACATGAGTGTGCAGTGCAAGCATCTTACAGCAACCAATCTAGGAATTTCTCCCACTTGGTCACTGGTTCCTTCTCATTGACCGCACCTCTAGGATCAAATCTTCCGCTCCAAAGATCAATCTCCGAAGCGCGCTGAATGCGCGTCCTCTTGACAATCTTCCAAACAATGTATGGAACAATGTAGATCGCAATACCGATGTAAGAGGCAAAGAAGGTGCCTGTATTCCAGTTGCCCTTGAGGAAGACCGAGAAGCCAGAGAAGAGCGTGATAATTCCACTGCCAATGGCGCCGACGTACGCTGCATAAGGTTGCAAGCGCCCTTTCATGGGCAAAGCATTGCGATCGATGTTTTGAGCGCGCAGGGCGTGGTGGAAGCGGATGTAACAGATACATAGCGTCATCCAAGCAAGCAAACCAGCAACAGTGCTCAGATTAAGCAACCAGGTGAAAGCTTGAGACGCACCGCCAGAACCCAGAGACAAATACGCCAAAGGACCGAATGCGAAAGAGGCAAGAACAGCCCAGTAGGGAACACCTTGTCTGTTGACCTTGGCGAAGAATTGAGGCATTTGGCGGTCGGCGGCAAGAGCAACCAGCATACGCGATCCAATGTAGCAGTAACTGTTTCCAGCCGACCATGCAGAGACGAGGATACAAGCATTAACGATACTCGGCAAAACCGTGATTCCAGAGTTCTTGATGGCGATGACCCAAGGAGAGGAGTTTGCATTGCCAGAACCAGAGACGAGACGGGGGTCGTTGGAGGGAACGATCATTCCGATGAGAAGCGTACCCAGAACGTAGAAGAAGAGGATACGGTAAGTAACGCGGTGAACAGCCTTAGGAATGGCTTTGTGTGGGTTCATGGTTTCGGCTGCTGCGACAATGACGGTTTCGACACCAATGTAGGAGAAACTGGCGTTGATGAAGGCGCTGAAGAAAGCAAGGAAGTGGCCGGTGCTTCCCTTGATGCCATTGTAGTCGGTGAATCTGAGAAAATTAGTCAGTACGATGGAACGAAAATGATCATGTCATATTTTGAACGTACGGTCCAGGATTTCTCCAGTATCTAAAGCCAATAGATTCATGGTCAGGTGCGCCTCCAGCGGTGATGACAATAGAGACAATCACCAAGCCCAAGAAGCACAAAATCTTGATGGAAGCAGTGATGACCTCAGCTTCACCAAAGAAGCGAACATTCATCAAGTTGATGGCCAGAATTGCAGCAAGACCGACTGTGATAACCACTGCAGGTGTGAGGTCTGTCCAGTAAGATACCACAACTGCTGCAGCAGAGACTTCTGAAGCGATGGCGATGGTGTAGCAGTATCCATAGGAAATGGCCAGGGTAAATCCAAGAGCAGGGTCAACAAAGCGAGTAGCAAAGTGAGGGAAAGATCCAGCAGTGGGGAACTATGCATATGTTAGCGATCTGCCAATTGATCTTGAAGATACTCCCACTCACCAAAGTAGCAATCTCGCCGATAGACTCCATGACACACCATAGAATCATACCAACGACCGAGTAAGCCAACAACAGACCCAAAGGTCCAGCACCAGCCAAAGCACTTCCAGTACCAACGAAAAGACCCGTTCCAATACCACCACCGAAACCAATGAAGGTGACGTGTCTTGCTTTTAGTCGACGATGTGTGTTACCAACACCACCAACACCATACACAGCATCATGGTCTCCAGATCCACCAACAAAAACCTCTTCCGAATTGGTCTTGTAGACAGACTTGTCATCACCGGTCGAAGGACCAGCAACATCTGCCCCATGCTCAAAAGTCATGGCGATGATGGAGAAAAAAACCTGGGGAGTCCCAATTCAAAACGACTCACTCGGCCTTATTGTGGTAGGATTGTAAGAAGACTGGAGAAGGAGAAGCAGAAAAAGTCCGGTAGTTGTAGTTGGTTGGTCATAGAATCTCTTTTAAGCATCTTTGACAGGAAAATTTTTGCCCATCGTCTTTGCTTGACCTCAACGTTGGTGAAAAGCACGCAATGTCATCACCCAAAATTTAGAGTTTCGCATAGCGTTTCCAGAACAAATCGGTTTCTAATCCTGGGGACGAAGCTTCATTTTTTTCCTGCCTGCTTGAGTTAAACAAGACCTCTTTGGTTTTGCTTGTGTCGGGTGACCATTTTTCCTTGTTTAGATATGGATAAGATGCGACATCAAAAGTGATATGCAGGGCAAGCGGTCCGACGCGATGCTGTGTGACTTTCGCGAGCAGACGTAAAGGATCGTCGCCATTGCTGATCAAGACATCCAGAACCCGGAGGCCACCGATGGAAATCCTGGGGAAGACCTCATCTCAACGATTTGTGGTGTCATATGAGACCCGTGCGATTCGTGTCCAAAGAGTCGAGATGTCGTTGCTCTTTCAGCGGTGCCTACGATGACTCGAAAATGTCCGATATCCTTTGCTCAGGAGTTTCCTCCGAAGATGATCGTGTTTCGATGATGCTCAAGGGTTGCTAGCGATTACTGGAAGGATTCAGGCCGCCAGGTCAAAGATATTCGTCGCTTCATATTCGGATCTGCCGTGCCATAGAGCAGCAAGTGCTTGAGGCTCCAGACTCGAGAGAGAATCGCGTCATGTTCAGATGTCAGTCACAATGGTTACTGCGACGGGCACAAGGATAGAGAAGAGTGTTGTCAAGGTGGAGGTTGAGATGAGAAAAGTAGGTCAGGGTCGTGGGGCTTATCTGATTCAGCGTCCGTGCGTGCTTCCTCACCAACCACAACACGTTTCACCTTCCATCTTGAGAGCCTCTATATCAAGCCAAAGAGTCCTGCAACAATGCATAAGAGCATTTGAGACCCTCAGACCGACTCCCAATCCATTTACGAGGACCATCTGGCAAGACTTCACTTGGCCGCTGATCCTAAGTCTCCACTTTCAAACCCTTGTGAATACAGGTACAAAAGGCATTTGAACTCTCGGGAGAGACCTGCAACCTTGTGCGATCATCATTCACCATAGGCATACAGCGGACCCAAACTCTTGACGCTCGAACCCCTTGACTCTCTGGATTCTGGATAACAATGTCTACCACCACTGACACTCCCGAGATCATAATCCCTCGTCCCGGGACAGAGGTCTCATCTCCAATATCCTCAGTCCTCGGCTCTTCTGAAGAGTCCTTTACATCAACATTTGGAAAGCTTTTGCCTAGGGCTCAATTCCTCTCCACCAGATATGGGAAAATCGCATATTATACTTATGCACCCCTCGCCTCAACATCTACTTCCTCCTCAGGCTCTACTGTCCCTTCGGTTCCTGCGAGTCCTTCGGGTCAAAAAGTGCTCTTACTCCATGGCGTCCAAACACCATCCCTAGGCCTGCAGCCTGTAGCCGAAAACCTCCACTCCCAGTTTCCGCAAGCGGAGTTTGTACTAGTGGATCTCTGGGGCCATGGACTTTCTTCAACTCCTCTGGTAGCACATACACCCTCTCTCTTCCACTCCCTCATCTCTGCTCTACTTGAGCATCTTCAATGGTCTTCTTGTCATTTAGTCGGATATTCTTTCGGCGGTGCGACTGCAATCTCTTATCTCGCCGCAGAATCTCACTCTAACCCCACCAAAACCAAAATACAGAGTGTTTCTCTCATCGCACCAGCAGGCCTCTGGAAATCTCCAGGCTTGGACAAAAAGAAATTGTACAGTACCGATTTTGGTGTCGCCAAAGCACATGTGCTCGATCTTCTTGAAGGCGGTCCTTTGATCGTTCCCTCAGACTGGGAGTCTCGTGTGGCTAATGGTGAGATAGTGGCTGAGAAAGTGAGGGAATGGCAGATGCAACACCATGCCGCACATACAGCGTCTGTGGTGGCTATCGTAAGGGACGGTGGTGTTTTTGGACTCGAGGAGGAATATTCCAAAGCTGCAAAGTTAGGGGTTCCTGTATTAGCAGTATTAGGAGAAAACGATGATGTAGTGTTCGAGAAGGATCTAAGAGCAGTAGGCGTGGAGAATGTAGTTGTGGTTAAAGGAGCAGGACATGCTGTTGTGAGGCAGAAAGTCGATCAAGTTGCGGGACATATTCAAGAGTTCTGGGATGGGCTGCAGGTGTAGATAAAAAAAGATTTCTGTCATTCAATGGGTTTGTGGATTAAGGAACAAGTAAAGTTTTACACTAAACTACCGACAAATGCGATCATATCATCATTCACAACAAGGCTCTATGCTCTAAAGCAAAAAAGCACAAACCCAAGCACACCAGCAACCACCCCCTCAACCCCAACTCTAGGAGCACCACCCGTATAAGCCACAACACTCGACGTCGGCGCCATGGTGCCCACCCTCGTGCCATTAACAGCAACAAGGGTAGGCTTTCCCGACACAATCGCTGTAGAAGTAGCATACTCGAATCCTTGGTATCCAATACACCTGCCATCAAAGCAAGAATTATAGCTGCATTGCGAAGAATCAGTGCACGTGGCGTTGTAAGGTCCACACACCATTCCAGCAGCGGCTTCCTGGTATGCAGAAGAGACTGTGCATTCGGCTCCATTTGCGCACTGGGAAGTAGCATTACAACTCTTGCCGAGAGGGATAAGACCAGAACTGGAACTGGACGTGGAGCTAGACATCAAGCCTGAAGAAGTGGCAGAAGCAGAGTTGGCAAGATAAGCAGAAGAGGCCAAGAACCCATTGCACAAGCCATTGTTGCAAGTGTTGGTTGCGCATTGAGAGTCATTGGCGCATGCAGCGTTGAACTTTCCACATGACTTGATGAGCCATGCGGTAGAGGCAAAACACTCTGCTCCTCCAGCACATTGCTCAGTGTTTGCACACTCCGCGCCAAGTGGCAAAGATCCAGCAGCAGCGACAACAGTAGACGAAGGAGCAGCTTGGATGCCCTCAGCAGCTGAAGTTGTCGACGAAGCAACACTACTAGATGAAGTGGAAGTCGGCATGTACTGCAAAGAGCTAGGCATCAACCACTCCGATTGCGGCAGAGGCCCACTGCAAAGCCCGCCAGCGCAGAAATTGGTCGCGCATTGAGAGTCATTCTGGCATTCGGCATTGTACTTGCCGCATTGTGTGATTTGCATAAAGTTGCTGGCGTAGCATTGGGCTCCTCCTGCACATTGTGCAGTGTTTGCGCAACTGGCGCCGAGGGGGAGTGTGCCGGGGTCTGCGACGACAGTGGAAGAGGGAGCTGGCAAAGCTCCTTGGGCGTTGACGGCAGCAACTGCTGCAACGACAGCAAAGAAGGAAGAATGCATCGTATTAAGACGATTCAGCGTTTGGAAATGTCGAGGAAGTTGAGAAGAGTAGCACGGTGAATTGATCGTGCTGTGAAGGAATAGGATGAGACATGCATTGAAGCAGCACCTCCTCACCTTTATAGAGTTGCTTCCAGTCGTGCATTGCAGCGTGACCCCGCCCGCGGTCGTATAACCATGATCAAAGTTCGAGAATCAAGAGGCTGGTGGACAGAGCGCAGTTGATAAATGGAGCACTCCACGTCATAAGAGTCTATTTTCAGATGAGCGTTGACGTCCCAAGCCACTTCCGCTCGTGTTGATCTTGGTCCGGCCTCTGGGCATCAAGTCAAACTGGCCTCGGCGGTCGGACCCCGCTGAATATAGCTCTGATACTACACTGTTGATCATTCTGTAGTGCTGATAATCTGTGCATAGTCTTCCTTGAATTCCGCGTCGATGCTTGTACGTTGTGATTTTTTGCATAGCATTTCTACGTACTCGTATCCATGCCATTCGAAGTGTCATCGTCGTACAGCCCCTGCATGTCGTCTCTTGCCCATAGCTTGACTGTACGATCATAACTCGAACTGACGATCCACTTGGCATCGCTGGTGACATCGGTAGAAAGCACATGACCAGAATGACCGCTCAGACTCTTGCACAACGCCCAATCGTCGGCCGAGAAGATCTTGACATTCTTGTCAAAACCTGCACTGACAAAGAAAGTGCCACTCTTCTTGGGAACAAAGTCTTGAGAATCGTTGTGCTTTGTGAGAGACTTGCCGCTCAGTGGACCGTCTATACCCTTGAACCAGCGAAGATCTGTTACACCGCCCTTGTGAGCACCTATTGAAGCAGTCTCCTTCATTGCGCGGATGTCCCAACATTTTGCGAAACCATCACCCGAACCAGTCATGACACGGTAACCATCGGGACTCCAGTCCAGACCATAAATTGGAGCAATGTGGCTTTCAAGATAAAGAACGCGACGGCCACTACGCAGATCCCACAGACAAGCAATGCTGTCGAGACCAGCACTTGCAAGAAGAGAACCGTCCGGATTGAAAGAAACGGTATATGCCTCATGCGAGTGGCCTTCTTGGAGGAGTAGTTCTGTTGTGGTTTCGACATCCCATAATCTCCATGTGGTGTCGTATGAGGCGGAAGCGAGGTATTTGCCTGAAGGGTGAAACTCGGTACGACATACTCTGCCTGTGTGACCAGACAGTGTTGAGATGGGAGTGTCTTGGTTCAGAGACCAGAGATGAATATTGCCTTCTCCACCACCAGAAGCCATGTTCAAGCTACCTTCCGACACGGTGGTGCCGTCCAAAGTAGCGCCAGGGAACCATGAGATGCCACTGACTTGAGCAGTGTGACCACGAAGAACAGCCTTTTCTTCCAGGTTAGGCACATCCAGCAGCTTGATTGAACCTCCCCAATTTCCAGCAGCGACCATTTTTCCGTTGGGCGAGAAACGAGCCATGCTTACGGGACGCTCTCCAGCGATCTGTGAACCAAACAATTCAAAGCCTGATAACTTGTCCTTGACGTAGTTGCGATGATCGACGTGTCGTTGTAAAGGAATGGCAGATTCGAGTCGTTGGAAATGAACGCGTTGTTGTGTTCTGGGTAGAGAAAAGCGGGCGATTTCTTTGCGGGCCTCGAGCAGCTCATCGACACCTTCTGTATAGAATTCCTGCTCTTCCTCGTCTTCTTCCTCTTGATCCACGTCCATTGCAACATCTTCTCCGTTGGCTTCTTGTTTGGTGTAGAGCAGTTCTCGTAGACGGTCTCTTCGATCTTCGGGGCGCTCGCCAAACAGAGTGATGGGTTCACCTAGTTCTCGTAATCTCGCGCGGACTCTGACATCGTCGGTAGGAACAGCAATGGCATTGGCTTTGCGCTTTCGGTTGAACTGGGCAATCACGTCGGCAGCTTTCTCGTTACCGCCAGTGGCGGAGGGCATGTAATAGTCGGTATCCAGAGGAACATTGTTGAGGTCATAGGTCATTTCAGAGTCCTGGTTTTAGGAGTGTGTCAGTGGTGGGCGAGAGCTGGAAAGACTTGTGAACACGCGCAGATGGCTGTCAGATGTGGAAGCACATACCTCTGGCTCCTCCTCGACATAGGCCTGCCGTGATGGGTGTATCGACATGATGGCGGTGTGTTGTGGTGAACTGTGTTGGTTGTCGCAAAAGAGTGCTCGAGCAACAAGAGACGGCCAAGCTCAAGCGGCGCCAAAAGTTGCAGCAGCGGCAGGTTCCATCCCCACACTCGAGGAGGGAAAGAGCTTGAGTCGGCTCAGCTCTCGGAGTGAGAAAGAGCGAGTCAGGAGGGGATGACGTGTGGGGACTCGGAAAGTTTTGGGAACGTCTTTGCTGGACTGATTGACTCGATGTTGTTGCCCGTTGTGTCTTTTCTCTTGCTGCTCCTCCTTCGACTGTCTCTTCGCTACCACCATGCTATAGATGCTCCGCGTCTGAAACCAGTCCACATGTCTCTCCGTCGCTCCCTCCTCCGCCCTCGTCTGCCTCCCGCAGGCCGATCCTTTGCGCAAGCCTCACCCATCAGAACCCAATCCACTCATGCGCCCTTCACATACCGACTGGGCGCTTCGTCCAGCGGTAAGGGCAATCCTGTAGCCCCTCCAAATGATAACAACATGTTCCCACAATCTCTGCTGGACCGCGACGACCCCTACTTTACATCCATGGACAAGTTTTCGGGAGAAGATGCCTTTTTCATGGCCAAGATTGCTCGCAGTGACAGATACGTCGTCTTTGGTCTGGCCGATGGTGTAGGAGGTTGGAGAGACTCGGGCATTGATCCTGGAAGATACTCACATGGCTTGTGCAGGTACATGGCTCAAAAGACGCATCGTCCAGAGACTGAGCATGACTTGAAACCTCGCAACCTGTTGCAGTACGGCTACGAAAGGGTTATGAGCGATAGAAGCATTCAAGCCGGTGGTTGTACTGCCTGCATTGGTGCCATTGAGCCGTCTGGTGCTCTGGAAGTCGCAAAGTGAGTTGCACTCATTGTGTTATACCTTGTGTCCAGCATACTGACCTTCGCAGTCTCGGAGACTCGGGCTTCCTCATTCTCGCTCCCGGCAAAGTTTCGTTCATGTCGCCAGCTCAGACGCACGCCTTCAACACTCCTTATCAGCTCAGCAAGCTCACTCCCCGCATGCAAGCCCAGAACCGTATCTTTGGCAACAGTGCCCAGATATCAGAAACTCCCGCCCAATCAGACGTCACCAATCACTCGCTACACCACGGCGAACTTGTCATCTTCGCAACAGACGGTGTACTGGACAACCTCTCAGGCATGGACATCCTCAACATCGTGCAGCCCATAATGGAGAAGCACGGATACTGGGCTGCTGCATCAAAAGAAGCCATAGTCAAGGCTGATAAACTACGAGATCCCAAAGAAAAGGAGAATCTCTCAAAACTACCTTCTGAACTAGCCTACTCGATCATGCGCAATGCCAAAATTGCAGGCCTTGACACACGGAGAGATGGCCCCTTTGCAAAGGAGGTCCACAAATACTTCCCCAATGAGGAGTATCACGGCGGCAAACCTGATGATATTGCTGTCATTGTTGCTCTAGCCATTCAAGATGGCACTCCCAAGGCAAAGCTTTAGGCTGTCTCTTGTTCATGTTTGCATAGTTCTGGAGTCGAAGGTCTTTTTCAGTTTGCATCGGTGGTGGCTATCTGATTTGTGTCTTGCTTTCTCATTTATACATCTGTGTATATCTCAATGTAATCTAGTAGTGCATTCTTGAAATCCGGTATTGAACAAAGTCGATCAAGCTTCGTACTTGGTACAGCACATTTCTTGACTTCTGTTCAGACTTGAACACTTTGTGCCAACAACTTCCTATCAACCACGCAGGAGTATCATTGAATCAGCCCGATCGATGTCACAAACCTCTTTGTAAGTCATATCGATCAAGTCGCGAGTGCAAATGCCCTATCCCGAAAAGTGGCCAGGGTGGGCTACACAACGGAGAGAGGATGCCAAGCCTCTTGGTGCACCTCTCAACCTGCGCCGGCCAAAATATTCTAGACCATCAAATCACACAACCTATAACTCGACTCTTAGATCTAAGCGATTTTTTCCCCCCTGATTTCAAAATTCGGACTGGAAAGCTTCTCGACACTGGATTGTTCCATTGGAAAAGCAAAAAGAAGATCCTCCTTGCCCGGTAGATTGACACGCAAAACTCACGGACGCCCGAAGGACCAGCCAAGGAAGGAACAATTGATTTTAGAGATCTCAAAATCACCTACCTTCTTCGACAGCTTCTAATCCAGATTTGGTCAAGAGTTCAAAATGTTGGACATAGGCAAATCATCCAACCTCCCAACGCCAAAATGCTACTTTAGCACCACAACTCTTCCTTCCTATAACAACATCTCCGAATTGCCGACCAAGAAATCACCGTTCAATCTCTTACACAACTCACCGTATTACCACACTGCCACACTAGTCTCGCCATCATCTTCTCCTCTCAAAATCACCACATCCTCGACACAAGCAAGATATGCACGGATACGAATGCCACTCCTCTCACTTCTCACAGGAGACTTTTTCACCAAACACATCAAGACTGGAAACGTGTTACTGCTATCTGCACCTCTGAAACTGGATACGACATCTTCAGAAGCAAGTTTTACATTGATCAATGGTGTGCTGAGCATAACCTGCGATCGCGCACTCTACGAACGTGCTGGCCTTACTGGAACTGCTATCCCAGATCCTCATGCTAGGAAACATGGCACTTCAAAGTTTCGCATTGAGCTGAATTTGCGATTGCCTTCAATGCTTGCTGGCAAGAAGGGATTTGAGCGTGTCTTACGGGCTGCTGAGACGGTGTTTGTGGGAGAAATCTCGTGGTTGTTCTATGATGTTGCAGCTGCAGGGGTTGCCGACAACGATACGGCGCTAGGCAAAGAGGTCGAAATCAAGCAAGTAAAGATGGAAACTGAAGACTTGCAAAAAGTGCTGGTGCCTGGTTTCCCATATGATATCTCCAAGAACGCAGACGGCGAGAATGATCTGGTCGAGTTGTTGGAATGGATCTCTCTGGCTGCTCTCAACTCTCCAAGGATACAACAGGGAGATCTGGTCGATGAAATTATCAGTCGTTATGGGGTTCCCACAATCTCGCCAAAGTCTACGACAGATGGAACGAGTAATGGCACAACGACACAAAATCTGACGAGAACAACATTCACGGGGTTCTTGCCAGCTTCTATCCTTGCGTCTACCTTTGGCAAGGCTCTTCTGGAGTCGAAAGGTTCTTGGTTTGCATTCCTGGTACAAGGATTTGAAGACGGGAAAAGTTTTGTCATACTCAAGACGCAAGATAATCGTACTTTGGCTTGGAATATCGAGGGTTGATTTGTAGAAGACCGGTATCATACAAACTAGGAGAGAACTAGCTCTACCTCTATGAATAGGTCGAAGTTAGACCTTCATGTCAAGCTCGGAAGTGAGTGAGAGAAGCTGCGGAGAAGAAAGCTCAGGGAGGACCGTGCACTCGGCCATCAATGATGATTTTCGTCACTCAAAAGTTCGTCGTCCTTTAGTTTTTGTACACAAAACAAACCTACACAACCGCACATTCACAATGGAGTCAGCGTCTACAACAGCCACAGGCGCACAGCCGCCCGTCACAATCGTCTGCGTCGGCATGGCAGGCAGCGGCAAAACAACCTTCATGCAACGCATCAACTCACACCTTCACTCGAAACAAACACCTCCCTATGTCCTCAACCTCGACCCTGCCGTGCGCAAAGTGCCCTTTGACTCCAACATCGACATCCGCGACAGCGTCAACTACCGCGAAGTCATGAAACAATACAACCTCGGTCCCAACGGCGGAATCCTCACCTCTCTGAACCTGTTTGCGACGAAAATCGACCAAGTCTTGGGGATCCTGGAAAAGCGCTGTTTGCCCGAGAATCAAGAGAAGGGTCAAGAGAACAACGTGCCTAAACATGTGTTGGTAGATACGCCTGGCCAAATCGAGGTGTTTGTGTGGAGTGCCAGTGGAAGTATCTTGTTATCTTCCCTCGCATCTTCTTTTCCTACCGTTCTGGCCTATGTGATTGATACCCCTCGCACCACTGCCTCTACCTCGACCTTCATGTCAAACATGCTCTACGCCATCTCCATCATGTACAAAACCCGCCTCCCTATGATCCTCGTCTTCAACAAAAACGACGTAAAGTCAGAAGAAGAAGCAATAGACTGGATGCGCGACTTTGAAGCTTTCCAAGAAGCCCTCCGTCGCGAAGAAGAAGAGGAGGCAGAAACAGGTACTGGAGGTTCGGGGTACATGGGTTCGCTGCTCAACAGTATGAGTCTTGTGCTCGAGGAGTTTTACAACAACTTGAGTGTGGTGGGTGTGAGTAGTATGACTGGCGCAGGCATTGACGCCTTCTTCGAAGCCGTGGAAGAAAAACGCGTCGAATTCAACAAAGACTACAAAGCCGACCTAGACCGCCGCCGCGACCAACGCGAGAAAGAAAAAGAAGCGAACCGCGAAAAGGAAGTTGCCAGAATGATGAAAGACATGCGCGTCGGAGGAAACAAATCAAAAACACCCAAACCAGAACCCGAGACCGTCTCCGAAGCCGAAGAAGAAGACGAAGACGAAAACGGAGGTTTGGTGGATAGAGATGAAGATGAAGATGTCAGTCAAGAAGGCTTGCAACAGAGATATCAACAAGCCTTGGCTGCAGGCAACAACCAAATGTCTGGCGAGGACTTGAGTTTTGCAAAGTATGTCCAGGCTGCTGGATTGCAGAAGAAGTAGGAGATTTCTCTTCTTTGCTGGGATTTGTTGGTAATACCTAAAACAACGACGTTATGATCTTGCATCTTTCTCTCTTTCTCGCTTCACTCTTGTCTTCCGGATCTTTCGGTATTCTCATTGAAACTTTGTTGCGATAGCCGGGGCCGAACCAGGAACTGAACCCAGGGTCTGCGCCAATCGTTGGTTCTTTGACCCTGCAGGACTAGACCCAGAATGGTAGGTACCACCACTCAAACATCTGAGTCACAACTTATATATGTCAATCAAACAGCCCCTTGCCTACTTTCTTTGACGAACATCAGCCACTCTTTGCACTTTCTAAGATCTGGTTCTACATTGCAGTTAGGCGCCAAACAAATCTCCTCGTTGTGGTTTACGAAACATTTAGAAGAGAGAGACAAAACCGAGACGTTTTTGTGTCTTTCAGCAACGATATAAACACATCATATCTCATTCTCTCTCCCATCTCGGCCTATTCGGAAGCTGTTCAGCACCTGACAGATAAGCAAGTATGGCGATCCCCATCACAATTCGTCCAGCAATTCCCTCCGACGCCCAAGCCATCGCAACCATCCACATCGCATCCTGGCGCGCCGCATACATCAACATAGTCCCACAACACCACCTCGATAACCTCAGTCTCGACGACAGAATCGCCTTCTGGCACAGAATCCTGGGAGGTGAGGATGAAAGGGGCAATGGTAGTATTCTTGTTGCCGAAGAGCAAATCAACGCTCGGGAATCGCGTCTCCTACTTGGGTTTGTGACGTTTGGCGCTGCCGCCGCCGCCGCCACCGCAAACCCCTCATCTCCTCCAAGTGATGAGCAACAGAGGACGGCAGAGTTGCGTGCTATTTACATTGATCCGAATCGCTGGACCAAAGGCATAGGCCAAGCATTATGGAAAGCAGCTCGACAGCAACTTGTCGAACAAAAATTTACCTCTGTGGTGGTCAATGTGTTTGCGAAGAACGAAAGAGCGATGAGATTTTATCGTGCTGTTGGGTTTGTAGGGGAGGCAAAGGGGTCGACTGAGGTTGGGGGAGAGAGACTTGAGACGTTGAGGATGAGGATGGGACTTGATTGAATCTTGAGAGTGGGAGTGTTTTGGAATGGCGGTTTTGCTTTGATAGGAGATGAGAAAGTATTTACAATTTTCTTGCGGATTTGGACAGATTGTGGGCGGACCAGATCTAACCATCTTTGACAGTGGCCTTGAGACGCTCGAGGATATATTCGCCAGCGCGAATGGGAGGGTATCTTGATGGGTTGTCGTCTGAGATACAGCTGGGAAGGGTCTAGGAATGTGATCAGCGTCGTACCCTTCAGAACATCGCAGCAACACACTTACCTCAACTTGTTGGTCATAGTTGATACTGAAGAAGAAAGGAACACTGTATCTCTCCTTTGTGGTTCTGTTGACCACGCGATGAATCGTGCTCTTGTAGACTCCATTCGTCCATCTCATCAAAAAGTCTGCTACGTTGACGATGAAAGCGCCTTCGGCAGCTGCTGCGGGTGTCCAGACATTCTCGGGTGTGAGGATCTCCAGTCCGTGAGTTGTTGAAGAGAGCAACAACGTAAAGCACTCATAATCCGTATGCGAGCCCAGACCAACCTCCTTATCCGCTTCATTCGGATCCAACGGCTTGGGATCCTTGGACGGAGGATAATACAACAGACGAGAAATCCCACCGGGATGCGTCATCATCTGATCAAAGTGATTCTCAGGCAGTTCCAAACTCAGCGCAAAAAGTCTGAATAGATGACGGGCTAGTTGCAGGACTTGACCATAGTACTCGGCGATATCTTGCTTGAAACCAGGGAGAGCGGATTCGGTGGGCCATACATTGCCATTCTCGGTACTACCATCCAAGTCGCGATATTTCCCATCTCCACCTGTGGGATCGAGGGAGGCTTCATAGCCCCAGTTAAAGCCTTCTTTGGTCTCTGGGACTGCAGCAGTGGCCCAATCATCCGGGTTCACGTAGGTGTAATCCGAAGGTTCCCAGCCACGCATCAGAGCATTGTGCTTAACATGCAACTCATCCTTTTGAGCAGGAGGCAGTTCCTTGAAGAAGCGAGAGGCTTGGTTCAAAACACCCTGACGAACAGATTCAGGCACATTATGGCCAGTGATTTGGAAAAAGCCGCTGTTGGTACAAGCATCGCGGATCTGAGCTGCTACAGCTTTCTTATCGTCGAGAGAGCCGTTGAAAGTTGAGGAAATGTCGATGACGGGGACGGTGAAAGGTCTAGATGGGCCATCTGTCTTTGTAGTGAGGCGGTTGTTGAGGTAGCTCTGTGCAGCGCGTCGAGCCTCGTCTGAGGTAACGTTGGTAGATGCCATCTTGAACGATGCGGAGTTTGTTAAAAGTCGGAGTTTCGACCAAGAGGTATGGAGCAATTATATAAACCCTATGGCAGATAGGGAAGATAGGCGTGGCGCAATCCGGCAGACAAGAAATTGCCGACGGTCGGGACCTATCTGACTCTGTAACACTGATTCACAGACAAACAAGGCAAGTAGATGCGTCTAATCACACAGAGTTTTTGGGGATTACTTGGTATCAAGAAAAAGGTCGGCGGGTTAGTCAGATGTATGATCAACAGGCGAGAGAGTGTGTGGATGCGGGGCAGAGCTTGGGCACCCTCGTGGGCAATTTAGGCCAACCTTGCGGGAGCTCTATTTTTGAGGCCATGACGGACATGATCTTCGGACTACTGTGATAGCTTGCAGATGTGTATAACGTGGCTATAGATGTAGTTGACGGAAGCCGAAGATGGGAAAAGGGGTGGACGAGGGAGTCAAGATAGGGGGTTGAAAATGCGTGGCCCAAGCTTCAGGGCCAGGGACAATTGCGTTGCGTCGTGTTTCGTTGCAGTGTCGAGGGTCGTTGCGACAGCTGTCCAGACATTTACATCTTCTCCTTCTCTACCTAGTCCATCCCTCGACATCAGTGTCTGGATGGTCATGCTTGGTGTCTGAGCTACATTGACCTTCTTGACTTTCCTTGATCAAACTCTTTTCTTCACATCATGTCTTCAACGCCGAGCTCCAAGAAGGGGCCCGCGAGTAGCTCCAAGAAGAAGGTCGATGGCGCCGTCGACCAGACCAGCGAATACCTCTCGCAGCTGAGGAGCGAGACAAAGCAGGCTGCATCCAATGACTGGGACTACAAGCTCGCTCTCGTCGTCATCACCCTCCTCGCCTTTGCAACCCGCTTCTACGCCATCACTCACCCCAACCAGGTCGTCTTTGATGAAGTCCACTTTGGCAAGGTAAACCAAATCGCCAACTATACACTGTTCCCTTGATCAAGCACTGACACACACCAGTTCGCATCATACTACCTCCAGCGAACCTACTTCTTCGATGTGCACCCCCCCTTCGGCAAGCTCCTGTTCGCTTTCGCAGGCTGGCTCGTTGGCTACAATGGCGACTTTTTGTTTGAAAACATTGGCGACTCGTACATCACAAACAAGGTGCCCTACGTCGCATACCGTGCAATGCCCGCCTCAATGGGTGCCTTGACCGTCTCAGTCGTCTTCATGATCATGTGGGAGTCTGGCTACTCTCTGCCTGCTTGTGTTTTGGCTGCCGGTCTTGTTCTCTTCGACAATGCCCACATTGGCCAGACTAGACTCATCCTCCTCGATGCTACTCTCATTCTCTTCATGGCCCTCTCAGTCTGGAGCTATATCCGCTTCTACAAGCTCCGTCACGTTCCCTTTAGCCGCAAGTGGTGGAAGTGGCTGCTCTTGACTGGTGTCTGCCTCAGCTGCGTCATCTCGACCAAGTACGTCGGTGCCTTTACCTTCTTCTCCATTGGTGTTCCCGTCGCCATTGATCTTTGGTCTCTGCTCGACATCAACCGCAGACAGGGCGCTCTTACTCTGCCCGAGTTTGGCAAGCACTTGGCTGCTCGCGTCACTGGTCTGATTGTCATCCCCTTCTTGCTCTACCTCTTCTGGTTCCAGGTCCACTTTGCCATTCTCACCCGCTCCGGCCCTGGCGACGACTTCATGAGCCCCGAGTTCCAAGAGACTCTCAGCGACAACATCATGACTCAGCAGTCCGTCAGCATCGACTACTACGACGCCATCAACATCCGCCACAAGGACACCAAGGTCTACCTCCACAGTCATCCCGACAAGTACCCTCTTCGTTACGACGATGGCCGTATCTCTTCCCAAGGCCAGCAGGTCACTGGCTACCCTCACAACGACACCAACAACCTCTGGCAAATCGTCCCTGGAACTGGCGCCATCCCTGAGGAAACTGGCCACCGTGTCCATGTCGGTGATGTTGTTCGTCTTCGCCATCTCGTGACCGACACTTGGCTCCTCACCCACGATGTCGCTTCTCCTTACTACCCCACCAACCAGGAGTTCACTACTGTTGGTCACGACGAGGCCAACGGCGATCGCTTCAACGACACGCTGTTCGAGATCAGAGTCGATGGCGCAAAGCCTGGCATGGACTTCAAGACCATGTCTGTCCACTTCAAGCTCATCCACGTCCCTACCAAGGTTGCAATGTGGACTCACACCACTCCTCTGCCTGACTGGGCCTACAAGCAGGCTGAGATCAACGGCAACAAGAACGCCCTTCAAACCAGCAACATCTGGTACGCCGAGGACATCCCCGCTCTGCCCAAGGATTCCGAGCGCGCAAAGAAGGAGCCTCGCAAGGTCAAGCACGTGCCCTTCCTCAAGAAGTACTTTGAGCTTCAACGTGCCATGTTCTACCACAACAATGCCCTCACCAGCAGCCATCCTTATGCCAGTGTCCCCATCCAGTGGCCTTTCCTTCTTCGTGGTGTCAGTTTCTGGACCGAAAACGAGACTCGTCAACAAATCTACTTCCTTGGTAACCCTCTTGGATGGTGGTTGGCTAGCAGTCTGCTCGCTGTTTTCGCTGGTGTTCTCCTTGCTGACCAGCTTTCTCAACGCCGTGGCGTTGACGCTCTCGACAAGCGTATGTACACTTTCAAATCTTTTCTTTGCATTCAAAACTGACTCTTTTCAGGTGCCCGCAACCGTCTCTACAACTCGACCGGTTTCTTCTTCTTGACCTGGGCCGCTCACTACGTCCCTTTCTACATCATGGGCCGTCAACTCTTCCTCCACCACTACCTTCCCGCTCACCTTGCCTCTGCTCTCGTCACTGGTGCCCTCGTCGAGTTCGTCTTTAACATTGACCCTGTTGATATCGATGACGTCGCCTCTGGCAACGCAACCCTCACCAAGAACAAGAAGACTGCTGTCCAACAAAACAAGCCTGTCCGCGAGAGAACTGGTCAATCCAACTTGTTCGGCATGTGGGCTGCCACTGGCGGTATTCTTGCCATCATTGTCTGGAGTTTCCTCTACTTTGCTCCTCTGACTTATGGTCAGCCCGGCTTGACTATCGAGCAAGTTAACGCAAGAAAATGGCTCAACTATGATTTGCACTTTGCCAAATAGAGCATTGATCTAGCACAGCGTTTCCGTTCAAGTCAACATGCTTGACGGGATTCCACGGAGTGTCTGGTTCTTGAAATCGAGGAGATCCTCCTCTGTTTTCTTTTCCTTTTGTTAGCAACACCAAAAAATTCAGATTTTTCACTACTTACATTTGAGCATTTCAAACCTTCCATGATCTTTGCCTTGACTCGTGCTTCGCATTTTCACCGTAGTCTACTTTGTTTTCAACACGACGGAACACGCGGAAGCTGTCGTGAGAAGCCTCTTAGATATTGTACCTCTGACACACTCGAACTCTACAAGAATGTGTAGCATTGAATCTTGTCCCTTGTTCCCGCCACATCATACTAAGGAGACATAGACGGACGGACAAAGCAACTAATAGTTAGTCTGAAAGATAGGCTATAGTTTTCTTACCTGAATCGACTCGAACTTGACCTCCGAGGATCTTCAAGCTCTGGAGTGGAAAACTCATGATAAATGCGGAGTGGCCGCATTGACCAATTGTCTTCTTGTTCATGTCCGCACCTGCATTCCCAGAACTCATGCATAAGACGTCTTTCCAAGATGTATCAGTCACTCGCGCCTCCTATCGAGCAGTACCTCGAGCGCGGTCGAAACTCCTATCTCGATGACAGCCCAATTCGCGTCTACTTCCTCCAGCCAGTCACTTCAGTCGAAGCTGCATCGATATGCCAGCGCGCACACGACACTTACGCCCGAGACATTCTTGGCTGTCCAGACTCTGGCATCGAGGCTCCGAATTTGTTCAACATCCATGCCGCAGAGCGCCACACTTTCCACAGCTTGTTAGAGTGTTGGAAAGACTTTATGATCTTCTTGCAGTCCACATATATTTCAGATCAGGACTACCCAGCAAGCCCAATAGAATATCCCTTGGGCTTTGTTGTGCTTACAGCTCCCAACAGCCAGAGAGCTACGCTGGTGTGCTGTTACAAGGAGAACGAAGAATGGAGTGTCGGCTCTTGTCTAATACCAATTGACGCAGAATTGGGGATGCAAGCTCAAGCTCTGAAATATTCGGAGGATGAGTTTGTGAATTTCGCGCGGTGTTATGAGAATGATTTACCTCGCAGAAGCTCGTAGACACGCGGTATCGTCTTCTAGGGCCCTGATTTTGCACTAACGATCACGAAATCTGTAAAGACTTCAGGCAGATTCATCCTTCTTAACCAAACGCGAACAGGCAGAACTGTTTGACGCAGATGAAGGAGGAGTTGATCACTTGCCAAGCTATCGGATTGTCTTGGTACAGGGTCTGGAGTCGACTACATTATCGCTTATATCGATGCTGAAACGCCAAGCACAGTTAGACCTCACCCCCAGTCTTGGTATCAAGTTTAGGCTATACAGCAAGGACTCTGGGCAATCAGTCTCACGCGTGTGGCATTAGTAGTTTGTCTCGAAGATAGGCGAGATAGAACCTTGAACACAACGAGATGCCTATAAAATGGACGCTTCCTTCGTGATTCGAGGACTTGTGATCAGTACGACACAGCAAGTCTGAAAGGCGCCTTTGAGTCACCAAGATGCATTTCTCTTCTTTACTCTCCTCGGTGCTTGCCATCAGTGGCATAGCTGCTGCATCTGCGATTCCTTCTCCCTTCATCGAAACTAGACAAAGCAGTCCAGCAGCTGGTGTCGTCTACAGCAAGTGCAGCAAACCCGGCGTCTTCGCCCTCGCCTTCGATGATGGACCTGGCCAATACACCGAGGAGCTGATCAAGACTCTGAACGCTGCAGGAGCCAAGGCCACTTTCTTCTTCACGGGCACTTTGTACGGCTGCATTTACAACCGCGCCGCAGCGGTCAAGGCCGCCTACTCCAGTGGTCATCAAGTTGCCTCGCACACCTGGACTCACCCTCAGACACTCGACAGCATGAGTGTCGCCCAGCTCACCACCGAAATGCAGAAGCTTGAGACTGCGCTGATCAATATCATCGGTGTCAAGCCTACTTACATGCGTCCTCCTTACCTCAAGACCGGCGGAAACGTACCCACTGCCATGAGAAACCTCGGCTACAGAATGATCACCGACAGCGTAGACTCCCAGGACTGGAACGGTCTCTCTGTTTCAGCAAGCGAGCAGAAGTTCCGCAGTGCAGGTCCCAGCACTCCTGATGGCAAAGGACATATCTCTCTGATGCACGAGACTTACGCAACCACTGTGAGAGATCTGGTCCCGAGATTGATCAAGTGGGCCAAGGAGAACAACTTGAAGATGGTTACTGTTGGTAGGTGCTTTGAGACTCGACTACAAGAGGAATGTATTAACATATTTTTGCAGCCGAGTGTTTGGGCGATGCAAATGGTGCCTATGCCAAAGGCACTGGTGGTGGTGCACAGCAGTGCTAAGAGAGAATCGAAAGCAAAATTGGCGATGTGGTCGAATTTACCATCGTGTAGTTCCACTGGAATAGTCAGTCCCCTTTCGATGCAATATCATACCACATTGCGAGAACCATTGCTTCGCCAGTGATTCTAATGACTTTCCAAAGCAGACATGGGACAAGTAGCAACTGACCTAAAGATCACATCAAGCGGTTCGATTTACTTGTCACTTCGAATGAACACTGGAAATCGAAGAACAAGGCAAGTCGTGCTTTACCTTCGGAAAAACTCCTGAATTCGGCTGAATGCAGGCGCATATCACAAACCCTCGGATGAACCGGCAGGGGCTGACAACAAGGCGAGCCACAATTCAAGCCGCCGATGTATGCCAAGATAGGTAAACATCAACGTCTATCACTCACTCCAATGATTCGATCATCTCTTCCTCCCATGGGGAGGCTGAGTAAAGGTTCCACAATTTCTCCATGGGCACAGCGTTCGCCGCTGGAGGATTTCTTGATCATCGCGCTGGCGTGATGAACATCAGGTGTTTATCCGCATGCGAAGGAGGACTCTATGCTTCGCATCACCATGCCAAAACCTACCGAGTACTCTGTCGGTAAGAAGATCCCACTGCGTCATTTGGCGAAAGGATCAATATAGTTACCATAACACGGTTGATATGTAAGTCTGTTTATGTATATGTATGCTCCTTATTCTGTTCTCCTGTTCATCTCTTTCCGTCAATTCACCTGTTCATCCCGTCCTGTCAAGATAACAATTGTTAGGTCAGTTTGCGTCCAGACCGTTATAGCCACTCCTCGACGGCTCATCTTGGTCACGATTCGCTGCCCCATAGGCACTACCGCTTTCTGACTGCACCCCATCATGGCGGTCTCACCCCGCGTCTACCAATTCCTCGTCTCTATATTCGCCTCCTTGGGCTCTCTACTCTACGGCTACGACCTCGGCGTTGTTGCTGAAGTCGTCGCCGCACCATCTTTCCTCGCAGCTTTCGGCGACAACACCACAAAGACCGGTCTTGTGGTCTCATTATTCACGGTCGGTGCTTTCTTTGGTGCTTTCTGGGCAGGTCCTTGTGGAGATCATCTCGGACGCAAATGGACCATTTTCATTGGTGGTGCGATTTTTATTCTTGGAGGCTCGGTGCAGACTGCAGCTCAAGATTACAGCTATATGTTTGGTGGTAGGTTTGTTGCGGGGCTTGGGTATGTATATGGCGTTTCTTATACTCAGCTCATCGAATAGTATGCTGACAATGGATCTTCAGAGTTGGAGCCTTGATCATGATCATTCCGCTATATCAAGCTGAACTAGCTCCCCCCAGCATCAGAGGGAGAATCACCGCACTCCAACAATTCATGCTCGGTGTCGGCAACCTCATCGCAGCATGGGTATCCTACGGAACCTACATCTCCTTCTCCGACACCAATAGCGCACAATGGAGAATTGGCCTTGGACTTCAACTCCTCCCTGCAGGTTTTTTGACCTCCCTCATCCTCCTCTTTCCCGAATCTCCTCGTTGGCTCATCCACCACGGTCGCAGTGAAGAGGGATTGAGAGTTCTCGCTCAGCTTCACGCATCCGGAAACGAACAAGATGCTTTTGTGCAAGAAGAATACGACAGCATCACCGCCGCAGTCGAATACGAAAAAGAACATGCCGCGAAATCCTATACTGAGCTCTTCAAAACGCGATCAAGTTTCCGTCGCTTGATTACTGCGTTATCGTTACAGGCTTCTGTGCAAATGAGTGGAGTCTCTGCTATCCAATACTATTCTCCAGATATCTATGGACAGATTGGAATCAGTGGCAGTGATACATTTATGTTCCAAGGCTTCAACGCTATTGTAGCACTGGTTGCGCAGTTCTGCTGTATGTTGTTTATTGACCGTGTAGGTCGTCGCTGGACTTTGATTGGAGGAAACCTGCTCAACATGGTTACTTTCATCATTGCTACTGCATTACTGGCATCTTATCCCCCTGGAACCTCGACAAATAGGTCTGCGCAAGAAGCCTTTATTGCCATGACTTGGTTGTTCAACTTTTCTTACTCGGTGGCTTGTGGACCGCTTTCCTGGATCATCCCTGCAGAAATCTTCGACACACATACAAGAAGTAAAGGAGTTTCTCTCGCTACGGCATGTTCGTTTGCTTTCAACACCATGATCGGGCAAGTCTCTCCCATCGCGCTCGAACGCATAGGTTGGAGGTTTTATATCCTGTTTGTGGTTTGTTCAGCCACCAACGCACTTTGGTTCTGGGCGACCTTGCCAGAGACTGCGAAGAGGCCTTTGGAGGATATGGGGCCTTTGTTCCAGAAGATGCCGTGGTTCGTGCCTGGCAAGTCGAGGATTTCTCTGCAGCAGCTTTGGGGCGAGGAGTGGAGGGGAAGTGCAGGAGAATTGGCCAAGGTTGAGGAGAAAGAACTAAAGATTGAAAAGGCGGAGGACTGAATAAGACCACTGGATATCGATCTAAGAAGAGTACTCAGTACAACCTGAAGCACTGATTTCCATACATAACCCCATACAATCTTGATGGTTTTTCTCGATTGATTCGAATGCTTGCTGTCAATAGCGCACCTTTTGCTGATGCCTAGGTGCTACTACATTCAGCGCTGAGCAGGCGCCGCGCCATAATGAGTGATTGTCGGTACTTGTGTGCCCTGTGCTGGTTTACTGGAATGGAATACCCTGGGTGACAGTGCCAACACGGGAGTGGGTGGAGTTCCAAACGACAAAACTGGTTTTCGAAAGGGCATCTCCAATCTACTGCATGGCTACGAAGATTACATTGATCAATCGATAGGCAACCGACGATCTCATATGACTCGTGCCTAGCTGGCAGTATCTTTAGTCAGACATAATTGCACTGAGATGAATCAAACCTCGTCCAGCTCTCTACTGCTGCTTCTCCGCCATAACCTGCAACACCTCCTCCAAAGCTTCCCTACGAGGCTTGATTCTATACCCGTATTCCATACATTTCTTCTCCATTTTGCTCGAGTCCATGATACAAATAGCACGTAGCGCTTCCAAGTTTGCCAGCATGTCTTCCACCTTGAAGGTTTGCCATCTCAGATCACGGCGAATCGTCTTCCTGGCCAATTACAAGATTTCAACGTTGCTGATCTCGCAGGGTGTCACCTACAAGCACCACATCAGTATCTGAACCTCTTGACACGGACACCTGAAGAAATATCGAGTCATCATAACTCTGTCAACATACCCAATTATGTCTCCACGGCTTTCAGTTCTGGCATTTGACCTTGATTGTAGAGTCGTCTCAATTCATCATCAGGTGAGGCATTGTCTTACTCTTGCATGACGGATGCTTTGTCTTGCGTCGTCAAGACATCTTTGATCTGGTTGGCGATGAAACCGCCTCCTGCAGCATCGTTAGCTCGTGGTCGGTCTATGTGACGGCACCACCACAGGCCGCACTTTTGATGAAGTGATCGCAGATGGAGACATTGAGGAAATGACAAGTCATATCTCTCAGGCGACAAGAATGTATTTGACTCGTCTGATCTCCATGGATCTTGAGAACTTTGACATACGCCATGGGTCTATACTAGCGTTTGGTTCCAACTCACTGATCGCTGTCGAGTTTCGAAACTGCGTCATGCGACAGTTCGAAGCACCGCTGCAGAGTATGGATATCCTAGCTAATCAGACTATCTATCCACCAGCAGAAAGGTTGTTGCGAGGTCCCAGAGAATTGCCGCTGTAGCTTAGAGATTTGAACTGTTCATGAAGACCTTGGTATACATTAGTTCTGGAAATCTGGCGTCAGAATTAAGCCTTGCTTGAGGAGAGTACAGGTCAAAGTAAAGGTCAGGAGCAAAATTCGACAGTACAACTACAGGTCCAGAATAGTCGTTGTACCTCAAACATGTGATTCTTTTGCTGGAAAGCCGTCCAGCTCCGTCACCACAACGGTCTCAAGATCCATACTTTGATGTGTTGTGACGCGACCTCTCATAACCTGGATCCATTGTTGCAGCGGATGAAGTGCCGCAATCGAGACAGCCATGATGCCTGTTCCCACCTCCGCCGCACTCCAGGCTGCGAGAGGAACACTTGCGTAAAGAAAGTCTTCGGTATTCAGCAGTTGATTAATTGCATAGAATCGTATCGTGGTCTCAATTGATCCAATGTTCGCAAAGCACAGGAAGCCAGCTACTTGATGTTTTTGCCTGCGGTTGGTGAGATCGCGACATATGATCCAAGGTAAAATGCCGAGCGTCCAGTTGCTTAGACATGATACTGACGCATATGCATATTGGAAAGCTGTCGTAATGCTGGGATCGACGCAGTGTCCTCCAGGTGTCATCCTATCCCAAAAAAAGCTGACAGGATGACATTGGAATATCATTTCTGCTATCGTAGCAATTGCCATGGTGATACAGAGGATGATCACAGTCCAGATAACCTTTCTTATCGATTTTGAGCTTGTGATACGCAACAAGACGGATGCAATCGTGAGCTGTAGCATGGTCGCTGAGGCTGTGTAGAATATCTCGCCTACATAGATCAACTGACACGATCTTTAGCCAACGAAGGGGTCGAAAACAAAGCCTAACGTACCTTCAGCGCTTTTATAATCTGCATGGAATACAAGTTGTCCATGTGTCGTACCAAATCATCATGCACATGAACCAAGGATAATGAGCAATATACGAGAAATAGGACTTGCAAAACTCAGTAAAGTGTTGACGTACAACAAGACATATCTCCTACCAATGCCGTAGCTAGAGAAGCATCATCTCTGCCCAGAGATTTGGATATCAACATTCAAGTCATGATTCGAGTGAAAAAGGCGATCAAGGAAGAAACAGAGAACAATATCATTGCGGCTGCAAGCTCAGGTCCCCGATCGCCCGTCATCGTGGGGTCGAGTGCAATGAGAATGTCCTGTTATCAGAAATTTGTTGCACCCATGGATACTTTGTGGCAGCTGCAGTAGCTCTCGGTCAAAGGTTTACCGCAGCAGCTGTTATCGAAATGTCAACTTCGAAGCCGGTTGGCCATAGCGGATGATTTAATGCTTGCAATCTGTGACGCTTCCATGGCGCATCAAACACGCACCAAGACACCTGGAATCCCGTTGGGTCACCATTTGGGATGATAATGTATGCCAACGTCTGATAGCTCAGAATTTAGGCGTCGCCGGCAAGGTTAGTCCTAATGCTGGTAACTCTGATCGCTTGACCTTGCTGTACAATCAATTGCGAGATAGACTAGAGCCCTTTCTCTTATCTATCTACTCCAGCACGTTTTGTAGCCTTCGGCTGCAGTCTGCGTGTCGTAATCCTAACCCTAAAACCCTAAACCCTACCCTAGCAAGACTCACTCCCTGAATAGCCAGATCAATGCTGAGGCATAGGCGCAGCTGCCAAGAGGTTGGACAGAAAATTCCATCGTAGTCATTTCGTGAAGCTCACGATCGATCTTGCGTGCCAGACGTCGGGAAGTTTATCTGCGCTGCCCTGTCTTACCTCAACTTCTCCCAGAGCCGCGTCAACACGAATTTTTCAACTTCGTGAAATTCCAGCAGCGCGTCTTGTTAACAACTCTCTTCCGAAATTACGTCAATCATCATCGGGACCTGGTTTACTGGGGCACTGCTATACTTCACATCCCATGCTCAATCAATCCTCATTGGCTCTTCCGGCGATGTTCATGCACCTCCAAAGGTACGCATGTGGTATATAGCGGGCTTGGCTAGCATATTGATGGTCGTGCTTGTAACGAAAAGTTTGTCTGAGGTCACGCGGACAAAATTGGATGAGCCGAGTCCGTGTTCGGATACCTTGAAAGCGGAATCTTATGTACAACCACTAACTTCATGTACGTTGAGTCAGGACCCTGACCTGTTTGCAAGCGGGATTCAAAGTGAACTCCTTCTCCAGGATCTTAGAGACTTGTCAGAAGATGGGTTACTCGTACATTAGACGCCTATTCCTTCCCACACTCCGAGGTCTGGAGTCCAGAGGTGCCGCCCAACACCGCCAGGCCTCTTCAGAAGGGGCCAGAACTCTGAGAGAACTACCGATAAAGCAACACGTATGCATCCAGGATAGTGTCTGGCAGGTGATGAACCTAGTGAGGGTTGGTCCCCGATTTTCCAGTCATAGTCAACATCGGCAGCCCAGATCCAGGGCTCAACATCGGGTGTCGGTTGCAACAGAGAGCTGACAGCTTCTGCATCCGCTACGAGAATCATGCCTGTGTCGAGACCAGGCGGCACCGCGTCGTTTGCGCAAACATCTTCATAGTAGCTGTATCGTCTATCCATCAGCACGTTTCTGACATACGATGGAGCAACGACACATACCTCACAGCGCCATGCCAGCCAGTCCCATCAAGGTCTTCATCCCCCACGTTTACGATGAGCAATTTGTCTGCGATGCTCTCACCACCGAGACTTTCTTCTAGACTCCGATCTAAGTACTGATGGAAAATAGTGTTCCAGCGTGTCCAAGCATCCTCGTCAGTGTAATCCAAACGCACAAGGACGTAACCAAAATCGTCATAGCCTGCTTCCTGGACCACTTGCACAACAGCATCTACATCGGGCTTGGGCACTTTCTGTGTATCGATCAAAGGAACGGCTAGTGCATCGGGATTGGCCAGATACCGGGCGCGCTCATCGTCCAGCCATTTGCGCATGCGCTGTTGCATCACGGCGCGTTCAGTATCATCTTCTGGCAATGGTGTGTCGGGTCTGAAGCGTGGAAGAACTGGTGATAGCTTGAATCTCTCTCGCTCGCGACGTGTAAGCTCATCTATGCGCGCTCCGAATATCGCGTCTTGGGCTGAGGGCGACGAGACAGCCATTGGAGAAATCAAGTGGAGCGTCTGTTGGCCATGAGCCAGGCACCTTTTGGAGCGATAGGAGACGTACTGAGTAGTCCAATTGTAGCAATTCATCGGCCGTCGCAGCAGCAAGACGCTCTGGCGTCCATCCAAGGGGTACGTACGACATGACTGCTGCAAGAGGGGCTCGAGTGTTACCAGCTTGGCCGTCTCAAGTGGATGCGACCTAAATATAGTGATGCACAGAGAGTGCGAAGTCCATCAATCATTGATGCTATGGAGTGACACCCGAACGGCGGCCTGGGGCGTTGGCATGGAAACAAGAGTGGGGTAACATCTACAATATCGACACCTTTTGACGTCTTTGATTCTGCGACAAGTTTTATACTTATCTAGCACGATATCGAGTTTTTTTTTTTTTTTTTGGCTTCAATCTTCTAGCTGCATGTCAGCTGGTCTAGCACTGTGCTGTGTGGCGGGTATATCATACTCATCTCGTAGATGTCGCGTAATACCTGAGCTCCGTTGTCATCGTTTCTCAAAGTCTCTGCAGCTGGGGCAACATCCTCGATGGATACTCTGAATCCTGTAACCTCGAATGGCTCTTCGAAGTCGATGTATACCGGAAAAAGTCCCTTGAAACTCCAATCCCTGTCATGCGCTACCAGAAAGCCCAACGGAAAGTGGTTCAGCTGGTTCAGATGAGCTTTACAGTAGTCTATGTGGGCAGCAACGATATCACCGAGCGTCTGCAAGTGTGACATATGTTTAGGAGCACATCATGCAAGATAAATCTCATTGGGCTCTTTGCCGATGATATGGTCCTTGGTGATTGTAGCCACAAGCTCATCGTACTCGTTGTTGGAAATGCCAGCCAGCTTGTAGACTGCAAAGGGCAGAAACTCCGCACCACGAACTTCGCTGAGTGGAGCGATCTTGGGTGCATGCTTCGGAAGGACAAGTCATGGTGAGTTAAACATGTTGTCGGATTCGTCTGAGAGCAAACCGCTCTCGTGTCAGAGGTCTGTATTCATTATCCCGCCGTTGGAAGATGACGCTGAGGTGTCCTCTCAGTCTGCTTCCGGGGTGATCCCGGATCTACAGGTCAGTGCCTTGTAGTGCGCGAAGTCTGCAGGTGAGGATGATCCAGGCGAGTTCGCTGCCGTAATCACTTCTATCAATCACCAAGAGATGCAAAAAATTTGAAAGCCATACATCAATACTTCTATCAAGAACTCAATATATAGTACAACATCAAGTCAATACGATACGCCAACACCTTGCTTCCCATCCATATACCTCGCTTTTCATCACTCATTTCAAACAGCCTCTTTTAAGAGCCATCCTCACAGTCCCATCAAATCTACAACCCCTTACCCACAGCGCTGCCAATGCCCTCAAGAGTGTCCTCCTCCAGACCGCCAACCTGGGCACCAATATCGGCAGCATCACCAGTGAGTTGGCCATCGATGTTATCGCCATCGGTCTTGACAATGTTGGCAAGGTCATTCAGGTGGGCAGCATTGAGGATGTTAGCTGCACCGTTGGCAATCTTGTCAAGCTGGCGCTTTCTGGGAATGGCCTTGCCAACACCCTCGAGGGTTTGTTCCTCGAAAGAGCCAACATCAGCGCCGAGCTTGGCGGCACCGCTGGTGAGTTCACCATCGACATTGTCACCCACAGTCATAACAACATTGCCGAGCTGGTTTAGGTGGGCAGCATCAAGGATGTTGGCAGCACCGTTGGCAATCTTGTCAAGCTGGCGTCTAGCCTTGGGACCCTTCTTGGGTGGTGGTGGAGGGGGAGCAGCGCCGCTGCCTCCAGTGGTAGTGGTGCTCGAAGAAGATCCGCTGATTAGGGCAGCAGTGTTGTCCTCCGCATTCTCGATGCCGTATCCGACAGCATTGTCGGTGTCACTCACAATCGAGTCGCAGGCAGAGCCTACGCCAGCCAATTGGCGACGGGTAACCTTGCTGACGACATTTGCGACGCCATCTGTTGAACTTGTTAGTGAAGCACTTGAGGCCCCGTACGATGTTGATTCACCTTCGACGTCTTCGACTGTGTAGCCAACTGCGTTATCGGTATCGGTCAGGATGGAGCCACAAGCGGCGCCTTCTCCACCAAGTTGAGGAAGAGGGGCTGCAAGAGCAGTAAAGGCCTGGAAAGCGGCCAGGAGGAGTAGAGTCTTCTGAATGGAAGGCATTTTCGACTCAATTAAGAATTGAAGAGGAGGAGTGAGACTGTGAGGATGGAGGCTGTCCTAGTGGTAGTGCTGCTGATGTCTTTGCTTGATGAACGTCGTAACTGCGAGGATGGATCTGATATTTATGTTCTCGAGGCTCCATACTAAACCTCAACACCATAGCCGGTGCATGGTATAGCATCATCGCTCACCCCGAAGGATTAGTATTCAGAAAGGTCACCTCTCAGTGTGTTGACCCTTTACGGCTTTGATTTGTGTAGATCCGCTTATATTTGGCTTTTGGGCTTGTTCATGCTTCCTCAGGCGCTGGGCCGCGAGCCTATATCTCGTATGACGTGGGATTCTGACCTAAAGTTATTCTTTCCGGATGGAATTCAGTCCGAACCTTTCAGAGGAACGATACAGTCCGGAACGAGTCATGATCACTGCGAACAGTGACCATCAGAGCTTCTCAAGCTTTGCGAGCTCTCGGAGTCTGACGCGACTTACGATCAGCGTCGACATAGCCATCATCTGTCAATAGGACCCTGTGCACGCTCAGCACGTGTTGATAGGCGATAGCAACGGGAGATCTCAATGATCTCCACAGTTGATGTCGGATGAAAGAGCTGGTCGTCTGTACTGTTGCCGAGCAATTGCGCCTCAGAAATCCCCAACAGATGTTCCAATCTCCTGTGTACGTTCGAAAGACGGCATGCCGAATGCTACGTTGGTGAATTGTAATGTCCGGTTACCGGCACAGGAGTAAGAACTCCGCCAGGACGTATTCAGTGAGTGTGGCTGTGGTATACAGCATTCTGATGAGTGAGGTCAGAGGCGTTGGCTTGGCATCCCTGGGAGTGACTGTGGTATCACAGCAGCTGAACATGCAAATTGACGACACCACGGCATGAGGATCTGAACTCTCGCCAGCGGAACGATTAATTTGTGTAAATCTAGAAGCTTAAATCAAAGTCAAGCACGCACAAGCAAGCGGAGTATGCTTGGCGTTACGGTGGAGGCGTTCGTGAGGCTTGAGAATGCCGCCGATTCCCGTGACATGGCGGCGATGAGGGGGTAATCCCTCACAATAACCATACTTTCCGCGGCGGCGATATTCTTAAAGCATTCAATGCATCTGTACCTGCGGGATTCCGCTCATGAATAGGGCGGAACAGTCGTTGTTCGGTCGTCGCTAATTGGGTGTTCTCTTGAATCACCTCTCATCAATCATCCCGTACGTTGAGGATACGAGAAAGATCTGAGCGTGAGCTCCGCTGTCGTACAGTGTCGATCTCTGAAGAACATTACTTCGGAACATGGCGGTATACTTGATCGTCGTGTCAAAGACTCTGAGCACTCAACCATCAAGGCCTTGGCGGAATGACATCCTCATACTCCTGCAAATGTCCCTGCGTGCTGTGTGGTCAGACCTCCAAATTTATTGTTCATGCTTCGATATCAATCTGTCAGCAACATTCACTTCCTGTTCAGAAAGGCATAATTATGCTGTCAAATCACGGAAATCTGCGTCAATATCGAGAGATGGAAGGAAATGTAATGAAAAAATAAAACTTGTCAACAAAAGGACTTCCAAATGCGCGTTATGCTCGCGCGCCGCCCGCATCGCGTCGGAATTTGCAGGTCGTTGAATTCTCGGGACGTGGCTGTGCATCATGAAGTTACAACTCAGCTCGGCAACAACTTCCTTCATGAACATTTTTTTATTGTTCTACTGCATATCTACAACTGATCCTGCCACTTGTATGCGGGCTTGAATCCGAGCTCCTTCTTGGCCTTGTCGATCGAAAGCAAGGTATCATTGGGTCCTGAGGTAGCCTTGTACTTGACGCCGGGGAAGGCCTTCTTCACGAGTTCGTCATTCGACTGTCTCATACAGGTATCCTCAGCAGCGATCAGGTACTGGTGGTGTCCCTTGGTCTTGCTGTCCAGTGACTTGGAAACGGCCTGACCACCATCTCTGGCGTCAATGTAACCCCAGCAGTTCCAATATCTCTTCATCGGGTCGTCTTGCCAGGATTCGAATGTCTTATACTCTTCCGGCAGCATGACGTTGCTGAATCTCAAGGAGATGATCTTGACTTCGGGGTCCCATCTTGCGTATTGCTCTGCCAATGTCTCACCAACTAACTTGGACAATGAGTAAGCCGACTCTGGTCTTCTTTCATGCTCCTCTGTGATTGGCAGCGACTCGGGCATGTGAGGGTCCAAGGGGATACCGATGAGAGTTTCGGAAGACGCTAGGACGATGTTCTTGATCCTGAGCTTGCGACAAGCTTCAAGGACGTTGTATGTGCTCATGGTGTTGGTACGGAATTGTCTGGAGCTGTTGGTCTGTCCAGGAGAGGGGATCGCGGCCAAGTGAACGACTGCGTCGATGCCATTGTATGCCATGTCCTGAACTTGTCAACCACTACTCAAGACGATCGCACTGCAAAAGGTGCTTACAGTTGTCAGGAATGTCTCAATGACAGCGCCCATATCCTCGAGGTCGATCTCTACAAGACGGTACGCACCACCAAGACCCGACTTGCCATCCTCGCTGATGCCGGGAGGGCGACGAGTGTCGACTGAGATGACCTCCCAGCCCTCATCGGCAAGGTATCTAACTGTTGAGCGACCGAGCTTACCACTGCCACCAGTGACGACGACTCTGCGCTTGTTCTCTCCTCTCTTTGCTTCGCCGAGAGCGAGCTTGTCTGTGAAAGAAGCTTGAGGACTCATGTTGGATTTTGATGGTTGATTCAACGAAGGAGAGGACGATGCGACAAGCTATAAGTCCTTGAGAAAAAGATCATCCCCGGCAAGAAGAGCGATGCTTATGTCATGGTACGCCTTCTTCCATTCTTCAGCCGCATCTTTATCCTGGCATGAACTCGGTAGTTACACTCGGCGTATCTCTCAGCGAGCGAATCATGTCAGCGCTGTAGCATTCGTGGTGGTATTCTTCAGGTGGAGATCTTCTCCGCCGCCCACATCTATGACCCGCGTCCCCACAAAAATCGATTTTACCCGGTAATCGCTTGGCTATAGCTTGTTTGACAGATAGGCTGTGGGTTGTGTATTTCCGAGAGCGTTCTGGAAAAGTTCTTCAGGTCATCGAATATTGCTGTTTCTACGACTGATGATACTTGTCGGTAGCTCTCGTGGCATCGTCTGCTGCTTGTGTGCAAATACTCACAAGTCACAACAAGGGAAAGTCGAAACGCACAGACCACTCTGTTTGTCGTTGGCATGACCCGGGGGTGTATCTTTGTGTAATGCCTTACATCGACAAAGAGTCCATCATGATCAAAAAGGGCTGTAACTGGATGGTGAGTTATACTCTCAGTGCCAGTATCCAAGATGTGTGAGAATAGTGCTTAACAGAGTCGCTCACACTCAGCACCGGAGTAACGATAGTTCACGCAGAAAGCCACAGAAAATCAGATCATCAGTGACTTTGTTATGGGAACTCGACGTCCAACAGCGTATGTGAGGGAGTCCACAAAGCGATTGCAAATGCAAGTACCAGAGTTGCTTACCCAAACTGAGTTGCAAGGTAAAGATGAGAATTCACACGATACCAAGTTTGGAGTCAGAGGAAGAAATAGGGAAACCAGCACTTCAGTTTGCCTCAGATCCCTGAGCACCACACTTCTCACTACAATAGTACTCCATCTAAGACATGATTATCAGCTCAAATCGACAGTGACATACAGTCACTTACCTCATCACCACCGATATGCCACCCAGCAGAGTTACATTGAAGTCCATCCTGGTCAAAAGTCAGTGACAGCGAACTTTGTTCACAAATTCAATCAAAGCATACAAAAGTACAATCTTCACACTTGTCCCATTGGTTGTTGCCAGTGTTGCGTTGCTTATAGTAGTCGCAGGCACATTGTGTTGCCTTGACATCGATCTCATAGTTTTTCTGCCAGTTGTAGCTGACACTCCATGCAGTACCTCCAACTGGAGATGATGTCCTACCGGTCACGCACACGGCGGAATTGTGAAGTTTTGCATCGACCCTGCAGCGTTGAAAATCGTTAGCTGATGGTACGAGCAGCATAATCGGGTGGAAAGTTGTACCCATGGGTCAAAGCAGCAACCAGCAATGAGCACAAGACGACCTTCATGATGTTCGAGTAAGAGAAGTAGTTTTGTAAGGGTACAAGATCGTCTGATGGTGACCGGCAGAACAGTTGAATGATCGGGAGATGATTTTTCGGGAACATGCTCAATCATATATTCTCATTGCCAGACCGACAAAGTTCTTGTTGAGCATCTCTCATATCTTGACAAGTAAACATAAGCGACCAGAGATGATGCACTCGTATTCAAACTCCACTCTAGGTGGATAGCTACTTGGCTGAGCACCTGATAAACTTGGCTGTTTGATCTTGAGCTAGGTAGTGCAAAGACCATCTTGATACACCTCATTGATTCTTGGGCAGTGCTATCGATGTGATACATTGAATCGAGTCCAGAGATGACAGCATGTTCAAAACATGAGTGGATAGAAGACACTTTGAGTCATGGTATGAGCTGATGTGATTGCAGTCTATGCCATTCTGGTTTTTTCCGGCCTTTTGTGAACGTAACAATTGTGCACCATGTATCGCAGTCTTGATCGTATGGTTATATGAACTGCTTGCATAGTGCACAGACTCCAGGGCTTCTGATACGGTTGACTGGTGAGACTGCGCCTTCGTGTCTTCGTGATCGACTATCCTTTGATGTCGTTGCTGGTCGTCTTGCAGCGCAAATCAGGGATGGCTGACATGACATGAGGTTCTTTGAAACCCCAGCATCGCTTCATCTTCCCCAGATCACATCCCGGCCCGAATATAACACTCCATGTTGATGTTTGCGGCCACTCGGGCACCAAAGTCTGTTTGCTCTAGCGTGTTTCGGATGCTCGTATCTGCCAACCTAGCCCTTTGACATGGTTATAATCCTTCGCCATAGAGTTATATCGTGCTTGGCAATGCTCAACATTCCTCAAGCACTGATTCCAGCAACAACACCTCTCAAGGGGTCTGCTTCATGCTCGTGGAGAGACATATAAGCCATGGTCTAACACCGTAAGCCTTGTCTATCGTTAAGCATTGAATATCTGATCATGTTGCGTCCAGCACCACCTGCGACCATGATCTCCTCGTTTGTTCTTGTATCTTTTGCACTGTCTACATTGGCATCTCCAGTCATGCTCCAGGACGGCGGTGCTCCAGATGGCACGCTGTCTGAAGACATTATGGTGCTGAACAAGCATGGCGCATGTAGGTGTCATTACTTGGCCGATTGCTACAAGGTCCAGGGTTCTGATTTGATTCGTGTACAGTGGAGACCATCAAGCAGAACGATTGGCTTGCTTCGCTCAAGGCCGCTGGAGTTCTCCTTGAGAAGCCAACTGTCGACGAGGCTTACCTCAATGCTACTGCTGGACCTCTTTTGCCTTTCCCGACCAATGGCACCTTGAGCAAGCGTCAAGCAAGCTGCGACAGCACTTATGCGATCGTCACGGACACCACGCAGCGTTTCGTCGACTGGGACGTTCAGATGTCACCCGTCGTGTGTGCGGTTGGTGATATGGACATCAACGTCATGAAAGGATGTTAGTATACGCAAACCATATCTTGAGGCATCGCCCTGACCAACCATCCAGATTCGGTCGCCAATGCTGTCACGGTCAGTGGAGGAGGCAGCCCAACACTCATCGCCGATAGGTTGACTGCCCAATTTGGCGTCAGTTTCAGCCGTACCTGGACTACACAAGACTCGATAACGACCAAGGGTACAGTCAAAGACGGCAACTGCGGTGTCATGATCACCAGACCCCTGGTCACACGTCGCTATGGTCGCACAATGCAAGGATGTCCTGGAAGCTACAAGCAGATTGGTGCTTGGATGGCCGATGAACATGGTGAGGGAAGCTATGCTGGTATTGACTGGGTTTCGGGTGCCATCTCCATGTGCACGAAGAAGCAAGCTGCACCTCCTCTCACCCGCTGCCACGGTGCCGGCGAGTTCGTGTAGAGAGATTGAAGTGGGAAGTGACGCGCACTGCCAAGCTGGCTGTGATGGTGAAACGATTGTCGAGGTTGGAACGTATGAATCTGCCAAAGGTCGATCTGAAAGTCGTGGTCGAATTCTTTTGGGTGTAGTAGAATGGGTATAGCAGTAGTGGAAGTAGTCGTTGGAAAGAACCTTTGTTGAAGTCTGCTGGCTCGAATGAGCGCCGTGGAGGAAAACCCAAGATCAAATTTGTTGGAGTGTAGCCGGACCCTAGTGCCACTAGTCTTCAATATGTAGTGACATGGCATTTGTTGCACATCGGTATTGCCTCTTGGTTTATATGATATTGCGAAAGGCTTTGATCACCACGAAGCTCTACGAGTCGTTGATGTAAGTCACGATCATCTTTGCAGATCTGTGCAGCTGATCAACGGTTTTCAGTCAGGAGTCGACCATGCAAAATTGCTCTAACGAGTGGCTCACGGCTGCCAAGTTGACAGCTTCGTAAGACGGTTGGACGATAACAGGACATGAAGTTGTCACGAGTCCGATTTCAATCCTGTTTCTGCCATAAGTCGTTGAGGACTTCACCAACAGTCAAGAGCAAGATCAAGTGCAGTCCATCCGAGTGACCACGGAGGAGCACATTCCAAGACCGTTCAGAGCTACCGAAAGTCGATGGAGCGATAATGAGGCCAGGAGGGAGCTCGGTCGAGCCCAACATGAGAAAATCCACTAAAGCTCTCATAAATCCCGGCTGCTTCTCCATTTTCCGATTTAGGAAATCATTAATGGAAATGATCGAAGTTTCGGAGCATATAAGGCGGCTGGAAGATTGCGCAACGTGGAAATCTCGATAGTCGAATGATGCTCTGTTGATACTGTAATGAGGACTGAGATTCTGCAATAAGGGAAGCCGTTTTGGAAAGATAGCCAAAGTCCAGACTGTGGTCTAGCAAATCATCATCGTCAGCAGCGGAATAGAGGTTCAGACTTGTCACATTGTAGCATTTGTACAAAGCCCGCGCATCTGTACCGCCGGCTACCCATCTATGCGGTCAGATCATGACTGTCAGCTTTCGTGCGAGACGATGTGATCAATGTCTCTCTGCAACCGCAGAGTCGAGGTCGCGGCTCGCGAGAGTTCGGCCGACTGACCCCACAGCATGGAGACGGGACATTTCAAACGTCAAAACTATGTCCCTGAGCCTTATTCTGGTGGTTGTAAAGTCAAAAGCCACTGGAATCGGTAAGTCTTACCGTCGATTCGATTCAAGTGCGGGTTGTGCACAGTACACTTGATTGAGGCGTGGTGTTGCTTGCTCTTAAGCGAACTTAGTAGTCCCATTACTTGAACCCACCAATTTTGATTGGCTACAGAACTCTCTAATCAAGCACTTCCCGCCGCGGTAATTAAGGCCCAGCTTGAAGAGTAGTATCGAATTGACTGAAAAGGGCACATCAGTAAATCACATTGAGTCAGTCCGAGTAAGGTTCTTTGGTTAGGAATCAGGGAATCAACAAATGAACGGCGTCTGATCGCAGAAACAAGACGCATCTCACTTCTGCCACAATACGTATAGTAGACCGAAGAACGACTAGTTGAATGCTCGCAAAGGGTCATGTCGCTTGGTCTTCAGGCTTGACAGTATCGCCCTTGCGGCAGTTCAAGCGCGGCTGGGCGACTTGTATAAGCTTTACTGACTTGCCTCATAGAGAGCGTGATCGACCGCTTATACTTGCTAGTCGACGACACTACGACATTTGTCACATATCAGTGCCGTCGCTGGTCCTCTTTCTCTTTCGTGTTTCTATAGTGTATCGTTCAAGCCTCTGCCTTACCCGCCAGTCTGTCATCTCCTCATGAGGTAATCGGCAGCGTGAATTTGGGCTTAATTGATCGGGTGAAGTTACACTACCAAAAGCCTTCAAACAGATGGACGGCATGGGGTTGACGTTATGCTATGGCATACGTCTGCGGCACAGAATCCTGACGGTCACGTAGTCCGCAAATTTCAGTGGAAGCCATTCCTTCTTGTGGCTGTTTGTTGCTCAGGACAATTCGTGTCATGACTGGTGACGGTGTCACCTGACCTGACACAGATTTTCTGAGTAAAGAGACAGCTGCGCTGACCATTACATTAATGGTGGATGATCAAAAGAGTGCTTGAAACAGGAGTCAGGGTGATACTTTCAACAGCTCTGTGAATCTAGAGCTCAAAACAGCAGCCATGCTGCTGGAAGGTGCGATCAGAGGCGTCGGATTTATTGCACCCGGCGCTCTCGTCAACGGTGAACATGCCAACATTCGGTTCTTGCAGCCCGAAACCATGCCTCCTTCCGAAGACGGCTTTTGCAGAAGTATCTTGCATGTCACTGGTGAACTCGGTTTCATAAGTCTCGAACTCTCCTCAAGACTCGAAGATCCGGGACCATGCGAAATCGCATGCTCAGATGTTCTGAGACCTCCGCAGATCTTGCTATTTCCGGCGGTGCCGACTCACAGCCAGGACGGAGGTACTCGGCTGTAGTGCCCAAACGGGCCCAAAGCACCTATATTCCCCCTATATGTCCACTTCCGTCCGCACCTTGCTTAACACTCTTTCAACGACATCCGACGATTTTCAGAATTAACTGAAACAACAAGCTCTGGAGTGATGATAGTACACCCTGCTATTTTGGATTTTCCTGATCAAATTCCCACCCCTGGCTGGTCTCGGCATATAATAACGTTCCTTCGGCCGAACGAGTTTGGACCGTTACCAACGTCCTCTAGTCTTTCAGTATGCGGTTTCACTCAACTGTTCTGGTCAGCAACACTCTCTACACTCTTCGGGCAGATGAGAGAGCTTCGTCACAACTTTCCTCACGAATGGAGTCTTGTGGAGTTCGATGACAGCGGCAAGAGCGGTTTTTTGTACCTATCCAGCGCAGTTCAAAGACACGGCACAAGATGATATTCACCAGTTCACGTCGCTCATACTATGCCAAGCGTTGACAATGGGGCTGCTATCCAATAGTCGCGGTTTCTCAATTTGTCCAACATGTCTCAAATCCTTTGCAATATTCTCCTCTCTTGACGCGGATGTCGTTGTTCGAACCGAACGTGGCCTCGGTTCTCTTTGTGAGGATACGATAATCTGTCGTTTCATTGCGTGTCGAGCCTTGATCCTCGACCTTTTTTTGAGACTTCTTCGCTTGCTCCCCGTTCGGTTCACGGCAGGAACGATATTTGCCCTTAACAGTCTCGCCTACCACCGCCTGACACCGGCAATATAACGAGACATTTCATTCGGCAGACGGAGTAGACACGAATGTGGCTCAAGCCACATACATACCCTTTTCAACCCAGAACCTCGTGGAGTCGTATACGGTCTCGTACCAAACACATATAGACGGTCCAGACACCTCCAGACTGAAACTGTCATACCAGCTCTTTTCTGTCCTTTCAGTAAAAATCTTCAAATCCCCCACAACCCCTTTGCACCTTGACTACGGTCTCTTCAAGCATCCTTCCACCAGCCTTGGGGTCCTCCTTTGATGTTTGTTAATCACTACCCATAAACATGGATGGTTCGAGAGGCTTCCTGCTGTCTCGCGACGATACGATGCACAGCAAGGAGTACCTGGCGCAAGACTTGGCTCCGACGATACTCGGCGTTACCGGCTTCTTCTGCTTCTTGTCCCTCATTGTTGTAGCGCTTCGCCTATACGCACGAGCTTTCATGGTACGGCGTCTAGGTTGGGAAGACCTTTTGATCTTCATCACCGCTCTTTTCGTTCTGGGGTGCTGGATCTGCTTTGTCGGCGAGGCAACGACTGGAGTGCTTGGGCACCACATGGAGACTGTCACGATACCACAATACGAGCTGTTCCTACTATGGACGTTCCCGCATCAACTCTTCATCTCGCTCGGCAATGGAACATTCAAGTGCAGTGTTGGCTTCTTCTTGATCCGAGTGGGCACGAAGAAATGGGGTCGATGGGTGCTGTACTGTCTAATGTGTGAGTCGGAAACATGGTTGAGTGGTATGTGATCCATGACTGACTGATGTAGCGTTCATCGCCATCTCCTCCCTGGTATATGGTTCCACACTCTTTTGGTCCTGTATCCCGCTGCGTGCAAACTGGCATTTCGACGAACAGAAAGACGCAAAAATGATCTCGACCAAGGTGTGGATGGGTCTTGCTATGTGGAACGCCGTCGCAAATATGTTGACGGATAGCATCCTTGCTGTTTGGCCCCTGCCCATTGTGCTTAAGATGAGAGTGTCGACTTTCAAGAAGGCCGCGCTCGTTGTCTCGTTGAGCCTGGGATGGCTGGCAGTCGTGTGCTGCGCAGTCAAAACATGGGCCATGTGGAACTACTTTACCGTCTCGGACAAGTACTACAAGGACCTTTACTTCTTCTTGTGTTTCCTGGAAATGAGCGTCGGAACAATCGCGGCGTCAGTACCATTGTTGCAACCACTTGTCAAGAGATTCCGTTTCTGCTCTTCTGCCAGGGATGATAGCGGAAAGGTTGTCTTGATGCCGCTACCAGCCGTCATGCCAGTAACACCACCGCAAGCGAAGATGCGACGACCAATCATCACATGGACAGGCATGGGCTTTACATCATTCCAAGATGGCGAGGAGTACAGATACGACGACCCGGAACGGAGTGGATCGAGTACGCGGGTTGACATGATGCAGAGGTCGGATAGCGGAACGATATTTGTAGGATACGAGGGCTCGAAAGCGTGAACGACTAGAGCGACTGTATAGATGAGCGATAAATAATGACTGAAACGACCAAAAGTACTCTGAGTAACCATGATAGCACAACGTGCCAACAATGACACTCTACGATGATAGCGTGCGCGTCAGGCTCTACCAGCCGCGCTTCAGATGGCATCAATCTGCTAACCTGCCTGATTGGGCGAATCGGCGAGGTTGACCAGCCATGATGACGAGCGACTCCTGACTGTGCCTGAGGACGAGTGAGCGAACGAACGGATGGGCCAGCAAGCAGCTCTCCACTCCGTCTGCCCGAAAGCCGACGTTTTTCCGTGCGCTTTCTTCCGCCGACAGACAGACAGGAAGCAGCAGACCGAGATGGACCACTCAATCAACCTTTCCGACAGCGCGGGACACGAGTATGGACTGAGATACTCAGCTCATCAGACAGCATCATTCACTTAAGCGGCGTCGCCTTGATATGCTAGAATAATGGCTTGCGATACCCCTCGACGACTGAAGACACAATCGATCGAAAAGAAGGAAACACCCATGCCGAGCTCGACAATGGCCCCAAACCTGATCGAACTTGCGCGATAGACGAGACCTCCACGCGCGCGTTAGGTCGCCTGCTGCGAAACTCATCGTGGGAGCCGAAAGGTAGTCTTGTGACAAGGCATCTAGTCATGCGACACTGCCGAGCTCTGGATCCAGCGTCTCGACGACTTTGCTTTACAAAGTCACACTTGTCTCGGACAGCGCTCTTGATCGTTGAGGGTAGCTACTCGCTCGATGTGATTCTTCCTGACACGGAGGTCTGCAATCTCTTGAGGATGGAGTTTGTGCCAGAGTCGCGACATACCAGGAACTGTAAAGACAATTTGCACTTGCCTTGCGAACCAAAGGGTGTCTGTATACACTGCTTACCGCCCTTCCCATATTTCCTCTGTAGTTCTATGCATCGTCAACAAGAGTAAGTCGACGATCTCGCCTAAATAATTTACTGCAGACTTTATCGCATCGCATTGCACTGTCATGATGCGGGTGGTCGATCCGAAAACCCCGGCTATCGGATGTGGGAGCTCAAGGTTCAATGTTCTCTCCACACTCTCCTCATTTTCCTTATTCTTTGCTTCATCTCCTCTATCTTTCCTCCTTTGTGAATGTTTCTTGCTCTGTGAATGTAAATTATGGCCCAGACTCTCTTTTCTGTGCTTGCAGCCCTTTTATCCCTCAACATTGCCAATCCCTTTCGTCATGATCGTAACATTGTAGGTGCTCCGGTAAACACTACCAGCGGCCTCATCATTGGACATGCTTCAAGGAACCGCTCTCAGGTCTCTGAGTATCTCGGTATACCTTATGCTCAACCACCTTTGGGTGAACTTCGTTTTGCAGCGCCTCAACAGTACAGCTCAGACGACATCTTCAATGCTTCCTCCTTCTCGCCAGATTGTCCTGCAAACCTACCTCCACCATCGACCTATCCCGGCTTGACAGCATCCGGTCAACGCATCTATTTGAACTTTGCCGACCAGGTGGGAAATCCTCAGAGTGAGGATTGTTTGACTCTTAACATCTGGACCAAAGCTACAACACATAAATCTCCAAAGGCGGTGCTGCTCTGGATTCATGGTGGAAGATTCACTATTCCTGGTACCCACAGTCTGTTCTACCAAGGTCAATATCTTGCCGATCAGGAAGATGTTATCGTCGTCACCATCAATCACCGTGTCAATATCTTTGGCTACCCTGGTGCCCCAGGCGAAACCCAAAATCTTGGACTGCTCGACCATCGCATGGCTGTCGAATGGGTACGTGACAATATCGCAGGGTTTGGCGGTGATTCGCATCGCATCACCTTGTTCGGCCAAAGCGCTGGTGGTGCTGCGACTGATTTCTACGCTTATGCTTGGAAGGAGGACCCGATTGTCGCTGGCCTAGTCTCGCATTCAGGTACAGCGCTTAGTTTCGATCTCAATTCGCCTGATATGTCGGCCAAGTATTGGTATATAGCGGCAAGCAATCTCGGCTGTGGCGATTCAGGCGATGTCATGCCTTGTATGCGCAGCAAGAATGTCACTGATATTCTTAAAGCTGTGGCTAAGGTGCCCTTTCAGCCGACAATAGCGCTTAACCAGCCAGTCTTCCATCCTACTGTCGACAATAAGACTGTGTTTGCTGACTATGCTTCCCTGTCCGCCAGCGGCAGTTTCGCAAAGATACCCTACGTGGCTGGCAACACCGATTATGAAGCAGGCTGGTACAAATTAGCTGCTTGGGCAAGCAACAAGACTCTAACAGCTGCTCAATGGGATGACTTCAACCTCGCTGGCTTTACCTGTCCCACTGGCACTGAGACAGCGAATCGCGCAAAGTACAATGTGCCCACCTGGCGCTACATCTACTTTGGCGATTGGGAGAATTTGCGCTTGTATCCTGGAAGCGGCGCTTACCATGGCACTGAACTCACCATGATCTTTGGAACAGCGGAAGATGTCAGTGGGATACCGAACACGGCGGCAGAGGATGAGGTTTCGAGGTATATGACGAAGGCTTGGGCAACGTTTGCGCGTGATCCTGTGAAAGGATTAGAAGGAATGGAGTGGCCGAAGTACGAGGCTGGTAAGAAGACTCTCGCGAGGTTGGCATACGACAAAATGACTACGCCGTCGTTCGTTGATCCGATGGTTTATGATGCAAAGTGTCCGGCGGTGAACGATCCGAGTCCTGCTCATGGTGCTTTCTGAGGTCTTGCAGTCCTGAGGGAAGATTGATCAGGTCGAACATGACACATTCGTAGAGCGGCAAGAGGCACGGAGTATGGATGAGTTCATTAAGATTTTTCAAGACCACAGAACTACAAGACATGGGCATTCATTATCATCACCATCGACAGTTGTTTAACCCTGCATCTCGATACCACCGGTACCGTGAATACACTCGCCGGTAAAGTAGGACCCAAGAGGTGAAGCCAGCTGAATGTAAGCGGTGGCAATCTCAATAGGCATACCGGTTCTGTTCATGGGGGCCGCGCCCACACCGACGTTCTTCATGCCCTCGGCGGGTACGTTGGCAGTAGCGGGTTGGAGGGGTGTCCAACTGTGATTTTGTTAGATTGTTGAAGTTACGATGGTGATGAGAATATCTTACATGATTCCAGGCGCAACAGCATTCACTCTGACGCCTCTAGGTGCTTGTTGCTTTGCGAGTGCGCGGGTGAAGGTGACAATTGCGCCCTTTGTGGAGCTGTAATCGATCTTGGTAGGGTCGCCCATGTATGCGAGAACGGAGGCAGAATTGACGATGTTGTCGCCGCGCTTCATGTGCTGGAGGGCATACTTGCTCAGAGCCATCATCTGTGGCAACGCGATCAGTTTCTGTTTGACAGCCGTAGATAAATTTATGACATACCTGGATGATGTTGGTTTGGAAAGTCTGGGTGACGGTCGAAATGTCAATCTCTCTGTGGTCTTCGCACGACTCTTGCATAGAAGCATTGTTGACAAGGACATTGAGCTTGCCAAAGACCTTGATGTGCTCCTCGATGGCAGCCTTGCAGTTGGCCTCCTCCTTGAGATCATACTGCATGCCATGGCCCTTGCGACCAGCCTTCTCAATCTGCTTGATTGTGTATTTTGCGTCCTCCTCTTCTTCGGGCAAATATAGAATCGAGACGTCGGCGCCTTCTCTGGCCATCAGGATTGCGACGGAGCGACCGATACCGCTGTCACCACCAGTGATGAGAACAGCCTTATCCTGGAGAAGACCTCTGCCCTCGTACTCCTTGAGGTATGGCTTGCCGTTGTCGTCCCAATATTCGAGTTGTGTCCAGTTGGCCTGCTCTTTCATGTCCTTGTCGAGACCAGGGCCGCCCTGTTGATCTTGTGCGGAGATTTGCCATGTGTAGGCGGTAACGGGACCTTCTTGCTGAGACATTTTGGATATGCTGTGTTGGAAAGTATGTATAAGAAAGAGGGAGGCAAAGAACGAGAGATAGACAGCATAAAAAGTACAGCAAGAGTGGATACAATCCTACTTGAATGGGTAATGCATCAACATAGTGACATCACCGTCTAAGCTCAAGCTGGTGCTGTCATGGAGGCTCAAGCTCGCCGCGGGGTTGGGGGGAAACTTTTCGCGGCCGCTGCAGTCAACAAACTTCAGCCCCTTGTTCGCAACAACTTTCACAGCCACATCTCATGCCCTTTGCCATCTTCGACGACGTTCGTCACCTGCTGGTCGGTGATGCCAATCCTGCGCGTGAGGAGGGCGGCCTTGACTATGAGCGATGCGCTGCTCTGCATAATGCCATCGTGAGACACGGATGGACGGCGTGTGGTCGCTCTCTAGACACCCTGCCCACAGTCACTGCTTGGGAAAAGGACCCAGATGGATGGGAGCAGGATGTTGACCGTCTTCATGTATCAATGGTCGAGTTTCTCAAGAGAGCGTACGACACCGAAATGCCTGAGACAGAGCCGATCTACGACTTTATGCCAAGAGAATACAGGTTTTTCTATTTTCTCGAGGGACTTATCGGTCCCCATGGCCATGAAGCTCCTCTCTACAACTATGACGATATTGAGGATTTTCCTGGTCAGTATATGACATTATATACCGTCAACGACCAATTAGGATCGCACCCTCATGGCCTTGTGTATGACCTCACTCTTTGCATCACTTGCGCAGCATGAATCACTCTGACAACGACAGTTATAACCAGGAAACACATGAGTGTGTCATCAACTTTCACAATGTGCACTTCAACCCGGAGTATGAAGACATTCCTTGGCAGAGACTGGAAACAGTCCTCAGTGTTTACATTGACATGATCGAGTCCGAAAAAGTTGTATGCATCCACAATGATGTCGAGCGACCTGGTGATGCAAAAGGCATGCTGGTCGACGGCGAGTTCCAGTGGGTGTCTACTCAAGATCGACCAGATGCAATATTCGCAGACCCAGTGACCGGAGTCAAGCGGAACAATGATGTGATGTTTGGACCTTGGATCATTCAACCGCACACCAAAGAAGTACTGGATGGATGTCTTCAGACTTGGGATTTGCTCGTTCAAGCTATCGAAGAAAAAATGCCGACGGCTCCGAACGTTGATACAAAGCCAGAATATGGCCTGACCAACGAAGAAATGCTCGAGTCAGCTGGAATCACCGAGGATTTTCCCAAACTGGTTCTATTGCGTGCTCGAAAACCTCGATTCAACTTTATTGCACCCGGGCTCCGGCTGCTAACACCCGAAGAAATCGTGGAACAGCCGTTGAAGAGTATGATGGCGAGGCAGGCCGATTTGCAAGTCCGGAAGAAGATGCCGGTACTTCTATTTAAGGGCGATGACACTTGCAAAGCATCTGAGTGGTTCCCCTATCCGTACAAAGAAGCCACAGATATTCCAACTGGATTGTACTTCGAGGGCTGGTCGCAAGAGGACTTGACCCCTTTCACAGACGCAACAAGACTGCTACTACCTTTCACAATTGGTGGCGAAGACACATGGGCCATGACAAGCAATGGCATAGCGATTGACGGCACACATGATGAGCTCTACCAGATGGGCATAAATCCATTTGCATCCTACCATGGTGTTTCTTTGCTTGCAATATTGGAGAACTTCTATGCGCACATATGTCAAGGGCATTGGTCGGTAGATGAGAACGGAGTTAGTGGCACTATCGACACATTCCGTGAAGCAGAGTCCGAGGAGCATTGCGACAAATACTTAGTGCCTATGGGCCCTGAAGCCTACTGGTGATTCGATATATTCGAGCAGTTCTTTGTGGAAGCTTCACTTTGCAATGAATCCGCGATTCATGGCGGAAGACGGAATTGAGAGACCCTAGTACCCGGTATCTTGCCTACTGCAGGCACGACTCAGCAATCACAAACTTCTGGGGCAGGGCGGAGCAATAATTGTAAGTATGAGATTCGGGACAGGGAAAAGTGAGTCCTATAAGAATCACCATAACTGTTTTCGCATTGGGACCGAGGTCATAGTCTTGCGACGGTCGAGGCTTGTCCATCGGCTTGACCAGGCTTAGCCCCACTGCGGCTGATAATAATCAAACGGTCTTTACCATCACTTCTACCATTACCTTTCTGGTTTCTCGAGATCTCGAGCTCTCTTGCTGCTTCTCAGCATTCATTCGAAGCAATTCCATGTGTAGGTTTTGTGCCATCGAAAGGGTCATGGGGCGCGTCTCGGTCCGGGTGTCGCTGCCGGCCGCAGAGCGACGGTAGGGAAGCAGGACATGACTAAGTCTCGCTTTCGGTTTCTGGTTTTCTCTTATCGACATCGACATGCGTACAACAAACTGTAAGTCCAATCTTGACTCGTTGTCAACTGCACTCGCGGCTAATCCATGGAAGATGCTGCCTCCCGCTTTGTTAAAGTCGCGGTACCGGCATGGGTGATGACTCTGACGAGTCACGACCCTATCGTTTCATTATTTCAACGGTTCAACCTTACCAGTTTGGTAAAATGCATACCAGAATTCCTTGCAAGTCATTGAGTCTAGACGGCCTCGATGTCACCGTCACGTCAAGATTGAGCAAGCAAACGTCCAAGATTCCCATATCGGCTTCGCACTCCCTCAAATTCTTCTCGATCTGACACTAGCATCTTTAGGGTTTTAGGGTTTAGGGTTAGGGTTAGGGTTAGGGTTAGGGTTAGGGTTAGGGTTAGGGTTAGGGTTAGGGTTAGGGTTAGGGTTAGGGTTAGGGTTAGGGTTAGG